GACTTTTTTTTAATTAATTTCCTGAAACTGTTAAAAGTTTAAAATAAAATTTATGAATTTTTTTTTTGTTCATTTTTATTGAATTATCTTTCATGGTTTTTATAATTTTATCTTCTAGAAGAAGCTTTTTACACTACAATAATACTTGGTTACAATAGTTCTTCAATTTCATTGTTCCTCTGTTCAAATACAATTGTTTAGCTTTGTCGAAAGCATTTAATTAATCTACTAATTAACTCATCGTAAGCTACTTGCTTCAACGACTAATCTATAAATAAATTACAGAAATACAATTTTTTTTCCTTTTTTTCTTCTACCTCGGAAAAAAGGGAAAAGTTTTAGATAAATCTTTGATGTTATATTTTACACTATGAGCCCGAAACTAATTGGATCAAGAAATGGATGAAAATTTTGAGGGCCCGTCAATCAAAAAGGAGTCATGCGAAAACCTTAAACAATGAGCCATAATATTTTACAATAAATTCCGTTTAATTAAGTTATGAAGATATTTAACGTAAAAGCTTCTTTCCACATTTTTTTTAATTAAAATCATTCCACGTTTGTTGCAAAACAAGTTTTCTTGTGTAACACAATAATTATCAAAAATTTCTCCATTCACGGCTTAAGACGTGGGGATAAATTGGCAATTAAGTTTGCTTCGTAATTACATCGTAAACAATAATTAGGATATACAAATATCACACTGAATTAAAGGGAGAGAGTGAGAAAGTTGCCTTAATTGTGATCCTGAAGAAAGAAGTTAAGCAAATACTATTCACACACACACACAGAATATTATTCTTGTTAATATTTTTATTTATATATGCACAATTTACGATTCTCACAATTGTTTTGTGGTTAATAAGATGATCGACTTCGATCTTCAACATTATGAGAATTTTTGTTTTATCTTAAAAAGCTTCAGAGGCACTAATTGGTCAAAAAATGTTCATTAAAACTTTTCATAATAAATTTCATGTCAAAAGGTGGCGGTGAAAGTTGTGCTGAGATTGATTTTAGTTTTCATCTGTTTCTTTGGCTCGCATTCATTAAAGGCTGAGATTTCATGTTTAATAATTTTGTATGGTTTGGGGAGAAGAAATATTTCAATTTCTGAATTTTAAAATTTACACGTAAATAAGCTGCCGACCTTAGCCGTCTAATCACAAAATGAATATAATGATAATAATATTAATATGTATGTGAATTAAATTGGAAAGCTGACACTGATATATTTATGTATCTTGTACTAATGCTTAAACATAAAAATCATCTAAGTACAGTGGATCTCAATAAGCTGTTGTTGGACCATGATGAACCAAATGGTGACTAAAATGATTCAAATGATGATTCATTGTCTCATGACCTGTTGGAGTTGTTGGATGATACCAGTCATTTGGATGATGTTGAGGGTGATACAATAAATGATGATTGTGATGATGACCGACAAGCATCGATGCAGTTGCAGTTTGTGATGAAGGAGAATTTGTGTTTAGGGCAGGAGATGGTGCAGAAGATGAAGAGTTGGGTGTTGTTGACGGTTGCGGTGGAATCAACTGATTTGTTTGTTGATGATGAGTGTGATGTGAGTGTAAGTGATGTGAATTTGCATGCGATAACGCGTGTGGATGTGTCAAATGATGTGAGTGGTGGTATGACGATGTTGATAGGTGAGTTTGACCTGTCGATGAGTCGTTGAAACGATTTGATGTCAATGGTGATTTGCTGCTGTTATTGTTATTTGTTGTGTTTTCATTGTTGTTATTATTGTTGTTGAATTTCAAATCATGTTGAAGTCGTGATGGCGGTGTTTGCGTTCCACCTGTGACGACACTCGACGAGCTCGACTCTTCGCCTTCACTTTCGTATTGATGACTCGGCGACTTTTCGTCAGCTAAGCTTCCATGGACCTGGCAAATGGATAAAGAAAAAAGTTGAATGAATAAACACATTTTAATTAAGTTGTTGAAAACGATTGATTGCTCAATGATTTAACTCATTCAATCTACGATGATTTGCTTATTATTTGATTTAATGCTACGACATTTCAATGTTTTTACTCGTCTAAGCTAACTTTATCGAGCTTTTTCTTGCTCGTTTCAAATCAATTTCCAACCAACAGACACATTTTAGGCCTTTTCTGTGATACAACAATAAGATTACATAGCTCAACAACATTCGGAAAAGAGCTAAACAGCATAACGTAAAATAAACTGAAATGTCATCATTCAATTTCAACTGGCACGAAGCGTGTTGTAAATTTTTACCTTTATGAAATTTACAAGACAAGAGTTATGCTAAGAAAAATAAAATTATTTCTTTTTACCTTCATATGCTTCCTCAACGATGATGGATGTGTGTACGATTTATCGCAACCTGGCACTCGACAATTGTACGGTTTATCTGATGTATGAACGTGTGAATGTTTCTTTCTATCTGATGAATTAGCAAAGCGACGATCACATCCCTCGTGTTCACATTTAAACGGTTTTTCACCTGCAAGAAGAAAAAAAGGAAATTTAAATTTAATTCGAATAATTTGTCAAGAATTTGTCGTGCATTAAAAGTTAATATGATGAATATTCATCGGATAAAGTTTAGTTTGCAACTATTAGAAATGGAAGAAACTTAGAATGGCAGAGAGATAAATAATTTGCATAGTAAAAAATTTATTTCCCGACATCTCATAACAAGTTGGTTTAATGTAATAAAATCGTGTTTATCATGAACATATTAAACTCGTCGTAATATCTTCATCATTTCATGTAGAGAATGTAGACTATTCCCATTTCTCACTCATCACTTGCTGCTTCATAACGACTAACAGCAAACCAATTTGACTTGACGTGGAAAGAAACTCATAAATTTTGATTGTTTTATTGCATGTCGTTGTACAAAGTCAAGGATAGAAAATGAATTAACTTTTAAGCCAATGCAAATAAATACCAGAACTTTACTGGTAATGAGGAAGCAAAAGTCAGTCATGAAAGCATTAAAAATCCTTCGTATTTGTTTTTTGCGTTCATTCTTTTAAAAGGATTTCTTTCTTAAAAGCCAAAAAATGTTCAGATATTCTCTTTCCAAAGAATTCCTTCGTTTTTATGACTAAATTTATAGCTTTAGTCAATTGCGAAACAATAGCTTTTACTATCGGTTTCCTTCTCAAGTGAAATATGGCTCTGTTGATTATCTCTCGCCTTGTTTTCTTTTCCTTTTTGCATGTTTTAGGATTTTTTTTAATTTTTACATTTTTTAAGGTAACTTTTGCGAAGACAATTCTTTGCCATTCATAAATCCTCGAAATGAGTGAGATAGAAAGAAGGAAAGAGACAAAGGAACAAGAAAGAGAGATGGAAAGAAAAGTCTGACAAAAGAAATATTTGTAAAATGTCAAAAATTTATGAGTTGACCAATTCTTGTTATTTTTTCTTCATCTCAAATGATGATCATAATATTCTAATGTAAGCCCCAAAAGAAGGCCCACAAAATGTGATTCCAGTTGTGTTATTTGGTTGAATAAATTTTTATTTTTTATTGCTTTAAAGTCTGAAATCGTCGTCGAGTTCTCCAGTTTCCTTCGCAATACAACTTCTTCCTCACTGCTTTCCTTCTTAATAAACAACATTCCATAAAATGTGAACGATAATATTTTATGGCACGCGTATTAATTATGGTTATATTTTTATATTTAATATGTTATTTGTGTTTCGAATATTTAAGCAATTTCAACTTTATTATTTGGTTTGTGTTGTGATTCTTAGTCATTTGTTTAAATGCTTTTCGTAATTGGAACGTGTTCTGTTATCATCATCATTAATATTATTCGATAATCAACAGATTGCGTTGATTTTTTGTGTGTTTTTCTCTTCTATTTAATTCTCTCAATTTTTGATTATTGGAAAAACTAAGAAATGCTTACAGTTATTAATTACCATGTTTACCTTTTAACCACAAACATAAAATCGACTCAATTCCCTTGAAAAACAATCGAATAGTTTTCTTTCTTTCCAAACCAGACCAAACTAATTTAGAGAGACAATTAATGTGCCATAAAAACCAACAAATTTGTTTCAAATTTCTATTCCTCCATGTCACTGTTGTTGAATAAATAGTGAATGTCTAAGAAATTAATAGGCGTCTGATAAGATTAAATTTATTACAGAAATTATCTCGCGGTTAATAATTTCTCTATCTCATTTTTGTGTTTAATTGTGGCGTCTAATATTCAAATTTCTTCCTTCATTCTGATTTATTCATGCGCGATTGTCATCAGTGTGAGTAGTAAAGGAGAAGAAAGAAAATTCTTGGCTGGCGCTGTCCAAACAAATCTTTCAAAAAATCTTCTAAACGTACGACTCAAGACACAATTTAAAAACGGATTCAAGATGAAGAGAGAAATATACGAATCGTTTAAGAAGAAGACGAAAGAAACAAGATTATTATCTCGAATTTTTATTGCTTGTTCTCTCATGTCCCCATCACGTTCATTATGTATCTGATTTTAATTAAAAATAAATATTTAATTCATGTGTATTGAGATAAATATTTATTTGAGGCTAAAGAATTAAGATCACTAAAATTTTATTATGCTCCTATTTCACTCCTAGCCAACAACAACCAACCATCAGCTAAGATTTTGAGGTAACTTTTCATCAAAGTTCTTATCAATAATTTGAATTATCATTTTTTTTTCCGTTAATTGTGATAACTTAATTTGAATATATCAACATTTTTGAAAATATAATTTATTTAATTTATTCATCAGGTTTATGCACTTGGACTTGTGTTTTTAATTAATGTGTCTATGACATAATCTGATACAGAGAAAGAAAAAAAATATTAAAATCGCTTGTCTGCCGACAGTTCTCCATCCCATTAATCATACTCTTTAATCCACGACATCATATACATAAACTGGATTTTTAATAAATGTTTCCAAGCCGTTAAATCACATGGAAAATTATACTTTCAATCCTTTTGTGTATGCGGCTGTAAGGTTCATCTCCGCCTTCAATTTCTGTCTCTGTGTGGCTGATTTTGAGAATAATAATTAAATGAATCATTCGACGGTAACATCAACCCCGAACGTAGCTGATACGAAATAGCATAAAAGCATATATTCAGTTCCGAAATGAATACAAATCAAGTACACTCACTCATTCACCCACACTCCCTTCCCCTCATCGTTTAGTGCAAAAACCAACGTCACGGCACACACCATAAACGCATAAACTTTAAATAAACAATTTGATAATCCACCGAAATAATAATAACAACAAAAAAAAGCAAAAAACATTATTAATATTCTCATTAAGTATGAATCTCAATTGCTGCTTGTTCTGGGGTTGCTGAACTCACGTTAAGGCATTTAATTTGAAAAGTTTTTACATTCATGTTAGAGAGGCTTCGGAAAAAGCCGGGAAAGCCCTGTCCTGTCATTCGAAAATCGCTTCGGGAAATTTTAATAAAATATTAAAGTCATATATCATGATTTTCATGACTTTCGCCCTCGAAATCTCTGCTTTCGCTGTTTGTTGGTGAATGTGACTCTCTGCGATTGAAAGGGAAAATTTCGACTGAATAAATTTTCCCTATTGTTATGACTTTGTTTTCATGAATTTATTATCTTGTGCCAAATGATGTGCTAAAAGCAAATAATAGAGTGTGAGTGAGAAAGAGAGTTCAAGATCAAATTTCTGTGTTCGAAACAGCATGTAAAGGTCATCGTCGTACAATGAAGATCAATCAAAGTAAGAGACGTTTCGTAAGATGGAGAAGCGAATGAAAAACAAAAAAAATTTCAACCAGTCATCTGGTTTATGAAGATGATGAATTGCCAGACAGGTTAGTAGGTTACTTGAATCTCTTCTTCCATTAAGTATAAGACAGAGTTAATTTGTCAAATCATCAAGCAGCAATTTTAAAAGGTCAGAGAAAATAAATTTTCATCCAGATCGTCCCTTCAATTAAAATCTTTCTTAATCGATAATTTATTAGAAAAACCTCCAAAATCAAATGAATAATTTACGAGCCTTTTCTCCATTTTTATAGACATTAAAAGTCTTTAATTGTAAAAGGACAAAAAAGCGGCTTTGGAATGAAATGTTAACTATCGATTAGCGTTAAAATATCCTCAATCCATATCATTGATAATGTAGTTAAAGTTTTATTAGTCATGAAATATTTCAACGGTTCTTTTAAAACATATTTCTTCATGACATTGTAGGCGTCTTCCCTTGAACAACTTTCAATTTTTCTTTCTTCATTTTTTTCCTTTCAACAAGATGACTTTAAAAAGTCAGTGAAACCTTCTCACTCTAACTCATTACAAAGGGTTGTTTATAAACAAGATCGTATTGTTGTTGCTTGCAAGCAAGTCCCTTTCTTCTTCACCTTTTGTTTCTTTTATTTTTCTTTTGAAAGTGATACATTGGATTCGACTTTGGGTCTCCATCGATTCCGAGAATTAAAGAATCTTTTCTTTTTTTCTTTGTTCATGATGCCTTTTTCTTACCTTTAAGGGTTATTGAAACTAGAAAAATAAAGAATTTTGTCTTGACTTTCAAGGGTCTACGATACGTTCGAAAATATTGGGCATAAAATGTTACATGATGAAGAGAGATAAAAGCTAATCAAATGAAATCAAAGTGATAGATGATGAGAATTTAACTAGTTTCGTGTTACAAGTTGTTTGTTGTCATAGATATCAAGAGAGAAACGACTTTTACACCTGTTGCTGTATGTTTCTCATACTTTACTGTTGAATCTAACAGAATGACTGGTCAATGAAAAAAAATATTTGCATAAACTCAGCAAATTTAAATATCAAAATAAAACATTATAAGTAGATATTAATAATTTTCACTTCCTGTTCATAAAACATTTTCTTACTTCTTCTTGAGGATTAACGAATGTTTTCTTTCTAATAATTGGATAATGTCTCAAATTAAGAATGCCAGTCAATTCAATCGTCTCATGTTTCCTGAATTTCTCACAGAAATGACTCAAAACGCTAATGAGATTAATGGAGAAAATATTCTTCGCGGTAAAAAATCTTCTACATTATGAATATTTAAATTAATATTTCTTTCAAATCAAGCGACACAAAATATTTCAGAGGTGCAAGCTGAACATTTTTGTTTATAATCTTTGCATAGCTCATTCAACAACCGTCCCCAGATCATCTGACTGAACGATTGAGCATCTTAAAAATAACAAGAATCGTTGGTTGACGATCTGAACATGTTTATTTTGTGGTTTTAATATTCAACGAAAAAACTTATTGATTCATAAATCAAAACAAAAAAAAAATTAAAGAATATTTCGATTGAATGAAAAAGTTTCACTATCGATGTGGAATTTCTGTCGAAATCGAATGATGGAAAAAGTTTTCGACTCTTCTCAGTAGACTTGTTTTTATTTACGTGTTTCATTTAATCGATTTTCGACTCGATAGATAGATAAACAGCACAAATACATGGCAAACAATCTGCTTGAAATGGGCAAGTTGACTGCCATAAAAGAAGGATGTGTTACAAAACAAAAGACAACATACAACACGTCATCAACAGATAAACAACAATCATTGCTTCGGACGACGAGTAAGAGAGAAGTTGTTATAAGTTTTGCTTCGTCCCCTTCACGTTTTTATCTTCTCCCTTTGTATATTAGAAATACAACTTCATTCGCTTTTCATGAAGGGGTGGAAAAAATCTGTTTCATCCACCATATTGTTTCTCGGGGTTGTTTTGATTTTCCATCATGTTATTACTTTATGTGCAACCTATAAATAAACTTTTTCTTCCTTTCAACTTGCAAATTTAGCGAAGTTTCTCTCTCAACCGTAATCTACTCGTTGCCGAGTTTTCAATTTACTGCATGGAAGAAAAGCAGACTAAATAGGATTTAAGATGTCACAGAAGCTTTTGGAGTTTTCGCTTCAGACTCAGTAGAAACAATTTTTTTATTGTTTTTTATTTCGGTGTAAATTTCATTCCTAGCGAAGTAGGAGAATGCGAGAGGCTTTAAAGAGACTTTTATGAACGTTATTGCTTCCTGCTGCGTCACAAGTTGAACTATATTGATTTTTCCTTCATTAGAGATGCTAACCGACTTAGCCACATGTTTTCAAACTTAAAGGCGCCAAACAATATGATCTAAAAACACTAAACTCTATCAAACGTCGAATTAAATGTGAACGATATCTGATTATCAGACCAATTAGGCCAATTTGTGTAAAATTCACTATCTCGATAATCATCAGAAAACATTCTCGAAATGAAACCCAAAACGTTTTGTCTTCTCTTTTAAGAATGAACATAAAATTTCTTGTTCTTTTCAGTAATAAAATGGAAATAAAAACAAGGAATAAAAAATTAAAAAATGGAAATTAATAAAAAGAAATGTGAGGCACAAGAGATTTGGAGAATTGCAGGGATAATAATTAAGTGACATAATTTTTTTAAATTTATTTACATTCGATGATTTATCACGTAGACTTGACAAAAGTTTATTTAATTGAGTTAAATTTATTTCAAAATTTTTATTCTAGTTTTCCTCCCTTTGTATCTGCTTAAAAAATTCTTCAAATCGAGACAAAATAAAAATCCGGTTGACAATAAATATCAAGACAACAAAATTATGTTGTAGCTTGAAAAGCGTACGCTTCACGCGCTATCAACAGTGTTTAATCTTAAGCTATTAATCGAATAATGATTTCAGGCTCCTTAAAAGTAATCGGAAAGAAGAAGAAAAATTCACGTGAAATGAAAACATGAGAAATATTCCCCACTAAGAACTTTAATGGATGACAATTTGTAACAAAGATTTCAACAAAGAGGCATGAAATTTGCGAGTAAAATGATATTTATAATATTTGTGTAGCTCACTGAATGTACTGCTGAATTATTATCGGTAATTTGCCACATTTTTCATGTGTACGATGAATGATGAGATGCACTTAAAATGATGAGCTTGTTATAAATATTTAATAATAAAGTTTACAAAGTAATACAATCTGAAGTGAAACTTTTCATAGTTTTATTTATTTAAGAATTGCGTGTGTTTTAGTAAACTCGTAATTGAATATCATCTTGTCTTGCATTCCATTAATTTTGATTTTTTGATCGCTATGGGATTCTTCACATTTAAATTATTTGTTTTCTCACTGTCTTCACTTTGAGAAACTAAACGATCGTTGTAATCGTCTCACGTCAAAAAAAAATCATACCTTGCTCTTGGCTGATCTTACTTCAAGTGAAGAAAGGAAAGGTCTTTGTTTTCACAGAAAATCGGTTTGAACACATACCAATTATTGGAACAAATTCCTCGCGTTCCAAAACAACTATTTGTACTCTGTTTTGTAGAGCGAATGATGAAAATATTCATTAGAAACTTTCAGGAATCATTTCACCATAAATGTCACAATCAGAAAAATCTTATGAAGTATTTAACAAAATCTGTTATTCTATAACTTCTTTAGAGCCCAAATACACTTTTGGGAGTTTCAAATGATATCGAATAGTTTTCAGAATGATTAATGATTTCATGTTCTCTTCATCTTGAAAGTCATAATGAATATTTGTAACATCATCTCGTGTCAGATTGTAAGCGTTCTAAAAGCGTTTGCTCCAACACTAGAACTAATAAATTAGCTTTCTCATTTAAAGGGTTGTCACTGTAAAATTATTAAATTGTCATCATCATGGAACCTAATTGAACCATTTGTATATTTATCATCCACAACATTTAATCGACCTTTATTTAGTTAAAGGGGAAATTTGATTAAGAAAATATTTTTCTCATCATCATCTTCATCATAATTTTTTTGTGTAAAGAATTCATAAACCCGGTGAGTAATCAAGCCTGTGAAATATCTACTTGTTGAGATTCTCAGAGATTCAGCAGCATGAAAATCAAATGAAAAAATGTTATATGAATATGTTGGACACGACATGATTGGCATTTTGTATTTCACCCAAGCGAAAACTTGATATTACGGAAACTAATTTGATTTGAGTGGTCAAGAAAAAGAAAAGTTTAATTTCAACTTCGAAATTGAATGTTTAGGCAATGAATCAACCAACTTTCAATTAAGTTTCTTTATGAATCTACAAAACCTATCTACACAGAAAGCAAATAGAAACAATTTGTCTTAAATTGACATTAAATGCCGCTTTTTATCGAAGCACAATAAGAAATCTGTCGCAGACTATCTGACTACAAATTCCTTTTAGACAACTTTTTATTGAAAGCAAAATAACTTCCACTGCCCAAAAACTCATGCAAAACAACGAGTAAGTTAAGTAAATAAAAAATCATGATAAATAAAAGGAAAACTTATATTTTCCTCGTATAATTTATTATCTTTATTTACATGCAACAAGAACATACGGCACAAAACGACAACATATCTGAGAGAAAAGATCTCTTCTCGTGTATTAAATATTCGTCGATGTTTAAGGGCGAACATAAGTTTTATGCTTTCTGTTTCATATATGCTGCACTTTTTTATATTTCTTGAAGAATTCTCTCTAATAAAATATAGTTTTTGTTATTTAAGTAATCTAGTGACAAGTTTATGAGTAGGCATAATACTTATTGAATTTTAAATATTTCCTTATTTCATTTTATTCCCATAAATATTTTCTTGAGAAATAAATGTCAGCTTTCCGTAAAACGGGCTTATTGGATAGTAAAAGTGCAAAAATGCAGCGAGAAAAATTCCCATACAATACCGTTTATGTTACATTTTTCACCATTTGGTGAGCTCCAAGCCATCCACGCTACTTTTTGCTTTCTGTTTCTCTCACTCGCGAGCCAACGATGTATGTTACGTTCATACTTATGTTGAAAAATTATAAGGCACGATTTTTCTTGAGAAAAAGTTCTTCGACAACAAACGCTTTTTGATTTTAATATTGAACTACATTGGAAAACAGAGACATAAAAACAATTTCGGAAATGTTAAACAACAAGTTCTCAGGTTTTGTTTTCTCCTCATCCAACTCGGCGTAGATTTTTGTTGAAATCTCAAACATAAATTGTAATTGAAAAGAAATGAACAAGAGAAACAAAAAATATTATAAATAATAATTTTTTCACCTTTATGAAGGGGGAAAACAGATTTTGTTATTTTCTGGGAGAGTTTTATTACTTTAACACGCTGCCACGATTGTTGAATTCTCGCTTCATCTTCTCATCTTCCCTTTCAAGAGACTTTGTAGGTGGAAGAAGAACGAAAATGAATGAATCATGTTCTGTGGATGAGCCAATGAAACGACGTTAAGATATATCAGCATTTTGTTTCCATTTAAAGTTTCAATTCTCAACCATGTTTGCGTTTCTAAATTAGTTAAATTCGACTGTTTAACTTTATTTTTACTTAATTACAGAAACTTTACTTTATATTCATTTATTGATTTCACCCTCGAGGGTCAAGCAACATCATTGAGTTATTTTGCACACAAAAACAATGTTTAGAAGCAGAAACGGAAACATAAAAATAAATTTTCCCATTGATGTTGACAGTTCCCTTCTTATTTAAGGTAAATGATTTGCCCTAAATTATAACTTTTGCGTAAATATTTATTTACATTGCTTTCATGTTGAAATCACTGCTGTCAAAAAAGAACTTTTCATGAGGTCAAGGTGCACGTTAAATCTTATAATAAATGGTTCTGTTTCATCAAAATATTTTGCCATTAACTTGCTTGATATGAAATCGAACGACGTAAAATGTTTTCAGAAGAATAAATTTTCTTGAATCAATAAAATTTGGATAATATTCGAATATAGTTCAAACATTTTGCAGGTGCTTTAAACAACTTTAAATAGTCTACTTAAGCATATCAAATATACGTGACAGTTTTAACTAATAAGTGACATAATAGATTATAATGAATTGTTTTTATTCCAGAAAACAAGCAAATGAACGTGTAGGGAAACAAGTTTAAATGATAAATTTACACTTGAATTACGCACGCTATCAATTCGATGTAAACATATTTTTTGTTGCTTTTCTCAGACTATCGAATTTCATTTATGACCGAAATCAAATTCTTGAACAAACAGCACCAAACACACAAACATTCTTGCTTCTGAATACATTCTTGTTTTCCGCAACACAAAACGGTTTAATCATTTGTAAGAGATGAAAAGGAATTGAAATTGAATACTTTTTCTTCAGGTTAATTCTGGAACGTAACTACACCGCAATAGTCTGATGTTGATATATCAATACACGTTATTGTGCAATATGCTGGTATATATGCTGGCAATTTCAAATTAAAAATATTCAAAGATAAATGCAAAAAAATGTGAATAAAGCTTTTTGTCTTGTGCATGATGTAAAGGTATCTCCAACTAATAGAAACAATCACATCAGATGTCAGTAAACTTTAATTTGCGATTTGATTTGTAAAAGGCGAAATATTTCTGTGAATTGTGGCATCAAACACAGCAACGAATATGGCAAGATGATCAAATGACCTACAGACAGTTTAGGTTGTTGTTGTGCACGATATACAAGCTCTGTTGTCTTATTTGTGTTTTATAAATTTGAATATAAAACGCATGAGAATCATCAAGAAATCATACAATACGTTACATGTGTAGAATCCGAGAGAACAGAAGAAATCGAAAATAAAAACATTTTCTGTATTGTGCAAAGGATGGATGACCCTAAAGCAAATTTGATTTTATACAAAACATCTTCATGTACTGTCATAACTATCTCGATCCTATCTCGCTTTATTCAAAAATTCTTCTCGATCATATAAAATAAATATTTTTCATGTTTAAAAAATTGTTTTTATCACAAACTAAATGGCTACATATTTTCTTGACATATAACATGATATTATTATTGTTATTGTTATTTTTTAATCATTTTATTTTCACGTCTTTAATTTTTAATAAATCTGAACGATATTCATGAATTGTTAGTAAGAAACGAAAGACGAAGAGAAAAGAAATCACGCCTGAAATTTACATAAGTTTTACTGACAGTTTGAAGCTTTTAATCTACTTGATGTTAAGTTCAAGAAAAAGTAATAGTAAATAGACATCTTTCATTGTTATGGCTAAATAAATTTATTAGGTGTTTGTTAATCGTACATCATTGATTTGTTAAAATAAAAGTCAAGTCGTCTTGTACTTGCTTTCTTCTTGATATTTAATATGTGATAAACCATTCAATAAATTTAAAATGGATTTTAAATAAAAGTTTCAATTTACGTATTTATTTTCCCATTTCCCGTCATATGAAGAACGTTTTACATAAATAATGTAAGTGAAGTAGTTGGAAATGTGAATAATGAGAAAATATGCTTTTCTCTTAATGTTAATTTATTGAATTTCTTTTCTCCTTTGTCGTCATTTCTTTAATGTTTAAGGAACAAAAGACGAGGATCGTTTACGGTCACCGTGCAGAAAATTGAGAAGAAGTTTATGACAACACCTGTCTAGGGTATCATGGTCCATATTCATTTCATGAAGTCTCTAAAGATTTTTATTAACTTTGCTGATCACATTTAACAACACGAAATGCAACCGCAAGATTTTCGCAATAAAATGGCTTTCCGAAGGTTGATTTAAAATAAAACTTCATATAATTAGCAATTTGAATTGTATTTCATAATTCAATCTTAATAACGTCTCAAATTTCTCATCTTTATGCATTGTTTTGACTTCAAAATATTGTTCTTTTGTTTCACGACAGTAAATTTAACAAAAAAAGAATTAACCATAAGGAATGTCAAGCAACCATTAGACTGTTGTTGTCTTACGTCTGTCCCACGAAAGATGCCCAAGAATGAAAACAAGAAACAAATAAAGACACGAAAAATACAAAGAACATTAAACCTACTCGAACAATAATAAAATTATTATTATTTTATTATTTGAAACAGCAATAAATTCATAAATTAATTTCGTTGTACACACGAAGAGAGATACAACCGAACGAGCTTTGAAAATTTATATGGGAACTTGTTCTGTTTTTGGTGCGTTTTATCCCTTGGGGCAAATTTGTGGCAGCTTTTTATTATGCATATTAAAGTTTAGTGTGCGATTTGAGATTTATGGTTTCGTTTTCACTTTTGGAGAATTTTCTGAGGTGAAACTGCTGCAAGGAATTTGTTATCGAGAATCTACTTCAGATATTTAAATAATAGAAGAAAAAAAAATGAAACTTAAACCTTGGCAACGAATTCAGTCGTAGATTTGCAGACTTCCAACTAGATAATTCTTTCAAAATTAAAAATTGTCGAGAACCATTTGACAAATTCATCATTTGATGAAAACTGTAAGGTAAAGGTGTTCTTTTTCCATTTCAACCCTCATCGTTTCACTCTGAGTTTGCCGATAATCTTCTCGCCATTATGTTTTTATTTTCTATGATGTTATTAATAATGATTCGACTCATATATTATATCAAATAGATTAGTATCATCCATTGCCCTAAATAATTATTCATTTCATCCCCTACTCAAATGCCCGTCCTCCCCTATCTTCACTTCTCTATCAGTTTGAAGCCTGAATCAAAAGTATTTACAGAAATAAAAGAATACACACAAAAGTGTTAAAAAGCGTGAAATAAATATGAAGATATATTTGTTTTCATGGTAGGGTGAGCTTACAATAATCCTTCGAACGGTTTAAAAATGGATGGGCGCGTTTTATTTGAAAAAGTTTATGTTCTCTTTCAACCATTTTCTAAAAAAAAGGATTTCAAAGCAATTTTTTGCATAATATTTCAATTACTGGGAGAGAGAAAAAATCAGACAAGAGAAAATCGCAGTAATAACAACAAGTTAAGCGTTCAAGTTTTCAACATAGAAGCTTTTATTTTTGTCTTTTAAACAAAGTCGAGCGATTTCACTCTCATTGAAGATCATTGAAGTTAAAAGATAAGCAAAGTTTTCTTTTTTGTCAGTAAGTTAAAAAAGAAATGACTTACATAGGAAAGATTACTGCTCTTGTTACACATTTATAAAGTAAGTCAATAAAACAGCTTCACAGATTCACAATCTTATATCTTCTTTCATGAATAAATTATCCATTTTGTAGCATTTTTTAACAATTTCGCAAGGATTTACATCAGAGGTAAAAAAAATATTCTAGATGAAGGGAACATGCAGTCTTCGTTCTCTCGGTAAAGTCACGACCTAATAAACACATAAGCGTTCATGAGAATTATTAGTACTTTACATCGAAAACAAAAGGCAAAAGGTACGAAACGAGAAGGGGAATTTCAGAGAGTCTCTTGAATTATCCCGACAGATCGAGCATCCTTTCTAGCAGCTTAGTTCTTTTTTCATTTACAGAAGAAACATTGAATAATAAAACTGTTTGGTATTATTTGGTGAAAGACCGATTATAATAAAAATAAATGAAGCATTTCCAAACATACTTCAGCAGCTAGATATATTTTGTGTCAATGTTTTCACTTGGTTTAAAATAAAATCATCCTTTGATGTTGCAAAGGGAATTCAAAGCAGCAGTGGCAACTCTAATACCGAAAATTATTTCATTCACACTCCCAAAATGTTCACAAAAGACGACTGACGACTGTATTAAGGAAGGATTAAGTTCATATTTTTATGCCCTTAATGTGTCAACTATTATCATCTCTATTTTGATGACAGCTAAGAATGAAATATTTAGTTCAGCGATGCAACATATTTATGTAGTAAATAAGAGAATTGCATATTCTGGAACTGTAAGACCATTTCAAGATTTTCTTCTGCTCGTGAATTCCAAATTCAAGCAAAATTCCAATTGACCATTGGACCATTTAAAGAATGTTTCTATTTTTATTGCAAAAGGTTGAACGGTCAAGAAAGAGCGAAACAAAATGCCAAACCAAAAGATGCGCATAAATTATCTAAAAAAATACTTTTTGAGTTTTCGTAAAACATATTATTTCAAATTCACAGCAAATGTTGCCATTCATATGGAGAGTGAGTGAGAAAAAAGTATTTATTGAGTGCCATATAAAATTTTATGCTGTTATTTATGATTTTATTGAGCATTCATTCTAGTAGATGGGGAAAAGGAGAAGCATATAAAGTCAATTTCTCGAAGGAAAATTATGTTTTATTTATTTACTATTTCTGTGAATCATAAAATTCAATGAGTGAAGCTAAGATTTCTATGGAATAGCAACCGAAGTTGCTTCTACACACAAAGCTACTGGTCATTAAATTGAGCTTGTTTCTCTCTATAAACAGAATGCAAAAGTCAATAAAAATATTTATTTCGGGGGAAAGTGTTTTATAGCGGGGGAGAGAAGAAGTTAACTGACAGTTTCTTATGATCTTCTTTACAGCAATGACACTCTGAACGGGTACAAGATTGATTAATCTAACATTGATTACAAACCAGTGAAGCCTTGAAAGGAGAATTGAATTATACAAACAACTCAATTAATCTAATAACCGTGCATAATTTTTTAATAACTTAAACATGAGCCTTGAATCTTCACTTCCATCTTCCATCTCTGCACTTAACATTTCAGGTGTTATTGAAATATTTTGTACTTTCAAAAATTGTTCTCTCTTTCTTCACGAGAAGTCTTAACAGCCGTCATATTTCTTATTTTACTTTTCTTGCTTTGTTTCTTGGGTCTCGTGTTTTTCGTTTTTAAAGGTTATTCAACAGCAGAAGAGGAAAAAATCCAATTCTTTTCAACATGCGTTTCAGAGTCCGGGGCGAGTATAACATATACCTGATTTTTCGTGGAATTTCAATGTTAACAGCAAAGAAACAGAGGAAAAAATATGTTTCTGCATAATTTTTAAACTTTTTTTTGTTTTTTCTTTCCGTGTGTTGTTGCTAGTTAAGTTTATTTGAGAAAAACTTCCCCAAGAATTTTTTTTCCTTTTTTTGATCAAAAGTTTCTTTGACATCTTTTCTAGATTGTCAAGAAATTATTGAATTTTAATTCAAATTTAGAACTGTGTCTGTGAATGTTGAGAATAAAAAAACGGACTGATTTTTATGGGCATATAATTATCACTGTGATAAAATATTGTCCATTAATGATGAGTTATTTGATTCCAAAGGTAAAATTTATTTCATTTTGAGATCATCCAGAAACCCCAAAAAAGATTTCAAATCTTTCTTCTTTTATGCAATTTTTTATCTTAAAAGTAGAAAATCTTTGTTGATACTTCAACTCGAAGCATGAATTACGAAGAGTGTTCTAATCGCAAAAAGTCTTTACCGCATTTTTATTGTGTGCTTTCTCAAGTGGTTGTAAAGAGATCTTTTTTGCTGTTTGCAACAATAACACAAACATAAGTAAAAGAAATGAAGAATTGAAAGAATTTTAGACATTTGTAATCCTCCAAGATAATCCATAAGTCGTTTACACATGGGTGGAAAGGATCTGTTTAGGTAAACTACTGATCCTGCATCTCGTGCAACAAAGTACTTTTGTTGTCGGTTTAAAATCTTCAATGTTTGCAGATTAATTTAATAAGTGCCAATCTTGAATCTTATCTTTCTTCAATCTGAAGCAAGAAGTTCTCTTTGTAAGACTTCAAGTTGAATTAAGTCGAGAACTTGAGCAGCAATAAAGATTTAAAATCTCATGATAAGTCTTGAAAAAGTTAATTATTTAATTTCTTTTTGTTATGCTTCTCAGCGAAAAATCTTGATGGGGCCGTTTCTCAACTTTGTCTTCTTCAATTTTTCATACTCGCTACGCGTATTAATGACACAATACAAATGATTTTTCATGTAATAAAAATACAATTTTCCTATTCATTTATCATTTTCTGCCCGTTCATTGTGCGGTGCTTGGCTTGTGTGTCTCTCTCACAACAACGAAAATTTATTTTTTTATTCCTTTATTCACTTTAATAAAAATGATTCGAACTTTTTTACTATAAAAAATCAATTGAATGCAGTCGAGGATGGTGCGAGAAACATTTTTCAAACACAACACAAGCACATCATATTTATATAAAGCAAAAGAATATCATCTGTTGTGTTTTATTATTCAATAATTTATTTATCATGAGTCCCGTGATATAAACAACAATAAGGCTTGAACAATAACAATTGAGAGTCATTTTTAAAAAAGACCCTGAAGGTTTATGAAGGAAGATTGTGTGATCCTTACGAATCTGTTCAGACATAATGAATACAATTTCAAGAAATATCATTTGTGGATTATTTTAATAAATGAACGATTTGAAACACCTTTTGATGATTAAAAGTTTCTTACAAAAGAAGAAATTCACGGCGTTCCCATAATATTTTCTACAACCCCTAAAAGAAAACAATTCCGCTATTCCATGACGTTGTTTCATTCTTTTGAATTTCCACTTTTTGTGGGAGTTCATTTTTTAACACTTAAAATGCTTCGTTTCCCAGATATTAACATGATCTCCCCCTTTTCTCTATGCTCTGAATAATAATCCCGTAAAAAACGGAAAGATAGTTGAGGCTTGAAAGAAAAAATAAAACAGCGAAAAGCAAGCAGCAAAATGGTGGAAAATGTCGTGAAAATCATCCAAGCGATGAAACGAAAGGAAGTCGAAAGGAAAGCACTGTGAAGGGACAAAAAAATGTTTCAATTGCCTAAAATGCCATTGCCACTCATCTCACTCCATTTACCACTTTCTTCTTTTTGCTAAAATGACATGAAAATTATATAAAAAAAGAGAAGAAAAAAAACTCCCAAACAGCCACAACCTACCACGCAATTTTCCATATCATCATCATAAGAAAATATTCAAAAAAAAAGATGAAGGAAAATGAAAAAAAAGCGAAGAAAATATAATAAGAAAAATTTCCTCCTCATTTCCTTCTTCTCTAGCTTTTTCTTTTCCCCCGCACATTTGAAAGAATGTCAAAAGCAGGCTTTCTGCTGACTCCAACACAAATGACATATTTCTTGGATCTATAGCGAAGAAAAAAAGAGAAGAAGAAGCCAACGAGAAGGATAAGAGATTTGAAGAAAATATCAAAACCATTATATTCGTATTTAAATGGAATAACAAGCCTCATTGTTTATCCTGCAATGTGCGTTGTTCCGCAATTGTCGTTGTGTGTGTTCAATGGAAGGTCGTGAAGCAAGAAAAGAGAAATCTTAATGTTCAGTTACAATAGATAAAAAGCATTTTCTTTTTCATTATATCTTCTAGATGGCTATTTTCTGGATATTTGTGGGGTTAAGAATAAGTTAGGTAGATTTGCCTGAAGTCGTTTAACAAATCCTTAAAAATGTCCAAGATTTTGCATTAGTTGTGTCGTAACTTTCATTTTTTCCTTTTACTTAAAATTCTCCTTTTTGAAAATTCTTGAAAAAAAGAAATTCTTTATGGGAAATAAATGAAATATAGCCTGAAGATGTGACTAATAGTTTTTATGTTTCCAGCGTCTGTTTCGTCTCCTTCTGCTGAACAATAGAATGGCACATTACAGAATGGTTCTATGGTAGAATGAATTCTTTGGTACTTATCTTCCATGGACTTATTCTGTGAGTGTGTATGCACTTACATAATAGTTGTTTAATAGCGAGAAACTAGTTCTTGTTGAATCTTTAGAAATTTTAGGAGCCAAGGACAATTATGAAATCTTAAGGGAAAAAAGCAAAAAATCTCTTCAAGGATGCGTATATGAAAAAAAAGAAGAACTGTTGACAGAAGCTAATAAAAGAAACTGTTTGAGACCTCTTCATTGAATGAGTGCTTCATTCAACTGGAAGCATTTAAGAGAATGAAACAGTTTTTTAAAAAAGAAATTAAAAGGAAGGATTATTGATTAATTTCTATTCCACAATGGCACGAAGTATAACTCATCACAGAACGGTGAGATGTTGTGCCACACAAAGAACCTTCATGACATGATATAAAACAAGCAAAAAACGAAATAAGAAAAGAAATGTTTTCGCAGGCGGTTTTACGGGAATCTGTAATTTAACAATTATTTTCACAGCACGCCCATTTCTCGAGCAAAATTGAGAGCACAAATTAAATATCTCTTCAGCTACTGTTTAAATGATTTTTCCTTGTGTTTTAAACAAGCAGAGCATTTTGTGTGCCATTTAAATAATCATCGAATGCCCTCAAGAGCTTTGTTCAACAGTAGATTATGTGAAGGAAGGAAAGGAAGGGAAACAAGTTAATTGATTTCTTTCTTTTTCATCGTGTTGCATTCAACTTCGGTTGTTGCAATTTGCGCTTTTTCTTAACGCCTACTCGCACCGCCTTCTCTTAAGTTTTTCTCGTCTTTCTTCTTCACGATAATTTTGCAAACATATGAGTCAATTACAAATATGGTTTCTTCATGTTGTCTAAGTTTGAATATTTTCCAATCGATTGATTAATGTCATCCACCATTATTGGAAAGAAATATTAATTCTTCATGTACATGTTGTGCAGAATTGTGATGAAGAATCAATCAGCCCAATAAGGTAAAATGTTAAATGAGACAAGAACAAAGTTTGATCTTTGATATTTTACAATTAATCTACATAAATTAACATGGTGCTTTATTTCAACGCTTTGAAATGTTTCAGCATTGATATCAGTTTTCACGATGTTGTCATTAACACACCATACGGAAGGTGTCAAAGATATCATTTAAGTGCTGCAACTTTATTGACAGATTTAAAATTTTTAATATCGCAAGTCTCCTACTGATAGCCGCAGTCTCCCTTTTCATAGGTAGCAAACACTTAAATCGCGAATTGAAACCACTTTAAGTCAAGTGTGAAAATATTATCCTTTGATGTGTGTCGAAAAATTATGTAAAAAAGAATCTTTTCTAAATTTGTTCTAAGATTTTAATTCATTCCAACTCGACTGCCATCGTCGCTTCAAACGCCATTTTTCATCTGTTTTCTTTCATTCGTTTGCATTTTTAATTTCATTTGACATGGGTGGGAAAAGCGTTATTTTTAAGTTGAAGAAAATAATGATTACCAAAGTTGGAGTTCTTGGAACTTCACCTTTTTGGATCTTTGTCTTCTTTTCTTTCGAGCCAACTTTCTGTCGACGTTTCTAAATAATGGCGAATAAATTAAGAATCTTTATTTTTCATTCCTTTTAACTACGACACTTTTTGCTTATGAAAAATAGGTTTGAAATCTTGAAATTTTTCAAGGATAAATGGACGTTTAAATGTCATATTTGGTCTGATTTAACATGAACTAAAAAAATATTAAATTCCAAATTTCTCACCCGCAACACAAAATGTTAACATCACTAATTGTGCATGAAAGTCATCTACATTTTAATGACCAATTAGAGCTATGAGCTGTAAAGCTTTTAATAGTAAATGAGATGTTCTCCCTTTCAAAGAACATAAAGCAAGTGTTAAATGCTCCAACTTAATGAGTAATTTGCTGCAAAAATCCCTTTTTAATGTAAATTTCTTAGCAAACATTTCCAACTTCCTTTTGTTTCATCTATTAAACGACTCAGCTATTTTGAAAGGAATCTCGACAAGCGCTAATTGAAAAGCATAAATTTTCATTATGCGACTCGACATGATGCTGACGGAAATTCAATAGTGCGACACATGCCAAAGTTGATCACTTTTAGTTTAACCTTTCTTGTATGGCGTGTGTCTCTATTGCGGTAGAAAAATATCATTCGAAAAATTAGAAAATACTTGAAAAAATATGTCAAAAATCAATTAGGCAATTAAAGAAAACTTTAGCTTTGTCTTACAAGTGTAAATATTTACACATTCTTGAATAACATGACACAATCTGCCGCAATCCGATACAAGACACGATAATTTTCCATCAAACTTTTCTCGTGTTGTTAAACATTTCTCAAATGACTTTCAAAACATTTTTTTATCTCTTTTATTTTTAGATATTTCAACTCTCGGGGTTTTTAAACATCTGGAAGTTCTGAAGTTCTATGAAACATTCTTTCGCTTCAAAAAGATTGAAGAAACACGGAAAGGTAGAAAATTCTAAATAAAAAACAATATTCGGATATTTTTTAATTAAATAGATAGTTGATAAAGTCTGTTCAGCATCGTAAAAACTCTTTTTATGATGATGAAGGAAGGAAACTTTTTCCATCACATCAGAGTCTTTAACTAGTTTCTCAATAATTAAGGTAAAACGTGGAATTTAATCAAAGGGTTAAAACATTTAATAAATTATATTATGATTAATAGATTATTTGTGGGATTTATTCGAGTGTAACAAATTTAATTTGATCAATATTTATCTTTATTTCTGTAATGAATATGCTTGAAATGAAATCAACTAAATGAGATAATCAAGTTACGATGATTCAAACTCAATTGTCATCAAATAACATTTTTTGAGGGTTGTATCGTGAGTGAAATTGATTTTCTCCGGGCGACATTTTAAGAATAGTTCATGATGATTTAGGTTTGACTTGAATGATAAAAGGGATGAGAGGCGTATTGCGCATTGCGACTAAGTAAATGATTAAACAACACATTACACATTGAGCATTCCAATTACAAACAAAAGCCAAGCGTACGCCACACTCTGTTAATTTGATTACACAAGGATCTTCAATTTCTATTATTTTTGTTCATTTCTTTTCACCGCATTCATCTTTTAGATGAATGGAAGTCAAATGAGAGAAGTGGCACTCATCAAAGGAAGAAAGAATTTTCAAGGGGCATAAGGTTTTACCTCACAGTCGATATGGTAAATTAAGAATGATTTCAAGTGCTGCAATTAGCAGCGTGTTTATTATCAAACAACAATCAATGACTTAATTTATTTACGTTCAGATCGTCAGATTGCCGTAAATCTATTTAGAAACACGTGTCAAGTGATTTTTTTGAATTTCTCGTGCTTCACACAAATTAAAGATTTTTCAAACTTCTTCCTTCGTAAGAAAGCAAAGTAAAGATTCAAGAAAAGAAATCTTCTCGATGGAAGCCTCGTGATGAGATTTTAATTTGTTTATTCAGGCTTCGTTTCTTTCTAGATTTATATGTTTTAAAGTGTATCGAATTCTCATCCAAACAACACCGAAAGATGATTGCAGTTCATTGATTTCAACTTTCGAACTGAAAAATGAGTGTGAAAAACATCACAAATTTATCTTTCATGCTTAATGTTTATTATGTAAATAGAACTTTTCTTCTGTTGTATAACGAGATGTGTTGATGAGAAATGTTGAATCATTTCTAATCGCTTCATCTAATTTATATGAGAGAAAATCCAGAGAAAATTCAGTGAAAAAAATATTTCTCGTTCTCTCCCACAAAACTTGACATTTTAATTAATTTTTTTCTTCGCTCCTTCATTCATTCTTCACCTATCGCTCTTTGAAATTAAGATTTGTTTTCGTAATCTCGTCTTGATGGATAACTTCTAAATACTCTCGCTCACTCCCCGTTATCCGAAGGTTTTTGTATTTATTTAAAGTGAGTATTGTTTTTAAATATTTTTTTCAATGATTGATTTATTGAATTTTAAACATTTACCATTTTTTTTCTTCTTCGTATTGCTTTTTCGTTGATGTTTTAGAGTTATCATTAAGTTCGACAACAGAGCAAAAGCAAAAAACAGAAACAGACTTCACATCATGTTGGTGAACTTTCAGTTTCGAGAGCTTAATTAATAACAATTCTTTTTTCTGCCTTCCTTTCATCTGCTGGAACTATGTCGAGGATAGCAGAGATTCAATTAATCATTAATCGTCAGATACAATTACCATTCGAGATTCATAATTTCTCAAAAATATCAAAGATTTCGTATGAAGTATGAAATTTCTTTCACATTCATGTGACATCTTTAAATGTACATATTCATAAATTTTCTTTCACAAGAATATTTTTCCTTCTTTTTCTTTTCAATAAATGGAAACGCAATAAAAAATAAAGAAGAAAGAATGAAGTTAAGGAATAACGAAGGCGAGGGTGACAAAAAGTTAAATGTTTTGACAATAAAATTGAACCCGAAGCTGCCGGCAAAATAATAAAAATGTTGAGGGAAAATCTGGAAAATCTCAAAAGCCGTTTTGTGTTGCTGCCACTGCTTTGAATGCAAAAGGAAATCTTGATGGATTCAAGTGAAAATAAATAAGCTTAAAATGGAAAAGTTTGTGAAACTTATAACGATACATTTGACATTGATTCAATAACTTCTTTCTCCACCTCACAACATTTTTTTCTTCTTTCTATTCTTCACATACATTTAAATTCATACATATTCTTGTGAATTCAATAAATCATCATGGGTTAAAGAATCACAAAGTAATCTTCCAAAGTTGCAAACAAAATGACCGACGGTAAAAACAAGATAACAAAAAAGTAGGAAATCATTTTTTGACACTCACCAGTATGTGTGCGTTTGTGAATTTTGAGGTTTTCTGAGCGAGCGAAGACTTTACCGCATGCTGGAAATGGACACGGGAAAGGCTTTTCCCCTGTGTGCACTCTTATATGATTCACCAATTTATATTTCGCTTTGAATGGACGACCGTTGCGTGGACACGCCAACCAGTGGCAGCAATGTGTTGTGATTTCAGGTCCGCCGACATGATCAACTGTCAAATGTGTCACAATCTCTTGCATTGAATTGAAAATCTTATTGCATGTTTTACGGTTGCCGTTTGCACAGATAGGTTGTCCAACTGGATGTGGTGCATCCATTTCAACCCACAAACATTGCATTTCTTGCTTGATAGCTGGTGGATGTCTCATGTAACGGAAAAATGCTCCAGAAGTTCCATGATTCACAGGCAAGTTTGCAAGATTGTGATGATGAACCGACGGATAGTTTGACTGATGATAATGATGTGAATAATCTGGTGTGATGCCCATTCGCATTTGATGCTGATGAAAATGATGATTGGCTAGTGCTGATGGTGGAGCTGGTGCAGTTGATCCAATAGCTGGATGATGATTCAGATTATCATGAATCGATGCATGATGATAAAGTGAAGCATCTGTCGATGGATTTGATTGCGGTGCTGTCGATGAGGCTGAAGTCATGTAATCATTTTCCCTTTTGAAGAGAAAGTCCTTAGCTGTATACGACGAAATCTGGTTGATTTGACCCATGTGAGACGGAGGTGGAATATAATGCGAGGTTGGATATCCAGCATTGCTAACTTGAGCTGCACTCTGATAAGGATTTGTCATATCAGCAAGAGAATTTCCTGGAGCATGTAACATTGGATCATTTGCCAAAGGATTTGACCTCGTATCTCCCTGATTCGGTGACATTTTCAATCCAAAACTCGCTAAATGTGACTGTTGCACAAGTGAACCTGCATCATGATTCGGAGACATTTTAAGACCAAAAGTAGCAAGATGAGAATGTTGCTGAGTCAATGATCCGCCAGTTGCATCATGATTCGGTGACATTTTTAATCCAAACGATGCCAGATGAGAATACGGCGATGAAGAATCCATAAAACTGTTCATCATCATTTTCACAGTTTAATTTTCAATTGTTTTTCTTCACTTTATTGCTACCGGAATAATTCAAATAAAACTCTGATTGTACAATTTTCACGACTTTCGATTCTAAATAATTTTCTTCTCGGTAGTTTCAATTTTTTATTCGTTTTGCGTGTTAAATATTTTATTCAATTAATTTTTTTTCACTAATTACGCAATTTTAAATTAATTTTTACACTTTTTAATTAAATTTGATTTCATTACCTTGAAATTTTATAATTTTACGTCTGTTAATTCACAGATTGATTTTACACTTTTATTGACATTAGATTTCTGTAAAGATTTTTTTTTGTCCACGAAAAATGCGCAATTTTTGTCGAAAAAATTAGTTCAACACGCGATATTTGCCTACAAAAATGTTATTTTTATTTAAAACTTTTTTTAAGATTCATCGTCTTGAATTTAAGTTAACTTTTTAAACTAAAACTTGCTAGCGCAAGAAAAAAATATCAGCATGCTCTACGGATCAACGACATACGCAGCGGGAATACAACTAACGACTAAACTCTGAAAAATTCTATCAAGATTGACCCCGGCTTCTCAACAGGAATCAGTTTGGTTCATAGTGAGCGATGGTAGTGTGCTGTACGGTTCGAAACAAGCAAATCATATGAAAGTTTCCTCCCCCTTACACTATAAGAAAACGAGAGATCCATGCCATCTCTTTCAATGTTCATTGGAGTGAAAGAGACGGAAATAATAGCGATGAGAAATTCTCTCTCAGCTGAGAAACATGCGTGGATATCGTGAAATGAAAGATATTTAGTGAGTACAATAAATCCATTGATAAGACTCATGCCGTGTCACAAATTCGTGAAAACTTTTCATTCATTACCTTCCATAAGAATTATAACTAATTCAATTTTTGTTTCTAAACAGCAACAATTGTAAATGATTTTTTCGCTTGTAAAAATCATCTGACATCCGACAAGCAGCAATCTTATTAGACTAATCTCATCATACAAAAGTCAAGAATGAAGCGACAAAAGTGTGAAGAGATAAAATTTGTCAAAGGCGCTTTTAATAACAAAAAATTTTTATTTTTGCAATCGCTGCTGGGCGTCTTTATAATGTCACACTTTTAGATCTCAATTTATCATTTAATTTATATTAGATATCATGTAAACATGTCTTTATTTATTTTGTTGTTATTTTTGGTATTCATGTGAATAAATAACTTCGCTTCGTTTATAATCTGAACTTGAATTACAACAAAGTATCGCTATTAATGTTTGTAAATAAACATTTGCATAAAACTTCAATTACATTCAATATTTTTACGATATTCTTAATCCAATTAATTCAGTGTTTCAACCGTAATTTGACATATTTATATTGCTTTTGTGTGTTTTTATAGAGAATGTTTAAATTATGTATAAAATTTCTTCTCTAGCTCTCAGCTCCAATTATTTGCCATCGCCATAAGCCACGAGAGCTCAAGCATAATATGACATCGTTATTTTTCAGCTCTACTTTAATAGGCTGATTAAACGAGATCGTAAAAATAAATTGTCAGTTGTTAAAAGAGCGGATAGCGATAGGTATTATCGTCAGTAATATTGATGTCAGGCGTTGTTGAAATAGGCAAAACTGCTGAATATTTTAACGATTTGAATTTCTCAAACATTTTTATGTTCACCGAAACAGAAATCGAGGAGTGAAAAGGGAGAAATTATTAAAACTAATATCAATATTATTTATCGTCTAGGCATGTGTCAGCGCCTTAAAGTGGTTAAAGGTGGAATGGCGATAAAAAGACGTCCCGGGATCACGGCAGTAAATTCTTAATGGGCATAAAAGACAAAAGAGAAAAATTAATGAAAACACCTTGCGTTGTAGATTTGCTCGTTCTTAATCACGAGTTTCGACTTTCGGCGTTTATGAGCAGTCAAAAGACCGAATATTGGTAATTTGATAACAATTTATTTGTTTGAGTTATTTTTATGCAAATCAGACACACTTAATTGTTCATTCGTTTAATCGAGTTTGAAGAACATTTTGTTGTTGTTAAAGAGAAATATTTTTTTTGTTGAGCTTCAATGGGTTTCTATCTTGTTTGAAAGAAGAAGAAGCGAATCTTTTGATGAAACAAGACAGAAGATTGTTGGTGAAAGGGACAGCTCTACATCTCAATATTCACCAACACTACTTTAAAATCAACTGAACGTACATTGGCTGGTTGCTGAGTTGTTACACAACACTTTACCCGATCAACGATCCGAAGCGAAGCAAAGAAAAATGGGCGAGTCTTAAAAAACTAAACAACAACGCAAGCGTTTTCGTATGATTTTCCTTAAATATTTTCAAGACATGATAGAAAATATATTTTGTGTTAACAGTTATTTTATGCTTCTGAGAATTTTATCTTAGGTAATGAATATAATTGAGCAGGTCAGAAAAACAAATACCATAATTAAACAATAAAAAGAGCTTAAGAGTTTTACGTTGACATTAACTTCTTAATATTCTTTGGTTAATCCTTGTCAAAAGCAAAAGTCAAACTTTGTGTCAAGGAATTCTCCTCAAAGAAATCCCATAAAGTAATAAAAGATTCAACCCTTTCGTTCAGGGGCTGTAGGTGTTGCGTGCCTTGAAAAAAGAAGGTATTGACACTTCTATGGAATTTACAACATTCACAGATATTTTAGTTTCTTGTAACTTTTGTTATGCTATCCTTGAAGTTACGTTTCTCAACAAATTTAAATATTCAGCTTTCATCCTTTGGATTATCCTTTGCAATCTCATTTACTTGAACGGATTTAAGTTTTTATGACAAGTTTAAGAATAACCAAACGGTTGCTATCTTCATGATGTCAAGAATAAAACTCTTTTTCCTTTTCCACTAAAATCATTGCATAAGTCACAAAATTGATTTTACAATAAGAAATCAAGAAATGATAAATTAAAATCTTCAACTTATTGAAATTGTGAAGTCTGTTTTGATGAATGTGACATAAGAAGCTGTTCAGAATGCATTTTCAGGGCTTTGGTTGAAAGTAAAAACTTCTCAAAGAAATGAAATCGAAATAATCATTCCTAAATATCTGAAAACGATTTTATTCAAGCTTTGTGAATTGGTGTAATAAAAGGCAATAATGCGATCGAGTCTTTATTGTAAAATATGAGAAAGTAAGGAAAAAAAGTACGCAGCTCAATATGTGGAAAATATTGATGATCAGAGCACAGCGGTCGATTAAATGTTTTACATTTAACCAAAAAAAAAAGAAAAGAACGAAGTTTATTTATTTATTTATTTACTCTTTGCAATGACTCTACTGTTCGCTGATACTGATTTTCAGTTGCATTTTCTTTCATTCCTGAGAAGTTCTTCAGCAGCACAGGGATGAAATATTAATTTATTTCTTATGTTTCTTTTACTCTCCCCAGACCATAATTCATGTCATTTCGATTGCCAAAGCATAACGAAGTAAAAAGCAACTCATAATAGTTTTTACACGATCCAAATGGATCCCTTGCGGGATGTGCATGTGCGTAAGTAACAAAGTTAATGGCAACTTGTACTGAGACTATGTGAAAACATTTTACGAAATCGATAAATGTCATTAAATCAAAACAATTTCCAGGCTTGATTAAGTAGCATGGGTGGTAGAGGACATCAATCAACATGTGCCAAGTGAACCAGTTGTGGCCTACAAATTAAATTTACACGTTTTTCTTATTAATTGAACGCTCAGTGTATGCTCCAGAAAGGCGTCTCATTTAGCGATTACATTAAGAAGAAGAAAGCAAAAACATTCAAATTCCAGAAATTCCACAACCGAGACACGAACTTTCGTGGTTCCAACAACTGACTCCATTAATTTATCATCGATTTCCAGTTCTACAGTCTGAAAATTAAATCATTTATTCATGACGTACAGCAAAAAAAAGCATCGAAAAAATATGAAAAAAGTTTTATTCTTCAAATTGTACAAATGATGAACATAATAATGTGGATTTCAAGTTTAAAATTCTTTGCTTTAATTTCGGGAGGTATTTTTAATTTATTAGTTCGATCATCTGTGTAGCGAGCGAAATGAAAAAGGAATAGAACCGAAATCACGCGTTGATCATGCAAACATGTAATATTTAAATTATGAAATATGAGGCGATCAAGAGACTAGATTGAATTATTTAAAAAAAAATGCTTAAGCTGATCGAGGGAATAATTGGCTTTAGAATGAAGTCTGGGTTTAGTCTGAGAAGATTTTTAAATGTCTCTTAAGCATCGAAACATTTCAAAACACAAAAATCAAATCGCCATTGCCATATTTCTGTCATAAAAAATTATTTAAAAAAATCTCATCATCAACAATATTTCCGTTCTCAGACTTGTTTTCATCTTCCAACAATCATTCGAAAATTTATTAAAAAATATTATGAATAAAAGAAAACAATTTTTGACACAAAGCAAAAGGAAAGACGAGAAAACGAAAGATAAAGTAAGAAACTAAACATCGACTGAAATTAATAAACTAATGTTATTCATTAGCATTACGAGTGAAATTTATTTAGATAGACTAAAAGAAAAGAAAAACATCAGCGTTTGGTGGAAGTTTTTGTAGGAAAAATTGATGTTAATTAATTACTGTTTAATGTTCTGCCATTTGTTTTCGTTTGTTTGAAATTCATTACGGGGGCCAAGCTGAGCTCCCTCGAATCTCTAATCGATATGATTAAGCGGCCATACGCATTTGTTTACAATTTCATTAAATTCATGGTGATTTCAGGTCACGACACCAATAAGTGGTTAAGGAGTGAGAACTTTCAGAAGTTTCCCAGCATTGAAATCCAATTTTCGTATGTGGCTTAATCTCATCCAATTAATCATATTTCTTTTCATTTCTTTCTTTTACGTTGTACAAACAGTAATAAATTTATGTCCAACGATTACATAAATTAGGCACTCAAAGCAGGACAACAAACAAGATAAACCAGCATAAGATGAGCCAATTTAAAGCTAGCGGGATAAGCCAATTATGTCTGAGAAGCAAGAATTGAAAACACCTTTTTGTCCTTTATGACCGCAGCTAGCGCGACAAATTGAATTGTCCTTCCTAGTGAAACTGTGACATTATGATGTGTGCTCCACTGCGGGGAGCACCAGCAGACCCTTAAAACTAATTCTTTTCCAGCTTTGATAATTCTCCAATATTCAATAAAATTATTACGATCATTCTCTTTATCTCCTTTATTTTATTTTATTTCTTGTTTTATATTTTTTGTATTTGTCTTTACAATGAAAATCCTTGGGATCGATTGTGACGATGACTGCTTTTACGAGTACACAACACACACATCATGCACGATTGTGTGTCCATAATCATATTTTTCATACCCAAAAACCACGATTATTCTTCTCTTTTCTGTGGCTTTTTATGACTGTTTGTTTACGACGAGAGACAAGAAATAAAATGAAGAGAATTTAATTTATGGTACGAATCCTCCCCGCGGCTCCATAATTCATCAATAACTTTTTTTTAATCATTTCAGTTCTGCTTAAGTTTCCATCAAACATCACCCAGTCAAGAATAATTTTAGAACTGATTCAAGGCTTAACATACTCAACAGAGAGAACTTTTTTACCTTTCTGGGAAAATCAAGTATTGCAAGTATCAATTCATCAGACGAAATCACTCTTGTTTAAAACACGAGATGAGGAAAAAAAACGAAAAGAATTTTATTCAATTAAAGACTTGATCTCGTGATTGATTCGTTTTGTATCCATACCCGTGTCGTATAAAAACGTTTAGCGAGCAAAAGAACTTCTTAGGCGCATTTGAGTATCATCATAAGCTTCACAGACACAAAAGACCACGACAAACGATAAATTGGAATAATCTTCTTACGAGAATTTGCATTACAATGCAACACAACATTGAGTGCTTAATTTGGAACTTTTCAATAATATCGTCGTTAAGAGGTGAAGCGATCGATGAAAGACAACAAAAGCTTTTATCGGCATTATCATCAGTTTTTTATGAAGTGATAACGTAAAGTAACTTTGTATTTCAATTTTGATTTTGTTTCATAGTTTGCAGTTTTGTTGTGCTCGAATTCATGTCGAATTTACTATAAAGCTCTTAAAAACATTAAGTTTATTCATAAAAGTTACAAATAAAAATGGTATGCGATCGTCTGGTTGATCAATTAAGGCAAATCATTAATTCAGTAACTGAATACCTCAAAAGGCACACGACGTTAACAACCCCAAAAACCATACTTGATTTCCGACTCATAACTTTGTCAAAAGTGTCATTGAAGATCGCGATATGAGAAATTGAGAAATGATACGATAAACGCTTGCGATCTGAAGACGAAAGAAAAAAATTCTCGAATATAAATCAAGAAAGAATTTTCCCTTTTTTTTTGTCTCGAAGCATTCTTAAATGGAAGAAAACAAAACAAAACAAAAACTTAAATATTTTATAGTTTTTATTCAAATATGATGGACATATTTTATTGAAAACAAAACCGAGAAAGAAAAGAGGTAAAAAATTATGAATGTGTTTTAAATAAAATAGTCATAAAAAAGTTTAAAGAAATATCGTTTATTAAGAATACTTTTTTTTTGTTTCTAAAGCATCTTGCGGGGACACTTTTTATGTATCACACATGAAAGCACGACAACGACAGAAATTTATTAAATGACATGGAGAATTATGAAGCTAATAATAAAATTAGAAGACCTCGATCTTGATGTTTCATGGATTTACGATTTCTTAGCCAGACACTCGAGAAAGACGTTAAATATATCTTACATTTTTAATTAAATAGTCATTTGCATAAAGAGTTGATAATTTAAGTCATTTTATTGCGTAATTATTAATGTGAGATATTAATTTATTCAACGTTCAATTAAATATTGATTCGGTGAGATTAGAAATATCTCCTGATAAAATATAAAATATTCTTTTATAAGTATTCAAGTTCAAGGCTCGGAAGATTAAGAAGGAAATATAAGTTATCTGTGAAATTGTTATGATTCATTAAGAAACCAGATGGAAATTTGATACTCGCTGTAAACGGCATCTCTTTGATGACAAAATTAAATTTCTTATCACCTCAATGGAATCAATAATCGAAATAATTTAGTGTTTGATTAATGATCATGTTTCTTCGAAACAATTTAATGTAGACAAGAGTAAAGCAGAAAGAGCTTGAAGGTGATTGTGACGAGAATTAAACATAACCAAATCCAATTATAAAATGAAATACAAAAGTAAACAAATCAGAATGCTATAAATAATGTGAATATTATTAGTTTTCTTCTTTTCAAAAGAAATAAAATTATCATAAAAAATTTGTTCAGATTTATTAAATATTAACGATATAAGGGACGGTTTAAGGATTTTGTCACAACAAACACAAAATTCTTATAGAGAAATGATTTTTTTAGATTGATTCTTCCCAAAGCTTTTCTTTCAATTTAAAACAGCATAATAGTGATCAGATCCTTAAATTTGAAATATTTTATGGTTCAAGCGAATGATTATTAATTTAAGCGACAAAATTTCATCGTCACTTCATTTGCAAAAGATTTGTATTTCTCCACAAATATTTTCTTTAATAAAAATTTAATTTTCGATGCTTTAAAATGATCATGAGATGAAGAACATGAGATTTGAAACATCTCAACAATTGTTTCTCGACCGTTCTTTAACTTGCTTAATTTCAGAGTCTCGTTTTCTTGTCTTCTAATTTTTTAACCTCCGTTTATTAATTTATTAATGAATTAAACATTTCTGATATCACGAGAACTAAAAACTAAGAAAAAGAACGAAGAGAAAAACTTTTTCGATTCGTGAATTTTATTTTTGTTTTTTCGTTTTTGGTTGTTCAAATTTTGGGGCCTGCGCGACGACGACATCGTTTACCTTTTCATGCTCTTTCAATGTGATAAATTATTAGTTTTTGTAATAATTTTTCCTCGCTGACTTCAGCGCAGAATGTTGGGATTCAGACACATTGCTCATGTGAGAGATGGCATGCAAAGCACAAGAAACTATTTTTCATGTTTTTATACCCGAAAACATCAATTTTTCACGTCCATCCATAATTGGAATATTTTCAAGGTCCTGATGATTCTCAGAAATCAATTTATTCTTCTTCTTTTTCTTTCCCCTCCTTCTACAACAATCTCTGACCAATTAATCAACGCGATGGAATTCCATGTTCTTAACATTCTACAATTAATCATTCAATTAAGTGAAAAGGCAAACAATCCTGCCCCTTTTAAGTTGGAAAGCAAATGAAATTAAAACAAAAGAGCGTAACACGAAACATCATCCAGCTGAAAAAAGGCGTGATGAAGGGAGAGCCCATCATGATTATTCAGTAAGAATGCTTAATTGATTAACTGCCTTAAGCTTCCACATAATGAATATCGTAGATAATTGGGCCAATTAAGTTAAGCTTGCCAATGTATTACAACCATATCTCAGATTCTGAGGTGAGGTTTATTTATTATTTAAAATGTTCAGAATTTATTCAACCGAATAATTTCTCAATCTTCATCAGCCAATCTTGTAAATGTGCTTATCATTATTGGCCTGAAATTTAAACCCTACCCAAGACAGCTTATAATAGAGACATCATAAATGGCGATTGGTATCATTCGCTTATAGAATTCATGCATTTAATGATGATTTAATAATCAACATGATGAGTTTATGCGAAAGCAGCTGTGTCATTGACAAGTCGTTAATCTTCCACCTTCGCCTTTCTTCAACTTCAGACAGAAATTCGAAACATCTTTTCTAGTCACACAATTGTGAATATTTTGTTTAACAAGAATTTAAAAGAAATTTGAAAATCATTCCAATTTCATCCCCTTGTGATGGAAGGAAGACGAACCGATCTTGAAAGAAAATTTGTCAGAATTATTCTTCACAAAGAACACCCAAGAATTGTAGAAACCTTTTGTTAAGAATTTCAAGAAAACTTTCGCAAGAAGTTTCTATTTTAATGTCAAATATTCTTTCCCAAAGTGGACATGTGTGATTAGAGAAACTTTCAGATTCATTTTGCACATAAAATTAAAGTTCAAGCTTTATTTTAGAAAGAACTTAAGTAAATTTTCTCCACAACTAACGTTGATGATTTATGAGACTGACTTTTGTCTTAAGTTTCGTCGTTTCGTTGAAGAAAAAAAATAATAAAATTGTAAGTCAAGTTTTATGACCACAGCTCGACCATAAACCTGTTCGAAGATGTGAAAAAAGCAATAATTTGGCTTTCCATGTGCCAAAAGAGAAACAATCTTCTAAGAAAACTTCTTAATAACTTTTTTTTCTGTTTTTACCACCCCCGCAATAAATCATAAAGTCAAACTTACTATGTTTTACGCCATAAACTTACTTCTTTTTCTTATGTTCTAAATTTCCATTGGCTACAGTCCTTCTAATGAAAAACCTCGAAATTTATTGCACATTTTTTTGCGAAACAATTTTAAGGGGAAAGAATTATTATTGGGGGTGGAATGTAAACATAATTCTTGAGCATGTATCTACATAGAGAAGGTCAAGCCATATTTCCTGTTTATTTCAAAAAGAATAATTAATTAACAATGAATTTCTATAACATTCTTTTCATCATAAATTTCAATTAGACAATTAATGATTTTAATTACAAATGAATTAAGATTTCTTTGTAAGCATCTAAACGATTTAAAGGAATGAGAGTATTAAATTTCATTGTGGTTTTAATGAAAAATATTTCACCTTTTAACTGATGAAGCGTGTCAGATAAAAACCATTTGAGTTAAAAAGCACACGACACAAACAAAAACGTTGTTGACTCGTCTTCTGATTTATCAATTTGTGGACGATCAGTGCGTCGTCTTCGTTTACCTCAATTTTCACAGGAAATTAGCACGCTTTTTACCTTCCTTTCTATATGAATTTTACACCTTTCCAGCAATTTAACAAAACAAACTCATGTTCCTTGACTCTCTTTATCTCTGTCACAATTGTGATGACCGTCCAATGCCAGCATGAAGCGTCAAATTAAAAATCATTTGTTTGGTCACGAAAAAAATATTTAAAGGACACAAAAGTCAGTCGAGTCTGCATGTGATCTTTAATTCATTGTTTTCCTTGTTCAAGCCCCAGTTTTCCATTGAAAGAAATCATTATTGATTTTGACGTTAAAACAGACAAATTCATCTTGTTTAAAGAGAAAAATAAAACATTCAAATAAGCTTCNTCTAGTTTTCTTTTTCGATTTATAATTTCTTTCTTATTTTGGTGTTGGGATAAAAAGTTGGCTGTCGAGCACTCAGTAATGCGCAACAACCAACATAAAAAACCCAATCTTTTCTAAAAACAATTTAAAATAACAAAACATTTATTTAAAGCAAAAATAATCAAATGTCAATTTTTTAAAAAAATGAAGTGAAGAAAGAAAATGCATGTTGATGGTGGACCCAGTGCCGAAGCCTTGAAGGATCCAACCAAGTGATGATTGTGATAAGTGGCTGAGTTGAGTGGCAGTAGATTTTGTTTGATTTGATTGTTGTTTCAGTCTGTTAGTGTGTGTGTGGATGGTGGCTGATAGTTGCATCTAAATATGAATTTTTATTTAAGATGAAAAGTGAAGAAGCTTGCATCAAAACATGAAGATATGAACGTTTCATTCCTAAGAAAACATCGTGTGCACCATTTAAATGCATGCTGATGTTTGCTTTGCTTTATTTCTAGCGGGATTTTGTTGTAGATTGTTGGTCCAATATTTTCAAATGCTTTGGCTCCATATTCAGTTTTTTTCTTTGTTGGTCGAAGTGATAATTCGTTTCGGAGTGTCATGTTACTTTTGTTTTCACCCGATTTTTCATAAATGATGTTGGAAAGCGTGTGACCTTTGATGCTTTTGTAAATGTAACATGCAGTGCTTAGAATCGCAATTCCTCGTAACGGCAAGTGCGATTCAACTTGATGAGTATACATTTGGACTCGATTTGTGCGATTTGGTAAGTTGTAGGTGTTTGTGAGCGCTTTGTTTTGGAGGATTTGCAAATTAGAGATTTCTCTGTACATTGTGAATCCCCAAACTTGTATCATAAAAGCAAGATGTGATTGAATGAGAGTGTCATAAATGAGCTTTTTGATGTGTATCGGTAGCATAAATCTAAGTTTCCAAAGAATTCCATTCGATGAAGCAACTTTATTTTCGAGTGATTTAATATGTTCTGACCATTTAAGAAACTCATTCAAATGTATTCCCAGGTATTTGATCGATGATGTTCTTGTAATTTTTTCTTTATTTCCTATATCAATTACACCAGGAAACTGAATTTTGTTATTTGGTGACCTGAAGAAAACACATTTAGTCTTATCAAAGTTTAAAATCATTTTTCTTTGAGCGAGAAATTTTGCGACTTGTTCCATGTCTGCTTTGATTTGCGCTAATATTGCTTCAACGCTGCATCCACTTTCATGAACATTGACAAGAACTGCATCATCAGCGAATAAAAAGATTTTTCCTTTTGTGTTGATAAAGCCAATCGAATTTATAAAAAGCAAGAAGAGAAGTGGACCCAGACACGATCCTTGAACAACTCCTGAGTTGATCTCTCGCATTTCACTTCTCACTTTCCCAACTTTCACGACTTGCTTTCGTTCTTCCAGATAACTGGATAAAACTTTGAATGGCTTCCCTCTAATTCCATATTTTTCCAACACTTGCAAAAGCAAATTTCGATTCACCAAGTCGAACGCCTTTCTCAAGTCCATGAATACGCCTGAAACTATTTTTTTGTTGTCGATAGATTTAGAGATAAGATTTACAAGTTCAATTGCTGCATTTTCTGTACCAGATTTGCTTCTGAATCCAAATTGGTGATCATAAAAAATAACTTCTTCTTGTAAAAAATCTACTAAACGTTCGTATACGACCTTCTCAATTATTTTGTTCAGGACTGGTAGAACTGAAATAGGTCGATAATTTTCGATACTCGTTTTTAATCCATTTTTATAGAGTGGTGTGACAGTTGCCAGCTTGAATGGTGTTGGATAAATCCCAGTTTCAAAGATGACAGTAATGAGACGAGATAAAACTGGTGCAAGCTCAGATGTAAGTTTCTTCACTATCTTCGGAGTAATTTCGTCATATCCGGCAGCTGAATTGGATTTCAATTGATTAATTATAATTTCAATTTCTTTGCTGTTTGGTGGAATGAACACAATTGATTTTCCAACATGCCTTTCAACTTGCTGTGGCTGGTCAACTTCCTTAAAAGAATTAATCAACTTGTCAGCGCACGTTGTGAAATAATTGTTGAATTTTTCAGCTATTTCTTTCTTATTTTTGAATTTTGTTCCCAGTTCGTCCTCAATTTCCTCCACATAATCTTGTTTTGAACGTCCCAGGATCACATTGAGATTTCTCCAAAGTTTCCTTGAGTCTGATACGTTCACTTTCTGTCTTATGAAATTTGCAAAATCTGACGCTGATAATATTTTCAATTTTTGGCTGACTTTTTGAAGTTCTTCTTGGATCATTTGATTGTTGGGATTTTTCCTTCTTTTGGTAAGTAATTTATTCTTTTTTATAATTGTAGCCATCAATTGTGTTGACGCCCACTCATTTATTTTGTCTGAGTTTTTAACTTTAAATTTCAATGTCTTGGTTGACAAAAATGTTGCTGCTTTCACTTCATTTATGATAATTTCTGTGATTTTGTTAGAATCATTACAATTTTCACAGTCAACATTAATATCATGAAAGTTTTCTGCTAATTTATCATAATCGATAATACTTCGCTCAATCACTGAGCTTTTCCTCGCCTTCATATGTGGAAATTTTATCGTAGAAATCAATGCACAATGATCAGAAATCAGCGGATCAATCTCCAATGTTATTGATGTTATTTCATGGCTATGCAAGTTCGTGATAAAATGATCAATTGTTTTTCCACTCATCATTCTTGTTGGTAAGTTGTTGATAATTCTGAAGTTATAACTTGTTAAAAGCTCGTTGTACTGCCGAGAGATTAAATCATTGTTGAACTCTCTAACACTTAAAGAATAACTGTTTATGTTGATGTCACCTACAATTATTGTGTTTGCGCTAATTGATGAAACTTCTTCTTCAATATCGTTTAAAAAGTTTTTAATATTGCTATTGATAGGCGGTCGATAATAAGCTAAAATATTGATTTTCTTCTTATCCATACAAATAGCTAATTTCAGTTTTTCGAATCCTATATTTGTTTGTTCGATATGAGTAACAACAAAGTTGTCACTTATGAAAACGATAACGCCTCCACCTCCTTCTTCTGATCTTAACTTCGCATATCTTAAGTATCCTGGAATATTATAAAGTTGGATAGGAAAACTTTTCTTTAGTTTTACTTCTGAGAAGATAATGACATCAAATTTGATTTCTAAAGATTTAATCAGCAAGTAAATTTCTAAGAATTTGTTAATATTGCTGATTCCTCTAACATTAAGATGAAAAAAGTTCAAATCTTTCTCAATATTTCCTTTATCATTTGCAACTTCATTGGGATTTGTATAAAATTGATTACTAATATTATGAATTAATTTATGAGAAGGCGAGGCAGGTAATTGTTAATCAGCTGTTGGTCGTTTTAATTTTGTTAAATCCGATTCAGATCTGATGTGAATTTTGTTGTCTTTTCCACACATCGCGAAGATTTTCCCGCTGATCATGAATATTTTCCCTCCAATATCTTTACTCGTTCTCTTTGCTGTCATAAATAATTTTCGAGTTTCAACGGTCATGGAGTGGTCAAAATAAATGTTGCTTTTGGTTTTCGACTCCCTTTTCTTCTTCATTACTGCCAATTTGTCCTCAAAACTCTTGAAAATCGCAACTATAACAACTGCCGATCCTCCTTTGATAAGCCTTTTGTAAACTCTAGTAATTGAACTTGATTCTCCATTAATATTGTGGTCGATTAAAATCTTGATGACAAAAGCTTTTAAGTTGTTGTCATGTGTCTCAGCTAGCGATTTTTCCACACCAGTGATATCCATATAATTTAACAATTTATTCTGTTCAACTTCATTCCGTAGTATTTTCAATTCTTCATCGACGTGATCAACTTTAGATGAGACATTATTAATTTTTTCGTCCATATTTCCAAATTTCACTTCAAGGTCTTGACGGATTTTTTGAATTTCTTCTTTATTTTTTTCAATTCCTGAAGTATCACGTTTGATTGCTTTTAGCACATCCATCATTGAAGCTTCATCATTTTCTGAGTCTTTATCCGATCCCGTTTCTGAGCGTGAACGTTTTTGATTCTTGTTGAACATTGGATAATTTTTAGGTGGAGACATGATGCAGTTCACTCAACTCTTCTGATATCAGGATATCTGCACCTGTTGATAAAAAGCCAAAACGGCAAATACAAATTCTCTAATTTTTTTAAATAGGAATACTCACAGGGAGCAAATATGCGGCTGGTGAACAGCCGAATGCGTGTGAAGAGTTTTCTTTGAAGTGAGTGAAAGGCAATTGCAGATAAATGATGTACTGAATGGTGTGGTTGATTGCTGTGTGTTTGTTTGTGATATCCTTGTTGTTAGAATGTGATGCTGTTGAATTTTGTTGCGTATTGATGCTGACGATGTGATTATTTTCCTTGATGTTAAACAGCTCAAATAAATGGTCCTAAAAATTGTAAATCCGAAAGCGTAGATCCACTGGGGAATCCTCGAATAGGAAAAAAATATTTAAAGGACACAAAAGTCAGTCGAGTCTGCATGTGATCTTTAATTCATTGTTTTCCTTGTTCAAGCCCCAGTTTTCCATTGAAAGAAATCATTATTGATTTTGACGTTAAAACAGACAAATTCATCTTGTTTAAAGAGAAAAATAAAACATTCAAATAAGCTTCGGTTCTTTGGCAAACCGAAAAAAAGGAGAAAGAATGAAAGAAGTATCTAACAGCACATGTCCTTGCGTCTTTCTCGTTTTCTCTTCGTTTATTTTTCATTTGTCATAAAGTCATAAATTCTTCATTTATTTCATTATAAGCCAATATTTTGTTGTTTATTTATGCTCTCTTGTTGCACTCCCGCTATGAGCTGGGCTGAAAAGGAAGAAGAGAAGATCTGACGCGTGCATTAGATGCTCAGTGGAAATAAACATATTTCATGTGTCATTGTCGTCATCTCGTTGCACATCGTAGCACAATGTTGTAATAGTTGAAGAATGAATGAGTGAATTGTTTGCCGGAAATAAATGTATAGAGAACAGGAAGAGGCATATAAGAAAGAAGACAATAAAATGCAATTGAGTCAGCACCCTTTCAAAAGTGGAATGTGAGTGAGAAACAAACAATCAAAACTTTAATTTTATTGCAACAAATTTTTTCACACATTTTTATGACGAAATACTTTTGTAAGTTTGAATGAACGATAATAAATCTCCACCCTCGTTAACAGATCGTAAGTCTTTTGGCAGTTGTTAAATTGAATTTTTCATTGAAACTTTTATTAAATTAACTCGCTTTTTAGTTTCACAGCCACGCATTTGACCCCAAATTATTTATTTCACCAAAATGGCGAATGCTTAATGAGCGTCAGTTTTCTTTTCTTTCTTTCTTTTTTTTTGTCGATTCTCCAACCACTTCCATGTTAATTTCCTTTCGCAACGTAATGAAAGCTTCGAATTCAAATTGATTTTTGTATTGTGTACTGCCATCTGAATGCCAGCGACTCCAGTAGAAAAATAAAGAAAACCCCGAAATTATATTTTCCATTAGGCAAACGCCGGGAGTTCGGTTACAGTAAGAAAAAAGTAAATAAATTAGTTTCTTTATGAAATATTTTCTCAGTAGATGGAAACATTAAATGTGTATGAGAGAAAAGAAAGAAGTCAAAAGCCCGTACATGGAGCATAATTATTTAATAACGATTCTCCATTGAGCGAGATGCGATCTCATTATTTTGATTCATGTTCCCTTATTGCTTATGTACTTCTTCAATTCAGAATGAATTTATCATTAAGCATCTTCTTCTTCATCTCATCTATTGACTCCATAGCGATTTCACTCATCATTTCTCATTGGCTGACATAGACAATTCATTGACGGTCGCATTAAATTTGATCTCAACGGCTTGGATTTCCGCCTTTTCTGTAATTTATGTCTTCCACAGTATTACAGTTTAATGGAGGAAAACTTCATTAATTTTAATTCGTAATGGACTTTTTCTTTCTAATTTTTTTTATATTGATGATACAGAGTTTCGATTTGGAGCATTAAAAATTGATGAATTCAATAATATAACGAAATTCGATCAACAATTTTCGTTTTTTCCTCGGTCTGGTTGGTTCATAGGCAAACAATATCGAATTCATTACCCCCCAAAGCTTCAGACAATCTCTCTCTCTCTCTCTCTCTCTCTCTTATTCTAGCACACACACAAACTCATAGAATTTAAAATATTCCCAAAAATAATAATAAAAAAGCCAATTTTGTTTCACTCACGTGTAAAGCTTTTGTTTATTTTCCCATCAGAGAAATTCTTACTCCTTTTGATTTCATCAAAATGTAATATTGAACTTTTTATTACTCTTTCTCTGATGCGAGAACGAATGAATCGAATGAATTATGTTGGCCTGCGGTGCATGTTATTACATATTTCTGATGTGTACAAAAAAAACCCTTTCTTCTTTACCTTTTCACTGAAAATGCAACGGAAAATGACTTTGATTGTCTAAAATTGATATTCAATGTTATTTATAGAATTTCCTTTGTCACATTTCATACGCAGAAAATAATAAAAAACATCTTTATTAATAATGATTAAATTTACTCAAAAATCTTCATCTGTTGCATGCAAATCATTTCTATTCCAATACACAAATAACTTCCATCAAATTGAGCAGTATCGTCATCCCCAAACATAAAATATGATCGAATAATAACATTCATTATTCGAAAGCTTTGATGTAGAAAATTTATCAACCTAAAAGGCCAAAGTTTCTCATTGTTCTTTGGTATGGTTTGGTTCGTCTTTTAAGAGTCATTCAACTAGAATATTTTTGCGCATTCGAAGTGTCTCCCTCATCAAGCTGGGAGTGAAAAAAAAACTGTCCTGTTGAGTGTACGATCTGACGAAACAAAAACAACAACAATCGGAAATTGTGCGGAAGGCATGTGGGGCGATGGGTTGTTCAGTTAAATATTCTAAAGTTCTGTCCCAATTGCGGTTTGTAATATGATGTCAGACGTCGCAGGGATTGAAAGTCAAAGGTGGTCTCCTTAAAAGTATTTCTAACAGCTTTCCGACAATAATAATTGAACAAATATAATAAGCAGCTTTGACGTATTGTTCCAATTAGTTTTCCTGCATTTTGTATTTATTCAAAAATCTTCCAATCGGATCGGATTGGAATCTTCAGAAGCCCTTTCAGGGATTTCCTAACGAAAGAGAAATTGGTTTGTTGTTTTGTTTGTGAAAGTGAATAATTTGGGGCATGTCAGATAACAAATTGAAGAAATTGAAAAAAAGTGAGCGTGAAGGATTTAAATAAATATTTGTTAGCCTCTGAAGGATTAATTTCTTGGCTTTCGGTTGCGAGTATTGTGGAAATAAATTTCACCAAATTAATCACAATCAGTCTTCAAATACTTATGATTGTGTAAACAACGTAGACGGTTAAGTCCCTGGAAGCAAGAGCCAAGAGAGAAGCCAAAAAAAATCTCTTGATTAATATTGATGTGTGATTTTTATTTTATGTTTCTTTCATATTGAAAACTAGAACACTGGGACTCACTCAGCATGACAATGAAGGGGCCTTTTCAAACATTTCAGTTGTACTCTGACGTTTAGGTTTCTTTCTCTTTCACATCGGGCTTGGCAGTCATCAAAATCAAATTATGAAGTGGTTTTCTTGTTTTTTTGCATTCATTTCGTTAAGTAAAAACAAATACAAGCGGGATGAAACTCACAGCACGCGTTAAAATTTCGATGTTGACTTCTGGGCAGCTTGTGTACCTTGGCATAGTAAGTTTTGATGTTTTTAAAAGAAGTTTAATGAGTCTGCAATGTTTACCATGATATCAAGCATGAGATCGCTTCTTATTTTTTTATGAATTCTAAAAATATTAACGCTGACAATGTGGCGAAGATGTTTGGTTTAATAACCAAAAACTTTCACAATATCATTTCACGTTGTTTGTTATTCCACTTAAATATGTTTTTCGAAATGTTACTTAATGCAATAATCAAATTTGATTGAATTGATTGGATCAACAATGAGATTACCATCAATTTCAATTTTCTGTTTTGCTTATTTCTGCCAATTTACTTTTGTCGAAAGTAGTGGCTTAATGAAGCTGATCTGAAAACATTACTATAGAAACAACATAACAATTTAGCTTTGATTTGATTTAATCAACAGAAGCATTAAATTAAAATCAACTCTCTTTATGATTCCCATGTTAAGTTACCACATGGTAACACTCAAAGAGAAAATTCTTTTCAAACTGTTTATCATTCCTCGATTTGATTATTTTTTTTTCGAAAGGCAAACAGATTGCAGTCAAAACACGAAAATATGTTTCTTATCGCGATCGAAAAATCTTTTCAATATGACATTTATATCTCTCACGAATACAGAAAAGCAACGCTAATGAATGCAAACAAATATTTCATAAAATCGACAAAAGAGAAGTGAAGGGACGGGAAATAATTTATGACATCGTTCGACAGAGAAACAAATACATCACGAATACAAAGTAAACGCAAAGTGAGCCCTTGTGAACGGTTGACATTATCAGCATCATCAAATTATCTGTCTTGTTTACAGCCATTGAATGTTTGCTGCATCATTCGATCGTATCACATGAAATAAAGTCGTTTAAAAGGACACATTTTCGATTCATTATCAACATCTCATAATCTTCACTTCTAACGAATCTTTCTTTCTCTTTTTTATTGTCCCAATAGCAACGAATAAAATTGTAGAAGTAAATCGAAAGTCAAGAAGAAATTTGTTGCAGAGAGAGTTTCGCTTTGTAGTCATAAATAGAAGCGGAATGAACAGCGCCATGGGAACCCAAGTTAAAAGGCTGTAATTTTAACTTTAAACATCAACTGAAACCTATTTTTTCTGTCGTTGAAACGCCTCTTATTTCAATGCGCTTCCAGCAAATTGTTCAATTGCAGTAATAAAATCTTGCGCTGCTTTTTAGTGAGCGAGAATATGAAATGAAAACATTTTTTTTGAGTCGTTTTTTACTTCACTGCGTGAGTTGTAAATATAGGTTTTGGTGCGCTATGAGTTTATTTCGATCATTAAAAGGGGAGGATGCGGGTCTATCGTAGCACATTTAAGTGCTAATAGGAAAGATTAAAGAACTTAATGATGGCAAAAAATAAGTTATGGCGTAACAAGAATCACCTGCTTGTGGCTCACGTTAAATCTCCACGTGCCCGCGACGAAAAACGCTTCAAAATGCTGTCATAAAAAATATTTCTCTCCTTTTGATAATCATCATCACAAAGGCCTTCGAAGAACATCAACATTCAAGTTGAGTATCACTTAACTATTGTGGTTTTAATTAGTTTTAAGAACGAGTAATTAAAGCGCACTTTTTACACTAAAAGCAAGTCAACAACGTGCACGTTGTCGTTAAAATTTAAAAAGCAAAACAACCGTGAAGTAAAATGTTTGGTTGGGAATGAGATAAGAAGAGTCGTAAAACTTCCTAAAACGGTAATGCTCAGTTCTTAAACTGTCAACTTGCTACTCATTTCAGCTTTTAACAACTCCTAATGAGCAATGTTAACGATGTCCAAGTGGGAAAAATGTTTAAGACTCTTTTACTTTTTGTGCTTTACTGGAAATTATTTTGTTGTGAATTACAGTGAGTTTGAAGAATCAGCGTTAAATGAAAGTTAACTAGCTTACTGAATTCAATTACCGCAAAAACTTAATGTTCGTAAGCATATCTGCGAATAAATTTACGATCCCACATGGATTAAAGTGGATTGTCTTTAATTAAGTCTGTCTCTATATAAAGTATCATAGTTTAGTAATAACTTTGTCCGCATATTTCTCTTTCAATTAAACCTAATAATGAAACCCTCAACCCAACATAAACTAATCAAAATTTCCTTCCGCAAATTCAATAACAAGAGGCATGCACCTACTCATAGTTTCAATGAACAAACGCGCGTCTTAATGCTTGTGATGAAAGTAGAGCTTACACATATGTTCCACCCTCTTCTTGCGACGATGACGACAGTTCTTTTGGATGCTTGAATTTATTTTCAGAGTAAAACAAGTCAGAGGGTGGTCCTCGTTTCTTAAGTGAATTTTCAAACAACAACATTATTCTTCCGACAAAAAAACATAAAATATGTTTCAATCGCTTGTGGATGCCAAAAAGAATAAAGAAAGAAGGCAGCAAAAATGTTCACAAATCATATTAAGGATAATGGTAATAAATATCTCTATTTTATTGAGCAGAAATGAAATTGTTCAATGGATGAAGAACTCAAGAAATGATTAAATTATTATTTGAGATAGGGGAGAGAATCGAAAGTGAGTGGGAGCCTTGCTGAGGTGTTTGCTTAAATCTCTCGAAGGAATATTTCACAGGTTTATCAATCATTAAACGTGGGAAAATTTGCAGGAGAAATTTAATGTTCAAGCTCAATAAATGAAAAGACCAGCAGATTACGACAATAAATTTACTCAAGTGGAATCGTCGGAGTTGTTGCGCAGTTTTTTAAACGAATTAGTCTTTTATGGATATTCATTAAAAGTCGTTGGAAATTCTTTTACTCTCTACATTAATATTTCGTGTAACTGAAATTCTCAAGCAAATCATTTTCATGCCTTTTAGCTATCAAATCGAAAGTGCACAATAGCCATTCTGCGTCTTTCCCAATCTCAATTGTTCCAAATTCTAAAAATAGTCGCCGATAAAAGACTTGCTGATTTCCGACTTTTGTTAAGGAAAAAGTTGAACAATGAAATGGTACCATAGAGCTTGTAAACCATTCATTAAATGTTTCTTACTTTTCCAATTCATGTGGCATTCTAACTAACATTTTCCATCAGAATAATTACACCTTAAATTTCACATGCTTACCCTTATTCTTAATGTGCGTTTTAATGGAAATCACTTTTGCCTTCGAGTGCTTTGTGATGTCAAAATCAAGAAGGCAAATACGACTCGCGGAGTTCTTTCCTAACAATCTCAAAGCAAACACCTCAACAAAGCATACTCAACCCTCTTTTGAGTCACCTAAACAGCCTTAAGAGAAAAAAATATTTTGGCAAGAATGTCTTTATGAGATGCCAACACAAAAGCGAAATTTGACACCGGAAATTGCATTTGAAGAAGAAAAAAAATTCAGTTGAGAGTCTTAAGAAAAATTTTCTTTATTCTTGCTCACATTAGAGTTCATTAAAGTTGTTAAATATTTCATTTACAAATTGTGATTACTGAATTCAACAATTCCGAAATGTAAATGAGTTGACAAAAATGTATTTTTGGTCACCATCAACAATTTGTAACAATTTAGTCAGATATGCAAAACTACTTGACATTCATTTATGGATTTAAAATAATTAATGCAAAATCATTTCAATGATGCCTGCATCGAATAATAAAATTTAAGTTTCAATGATCGTTAGAATCTTTAAACTGTATGCTAATAAAAAAAGTAATTTAAAAATGACAAAATGTTTCGATTTCTTTTAAGTGTCATTATAAAAGCATTCAACAATGTTCACCCTGAATGAGATCAATTTTTCATCGTCGAGCTATATAAAAGACTTAAACATCACATTATGAAAACGTTAAAATAAAATCAAAAAATCATTTTTATAAAGAAGTTAATAGCCGAGAGGTGAGTGAGTGACTACAAACTTCAAGGCGAGAAGGCTGAAGAAAACCCTTTGAAAAGAGAGTTGAAGATTTCAACAATGAACCAGATGCGAACAATTGAATCTTTTTTTTTCATCGATGATGGCTTTTCATTCTCTTCATCTTGAAAGCTATTATAGATCAATTGAAATGGAATTAACAAAAAAAATTATTACACAAATATATCTCGACTGTTTGGCTGCTATTCAATATTCATTAATAATCGCGCGGGGTCTTTGTTGAAATGAGTGAAAGATCTTTAGTCATTTCACGATGAAACGTTGGGAGAATTTATAACAATCAAAATATTATTAACTCCACATTGGTAGTCAAATCATGCGGCGGTGATTTTGAGTTTCGCCTTTGAAATCATCCTTTCGTCGATTTGTTCTCCATCGATTTTCATATGCCGCTCTTTTTGTCGTTTCATTGTTGAGGCGGAGATAACAATTATTTTGTTGCCATTGTTGATCTTAATTGTGTTTATAAGATTTGTTTTGATTTGATTTTATTTCAGAAGTAAACGAGATTTATGAAATTAAACCTTCTAAGTTTAAGAAAGTTCTTGAAAGATTTTCTAAGTGAAAATTTGACTTTTCATAAATTTTACAGAAAAACTTTATAGAATTTAATGACCGGGAAAAAGTTCTTATGCAAAACCTCTTTTTTGACAATTTTCTTCGTTGTCACCGTTAGGAATCAAGATTTTTTCACATCTCTGGGAATATTTCAGAACAATTTGTCTCTGCTTCTTCAACACCGCTAAAGTCAAAGGCTTTAATAATATTAACCAAGTCATGAGAAGAACTCTTTCATCGATGATCATTCTTGTGGAGTTATTGACAGCAGAGTAACTATTGAAATGAAAAGAAAGAATCGACAATCTCACATCTGGGCTGCTCTCCCGAAATTCATTTGATGTTGATCCGCCTCAGCACTATTTTAATTTGCGCTTTTTGATCTCTTGTACGTATATAACTTTCCGCCCCGGTGAGTTTCCTTTTGTTATTCTGATTCCGGCAATCTCCCATTAAGGGGGGCCAATCGAAACATTATATTACAATTTCATTTCTTTATTTTCAGCTACCAGAAAGAAGCTGCCGAAACATGAATTGAACGACTGATGGGAAACTGATGAAGAAACTTAATTAACCGTTTTTCATTGTTGATGGTAAATTAGACATAATGACGACGTAATTGCTTTTCAAGCAGTGTTCGATACATTCGTGAGCAGAATATCTTTGCTAAACAGTTAATGCAAGTCACACTAATGTCAGATTTTTTTCAATTAACATTTCGATTAAGTGCAGTGAAAGTTTTTGCAAAATGTTATGATTTCTTTCAACAGCTTTAATGAAAATATTTTTTTATATGAAAGTGAAGTTGGAAAGTGTTGTCATTGGCATTTACCACTAAAGAACAATCGTTGATTTTAATCGATCCTCTCTAAGACATCAGACGATTATGAAATAAAATAATTTTCAATAAAATATATTAATTCAATTCTTTTAAATTGATTTTATATCATAACTTTTGACTAACGGATTCAAAATTCAAGGATTTGTCTTTTCGTTTAATTTGTTTTATCTGGTGGAATGATAGCCTCAAACATTAGTCATATGATTATTCATCGTTGATAATGAAATAAAATATATATTGTTATTTGCTATAAGTTTCCTCAGATGCACAAAAGCAACAAATGCAAATAATGGAGTTCGAACTATACTGACAGAAACAAATTAAGCTTTGAACAAATGCTGAGCATAATATTTGAATTATTATTCATACAGAATGGAAATGAAACCTTCAGTTCATCTTATAACACTTGTTCAAAGCTTCGTTAATCTCTGTCAATACGAACTGTTTATTATTATTGTTTATTTATTATTGTTTATACGAACTTTTTGTTTGCCTTTTTTCAGTTCATTTGCTCGTCAACACGTGTATCAACTTTGCGAAAATATTACTCATTTAAGTAAAGTGATACTATTAATAACGTTAAAAATAAACTGTCCAAATATCGAAAATATAACTTTTAATTCTGATTTTCACATTTTCTTTACAGATTTTGACAGTTTGCATAACGTTTTTAAGCAAGTCACAGGGATTAGATACTATCAAACTTAAATCATATATTAATAAAGGATTTAAAAAAAAGCCTATTTGTAAGAGAAAGTTTATTTTAAGGCTTTACCGAGGCTTCGGTCTTGGTCCGTTTTTGTAGAGTAGGTTCTGAAAAACACTTTTGTTACGCGGTCACAAATCAGGTTCGGATCTTTTAAGCTTTGTGGTCCACGGAACAAAAGTCTTTATTAGATTGTACTCCACATAAACAGACTACGGACCGAAGTTCCGGGCCTTACAGACTGAACATTTTTTGATATACATAATAATTCAATTTTTTCAAAAAATATTAGCAGAATCACAGAAAATTAGTTGCATTGGTTCGTGGTTTGATCTACGTTATGGTCCAGAAATTCTTTCTTTGAATTTGTATGTGCATCTGGAAGTAAAGTTGTAGTAGGTGCTGTGTACAATCTTACTTCTAACTACAACATATGCACGATGATGCCTGAAATTGAAAAACTTTAATATTTAACTGATAACGCATTTCGATTTGGTTCAGTTGTCTTTTGTTTTTCAAGAGAAATACAGTTCTGAGTGAAGTACTTGTAAGGAAATGTGTAAATTTTCAATTTTTTTCGTTGCTTTTTGTACATTACTTAGAGTACAAATTATTGAAGCGAATAAAATATGTATAACTACAGGTAATTATATTAGAGTTCTGCAAAGAAAATTTTCCGTTATGTGTAAAGTATGGAAAAATCTTTTTTTTATCATGGGATTGAAAAGTTTATGGATGCAATTTGTAATGCATTCAAATTCAATTTATTCATGGAGTTTGAAAAAATTAAGAGAGCATTTTTTTCAGCACCTACTGATGCACCAACGCAAGCACTCTCTGCATATTGGGTTCAAGTTACTGGTTCCCCTGAAGAAATCCCCGAAGGTGCTCTTGTTGGAGGCTATATTAACGACTATCCAAGTTATGGTGATAATGATAAAAATTATAACGTTTGCAGAGGTTTCCGTGGCGGAGCATTAACTCCTGGAAAATATGGTGCATTTTATGTAACAGCTTATGATGCTTGCACTATTGGTTGGGGTGGTGAAGAATTTCATACATATGAATTCGAAATATTGGTTGGATCCGGTAACTGGGTTTCTTCTTCTGGATCGAATATTCCACCAAATGCTGTGCCTGGTAATTATCAATACACTTCAAATTGTAAACGATTGATCAATTTGGTTTTTAATCAGGTGGTGAATCTGAAGATGGTGAAGTTCTGTATGTTTGTCGTGTCAATCATAGCGGAAGTGTCATCGTTGGAAAATTCCATCCATCATATAGCAATTGTTTTATCACATATCATGGATATGAGAGTAGTTTCTATAATTTTGAAGTTTTGACTTATCTTTGACCGTTGAAGCTTCTTAATCAATTTAATAAAATCCATTTTTTTGTGCAAGCTGTCAAAGTTTTTCTAGTTCTTGTGCTACTAGGAAATCAAATAAAAGGAAAAGAAAGAATAAATTTATTTTTATTTATGTCACCATGCCATGATTTCTCTTTAGAATTGTAAGAATTGAGTAGAGGTGAGAGTCATATCTAGTTAAAATCAGGATGAAAAATCACTGAAAAGTTTTTATCATGATTATTAAGAAATCCAATTATAAATCACTAAACTTTGAATCAGCGACGACGTAAAAATATTATAAAGATATTTTCATATTTGATATTTTAAGTAGATTTAATCAAAATGATATATTTTTCAACGATTTCAATATAAGGATCCTTTTAGAATGGTATGGGGCCGTTGTAAAACATGAGAGTGTTCGCAAATTTCCAGACACCGAATTGAGAAAGCTCTGCATTCATTTGATTATCATTAGATTTCTTGTTTAATTCCAGTATTAACTACCGCAATACTTAGTTGCGAGAGACGGAACTTTGCTACCTTCTTCCGTACACCATCAAATCCAACAAATAATAGATAATCATACAATCAAACAAAAAGAAACTTCAAGTTTGATTTGAAAATTTCTTTTCTTCAAAATATATCGGCAGGAGTTCCATCGCTGAATTTACAGCAGTTGGTTGAACGTATCTTGATTTTCACGAATTAGAATTGATTGCGAAAGACTTTTCACTATTAACAATTTGTTAACATTTGCTAGCTTCTGTTGTTGTTTTCGTTTTTGAAATCTCATTTTTATAACGTTTTCAATGAAATTTTGAATGAAAATTTCATATCTTGAGCATCAAAAGTGATAAATTCAAAGTAGAAATGATAAATAAAAGAAATTCTTTGAGTTTATGAAAAAATTAAATACGATTGTGTTAAGTGTTCTTGAACATGCACTTTACAGAACTTTTATTGCACAACTTTGAGAGTAACTTGAAAATGATTAACAAGTTATTCTTATTTACTACAACGAACTCTATTTACATGTATGCAAAGCCAATTGACATTTATAATTTTCCACTGCAATTTAAATTGATTACGAAGGTAAAATGTGAGTGGGACGATTAACACAGAAGCATGTTTATGATAAATTTTAACATCCTATAACCTGGCCTTAGCAGAGAACTCGAATATTTGGTGTTTTGCAGAATGTAAGCGTAACATTGAAATTTTGCTGTTGTAATACATTTAAATGCCACGATTATTAAAAGTTTTTTTCCTGCTAATAGTTATTGATATATAAATGAGATTCAATTGATTGAATTGCGAGAGTATTTAAATGATGGATTGATCAAGTTTCATAACATGAATAGACACACAATAGCTTCATCTAATTAACCTCATGTTTTTCATCTCTGATTGGATTGAGAATAAATTGCTACCAAATTTATGACTGTCTGGAAGCTTATTTCTTAAATAATGAGATTTTCTTACTTTAATTAAACTTACCTTTTTCGATGTGGGAAATATTTATTTCAAAAGAATTCATGTTGATGTTATTTTTTAACTTCAATTCAATAATAATAAAAAGAGAGCTATTATTGTTTTTAACGAACAATATTCCTAGTAAACTAAGTATATGATCAAGAAACGAAATGCTTCTGCATAATTTCGACTCCCAACATGATTTCTTGTTGCTTCCAAATTCGTGCAACAAAAAGTAACACAGAAAATGTTTATTTACATTTTAAAAAAGTCCATAGGAACATACCTCTTACTTTCATTGTTTCTGTTACCTTCGAGATTGCAGTAACAACGAGTTTGGAACCCCGTCGCTGTTAATTTCTGCGACAAAATATTCTCCTCGACTCTCGAGTGTTCGCAAGCATGTTTCAAGAATTTTTTATTCACTCGAAGCATCTTCGAAAATAAGAAATTAAAAAAAAAGAGCAGACAACAAGCAGCTAAGAGTGTGAAAGAATTAAGTATGTACAATTAAAGTAGGAAGGCAAGCAGGGAAATTCGTGTACACTAAAACAAAAAAGGGCAAAAATGATTTCTCCGCGAAAAGTTTATACAATTTTTTGAAGCGTCGCGCTGCGTCTTACTTCTTTTTAATTAATATCACTTTTTAATTTAATCTTTTTTTTCGCAAGCATATTTAATGAAAAGGCAGCTAGGTAGTCGTGGGGGACTTTCTCATTAAGTCACAGTCCCATTTGTCATCTTTTCAACTCTTGATTAATCTTAACGATAACAAGAAAATGTCTGTGAAATATTTTATAAAAATTATCATAACTTTAACATCAGACTTTAAAGAAATTTGCATGATTTGACAAGATTGTTAATGGTCCAACAATTTAAAATATTTAATAAACAATTAACATCAGGTTTAAACTCATCTTGTACATATGTAGTCAGACAAACAAGTCAACCATCCCACGCGAGCATCAAATTGAAAACGAAACTCTAATAAAATTAATGGTTTTACTATTTGAAGGAAGTCTAGTAATGGTTAAAATGAAAACTGGATGAGCTGCAACCATGTGCCAACACAAAACGTATAAATAATATCTTGGAATTGGAATACAAATCAAAATTTTATTTATAAGTTTATTGGAGGCGTTTTGATAGAACTGTAACATGTCTTATTGCTTAGTAAGAGTAAAGGAGGAGGAAAGAAATCTTTATAGACTCAGACGTGACTTTCAGATACGCCAGAATAAATACAAGAACTTGATAAAGTTAAAAACACCAAGAAACTAGTTCCCCTTTGATCAGAACATTTCCACAAACATATAATAAATTTATGAAATGTTTATTTTTTTAAATGTCCAATAAAAATGGAAATGGAGCCATTAAAAATGGAGACGATACATTAATTCAAATATCCAATTTTATGAGATCAAAACAAAGAGGCATAAGTTGTGGAAAACATTTGATTGATTTTATTTCCATGATGTCATTTATGCTTATTTAAAAATTCCGGATATTAAAATCAATGTTTAAATTAACACTAAAAGAATTAAGCAAAATCAAGTCATAAGCTTTGTCGTTGTCATACGAGATATGTAAATAAATGCTTAAATTTCCATATATGGATTTTTCCTTTTTGTTTTTGTCATCCATTCATGCATTTTTACGGTCAATTTTTTTCTCCATAAATTTTTGAATGGACAACATTAATGTTCTTTTTCGATAATTTATATCATTTCAATGCTCACAGTAGATATTTTGACCACAATTTATTGTCTGAATTTCTCATGAATTTCTTTTCCACAGCGCCACAACAAATCGTCTCAATTATACCTGAAAACGCCACTGAACTTTTCATACCCAATTGCAAGATGAAGCAAAGTTTTGCAGTATTTTTATAAACATTTTTTAAGAAAGAAATTCCATTCGTCTTCTTAAATATTTTCCGTTCTTCATGTTATGCGAATATAAATACAAACAAAAGAAATGATTTTAATGCGCAAGTCGTTGAGCCAGCAGCACAAAAGTACCTCATTTGTTATCAACATTACGGACGAAATTTATCATCATTTCATGTTGAACGCTGCCGATTGGTTGCTTTAAACAAAGTAGAAACTCCAACCACACGATAATTACATGTTGCGCGCATGTGGGAGTGAAAAAATGAACACTAAGCTATTGATAAAGTGCAGATATTAAAACAACCTCGCAATAATGCTGGTTAATCATGAACAGATTACTTACTTCCCTTGCTTGTTCATTCCATTGCCAATTTAATTAAATAATTTCAGCCACTTCCTTGAAACGACGAGAATTTCTTACCACTTGAAGATTAAATTACATTGATTTAAATTGAATCTAATACTTTAGCTATAAAAATAGATCACGTAATGATGATTTAAATATTTAGTCAGCTTAGTAGATTTATTTAAAGAATAAAGTTGAAGGCAAGGAGATTACTTTACACAGGTTAAGTTATTCTGTGCAATGGTGAGATGAAGAAAGTATCCAACTGCGTAACAAGTGTTTTGTTTCTCCGAAATGATTGTAAACAATTATTAAGTGCATTTTATAAAAATCTCTTCAATCTTCAGATTTTAGAACCATTAATCTCATCTCAGATTGCTGATGAGGGGAGAAAGGAAAATATCTAATGGAAATTACATTTCTCGATATTTGATGGAAACTCATCAATAATAACATTCCGTAATTGACGTAGGTGATGGTTGATGGAGGGTAGTGGGCTTAATCAATTTACAAAATCTTCTTCTTAATTGACTCGAAAACTCTTCGTGTTCTGCAAGAATTTCTTATATGCAGTCAGTCATTGCAACATCATGTCATATGGTGTTGATGAAATTTTCGTGATTTGTTAACGAAGAACATAAACATTTATGTTTTATCAAAATATTTTCACACTTACTTGGGTTTTTTATTTTATGAAAAGAAAAATTACAAAATTTCTATCTTGGTCTTCTCTTGCATTCCTTTCCATTGCAAGCTCATTGCAATTGAAGATTTATTTCGCGCACGAAAGAAATTCATAAGGCTAACGACGACGGGAGATCGAAACGAGGCAGTGGAGAAAAGCATCACAATCTAAAGACGTGAACAGAAGTGTAAACTTTGCATTTTTCATCATAAATTTTTTGCATTTTTTCTCATTAAATCGAAAGAAATAAATGAACTTAGCAAGTAATTTTTGTCCATAAATCTTGGAGAAATGATGAAGTAACTTGAGCTTTAAAGAGTGGATGACTTTCATCAATTCCAAACACGTAAATAAACCTGATGTTATTAGGTTTGATGCTTATCTTTCACATGAAATCGAAACCGCAAATCTGGAAATCTAATCCGAAGAGATTCTCGCTAATTTTCATAGCATTTCTTCACAATTTCAACCGCAAACATTTTCTAAACATCTTTTGATTGGAATCTTAAGGGAGTTGACAAAAATAAAAAGCGCGTGCTGCTTTCAAGATCGAATTCAACAGAAATGATTATTGGACTTGAATCAGCATATCAACAGTTTGAACTCAGTCATGCTGAGCTTGAGGAGAAAAGTCTTCTTGAATTATTCAGATGATCTGTTTTCGATTTCTTTTCATTTTTGGTGACACTTAACGGAAAATTTATAAAATAGAAAAAATTGCGCCAAAAATAAAATTTAATAATAAAAAGCCGGAAGCTTTTGATTACTTACAATGCTAGCTTAAAGAAAGCCGCAATTTATTTCAACGAGAAAGAAGCCAAAAGCAATTAAATTAAACTGATTACTGGTAAGAGTTAAGATTATGTTGATGAATTGCGTAATATTTCAAAAAGTTTCAGACGATTAATCATAAAACTTTTTAGTATTTCAGACTTTTATGTTTCGTAGTCTCATTGTATGCGAGGATCCATGTTCAGATAATTGTCGAGAGTAGCAACACAAAAAACAGAACTTCTTTTTCGTGTAATTAATTGCCCATCGACCATCATATAAAACAAACAACAACCAACAAAACAAAAAAAGGGAAAACGAAAAGAAATGAAATTAAAAATAATTAACTGAAACATGAAAAATGATTACGCCTATGTTTACCACCGAATAATGGCCGGGCACCATGTCCATTGCTAAACGAACGAACAGCTACACGAAAACGCAGTTGCTTAATGATTAATCATAATTAAAGCTTAGAATCGAATATTTATATTCAAGAATATCCTTTAATGTTGTACACAATTTTGAATTTCACTTTCAAAACGTTCATTGGTTCATTTTCAACTATGGTTCAGTTGAAACACTTCACACACATACACTCAAAAGCATTAATTTATGCAACCAATGTTGGTTTTCATTTAAATAATGTTTCGTGTTTTAAATTAAAATTTTAATTTATTATACTTTAAGTAATCATCCACGAAACAAAGAATTAAATAGTTAAGGTATGGAAGTTGTCGAGAAATTTCGTTCGTTTGATATTCGTTATTGGCTTTCTTAAGCGACCTTTGGCAATCACAATTCTCTGATTGAAGGATTGCAAATTTTTAACATTTTGGTGGATTTCTCGCTTCTCATCGGTTTTTGCGTGAGTCTTTTTCTGTTTTTTTGTTGATACAGGATGACCGTATTGGATAATGATAGGACGTGTTGCATTGAAAGGTCTTAGTGATGGTTGACGTCCATTGAAACTATTTGCTAAATCAGAATAAAGCATTGGAGGATTCAAACGTTGTATTTGATATCCAATAATTTGTGTGCGTTGTGGAATTTTAAAGCGTATTGGATTTGATTTTTCATCTTCATTATGTTTCAATTTCTTTTGGTTTATTTTGAGGAGAAAATCTGTGAGAAAAAAGAAACATTAAAGGATTCTTTAATAAAACAATTATAAACATTCTATACTTACTTGCATAATAAAGAAGAAATGGAATCAATTTATCTCCACACATTTCTTGAAGAAATTCGTAAAAGAAAATATCTTTTTTTCCTCTAAGATAAATAGCTGCAACCTGTGAATGAAAAGTTAATCTTTTCTATTCAATTCGGATAAAATTTCATTATTTATTTACATTAATGCTGTTGGAGAAACTTAAAGAACTTTTCAAATTTCTGGTGTCAATTTTTTCGAAAAATATCAAAAGTTCTCTAAAAGCAAACTCTCCTAAACTCCAAAGGCCTCTTGCTACTCGTCCTAACCATTCAAAATCTAAATTCGAAGCAAAAAATAATTAATAAAGCTTGAAACACAAGAAGGAACAAAAACTTACCATTTTCTGTCTTAAATCGTTTGTTAATCTTAACAAAGTTTTCAACTTCACTAATTATTAATATCGTCAGATACTTTTCAACACCAATCCATTTAGATGCACACATTCCCATCATTTCACAAATTGATTCAACATAAATCTCATGACATTTTATAGTTGAAGCACAATTTGTTGATAAAAGTGCATTAAACTCATCTTCAATATCATTTCTTCCTGTCATTGATCGAGATGAAGCTGAATCTTTTGATGCATCTTCGTGATTTTCTAACTTGAACTTGGAACTGTCATAACTTTGCGTTTCAAATCCTTCAGTAAGTTCATCTTTCAAACTTTTTCCTGCTTTCCCTGATTCCATGCTGAAGTTTTCCATTAACACACCGTTGCTTTCTTCAAAAGCTTTAATGTTTGAATCACTCGACATTTCATCTAAATTCATTCCATTATTATTGTCGATAATTCCATTGTTTCCATCATAAGTTACTATGTTGGAGTCGTATGTTGAGTATTCTGATGTTTCCTGTTCCAACTCAACATCATGACCGTTCTCACGAATTTCATCGTTAATAGAGCCAACCAAAAGATTAACAAGTAGTTGACAAACATGTTTCAGTTCAATGTTCATATCACTGTTAGTTGTGTAAGGATTTTTGATAATACCAAACATAAATTTAATCGAACGATTTAGAATATTGTTTGAGTAATTCACTGCAATCATGTCAACCCATTTGATAAGAAAATGCTTTACTAATCCAGCTATATGGGGACTTGAGCTGAGGATTCCCAAAGCAAAATCCATGCTTTCATCATCACCAGTAAACACTGAATCACAAATATTATTATAAAATTCGATATAATCTTCATCAATCTTTTCGTCCAGCAAAAATGTTGTGTTTAAAAATACTGGTCCATTAACATTCTCTTCAGTAATATGTTTGTTAAATTCCTCAGTAAGATCTAAAGTTTCTTCATGGTTGAAGAAAATCGACTGCTGATGATCATCCTCAACAAAGTCCCAGTCGGGGTTGTCATCAGATCCGATAATTGGCGCACAATTTGAGTCTTTGAGAACTTCATTAGTAATATCAAAAGTTGCTCGTCCTCCCGAATGCTTGGCATAATTTTTAATGTTCTATTTAAATATAAATAAATTATTAAATGGAGATTATTGTAAAATTGTTAATTTCTTACATTAACAATTTCCATAACTTTGTAAGTAGCATCTTCAGCAAGTCGAGAATAAACTTCTGGTTGAATCTCAGTATTGTCTATCTGTTCACAAACGTTACGAATTGAACGACTTGAAAATCCACAGAAATAGTTTTGCTGAAAATAAATGTAAAACAGGTGTTGAATTTAAAATAACATTTTAAACTGTTTTCTTACCTTTTCTGATCCATTTGATGCTTGTGGACTGTTGCTCCGTACTTTTTTCTTTTTGCTTTTTTTCTTCGGTGGATTTCCGTTCTCCATTTTTATTTAATTTATAAATTTTTTATATTTTATAAATTTAAGATGCTCCAGCTTGATCCTTTCTGTTTATGTTTACATCCAGTATAATCCGAAGGGGCATTAAAGTATGAATTTTTAAACAATTTTTTGAAGAAAAACTATTCCGAATAAATTGCTATCTCCACGAAAAAATCACAAAAAATATCATTATGGAGTGGTCAGAACATAAAGCTCCTGATGGAAGAACATATTACTATAACAGCATAACAAAACAATCTCATTGGGAAAAGCCAGAAGCTCTTAAAACAGCGACAGAGGTAAATAAATTTTGTTCTTTTCTATGCGGCAAATATTCATAAATGTTGTTTATATTTTTTAGCGTTTATTATCAGCATGTCCATGGAAAGAATACACTTCTGATGCTGGGAAAGTTTATTATTACAATACAACAACAAAAGTTTCAAGATGGACAGCTCCCCCTGAATATTTAGAAATAAAGCAAAAAGTGAACGCTGAGAAAGCTGCTGCTGGACCAGTGCCGGGTATGACCATGCCTTCTGCTATATCACCACAAGTTCCATTTGCAACAACACCTTTGACATCTCCATACATCATGGGAGAAAACGTTGTAAAAACGCCAGGCAGCAACGAAAACTCGTCGTCTTCTGCAATGGATCATGCAATGGCAGCAACATTAGCACAACTTGATTCAATTGAAGTTCCAAATCTTCCAACAAGTGTTGAAAGTCCTGAAAAACCACCAGTAGAGGTTGTTGAAGAACCCGTGATTGAGTTCAAAGATAAAAAAGAAGCGATTGAGGCATTCAAAGACTTTCTTCGTGAAAAAAATGTCCCAACTTGTACTTGGGAGCAATGTATAAAGATCATATCAAAAGATCCTAAATACAATGCATTTAAAAAGCTTAGTGAAAAGAAACAAGCTTTCAATGCTTATAAAACTCAAAAGCAAAAGGAGGAAAAAGAAGAGCAACGTTTAAAGGCTAAAAAGTCGAAAGAAAATCTCGAAAAGTTTCTCATGTCAAATGAAAAAATCGATTCAACAACAAAGTATTATCGTTGCGAAGAAATGTTTTCAAGTCTTGATGTGTGGAAAGCAGTTCCAGAGCCTGATCGTCGTGATATTTATGATGATTGCATTTTTAATTTAACACAAAGAGAGAAAGAAGAAGCGAGAGTTTTGAAGAAAAGAAACATTAAGGTTTTAAGTAAGTGAAATTTAATTAATTAACGTAAAACTTTAAAATAAAAATTGAATTTGTTGATAGGAAAACTTCTTGAATCAATGGATTCCATCACTTATCAAACTACGTGGGCTGAAGCGCAATGTCTTCTACTCAAAAACACTGAATTTACAAGTGACATAAACCTTTTAGGAATGGATAAGGAAGATGCTTTGATTGTATTCGAAGAGCACATTCGCGCACTTGAGGTTGAAGATATTGAAGATCGTGAAATGGAGAAATTGCGACAAAAAAGACTGCAGAGAAAGAATCGCGACAATTTCTTGACATTATTGGACGCTCTTCACGAAGATGGAAAACTGACATCAATGTCAACATGGGTTGAACTTTATCCAACAATTTCTGCTGATTTACGTTTCTCTGCTATGTTGGGACAGCCTGGGTCAACACCGCTTGACCTTTTCAAATTTTATGTCGATCAGCTTAAGGCGAACTTCCAAGATGATAAAAAAATGATCCGAGAAATCCTCAAGGAAAGGAAATTCATTGTTGAAGTGTCGACAACTTTTGAAGAATTCGCCACAGTTGTATGTGAAGATGAACGATCTGCTTCATTGGATGCTGGAAATGTTAAACTCACATACAATTCAATGCTTGAAAAAGCTGAATCGGCTGAGAAAGATCGACTGAAAGAAGAAACTCGTCGTCTCCGTAAACTTGAGAATGAAGTTAAAGGTCATTGGATTGAAGCTGCTTTAACAACTTCTGATACATGGGATAAGGCGAAGGCAACAATTATTGATAAACTCGACTTCGAAGCGTATGATGAAGAGCTGAAAATTGAAGAACTTTGGAAAGAATTTATAAATGAAACTGAAAATACATGTTCGCATCATCATGCACGCTCAAAGAAGTCAAAGAAAAATCGAAAACATAAGAAACGATCACGAACAAGTTCAGTGTCATCTGGAGAAGCATCTAATATCGAAGAATCGCCTATCGAAGAATATGAAGGTGGAAAGAAGCGTAAAAAGAAGAAGAAGCACAAGGCGAGATCGCCAAGCAGCGAAGCGAGGTCATCGGTTGAAAAAGAGCGATCATCGAAGGAGGAAAGTCCAATTCCTGTTGTTGTTAAAAAGGTTTGCTTCATTCTCTTTAATTGACTCAATTCGGTAATAAAATTTCTTTTTATTTTTACAGAAAAAGAAAGAAAAGAAGCGTAAAGAGAAATCAATCTCCGGAAGTCCAATCAGTAACGTTTCTGATATAATTTCAGCAAAAAATGGCAGCGATGACCAAGCCATGAGTGAGTCAGAATTGGAATCAAAAAGACTTGCTTTGCTAGCTCAACTTGCTGAGCCAATGGAAGATTAAACTTCCTGGAATTTGAAAATATTTTTAATGAAATTTGATTTGTGTAATAAATCTGACACATGAAATTAATTTTTTTATTTTTATTGACTCGTTTCACATTCAACAAAATTTCCACAAAAAAATTAAAATAAAACAAAAAAAATTATTCGCTAAAATTATTTTCGCCGTCAGGATCTTTTCTCGATGAACTTTCACTTCCTTCAGCTAACGACGCCTTTTGAAAAGCTTTTTGTATTGTCTGAACTTGATCATTTGAGAGAATACTTGAAACGGTTGTGTCGCCAGAATCGCCCGACACATCAACATTGATTGGCTGCGGATTAAGTGTTGGTGTTGAGTCGCTGTTGGCAAGCGTTGGATCTAAAATATTCTTAAAAATATTTGGATTGATGAGCGTATCTAAGTCATATTTCTTAAGAAGTTGATCGATTCCCATATGGGGAGGATTGTCACTTGAACATCCAGACACTTCTCGTTGTGCTGGAAGAATTGGAGACTTTTCCACAAAACCTTTCGATGTTGAAGGTTGTGAATCTAATAAAGCGTTGAGTTGCATTTCAATTGGATTTTGCTTCAACCATGCAAAATCTTGTTGATTTCCTTCATCCTCGTCCATCTCATCAACAGCAGTGTTCAAATCTCTTTCAAATTCATCCTCAGGATCGAAATTCTCATCGCCAGTTACATCAAACAAACGAGCTTTTAACCGTTGAGTAATCTCATCAAGTTCAGTGAATTTTCTTTTTAATGTTCTACTCAAAAGATTTGATCCATCATCAGAACTGCCAACATCGATGTTCAAAGGATGCATCAACGATTGCATGATTGGCAGGGAAGTTGATGAATCTTGATATTGAAGTAAATCATCTAAAGGTTTAAAGCTCAACTTAATTTGTCCATTGCATCGTCCAGAAAAGTCCATGATGTTGTAATAACCCGACAAGACTGGCAAACCTGTCATTAAAACACTCAAATCGACAGCTGAAAAGCCAATCACAGCATCTTCAAATGGAGCTGCTTTCATTTCCGAATCTTGTGCGACTTTACGCCACACTTTCACAACAAATCTTTTTTGTGGGTTCATGAGAATATCTAAAGGTAATTGCACATTAAATTCCTGATTCCATTGAGGATCACATGACGATTTAACGACTTTTGTACAATGTACAAAGCCTTCGTGAGATTTAACGACATTTTCTGGAAGTAAATTTTCGTTTATTCGCTCCAGAGACGTTTCGAAAGTGGCATAAGTTGATGGCTCAAATTCTGTCCGTTGTGGTGCAGAAGAATTTTTATTCTTCCTTCGATTATGTTTCTTCTTAATCACAACTTCCGGTAAATGAGTTGCATGTTCGATTGACACAAGCATTTTAATGATATTTTGAGAAATTGATCCAGAAGATGAATCAGATTCGACATGTTGTTGATGAACTGCGGCGCTTGGTGGAGTTGTGAAGTTTACATTCGGTGGAGGTTGTGCGAGAGCTTTTTGAAGAGTCTCAAGAAGTTCTGAAGTTTTCCGAAGTTCCGGTTGATTTCGCGATGATAACGACGATGAAGATGCTGCTGATGATGACACTGCAGAGTTCTTTTGAAAATGATTATTCGTAACACTTGGCTCGGGAAGTTTCTGTGAAAGGCTTTCAATGAAAGCTGACAATTTATTCTTGATTTGAATGTTGGAATCAACTTGAACTGCTGCTGATTTATTTCGAACTGGTAACGGAAGATTGTGAAGATTTCTCATCAATTTGAAATATTCAATTTGATTCTCATTTCCAATCGCTAATAAAACTTTTCCTTGACAAAAAAGTTCACTTGAAAGTGGCGAAATGAAATTGCACCAAGTATCGATGGAAATAATCGGCAATTGATTTGTGCTCAGATGTTCAATCATTGCAACATCTCGAAATGCGATGTAAAATTGATGAAGCGGAACTCTGGTTGATCCCAACCATTTCTCAGATCGAGAAGTTTTTTCCCATAGTTTCAGTTCAAGATGATTGTTTTGAACTTTCTTGAGAAACGAATCGTCGCAGATGACCGGAAATTGCTGTTAACAAATTAAATTAATTCACAAATGTATTAATAATTTACAAAGTATTCTCACCTTAAGATAATTGAAAGTAAAAGAATCATAAGACTCAGTTGATTCCTGGCACTCATTCCAGAAGCCATCATACGTTATAAAATATTCAGATTGTAATTGATCTTTGACATTACGCAAACCTTCAATGAATAAAAGACCGCGATAAACTTTTGTTCGCAAATTACTGTTCTCTTTTCCAACATCAACCATTTGCGAGTCTTTTTCATCAGATTCAATGTCAAAGTTTAAATTGTTTCGATTTTTGTTCGCTGAACTTTTATCAGTTTGCAAATTTTTATTTCCGTAGTCACGGTCAGCATCGCAGTCGTCATTCGAATGACTTGGATGAGTTTGCGTCTGAACATTTTGATGAATTAGCGTCACTGGTTTATTTTGGGGCACAAAATCTTGATTGTTTGATAGTGAAATTGAAATGTTTTCCTTATGTCCGTAAAGTGCATCTGTGGGGTTAAATTTTCAATTTATTTTCTTATTAAATTAATTTTTCTTATTCTTACCCATCAAGTGCTTTCCGAAGTGAAGTTCGTTGATCCCCAGCTCAAGTTTAACATTGAAACATCCAACTTTCAAGTCACTTTCATTGACAATCAAACAACTTTTGTGAAACGTTCCATTTGATCTGATGATGTCTGAAAAGTTAATTCTTGTGAATCCAACAAAAAATGCTAAAGATTGAAGTTCAATTGATTTCACACAGAAGCCAAAGTTCACAAATGTATTCTGATCAGATGGCAAGTTGATTCGTTGAATGATTTCCTTGTTGAAAGAAATTCCTAAAGGAAAAGAAATTATCACAGATTAACATTTATCGATTGTTCTTATCAATTGAGGTCACAAATTAATTGTTTTTGCAGCTGAATTAATTCCCAATGAGAAAATCGCTTAAATACTTTTTTATGACGAAACGAAATCGTACAATTTTCTTATCGCAAAATAGTTTTCCCTTCCCTCACATTTATGTACACAAATAACTTAAATATGTTTCTAACGACATATTTATCTCCGATGTGATATGAAATTCAGTTTGCTTTATCATTCTGATCGCAAAACATCGTTTCCGTTTGAGACATGATCAAAGTTCTTTTGTTCATCACAACAATTGCGATTGCATTGTGTAGACAATGCGATGAAGATATTGTCGGCTTTCGTAAACTCGGAATGCATCGTAAGTTGTCGTTGTCTTGACGATGAAGTTCAAGGTTACTTCCGCTTAAAATTGCAATTTTGTTCTCTTTTTATAGACACAGCCGATTTCGATGGCGAGAGATATGCAAAAGTATTTTATTTGTCAACAGATTTTGAAGGTAATTGGATGGATGCAAGAAGTTTTTGTAAAACATTCGACATGGATTTAGCATCATTTGAAACCAGCTATGAGTTCTCAAATTTTGGAAGGTTTGCCGTGAAAAGTTTGCATTATTTTGATAAATGGACACACATTGGAGGAATTTCTAAAACAGTTGGAAAAAATCGCGAATGGTATTGGATTGCTACAAATCGTCGTGTTAGTTATCCATTAACTTTTGCTGTTGGACAACCAAACAATTATTTGGGGCGACAAAATTGCCTCGGAGTATCAAAGGAAGAGAAAATGTTTGAATTTCAAGACATTGATTGCCATGGACGATTCGAAGAAAAATTTATTTGCCAGAAGATTTGTCATTTCGATTGAAAGCAATAAAAAAATGTGCAACCTTCTTTCACTTACACTTATTAATTGATATTGACTCCGCAGTTCTACTATAGCGAATGAATTCTTAGAATCTCATGGATCATGGGTCATTTTCATAGCATACCAATAAATGGGAAATTTCCAGTTACGGTGAATCATTAATAAAATTGATTTTACGTTTTTCATAAGCATAAAAGCTCACAACAAAAATGAAAATTCATTGAGTCGTTGTTTAACTGTTGAGCTGATAAAATGAAAAACTTTTCAGTGAATATTTTAACTTCTGTAATGATTATGGACGTGATGAATGAAACTTTTATTGAAAGTGCTGCTGTGGGATTTAAGAAACTTGGAAATTATCGTAAGCTTAACTAGAATTTAATTAAATTACATAACTTAAATTAATAAAAAAGTTCTTTTAGATATCACAGACGTCAACGAAAATTCAAATGAGAAAATTTACTTTGTATCAATTGCGTTTCGTGGTAATTGGATGAGTGCACAAAGTTTTTGTCGTAGTTATGGAATGGATTTGGTTGCTCTTGAAAGCGAACATGAAGCAAAATATTTCATGAAATCTTGTGAGAAAGAAATTCAAAGTTTTGAGGCTTTTTCTCATATTGGTGGAGTTTTCGAGTCAAAGGATAACAAATGGCATTGGATAACATCGAGTGAAAAAATAAATTTTGAATTAAAATTCTCTTCCGATAACAAAAATGAAGGAGATAAAAAAGATGAGAATTGCTTACAGCTTGTAAAGGATAATAATGGATTTTCTTATGGAAGAACAAGTTGCTTCGGTGACAAACTGCAACCGTTTGTTTGTCAAAGAATGATAATTAAAATGAATAGATGGAAAGAATTATTTGGGAAATGAAAGTTTTTTAACGAATTATCAAATGGAAATTGAAATTTATCGTGCTTGTAGTTTTAAGCACGGATATTTGTGTCAACGCTTATGCTTCTTGAGCCAAGCTTGATGTCTGAAAGTTCGTCGAACGTAAAATAAAAACAATAAAATATGGCTTCACTTACTTTGCGGCGCGCTTTCGAAAACTGATGAGATGATTTTAATATCTTGATGTGATTTGAAGATTTTTGAAGTAATCGCACATTTCAAGACAAATTTATGATCAATAGCTTTGTTAATAAAATCTTGAACTTCCAGTTTACCAACTGAGTTTAAGTCAAAATTGCTTATTGTTATTTTAATTGAATCAATCTTATCTAAGAATTTTGGTTTTGACACTTTTGACTGGACGTTGTCAATCGATTCGATGATGCTTTGAGATGGTGAAAGAGTTGCTAGTTGAGTTAAAAATTTTCTCTCATCATGAAGTGACATTGATGCTCCAGAAAGGAAGTTAAAAAGTGAAGATCTCTTTTCTTGCTCAGAAGACGTTGTGCTTGAAGATGGCAAAGACTCTGGTCGAGATTTCGTTGCTACATGCAGAGAAGTTTTCGGTATTGGAGCAGATTTAACTTTCCGTTTATTTAGTAAAGGATTTTCTGGAAGTTTATGAAGAGTTGACACTTTGTATGGCTTTGGTTGGCGTAAAGTTATTTGTTTCTTTTTACCGACAACTTCAATATTTTCTTTATTCGAATTAGCATTGCTTAAAGCATTTACCGACTTCTTTTTCTTATTCTCTGTAAATCTTTCTGAATTCCAAGAAGCAGCAGATGATGGGAGAATTTTATTAGTCATAGTCACTTCATCTCCAACCAGGACTTTGAGATTTATAACCATTTCTCCCAAACTGAATTTCCTGGGACTTAAAATCGATGCACAAAATCTTTCACTTTTTTCTTCTCCTTCTTTGATCAGACGAAATTTTTCAGAAATGCAAAATCTGCACGAACCAATAAAATCTCCGGTTTTAGTTGAGAAAATGTCAATTTGAATAGGATCACAACTAGACAAATAAGATTGGAACAGTATTTTGGTAGTTTTAATATTGTAATTAAGTGTAGCTAATGAACTTCTTGACTTTCTTTTATCAATTTCAATTTTTATATCTTCGCATAAAGTTCCATCTTTTTCACCCCACCACAGAATATTGGTCTTTACATCTGTAAATGTTTTACTTGTTTTCCACAAAATATTTTCTATTTCAAGCACTAAATATCCTCGCACTTTTCCTGATACATTTGGTGGCAAACTATTCGACATTTTTCTCATTAATCATTTTATTTCTATAATTTCTGCAACATTCTTCGTATCAAATTGTAGATTATTGATTCTTAGAATACATAAATTGCTATTAATTTTTATTTATCTTAAAATCACTGAGAATTTAATAAATTCCTATGAATAAATTTAAAGTTTCACCAAAAAATGTAAACAACACAAAATAAAGCGTCGCTTCAAAAGTTGTCAGTTAAACTTCGACACCATTAAATCAACCAACCATTGGTACCGTCAAACTTCGACTTAACAATGAATAATATTTTTTCCTCAACACTGATCGTTTGCTCCTCATTATTTATTTGTTTGTTGCGAAACGAGGAGCTTTAATAAATTCAAAATATATGCAACAAGTGGATTTTAAACCTACTGATAACGTGGTGATATAAAACAAGAAAAATATGTGCAATTGAAGTCTGAAATTGTTTCGCAAACTTTTATGTGTCAAAATAAAGTCGTAAATTTAACTTTTTTGCAGCAATAGTGAATATTTCGCGGTCACAATTACAAAGAATTATAAATATTAGGAATTTAAAGTTATTCACATACGCTTGAATTGTGTTGATATCTTGAAGTTGATTGTTTTGTTAATAATTGCATTAAAAGAATTCAGAAGAGAACAACAAAAAATAAAAGGAAATGTGTAACTGTAGTGGGAAGGTTGTAATTATTTAATTATTCATTTAATCTACATTCTTCATCACTAAACAAATAAATAAATTTACACAATAAACAGTGAGAAATAACATCATAATGCTTTATCTTCGTTATGAGTCAATGAAGTTTTCAACATAACTGATTTGCATAAATAATCAAAATTGTAAAAAAAGATAAGACTTAAATGTTATAACGAAGATAAAAGTAGAAAATCAACGGATATGAGCTGGCTTCGATCAAGTCCGCTGCGTCAGAGTATTTCTCGTCGCACTCAAGACTTGTCAAGCTCCGCTACTGACAGCAAGGCAGTGATTGATTCATTCGGAAATCACTGGCAGCAGGTCCATCAAATCATCGGTCGATCCGAGGTGAGTTAAGTTGAAAGCAAAGAGCAACGAACAATTCAATTCATGAAAAATGGAAGTCGATGTACAGTTAAACAACAACAATAGCCTACCAGCATTATAACGAGGCTTGGTTTTCAAGCACATAGCTAGTTAATTGGCTCATTTTTGAACTATTATTTCTTCTAGCATTTCTTCTCGATCTCACACTTTTTTCTTTTCTTTTTATATCACTGTACATAAATTTATTTTTCTTCATCGTCATCCATCCTCCCTTCTCTGTTCGAAATCCATCACATTTTACATTTTACATTCTCTTTCTCTCATTTCATCTCGTGTAGATACATATTTATTTACACCGGCTCCAAGCCTCAATTTCTTTATCGAAACAACTGATGAAATAAATAAAAGAAAGAAAAGTTTCTAAGTAACACAATTTTTGAGTGGAAAAGAAAACTCATTTTGTCATGGCTCAGTGAATCATAATTGATTTGTGTAAATTCTGTTTTCGCGTAGTAATTCAGCTCTTGCACAATGCTACTTATTGTTGTTGGCGCTTATCAATCTTGGAATTTTCTATTAGCTTTTTATTCGTAACTTTCATTGTATTGTTAGTCGAACAAATTTAATTCGTTTTTTCTTTATTTTTTTTTGATTATTCGTCGTTTAATGAATATGTCGAGGTCTCGCCTACGATCGACCCGCTCGAAGTTTCTTTCGCAAATATTTTCTTATCGTTTTGTCTTTCCTTCATTACAATTCATTCGTTTCGTTTGCTTGTTTACTTTTTGATAGACTCGTCAGACACAACGTGATGATGTGTCAGCGGTAGTAAATCATTTGGATCATATGGTGACGTTATTACTTGTCGAGTTACAAAATAGCAATAAAATTGTGTTGCCAAATGGTCATCAACCGCCTGCACCTTGTCTGGAATTTATGCTAAGCGAGAATCTTCTGGATAAACTTTACGAGTGGAGTTTATCGACAGGACAATATGCGAACACTGTTCGTCTTGAACAACTTAAACTTTTTGAGCTGCTCGTCAGCCACTCTCGGCACCAACTTCTCGTCCATGAACCGTTCCTTCGACCATTACTGAAGTTGTTGGCATCGTGCCAAAATGAAATTTTCCCACACGATGTCGGAAAACGTTTGGTGATTTTATTAAATCAACTTTGTGTCGTGTTGATGCAAAATGTTCATCTTTTGGATTTATTTTTCTGCTCAACTCAGCAACATGGTCAACAAGTCAATGGTGGAAATCAAACGAATTTTATAATCTTTTCACTGCTTATTCCTTACGTTCATTGTGATGGATCAATTGGACATCAAGCAAGAGATGCGTTGCTGTTATGCATGTCGTTGTCGCAAAAAAACTCTAATATTGGAACGTACATTGCCAATCATACATCGATGAGTCCTGTACTTGTGACGGGCCTTTGTGGTCTTTATTCATCACTACCGAACTCCATTGAAATCCAATCAATTGATTGGTTCCGAATAACAGCCGACGACGTCAATGACATGCCCGAATTGACGCTTTTCATGAACTCTCTTGAATTTTGCAATGCCGTCGTACAAGTGGCACACCCGCTGATCCGTGATCAACTACTCGACTTTCTCTACCAGGGATTTCTCGTACCAGTTCTGGGACCAGCGCTTTTACAAGTAAGTCTTTCTTCTTTTCCTCATTTACATTTTGTGTGTTCTTTTTCTCTTGCACTTCATAAAATTGGATTTGTAAAATTCATTAAAATATCTTTTTCATAACTTTCGTTAAGTAAAAAGTTAAAACGTGATGATGGTAATTGGGATTCATTAACTAATCATTACTTTAAAGTGTTATAATATCGACAAAAAAAATATGAAGCTTAATGATGGTGATTGGTAACTAATATTTAATTACATAATTCCTCTTTATGTACATAAATAATAAATATTTGTTAAAGTTTTCTTTTGTGTTGAAACATGCGAAAGTTGATGAAAAACTTCTTCTTGCTGCTGCTTCTTCAATCTTTTGGTGATGGCCATGAAGCTTCTTTCTTAGTCAATCAATCAACAAACAATCAAATAAGCAAAAAAGAAAATATTTGATTTAAGGTTTTTGGTGGAGTCTTTTGCTTTTATAAATTACTTTACTTAATTAGAAAGGAAATTCTTCTATTTAAGTAAATAAAAAAATTATCATCATGAAACATCATAAAAATTAAAATGAATAATTTTACTAATCCAATTTTATTTCTCCATTCGCGCCTTTTTTCTTCTTCCCACCCCCACTCCAACACCTCCCACCATACACCCAAAAATTTTACTGTTTGGAAAACTCTCCAAACAACAAAAATCTTTTAATGAATACCAGAAACTTAAAGGAAGTCATTTGCAGACTAATGTGGAATCGCAAATATCGGCGATGGTTTATTTAGATTTGATTTTGCGGTCGGTGACCGATCCGGGATTGCTTCCGATTATGATTAAATTTCTAATGGATGTTGAGAAGTTTGATGAGCAACGAATTATCGATGTGTTGATTGAGAGAATTAATTCACCTGACTCAAGGGTAAGTTTAATGAACTTTAATTCGTTTATGAATAACCGACAACACCACTTAAATATCAACATTTATTTTCTATTATAAACATCAACAAACAACAAATAATAAAAAAAACTAGCTATGCATGGTAACATTGGCGCTTTTCGACACTCTTATGAGTCTTCACAATGAACAGTTGATGACGGATTTAATCCTTAAATACCTCATGGGTGCACCTCATATACCAATCGCACAAAAGCACAAAATTAATAAGATTCAAGCGTATGCGAAAACTGTCGACTATTTTCTCGACTTGGCACCTGAAGTTATGAAGAATTCTAATAAGATAATTGCTGAACATAATTCTATGGATTATCAACAACCAGCGTCAATGCCAGCGTCAACCTCATCATCTTCACAGACGAATGTCAGCCGAACAATCGGTGCTAATTGGAATCATTACGGACTCCACAATACCGGCGAAACATTGTATTCAAATTACCATGCTTATCTTTACGATGCACATCAGAAGATAAAACGAACGAAGCAAGCTTGCGATCAGTGGTCTGATAACTACTTTTACAAGCCACCAATGAAAGATAAACAAAGACAGCCTTCAATAAGATTGCCAAACGAACAATTAGTACAAATGATTCGAAATTTCTTTACAGAATTTCATATTGAAACGTCCGAAGACCATGGAAATGCAACATCTTCAGTTGCATTAACAAATACCACCAATAGTGGTAAACAATTCGATAGTCTTCAGTCTATTGGTGAAAGCAGCGGCTACGAAAGCATGAAATATCGACCAGACGAAGACGATGAAACATCGAGCGATATTTCACAACAGAAAACAAACGATAGTGGTTTCAGTACGATGGTTAACAACAGTGGAAGTAACGTCACCATCATAAAGAATCTTGAACCATGGCGACAATCACGTTATAAAGAAGATCAAACGATTGAACTTGAGTTGAGCGAAGAAATTTTTTCGCAAGGGACTGTAAGCTTAGGTGAGTTGGAAATTATTAATAAATTGAAGTTTTCTTAATTGAATAATCAATCAGGTCCCTTCTTAACATCGATTTGGAGCAAACTTCAAACATATACGAGTAATTTGTTGTATGTCAATCTTCATTTAACGGGAATTATTTCGCACATTTCTCTTTATCCACTTCCGTTGGTGCATTCAATTTTGTTACGTCCTGATATTCCATCGACAAGTGACATCCCGTCATTTTATCAAGTTCTTAAGATTCTTAAACAACAAATTGACGCTGAATTGCCAATGACAGAAGAATCTTTAGAAATGATTGACATGGGAAGAACTTTCTTGATTGACCGTGAATTTCGATTGATTAATGCGAGGAAAATTGCACTTGAAGCATTAAAAGCATCAAATAAACTCGCAACAACTTCATCGCAGCAATTACAATCAACTTATGAACCATTTAAACGCCAAGACGTGAAACGAAGATCGGTTGGAAATCCAATTATGAATATTTTTCGAAGACCTGCAGCAACTCCAGCTGCATCACCATCGTCATCAACATCGGCGACAAATAGTCAAGGTAAGAATTTATTTGTTACAAAATAATTTTATTCTCTCTCTTATATAATGAGATAATTTATGAAAGGAGTGGAAGTCGTTGTCCTTCATCCTCACTTCCAATAATCGAATTTTTAATTCTTAATCGTAATTATCAACGACACAACTCAACTCTCCCATATTTAATTGCACTTATTTTGATATAATAATCACTAATCAGATCTATAAAAGAAACAAAATCAAACCACTTCCTTGTCTCTTTCTCTTTCTCTTTTTCTTTGTAATTAATCTGCAATCTGATATTTAAAATATCATCATAAACAGCTCACTCATCTGGTTTCGCACAAATCTATGGTTTTCTTGCCGGTAATTATAACGCAATTAGGTTTTCTTAATATTATTGTGAGAAAAATTAAGTAGAAGTAGTTAAAGTTGATTATGTTTTACAAGTTGTTTTAGGTATATTTTATTATTTTAACATCTCAAATACTTACAACATAAATCATTGACATCGATAAAATACTAAAAAGAAAAAAGAAGATGAGGAGAAATCAATCGACGTAATCTAAGCATGCTCATGAGTAAAACCTAATAATTAATAAATTAATCGTGATATTATTAATCCTAATCCTAGTCTTGTTGCATTCTTTTAATCGAATCTTTCATCAAATTAAATTCATTCAACAATAAAAAAATTGCACGAATTCTTTTCATATTTTAATCTTTTTTTTCGTTTTGTGTTATTTTCAACATTGTTACATGCCAGAAGTGAAAGAACTCGACGGCATTGCATGAAAATATGTTATTAACTTTCCTCGTTTGTTTCATTGTTGCTTATTTTGTTTTTATAAAATTGTCGCTAATTTTCTTTTTTTATGTAATATTTAAATACCTTAATAGGAATCGCCAGTAATATTCAGCTAAGAGATCAACCAAATTCACTGGAACTTCAATCATCGTCGAATGATCCAATCGGGATAAGTGCAAGTTCTTACATGAATGAAAGACATCGAGATTTAGCAATTTCCGCTGTTCTGATGGACGAGTGGCTAAAAGAGATGTCAGCGATATCACAGGAAATGTCCATTGTGCTACTGAACGAAAATCTGAAGCGTTAAAAAAGAAATTTCATCACACCGTCAATTTGATATTTTTTCACTATTTTCCTTTGATGATCATTTTTAAAATGAAGCAATTTTCTGTGCTGTTTGAATTTTTAATTTTTTTCTTTCTTGTTTGATAGATAACTGAAAAATGTTAAAAAAGAAATAAAGAAACATATTTTATGAATTAAACTTCCTTCTTCGTATCGAACTTCATTTTTTTTTTATTTTATTAGTTTTCAGTGTAGATGTTCTTAACACTTTTTTGATTGAATGTGAAAACTTATGCTCTTAAGATGCAAGCACCACCAGCAGCTTTAATTTTATTTTCAGCTTTTTTAGAGAAATATTTTGCCTTAACGATGATTGGAATCTTCGGAAGATGACCACGGCCCAAAAGCTTGTAGTATCCCTGAAAAAGATAAATAGATTAATGATTTTGCTTTAAAACAAAAGAAGCATGTAAATTGTCTTAAAAAGAGTCAGTAAACGAACATTCAACAGGGTTTTTGGCATTTGTACGGTTGCCTTTAGACCGCCCGTTCGAAAAGTCATCATTATAAGACAGCTTAAAACTTTCATATAAATATACTTACAAATTGAACAATGTCAACAACAGGAACCTTATCTGCTTCTTTTGCTGCACGTTCTCTGTTTTCTTGTCCAACTAAAGCCCAAAGTTTGTCGAGGTTCAATGTTGGTGCGAAACTGTGGTTGCGGTTCAAGTGGAAATTTCTCATACCAACTTTACCAAAGTATCCAGGATGGTATTTATCGTAGTTAATACGATGATGGTGCATGCCACCGGCATTACCACGACCTCCTGGATGTTTGCGGTGCTTACCTAAAAGAATAATTGAGTTATGAATCAGTAAACATAACCTAAAGAATTTCACTGAATGTCATTAATAAATTACCAATTCGACCATGTCCGTGACTTACATGACCACGGAGTTTGCAAGTCTTCTTTCTTTTCTTGAGTGACTGAAAACAGACGAAAATAAAAAATTAATAAAAATGTGTACCAAAACAATTTTCCACACATGCTAAAAATTAAATTTTCAAAAAATTCAATTAACTTCTTGTTTAGAATGGTGAAAAACTATTTTTCAAGTGAGGAAATTAGTTATTAATAATTAATAAACAACTTTGTTCTTTAATATCGTCAAATAACTTGTGAAAATAATAAAAATTTAATACTTACAACCATCGTCGCCTGTAAGCTAAGAGAAAAAGAAAGATTCAAGCGTCGCTTCTAACAATGGCAACGCTTCAGTTTCAAATTTCAACCGTTAAAAATTTTATGTAAAAGGATCTAAATTCTTGAATTTATAAATTTCGATTAATGCAATTCAAATATTCTTATTTTGTTAAATCTTTTAAACTTCATGTGATCAAAGGTTTATTTTGAATGCTATGCTGTAATAAATACTTAGGTATAATGATTCAAGAGTTCATGGAATGACATTCACACTGGTAATTCTTAAATAAATATTATTAATGCTAACTAAGCGATCATAGGTAGATAGTTCTTTTACAGAAAAGAAGCAAATATTGTGTTGAATGCTGTTGAAAATCTTAAGTTTTTTGTGTAATTTCAGTCAGCTTATTTCATTTATTGATTATGTAAATGTCATTAAAACATAAATGAAACATGTTTTACATTGTACTGTGATGACAATGAGGAAGAAGCTTATGTTTTTCTAAGAAAAAGACAGGGACGCAACTTATGATTTTTTAAGCCTTCTTTGGTCTTAAAAGTTCTTCGACATATTGAACAGGTAGAATGCTTTGGTCCTTCATGATTCTTTAAAATATGCCTTTGAAGATTCCATTTTTGGAAGAAAGAAGATTCGCAAATATGGCATTGAAAATCTTTTTTTCTAAATTTCTTATGCGTGTTCATGTGATAAGCAATGTTGACTCTACTTGTCATTGTTTTTCCACAAATATCGCACTGATATGGTTTTATATTGAAATGCACCATATCTATATGTCGCTTGAGATTTGCCTGTGTAAGCATTTTCCCACAAATATCACAAGGTAAACGACAGGGAAGCAACTTATGATTTTTTAAGTCTTCTTTGGTCTTAAAAGTTCTTCGACATATTGAACAGGAAAGATGCTTTGGCCTTTCATGATTCTTTAAAACATGTCTTTGAAGCTGATCGTTACCAAAGTAGGAATTTTCACAAATTTCACAATGAAAATCTTTTTTTCTGAATTTCTTATGCGTGTTCATGTGATAAGCAATTTTGACTCTACTTGTCAATGTTTTTCCACAAATATCGCACTGGAGTTTAGTTTTCAAATGTCTTACGTATTGATGTCGTTTCGTTGTTTCACCGTTATTTAATACTTTTCCATGATCATCGCCATGAACGAAATACGGATTTGAGTTATCCTGCTTTTGAAGTTCATTTGTCTCCTCACTGCGACCTTTATCAAGATTGCTTGGACTTTCATGTTGCTGTTCAGAAATTTCTTCTTTAACTTTATTCATTGGAGAAGCCAACTCCATCTCTGTTGATATATTCAATTCATTTTCGGTTTTTATGAAATTCTGTTGAAATAAGATTTGTAGTTCATCATCGGTATCGTCAATGTTTTTGTTAGTAAACTTCTCAAAATATTTTTGTTTCTCTTTTATTCTGCGCTTGAACAGATGGAAATTATCTAAATTGTTTTCACATTTGGGACACATAAATTTTGATGCTATTCCATCCAATGACAAGTCAATTTGCAGGACAGAATGAATCTTGTTCTTTATGTCATTTGTGAATTTTATTCTTGACTTTTGCTCGGTGACTGATTTGAAACACAATCGACATTTCTCGTGACATTTTCTGAAGTCAGAAAAGATGTCTTCCAGAACAACTATGGCATTCAAATCTTTTTTTCTCAAGACACTTCTCTTTACTCGCATTCTAAGAATTATTTAGGCCAACGCTTGCTGAAGTATCAATGTTTCAAAAAAAAATATTGAAAATTCGATTTGAATAGTTTTGATTTTGTGTTCTTGACTTTAATTTCCTTTGTGGGTTTATTTTTAAATATTTTATGACGAAAATATAAACGGTTCTACTTAACTACAGTAAAGTAACAATAATAATACTGCAAGCAAATAAGAATTGTTTTTAAAATTTACAAAAATATTAAAATAAACCAACGTATTCTCCGTTTTGAAAATTTCAACTGCCAATATTTGTATCTAAGTTAAATAGGTCCAGCCTTTAAAGTTTAATTCTTTTATTTTCTACAAGAAATACCTATATTTTTTAGAAATTTAAAACCTTTTGAAAATAAGTCCGGGTCAGACAAATTTCCGGGCCGCTGAAAAAATGAAACATGTAAACAACATGCCCGACCTCTAGCGTAATTAAAATATACTTTCGGCATTTCAAATAATCCGCGGGAAATAGGTAATCTATTCAGAAAATGTCCTCTCAATATATTTTAAACTTGTCTTAAAGATGTCTTTACCTTTTCAGGATATTTCTAGCGTAGAAAGGAATTTAAAATTTGTATTTAACAAACATATCAGTTTTCTTTTCTTCTTTTTCTTAAAGACAAAATAAAATAGGTATGTAGGTAATTATGTATTCGAGAGTTGACCTCACGCTAATTTAATTATTCGAATGAATCAACCAATTATTGGAGAAATGTCAGTTTGTATAATACTTTTATTCGAATCAAAATGAAATTGTTGTGTGCTGCTTTAAGTTTTTCAATATTTGCTACTGCTTTTTCACGACCACAAGAAACTGTAAAGTTTTTGGGATTTCGAGAACTGGGAAAATATTCTGGAGTTAATCAAGAAGGAATCGAATATGAAAAAACCTATTATGTGTCGAGTTATATAAAACTGGCACCTCCTGCAGCTAGAAGCTTCTGCAAATCTTATGGCATGGATTTGGTTTCATTTGAATCCAGAAATGAATATCTTGTTGTGAGAAATAAGTTTGAACCCGAACTGCCTCGAGATAAAAGTATTTTCGTGATCGTTGGTGGATTTGCACATGTTCAACAAAATGGGAAAAAAATCTTTCATTGGATTTCAACTGGTGAAAAAATATTTTCTGGACTTGAAGCTACCGGAGAAGAATATTGCTTAGGAATTAAAAAAGAAGCAAATGAACCAGTCGCATTCATCCCGATTTCATGTGATGAAACACTGAAATTTATGTGTCAGGACATGGAGCTTCAATACGCTAATTAAATAAGATGCGTAAATAAGTTATCAAAACAAATTTGTATTTTTTCCAAAGCAGTTTTTCATTTACAGTTTTTTTTTACATTTTCATTTCTCTTTCCAAATAGTTATCTAAATGAACGCTGACAAAAAATCTTTTGGATTAAATTTAAAAATTATGGTTGAAGATTAAATTATATTTTTCTCTTAACAGTGAATCACTGAAGATATTTTCATTATCCAAAGTTTAAATATTTCATGGTCATGTGAGGTATATTAGAGCATTAAATTTTTTAGAACTATTGTTGTGTATATGGTAAAAATGTTATAAATTTATCAACAGATAATAAACGAAATATTTTCATCATTACTGGATTTCTTTGTAGTTTCACTGAACATTTTTCTTATTAAACATTTAAGGCAAGTTGTTGATTTTGAGTTGGTTTTTTTAAAATATTTCAGTCAAATGAAAACCCAAAGAAAATCCAGTAAATCCCTGACTATTGCATTTGTGTGGATGTGAGTGTGTGTTTGTGTATATGAAGAAGGAAAACTATTGTATATTGTGTGGTAAGTTAATTTTTTGCAATCACATCTGCCTTTAATCTATATTACGTTCAGCAACATTTTTCTGATGACGAACAAATATAGAAAAGCGAGAAAGGTAATTACTTAGTGACCCGTTTAATGAAAAAGACTATTGTACTGTATGTGAATGAATTTATGAAATTGTGTAAGAAAATTTGGTAAGTTTGTGAACGTTCGAAATTTTTTGGTGACTTTCAAATATACCATCATAGAAACTTTGGATATTTTTTAGTTTTTTGGTTCCCGCAATGAGAAAATTCTTGAAACTTACGAACTAAATCAATAAAGTAATTAATGATGATCTTGAATCTCTTAAGCAACGAAATCTAATGGCCGATTGAAGCCTCCTTTGCGATTCATATATTGACTGAAAATAAGAGGAAGTGGACTTAAAATTCAATTTCAACTAATTAAAGAAATGATAAAATTACCGATATTTTCGTTTGAGGATAACATGAACCTCTCCAACATTATTTCCATCGACTTTCTTTCCTTTTGTCGTATCAAAGCCGCAAAAGCCCATCGTTTTCATCATTTCAATTTCTTCTGCTGATTTTCCTTCTAAATCTGCTTCAGATACATGAACTCGTTCAGACATTTTAGATTTTGATGACGATGGCAATGGTGAACGTGAACGGTGTCTTCTGTCTCTATCATATGAGCGTGATCTGCTGTGGGATCTGTGAGGCGATAAATTCAGAATTGTAAATCCATACTCAATTATTTCAAGAAAACATTAATTCATGTTAGTTGAAAAGAAATGTTTGAAGGATGTTAATACACTACACTCAAAAAGGCACTTTCAGGAAGGGTTGATTCTTTCATTCACCTAGATTTTCTTCGAGAGCTTCCGACACCTCGCAGTTCCCTGTCTCTGCTGATTGAACGTCTACGACGCTCGCGACTCTTTGATCTTAATCTGTGTTTTCGTTTTGATCGATCACGTTCCTTTGCTCTCTTACGACGAACTGGAGATAGCGATCTGGATCTAGATCTGCTTCTAGATCGACCCATATTTACTTTCTACTTCTCTTCTGACTAATGTTGAAAAGAAAACGTTTATTATTGTAATTGTTTTCCAATTTAAAATAAAGATATAATGATAAAATTTCGAATGAATACACTACCACTCACATTTGAACAGCTACTAAATTATCTCTAATGGCCGAAAGTTATTACAAACTAATAAAAACCCATCAATAAACAAATTTTTTTCAACGAAATTTTTTAGTCGAGCTGAAGAATTGTACCACCAAAATGACCCCCACTGAAATAAAAATTTAAATTATTTTATACCGTTGAAATATTTAAGGATATTGAGAACTTCTTTAAATAATAAACTTTTTCACTTAGGTAATTGAAATTAAAAGTCTTTGTTACACATAAAACAAGCATTAAAATTATATATTATCAAGATCATATGAAGATATTAAGAACTACAAATTTTTCCCTTTCTTTGCAAACAATAAATTTGTTTTAACAACATGTGGACTCTCAGCAATAGCTTCCTTAGCATCTTCGTAATCGTCAAATTTAAGGAAAAGATATTTGTACTCATTCGGCGCTTTTAACTCTCGTTGAAGAGTTGGTACATATACATTTAAAATCTTTCCATATTTGCTGAAATACTTTTTTATCTCTGCTTCTGTTTCAGTTGTTATACCTCCAACCATGACCGAGCGAGTTTTCTCTGAAGTATCTTTCTTTTCCTTTGATTTTGGAGGTACGTCAACAACCACAATTTTACTTATATGCTCTTGTGTTTCAGTTCTCTTCGGTTGAGAAGTTTCTGGCATTTTCGAACCGCCATTTGCACTACTCGATGCTGCTTGATTTGGCTTCGATTTAATATTCATAAGAGCTGTTTGATCTTCACTCTGCATTTTATTTTCAGCACGAGGACTTTTAGGTTTTTCAGCAGATCCTGAATTGGCAATACCTTGGGCAATAATCTGTGCCATTGTAGGTACTACTGGAAGAGTTTCTCGAGGTGAAGGTTGGGGTAGTTGAGGGGGAGGGAGTGGTTTTACTGGTGAACTTAGTGGCGTCACTACAGATGGTGATAATTTAAAAGGAGAATCCATTTGTTGAAATATATTTTCCAATGGCGTTGGCATTTCATTATTTGATCCAAGACTAGATCTAAACAATGATGGTCTCTCAGGCTGTCTCATTGTCTGAGATTGCTGCTTCTAGATAAAACATTAGAACGAAATGAAAGTCAAAATACGAGAAAATCGTTATTGGCACTTACAAGTAAAACATTTTCGTCTCTTAGCTCTTTACACAAATTACTTAAAGTGTTAATTGTCTTCTCGTGGTGTAAACAACGCTTTTCTGCAGTCATCAATTCAATGTTCATAGAAGTTATTGAATTTTTCGATAGTTTCTCATCAATAATCCTATAAATCGTGAATATTTTTTTCTGTGGATTTCAAATCTTATAATCAAACTCACCTTAAACTATTTTGCAAGTCAGAAATCTTATATAGAATATTTCGGTTCATTTCATCGATGGCAGCCGCGAAATTCATTTTGTAAAAATGTTATAAATTTTTGATACAAATAAACGATTATGGTTTAAATTTGACAGATTAATTAGACATATAGTCAATAAGTCACTTAAATGAGCAAATACTAACGCTTTGAATTGAATTAAAAGGAAAATTCTAATTTACAAATGTCGGAATAAGGTTAGGGTCACTGAATGTCTCTTATCACACGTACAATTACACTCTCCACCTGAAACTAGACATCCCCCTATCACACGTACAATTACAGTTAACTGTCTAATTGCGAACCTAATTGCTCAGTTAGCAACTTCAGCTCAGCCGTAGTTCAAACAAATTGTTAGTCAGTTATTTATTTCGTTAGATGTTGACAAATATATTACCTACCTAGTTTTAAACAAATTTAAATTAAGATTTTTAAATCCATTCATTTGCTTATTCATCTAAGTAAAGAGTTATAGAAATTAAATAAAGATGTAAGACTCAATTATAACTCTCAGTTTAATTCATTTATTGCCATGAAAATATGTAATAATCAAGTTCTGTATCAAGTCACATAAGTACTTTAACTTGTGTATTAACAATAAATTCAAAATTGGAAACATCAGAGAATAATGATTTTTTTTTAAAAGTTCACTTGAGCTCTAAAATGTTGTTGAAGTTTGTTAGCTTTATATCCAACTTGCATATACAATTTCGCCTGCACTCGCTTCATCATATGGATATCTCTAGCTTTTCTTGACACCTGCTCTTGTTGTGTCACTGTCCAACCTAATGCACGATATTGAGCAAGCACATGATGTAAACGTTTATCAGATTTTTTAAGAACGACAGCGCGGTTCGGATTAATTCTTTGCTTGTAATATCTCATTAGTGATCGATGTCCAATAACGTTACCAGAAGGTAGAACTAACTGATATTCATCACCTTCAAGAACTGGCGCTTGCACCTCTTCATCTAAATCTTTCGAATCATCATGATCAGGGTAGCTTGAACTGTAGTCATAGAAATCAACATATTCAGCAAGTGCTGCTCCTTCGTGTAACATTTTAGTATGGCCTTTTTCGATCATGTGTTGTCTTACTGCTTGTATCGAGTAAAATGTTCGACCTTTTTCATTGCACCACAGACAAATGAAATCACGGCATACCTTTTCTGCGAGATATGTCAACAAGCCTTCAACGTCGGAACAAAACTCAGCATCAGGAATAAAAAATGAGTGCGCAATTGACATATGTTTAAGATTTTTCACCAGATTTTTGCTATGATGATCACAAAAGATGCAATTTGACTTAGCAATAGGGTTTTCAGTGTCATCGTCCCATTCATCAGAATCAACCGATTCAATTTCCATGTCGTCATCATCGTCGCCATCATCATTCGTTTCATTGATAATTTCACTCGCAGGAACACTCACAAGAACATCAGCATCGTTTTCATTAACATGATTTTCCATGAACAACTTCAAATTATCTTTATGCTTTTTACTATTCAAGTGATTGTCATGAGCATTCTTGGTTTTAAAAAACTACGTAAGAAATAAATGTGAAATTTTATTGAAAGGAAAATAAATGCAAATTATAATTTTTACCTTTTTGCATGCTTTACAAAACAGCGACTGATCTTGAAGGGATTCTTCCTCAGCACTTCTTGCTTGAAGAACACGACTTTGGAATTCCTCTGCTGTTACAGGTGGCAATTCAGAAACTTTTCTTTTAAGATTGTAACTAAACGATGGAACGTTTAAAATATTCGATAAGATACGAGAACAATTTCTTTTTTAATATATTGTGAAATTCATTTTTTCTTACCGATGCCAGTCACTTGTGAAGTGCGCTCTTTGCGTATCTCCATCTTTAAAAAGAACGGAACACGATAAGCAAGTGAATTTCGACATTAAGGACTTGTGTTATCGGAAATTAAAATATTTATTTTATTTGACTGTCTAGGCACGTTTGCACACAGGGGGTACTAAATTATATAGGGGGTACAACTCTTATGTTTGTTTACAAAAAATTTTTCATCTCACAACAAAATTTTAAATAATTTTATTTTTGAAAACCCTCGATGTTAGATATTGCGACACTGAAAACTTTTGATACAGAATATTCAGCAGATTCTGTTGAGTGGTGTCGAGAGTCAGCATATAGTAATTACTTTGTAGTGGGAACATACCAACTCGAAGAAAAAGACAAACATGAAAGCTCAAACAATATCAGGAAAGGAAGAATTTATCTGTTCTCTTATGATTATGAAAATGATAATTTGGAGAAACAACAGCAAATTGACACTGATGCAGTGTTAGACCAAAAATGGAATAAAGATATTTTATATACTGCAACATCATCAGGAAACATTGAATTGTTTAAAATGCAGCAGAATCAAGAACAGCTTAAAAGTATAAGTAATGTTCATTTGGGTTCAAAACCTTGTCTAACACTCTCATTAGATATTGATAAATCAACCTCAAAAACTATTGCAAGTGATTCAATCGGTAGATTATCGCTTGTGAATAATGAATCATTGAAGATTGAAATGCAATGGAATGCTCATGATTTTGAAGCATGGACATGTGCATTTGATTGCTACAATTCCAATGTTATATTTTCTGGTAAGTATAATAATTCTTCGTTGATTACCTACTTTTTAAATATTAAATGTTTTTACAGGTGGAGATGACTCATCATTTAATATATGGGATATTAGGGATGGTTCAAATGCTACTAGAACGAAGAAAAGTTCTCGTGATGCTGGTGTTACTTCTTTTCTAAACTTAAAAGAAAATTTCCTTTTAGTTGGAAGTTATGATGAAAAATTATCTTCATACGATTTGCGTAACATCAAGCGGCCAGTTGACGAAATTAATCTAAAAGGAGGAATATGGCGTATTAAGAAATCTCTTTCTGATCAAAACTTGTTACTCGTTGCTTGCATGTATCATAACTTTTCAATAGTAGATTGCAGTAAGGAATTGAAATTAATGGGTGAATATTTTAATCATGAAAGTATTTGCTATGGTTGTGATTGGTCAACAAATAATGATTATCATTCTCAAATATTTGCATCATGTTCTTTTTATGATCATAAGCTATCAGTAGCTCGTGTTAACAATTTTCTACAAAAAAGTTGAATTTTGTTAATAATAATAAAATTTAACGGCTGATATAATTTCAAATTTTATTTTTTACTTAACGGTGGGTTACAAACTTTCACATTTGGATTAGACTGGAGACGACAGAAATTACTAAAATATTTTAAGGAATCAGAAAACAAGTGATTAAAGCATGGCTGAGACCGAAAAAAAGAAAATAAACGACTTAAGAGTTGTTGATTTAAAAAGTGAACTAGAAAAGCGTTCGCTGGAAGTAACTGGTGTGAAAACAATCTTGATTGAAAGATTGACGCAGGTAAAAATTTAAACATGCTTTTTTATTCTTATTATTACAAAGTTTTATGTTAGTTTCCTATTAAAATGGCAACAACATTGTTTTTATCTTGCTAATGTATTCAAATAACTTCTACATGCATTTAATAGTCAATATTAAGAAATCAAAATTTTCGCCATATTGATTCACGATTATGAAGAAGGATTTTTGTTTTTGTTGCTGTAATGCAGTTTTCATTTTTTTCTTTCATTTAAATTTAGGCTCTTCGAGAAGAAGGTAACGATCCAGAAGAATACAGCTTCGAAATAACTATGCAGAAAGGAAAGTCAGTAAAATCTGTTACGCCTTCAAAGGCAGCAAAAGAAATAGAAAAGCCAGCTGAAAAAGAGCAAGATGTCCCTGAAGAACCAATTGTTGAAGAAGAAAAACCAAATAACAACGTTATTGAAGAAGATGAGTTAATAATTAAAGAAGAAATTGACAATGATTGTTTCGAAGAGGTTGACCGGATCGGGGAAATTGAGAAAGAAGTAGGAATCATAATTTTAATTTGTATTTTAAATTTATTTTTATTTCCTACCTTCCAAAATAGCCGAAGGTTAACCACGTAGAAGAAATCAAAGCCGACGATAACATTGAAACCGGCAATAACGACCATGAAGATTCGATCAATTTAACTATCGGAGATGAAGACTTGCTCCATGATGAAGAAGATGATGTCAAACCGAAAGGTGAGATTTTTTTAATTATTAACAATTATCAATTGAAGCAATTTCCAAAAGAAATTCAGTAAAATTTTGCTTGATTTTTATGGTGAAATTGTTTTCTATTATCATAAATATTTCAATATTTAATACTAAAGTGCCTTACAAAGATTCAAATTGATAAAAAACCTTATCAATATGTAAAGGCAATGATTAGAAATCGCTTTAATTAATAAATTTTTATAAGTACACCACCATAATATTGCACATGACTAACATTTTCATTTTACTTGCTAACAATCATAAATCTGTAAAGAATCTGGATCTAATGAAAAACTTCTAATGATTGAATCAGATATAAAAATTGAAGACAATGAAAAGCCTAAAAATGATGATACAAACGCTGAGAAGATCAAAATAGAAGGGTGAGTTAATGATTTCACTTTCTTCAATTCTGAGATGCTAATGCAACAGTTTTTCTACCTCTAGTGACTCAAAGTCTGTGACAAACACATCAGGAAAAGCAGGAACATCTTTAAAAGACGGTGAGTTTTTCTTTTATTAAAAATATAAATAAACAAAATTTTTGTAAAGTGCATTGTGCTTAAATTATGATAAATGTAGCTTTTAAGTAAGTTCATTCCTAAGAATATCAACATAACTAATGTGATAACAAAAAAAATGTAATTGAAAAGTTCAAATGTTTATGGAACGAGATTATCAACTAATTAAGCATTCAGGAGATCAGGGATAAGTCAGGAGATTCTATGGTTGGGTAAGATTATCAGAGCGACAACTTCAGACAGCCGAAAACATCGAAATTTACATAATTTCTTTATTATTATTGCTTATTAAGTACAAACAGAAGCAAAACAAAATTCAACTAAAAATCAATTTCCTATTTTCTGTTCGGATTATTGCGGATATTGCAGAAGCTCCAGCAACATCTTCGAGTGCATCAGCCACAACCACTAGTACAAATGTTAAAACAAAAATAACAGCGCCTTCATCATCATCATCATCGACGAACACTTCTAGCGCTTTGAGTCGTAACTTGTGGGTTTCTGGTCTGTCATCACTCACTCGAGCAACCGATTTGAAGATGATCTTCAGTAAGTACGGAAAAGTCATAGGAGCGAAGGTTGTTACCAACACTCGTACACCGGTTCAGCGATGCTTCGGGTATGTCACCATGGCAAATGCAAATGATGCCACAGAATGTATCATCAACTTGCATCGAACTGAATTACATGGACGTAGAATTTCTGTTGAACGAGCAAAGAGTGATTTGGGATCTCCAAAGACAAATGGAAGTGTTTCAGCAGAAACTAATGATGTCAAATCTACAAGCAACTCATCTTTGAATGACAAGAAGAAAGAGAATGCCGAGGCAAATGTAAAGAAAACAAACAACTCTAAAGATGTGAAAGATTCAAATAAGATAACAAATGATGAAAAGTCATCGAAGGATAAGAAGAAGGAAGAGCCTAAATCGTCATCATCAACCACATCATCAACAGCAACAGCAGCTAAACCTGAGCGTAAACGAATTTCACCGCCACGTTCTGATTCGAAAGAGAAGCAGCAGAATAAAGTCGTGAAAGGTCGTGCAAGACCTAAAAATGATCGAAGTCGAAGTCCAAGACGAAGCAAATCATCATCGCAGAAAGGTCGCGATAAATCTTACGATAAGATCCTTGAAGAACGAAAACGTGAACGTTTAAGACAAAAAGAAATTGAAATCCGTGAAGACGAAAGAAGACGTCGTGAAATTCGTCGTCGACAACGTGAAGAAGAACAACGTTTGGCTCGTGAGCGTGAGAAGCTTGCAATCGAACGACGACGAATTGAAGAGCAGAAAGCTGAATTATTACGAATTGAAAGAGAACGTCAGAAGTTGGAACGAGATAAGATCGAATTGGAACGTCTTGAATTGAAAAGACAACAACGAAAGTACGAACCAACATTTTCCCAATTCCATCTTTTCAATATCTTTACAAACAAAACCAAATTTCGATTAAGTATAAAAAAACAAATAATATCATTTACTTTCTCCACTAAATCTGAAACTACGATAGACGACAAAAAATATTTCTTTTCGTTTTGATTAGTGATTGATTGATTGAAGAAACTTCAAGTAATTTCCTAGGTAGAGACATTCGGGAACTTAACTTAATGAGTCTAGAAAGAAAGAATCTCAAGATAAATGCTTATTGGCTTATTGTGCTAATGCGATGTCGAATAATTCTCGCAGTCGTTGATCTTTACTCTAAGCTTGTTGAATGTGCTAAAGTTATGTTGAAGACATCATTGGATAAGACATTTTTTCATCTTTCATCAAGCGACATCGACATTGACTTCAGCAAATAACTTCATGGCATTGACGATGATTACTTGTCTCAACCACCATTTGAGTGAAAAACTTTGAGTCGGACGAATATGAAATGGATGAGAGAAGAAGTCTCAAGATTTGTGGAAATCGATAAACTTGAATTTGGTTGAACCAAAAGAGACATCAACAACAATTCAACAGAAAGTCATTCAACTCAGCTCAACAAACTTTAGCGCATTCTTCGAAGCTTCATTTTTTTCAATTCACGTTTTCCTGACCGCTTTCTTGATCGACTGAAACTGAATCAAGTTTTGAAACTTTATTTTCATTTTTCGATTTTAATTTTTGCTAAGTAAGATTTTACATTTGCAAACAAACGAAAAAATTCATTTGGTTTCCTAATCTTTCGATTATTGTTAATTCTCGGAGCCCCTCAAATAATTTCATTTAAAAAAATTCTTCAACTCCATTTTTCAATCGTTTAATTGTTTTTTTTCCTTTTATTTGTTTTTTCACCATCTTTCCTTGAAAATATCAAATAGGATTGAAGAGGCGAAACGGGCAATAAAGCGACCACCACCTAAGGATCGTTATGATGAGGAAAGAAATCGTGATCGTAAACGACCATCAGGTGATTCGAGAAGATTCGAAGCACCACCACCACCTCGATTTGATACAGGAACTATAAACAGGTAAGTTTTGATTAAATTAACTTGAATTGAATTAATTCTTTTTCTTTTTCTTATTTTATCAAATTAGAAGCTCGAATTATGAACGAGACCGCGGTGCATCAGATATTAAGAAACGACTTGACTCGTTTCCAGTAAAACGTGACGATTCTTATTCGTCAAAACGTGACACATATAAAAGCGGTCAAGATGATTTGATGCGTGACATGAATATGCCGCAACGTCACTCAAGTAGCACTTACAGTGGCAGCAGTGCGCCTCGTGTTGAGTCAACTACTGGTTTAGCGAAGGAAAGATATTCGGAACGTCAATCGAGTGACTATAGAAGCAGTGGGAATCGTAGCGACGATCGTGATGCTAGAAATGGCTCAAACAAGCCACAAAGATATTTGGAAACCTCAGGTGAAAGTCGCTTCAGTGACAGAACATCTGTTGTAAGTTCAGGTGCATGGAATTCTGGTTCATCACATCAAGCATTTGGAATGAATCAAAATGAGTTATGGGCACCGAAACAACAAGAAGGAAATACAACATCTTGGCGTGGATTGGAAGATATTCGCTACGATAGATTCGCAAACAATGATCGGAAAGCGACACTTCCGAATCAACAATTTATGGATTCTTCAGTTCGTCCACATGTTTTGGGTGGAAATACTTTCCCACCAATTGGACGTATGGGCAACAATCGCTACGACAACAACCGTTTCTAAGAATTTATTTACATCACCTTGCAAGAAATATCATTGAAAGTTTAAAACTTAAGATAACCTTTACATGTATTTCTATTAATTTTAAACCGTTCACAATTGTAATTTGAAAGATTAAACTAAATAAAATACATAAAAAATTGCTTGACGAAATCGTTTTTGTTATTTTTATTTTGCGAGATAACTTTTTGTTAATTTTATTATGGATGAACATTTTCTTGAAAATATTTTACAAATTTGATTTTCCAGAATAATTTCATTGGATTTTCAGATAAATTGTTGACACTTCGTTACAATTTCTTTTATAAGTATTAGTTAAGAGTGTGGAAGTAACATGAAGTTTTATTTGGATTTCTTTAATAATTATTTGTATCCAGAATTCAACGCAGATATGACTAAGTAGTTAAGCATTTTTCAGAGCATTATGACAATAAAGATTATTGACAAATTTTTTTCTTGTTTATACTTATATTTTTATTTTTTCCTGAATAATGTTAGGTATAACTTGTTAGAAAAATTAAAAGTATCTATGATTAAATTTTCTTAAATAAGAATTCATAATTATTTTTGATTTTTAATTTTTTTCATGAGTTATTAAGAAAGTTAAAATTCTAAAGCAAAGTTATAAATCTAAAATTGTTCTTTGTCCTTTGAAAGTAAATATTTTGAATTTTCTTACTTTTGTGAGTTGTTTCTAAAATTATTCATTGTAATGTAGCCTGAACTTGTTGATACTTGTGATATTGAAGATCCAATATTTGTACTTACAACAGGATCGAATTTACTTTTATCGTCTTCTAATGTTGAATCCGGTACTTCGGAAGTATTTTTGCTTAATCGATAATTCATGGCGTTTATTACATCGAAATTATTGTCATATCCTTCATTGTCAATAGAATTAATTGATTTTGCATCTTTCATTGTCTTTTTAGAATTGATTGGCTTCCATGGTGGAAAAGAAAAAGCTTTTGAAGTCCTTTCAATTTTCATTTCTTTTTTCATTATTTCATATTTAAATTTCGATTGAATTCGTTCCAATCGCTTAACATAACTTTCGTAACATTTTTCTGTTTCCAAAATTTCTTCTAATGAAATTTCTGGAGACCGCCAAAGTTCATTTGATGTATTTAAATAAGTTAACCCTTTGTTGTCTTCTTTCTTCAGTAAAGAAAGTTGTGAAATTCTGTCCGATAATTCTTCAAAAGTTGGACGGTCTGAAGGCTGAATCATCCAACATGATTCATAAATTTCGAAAAGTTGTTGCGAACAGTTTGTTGGGCATTTCATTCTAGCACCATTTAAGAGTTGGAACAAGAACTCTCCTTGAGTAGCAATGATTGATGGATATGGGGATCCTCCAAGTGTCACAAGTTCGTATCCGAGAATACCAAAAGACCAAACATCGCTTTTTGTTGTATATTCTTCAGCCGCTGTAAGGGCTTCTGGTGGAAGCCATTTAATGGGAATCTTATCATCACTGCACTTTGCGTAAGTGTTGCAAGATTTACAAACATTTCTCATGAGACCAAAATCAGAAATTTTACAGCACTTCTGTTCATTCAATAAAATATTTCGTGCTGCCAAGTCACGATGAACTAATTTAAGTTTCGCTAAATGTGCCATTCCGCATGAGATTTCAAACGAAAATCGAAGAATGTCATCTTCAATGACTTTATCAATACCTTCGCTATTTAATCTTGATTTGATTAAACGACTTGACAGTAAATAGTCTTTTAATGAGCCAAAAATACAAAATTCGAGTATAATCATGGGCAATTCTCCTTTTGAACAACATCCAAGCAAAGCTATGACGTTAGGATGAGGATCAGAAGAAACTTTTTGAAGTTGTTCAAATTCTTTCTTAAGACTTGTCAATTCTGAATCATTTGTCACATTTTTAACTGTTTTCAAAGCACCTAAAACCGAAGCTTGATTTTTCAGTGAAGCTAACATAACTCTACCAAATTCTCCTTCTCCAATAATTTCTTCAACTTGAACATTATCACTTTCAATTTCCCATTTCTTTGAGTAAAATTCAAGATGACAATGAACGGTTTCTGATGGTATTGCAACATCATCTTGAGAAGTTGTTCCTTCTCGACTGCGTAATTGTGGTTCTATGTCAAGAAGAGAAATGTTTGATGCAAGAAGAATTTGAGATTTTTGTAGAGTTCGAGCAGCAAAAAAAAATGTAAAGTAAAGTCCAATTAAGAGAATAACAAAAATTGAAATGACAAGTAAAGGAAACCAACATGAATCATCACAGGAAAAAAAAATTGGAGAAGATTTTTCGTAATTTCCATTTTTTGAAAGTTCAATTCCAGATTGAGTTAATGTTTTGTTGAAAGTTAATGAGTTTTTCGTTATGTAAACACATATATGTGCAGAATCGTGAGGCTTCTTCCTTATGGACACATCAAAGGCTTTCAATTGGAAGCAATATTTGGTTTGATTCAGTTTTCCATCACGTGTAAAGAGAATGTCTGTCAATGTGTAAAGAAAATTACTCAAAATGAGGAAAGGAAAAAGATGTAAAAAACAAAAAAACTCACCACAAATGAAAGCAGACGAAGTTAAATTAAATTCGGAATCATACCAAGGATTCAAGGAACAATTACATTTGAAAATGTCTTCCAAACCATGTACTTTTATTTCAGAATGACTGTTGGCTTCAATTGAATCTCTGTCACGGAAAATAACGATCACAGAACGATTCACAATTTCATTCTAAAATTTAATTTTTAATCCATTTCTTAAAGAATATTTCAATACAATTTCTTACCTTTGAGAATTCATTATTTTCACGGAAGATTTCAACTTTCTTGGACTCATCGTCAACATATATCAAATTGTCATTCCTATCAACAATTGTTATGTTCAAAAGCTTTCTATTTGTAGAAATTTCATTGAATTGCTTGTCTTTTAGTTCACAAGTAACATCAATGAAAAGTGTTTTAATTTGCATCATTTCGTAATCCGTTTTTGGTTCTTTTATTAATTGATTTTTCAGTGAAATAAAAACATGATCGGTTCCTGAAAAAAATATAAATAAGAATCAATTATGAATTACGAATTCTTTGACTTACCATTTTTGAAGATGTAAAGTAATGAAAAATCATCACAAACACGACGATATAATTGTGGACTCAATTCGCCAATGATTTGTTCTTCTGTCACTGGTTTGCGATCATTAAATTCTGACGAGAGATAATTGATGTGATCAAAGAAGCAAGAAAACTCTCGACAAAATTCTTTTTGTGTGATTTTCATGAAATTGAAAGACAAATTTGTTAAAGCGGTGGCTCCGGTTTCCATATTTTTGACAGTCGCTTTCAAATTCTTTATAGTTTTGACTCCTTCAAACCATTTATTACGATGAAAGTAGACTGCTCCTGTTATTTCATTAATGGTGAGCACATCTTGCGATTTTTTCAACGAAAATTTGTAAGATGATTTTAAATTGACTTCCAAATCTGTAAACGTCAAATGAAGAATTGGATATACATCCAATTCGTAATGAAATTGCTTTGTCACTGGAATTGTCACCTCCACGTTTTGTTGGTGTATGAAAAGCTTTTGTGCTGAAAACAAGAAAAAATTTAAATGTTTTTAAAAATGGCGGAAAGTGAACAAAATTTTTGAAATAACAAACTTGAATAAAATCAATAGATTTACCCAGAATTCCGTTTAAAGTAATTATTATAATTAAGAAGAATTTTGAAAGTAACATTTCTTTTTGGAGAATATTTTAATAATTCTTCTAATTTGGTATTAAAACGTACATTCAAATTTTATTGTTTTAAGTCTCGTTTGAAATGACTTAAAATTCAGAGAAGAAATTAAAATTAATCAAACAAGGATGAGATACTATGACGTGTTACTTCACGTGATCTTTAAATTACAGTTATAATGAGAGAAAACAGGCAATTTATTTAACACACAGAGAGAAGTAAATAAGAATTTCATTCCAAATCGTTTGAATGCTCACGTTTGGAAATAAAAAGCCACTCAATTTCGTATTGCCCATACGTGGTCGCTATTGTAGAATAGAAATTCTGATTTACAAATATAAACATTCGGCAGGAAACAAATTCAAGTTATTTTAAACCATTCACAATTAAAATTTGAAAGATTAAACTAAATAAAATACATAAAAAATTGCTTGACAAAATCGTTTTTGTTATTTTTATTTTGCGAGATAACTTTTTGTCAATTTTATTATGGATGAACATTTTCTTGAAAATATTTTACAAATTTGATTTTCCAGAATAATTTCATTGGATTTTCAGATAAATTGTTGACACTTCGTTACAATTTCTTTTATAAGTGTTACCTAGTTAAGAGTGTGGAAGTAACATGAAGTTTTATTTTGATTTCTTTAATAATTATTTGTATCCAGAATTCAACGCAGATATGACTAAGTAGTTAAGCATTTTTCAGAGCATTATGACAATAAAGATTATAGAAACCTTTTTTCTTTACATTATAAGCGGAAATTTCTACTTTCACTGCACATTTTAAAATTTCCTTCACATTTTCATTTCAATTTTTAATTATTCCCAGCTTTTTATGAGATTTAATAGAAATTGCGGAAAATCTTTTAAAATCGAGCCCACGGGCACCCTTTAATTATTTTATTTTCTCACACGTTCATGAAATGTTTCTTTAATTAAATTATAAAAGATCTATAAACGTCTCCTTTCAAATGTTTTTTTCCTTATTCTTAAAATAAATTACAAACCAACAAGCAGATATCTGAATAAAAATATCTTGCATCAGGTGCATTTTCATCTTCTTGATAATATTTTCATTTGAAATTCGAATGGAGCAGATGTGACGATTTTCATTCTCTTCCCACTCGAAAACTTTTCAACATTTCTCCTTGAATGTCAATAGAAATAAAAAATAAGTAAAACATAAAAAGAACTTAACAGTTAATTTCGGGTCATGGAGCTTCAAGAACATGATTTAAATATGAAATGTAGCAAATGGCGAGTTTCAAGATTTCAATTTTTGAGAGTTTCTTGTCCGGTGGAAGTGTTGGAAGAAGCTTTCGAAGTTCAGAAAAAGCAACATTAAAAGCTTCAACGCGAATTCTTTCACGAGTTGCATGTGCCGTACGATATTTTGCTGTCGCTCGACGTCTTCCTATATTCAAATTTGTTGTTTTAATGGAAATACTTTAAAGACTTTTATCAGATTTTATTACTTCTCCTTTCTTCTCTAGATAGACCAGTTAAATCCATATTACATCCACCTGATGCCACAATGGAGCCGCGTTTACGGCCATTTTGAGTCGCATTAGGAATTTGAGATTGAACAGGAATATTGGCACTGTTAAAGTTTTCACATGATAATGCATTAAAGCTTTCACGTTGAATGCAATTGGCAGTTGATGTTTGATATGGCGGTAAACCGTGATTTTCTACTCCGTACACCATCACGAACTTTATAAGTTTGCAACCTTTCCACTTATAGAATGAAAATTTTATTTTTCCAACCGCTATTGCTGAGATCTGACGAGAAACTGACTGATATCATCAAATATTTCAAGAATTCTTTTCATTGGATTGGAAATTTGCGCAATGTTGAAAGGGATGCTAAGCCACGCCCCTTTATGTTGTGCAAAGCATATTTTTATGCTTCTTATGATGTCGGACTGACATGGATATCGTGAAAGAACTCGAAATATGTTTACTCTCATAAATCGTTTAAACTTGTTAAATTTTATAATGTTTGTGTAGAAATTCATGAATTCGATTCACATTCAGTTTTCCGCCGGAAATCGGGATGAGAATTAGCTAAAGTTGAATTATGATTAATGAAACATAATTTATAATCCTTGCTTTATTTGGAACTTTTGTTGCACCCTCTAATCACCTTGTTGCATCTGATAAAGTTTCATCGATAGAGTTGCTAAGCAGATGAAAATATTTACTGGAATTGCTATAGTTTTACCTTTTGAAGTCAGTGAAACAATTTAGTTTTCCAAAACATTTCATTGAAAAACAACGTATGAAAGTTCACATTTTCATATTTTGACAATAAAAGATTTTTTAACTTAGAGAAATGTCTGCAAGAACTCAAAGAAGTGGAACAATTAAAAATGTAAGTTGAATTTCCATTAATTTTTTAATAATTTTTTGATAAAATTTCAAGTGTTGAAAGACAAAGAAATGTCCAAAAGAATTCTCCACTTCATAGAAATTTAAAGAAAAATTTCTTCGAACAAACAAAATATTCATTGTCTGTTGTCGTGGTGCCATCATATTATATTCCTCCACCCCCGCATTGTGCAAGCACACATAGATATTTAATGTTCTTTCAAAATGTGCTGTCATTCTAGAAATCACTACATAAATATTTAATTTTTCGATTCAATGCTGTTTAAATGTTTGATAAATATTTTGGAGGTGAAAGAAAAAGACATTTTTATGTATGATGAAATATGAACATTTGTTAGATCGCTAAACTATTGAGAAATGAAAGGGTTTGACTGGTGATGCGTGAAAGTTAATCTCAATAATTGCCAATCGTATTATTTTATTACGAGTGATTTATAGATCTGCTTCAGGTTCAATATTAAGGGCAGAGAAACGAACAATACAAAAAGATTAAACAAGGCCGGTTGATGTTTCAAAAACTATTTTTCTTGCATGGTGAGATATGATAACATTTGTGTTTCATATTGGAACCTGTTTTAACCAGAAATTCGCTCTAATCCGTCAGGAATTATTTAACGATCAATTATCTCCACCACTTGCTGTCTAATTGGCTTCATTCGCTTTACAGCTTTAAATGTTTGATAAATGCAATGTTTAACATATCCAACCAACCCTCACACGACGCCCCTTCATGTAACTTTTCCTTTCTTATTTTCAAATGGATTTGTAATTGAAATTGAAGCTCAATGACAATTTTTTTAAACTAAATTATGATAATCCTCTCAATACATGAAATTCGTTTAATTGCCACCTCACGATAATCTTCTTCAGTGATAAATTGCTCTCGAGAGGCGTGAAGTGAATTTCCCCTCCATGTTTACAATGCGATAAAAAGTATACATGCAGCTGCACAATAAACAACAAACATGGGATGAATTCATAACAATCGTAACTCATGTTAAATTCTTACGAAATTCACTTTCAATTTGTTTATCATTGTGACAAAACTTTCAATGAATTGTCGTTGTTCAACAGACAATAAGAATCAAAATCTTGTTACACTTCACCCTATCGAATGACTCCCTAATATCTTCAACACTTGCAACAATTGCTGAATGTGACAATAGATGACACGTGACATAACAAATTTTTTTTTTGTACATTGTTTTGAAATCTTGCGTGGGTGGACAACTCCACGACTTAAAGAAATCATCGATCATTTGTGGTTCTAAAGGAAAATAATAATTTTCTCATAATTATGTATGCAAATTATGTACCAATAAGATCACGTGTTTGTGTCATTATCCCTCCTTACGATCATTTTAAATCAAATTAAATATTTTCACTCAATCAGTTAACGCAACCAATGCTGCGTGTAATTCCAAATTATGTATGGGATATTTTATTGAAGTGAACGATCTTTAAAGGGGATTACAAGTTGTTCAATTTCAATTATTCGCTTGATGTAATCAACAATTTTCCTTTATTTTGTAGAAATATATTCCGGGTGACATTACGAGTTTTATTAATCAACACCCAAGTCGAAGTGCGCTTTACACACGTCAAGAGAGTCAGGAAAAAGTTGAGAGTCTAAAAAATGGAGCACAAAGTTTGACTGCTGGGATGAATAAAATTAGTTTGGAGCCAATATGTACGCCAATGAACAATTTTCATCCATCAAAATCAAGTTCAAATAAATTGAAAGACGCAAGAGCAAAATCGGCTTTTGCTGCTGCGTATCACAACTTTCAAACAGCTAAGAAAATGGCACAAGAGAATTTAGATCACCAACCTCTTCCCGATGCTATTTTGGATAAGAATTTTACAGAGTTACAAGCGCAAGGTGACCCAAATCCTGGATTAGGTCTTGATGTTCAACTCACAACTACTGGAATTGGCTACAAAGGTTATAAAGTCGGACCAACTCAATGCACCAAACTCAAAGTATATCGCCCTAAGACTTGTGGAGTGTTGCCGAAGCATCTCGATAAGAGTACAATGAGTGAAGCTATCAATGGTGAACAAATAAAATTGGGTCCTAAAATTGGGCCCATGGATTTAGCGATCGGGTGGGATTATCGACCAAAAAATCGTGAACCGAAATTGCCGAAACATATTGATGGATCTAACGATATTGTGGCATCTGTTTTCACTTTGGTACCGCAACAAGTTCCTGAAAAAGAGAACATCATGCAGTTTGAACGGGCTGAAGGTGTTTTTCACAACACTCAAGGTGAAATTGACTTCTTTGATCGCGATTTAATATTGAAACGAAAAGATTATCAAAAGAAATATGAGAAAGAACGGGAATGCACATGTGGAACTGACGTTGCAAGTTTTTCTAATGTGCCTGGTAGTGAAAGTATCGCAAAGAAAAATCGACCAAAAACTTCAAAGTCTGATTCTGCTGTTTATATGACGTACGGTAAAGATCGTCGTTGTAAAAGTTCACCAAATTTGTCAATGATTGTCAATCCAAGGACTAACACAGAGATTGGAAGTATCACAACAGCTGTTGAGGATCCAAGAAAAATTCCAGTCAACAATCTTCCAATTGAAACAAATGAACAGAAAAAAGTTCTGCAACAACCACGTTATGCACATCCAACAATTCCAAGAATGTGTCATCAAATGCGTCATGATTATGAGAAAATGATGAAGAAATATTTCTTAACCAACGAATTAATGAAGCTTGATGAAAACAATAATTGTTCGTTTTCTTCTCCAACTCCACCAATATCGAAGAAACCTCAAGTGATTTACGTGCCTCGACCAAAACAACCATACAAGAAGAAAAATTATCGAATTGAAAGCTTAGCTCCACCATTCTCAAGTTGGACCGGTCGCGGAGATGAGTTTCCTAATCACTTGAGATTGTCAAGTATTTATCAACAAGCGTATAAACCTGTAGAGTCTAGAAAGCGTCGCTTTTTGCAAGCAATTCATCGATGAAGATGTAAAAGGGTCAAAGACATCTCGAGAAGTTTTGCTTTTATGTTTAACAGCACATCCAACTGTTTATCTATCCACATACAATTAAGAAGATTAAAAGAATTCTCACATACGTAACAAGGATGGAATTTGAGCAGAGAGAAAACGTCACAATCAGCACAGCTTGAAGCGTCTTGTAACTGGATCTCTCACATAAATTGTCTGTGCTAAATTTCAAGCGCCATTCAAGTTCTAGTCAGTCGCTCTTCTCGCCTTGAAACGTTAGCACGGAAATCGAAAAATCGTTAGAATAAAAAAAAATTATTGAACGATCTCGCGACGGGATAAGAAACGCAAACAAGTTTTGATTTATTTCATTTTTTACTGCTGGTGAAAATATTTACAGTTCACAACGACTTAATTAATAATAATAATTGATGAAAAGCATTGTTTGAAATAATGAAGGCAAGTGAAGAAGCTTTTAGTGAAAATTAATAAATTGAAAGAATTTTCTGAAAGTCCACAATTTTGACGGCATGATTTGTATTCAATTGCGTATTGAAACAATCTCAAGCACTCTCACTTCTCTCATAATAAATTTTAATTTCTTGATATTTGATTCATAAACATTTTGTATGTAAATTAATTTATAACAACAACTACTTAAGGTAGTGTTTAATTGAGTGAGTCTAATAAAGAGTTTTCAATGAATCAAATGAGAATCTTTTTACATTCTGAAGAGATTAAAAATTTTTATTACTTATCAAGAAGTTCAGGTTGCTTGATGCTTTGTTATGATTCAGAGAGCACAAGCATGTGCACTTCATCATCGATTATATTTTATTTATAAATGTTAAAGAATTAAATAATTAAATCAAACTTTCAGAGCACCATTTTGTTGTTGATGTGGATAGGAACATTGAGTGGAATTGCTTCAAGTCAAAAGAAAGTATCGCCATGTCCTTCTGTTTTTATTTACGACACTGAGAGTGACACGAGTGACACATGGTATGCGACTATAAACTTACAGACAAATGTGCGTCTTCATGGCATCACAGTTGATGTTATTCTTGATAAACGTGCTGCAACATTTGGAGCATATTACTTTAACGATGTTTCAACAACCGACTATATGGAGTATCGGGTTGAGAATAAAAACTTTAAGTTGGATCCTGGTCGGACTTTAATTATGAATGTTTACGTTCGTTACACTCAAGATACTCCACTGTTAAAGCAAATTCGATTAAATGGACAAAATATTTGTGTCGATGTTCCTTCAAATTCTGCCCAAATAATTTATCCATCAAACAGCAACATACAAACGCGTCCAACAACGACTACAAAACGAACAACCCGATGGGAAAATCCCGAACATAAGTAATGGAGAAGACAACTTGATTTTAAAATATTTCTTGGCTCATCTTTTTTTATTCTTTTTTCTTATTAAAGTCAAGGAGGTAGCTACAATTATGACACAACAACACGGCGTAAAACTTCCACAACAACAACCACTCAAGCTTGGAATTATGGGAATTTCAACAATAACAATAATAACCAGCAGAACCAGGGACATAACAGTGGACATCAGGAAAGTTTTAGTCAATTTTCGGGGTTTTCAAATACTCAACGACCAAATACTGATCGTGGCACTTCAACAACAATCAAGAACAATCAAAATCTTTACAATCATCAAAACTCAGGTCATACAACTAACAATAACAATAATAATCAAGGACACCGTGAAACATCAACAACTGGCTTTGGATTCATCGCTGATTCTCTTTCTCCTTCTGGGTCATCAAACTCTCATAACAATCAAAATTCGGCAAATCAACGACCATACAATCAACAGACAACACGATCAACGACATCGAATTATAACTTCAATAACAATCGAAGGACAACATCAGTGACTAATCGTCCTGATCGTATCACCACGAAATCAACACATTTTCAAGGTGATTTGCAGTTTTTCAACAAAGATGAGTCAACGGTAAGTTTCTTGAATGAAATTTGTCATTTTGATTATAAAGAAAAATCTTTCTTTCCATTTAAAAACAAATTTAGACACATTCAATATTGAATCTCAGTGAAAATTCCCAATGCGGAATTGTCATTCCAAAAGTCAATCCGCTTATTGTTCATGGCGAAGAAACTTATCAGGGACAATTTCCTTGGCACTCTGCAATTTACTTGTCACAAGTAGGCAGTCTTAAATATATTTGTGGCGGTTCTTTAGTATCAATGAATGCTGTTGTAACAGCAGGTAAGTAAATAATAAAGTTTGAGTAAAATGAATGAAAAAAAAATTCAATTCATCATTTTCAGCACATTGTGTGACACATTCAAATTCAACTCGTGCCATCAACGTGAATAAACTTCTTGTTTATTTGGGTAAAAATAATTTACAGAAATGGACTGGACCTGAACAAGATGCAAAAGTTTCGGAGATTGTCATCAATACAGAATATAATCCGGAAAGATTTTTTGGCGACATTGCGATTTTGAGGCTTAAAGATTCTTTAACGACAACAAACTATGTTCGACTGATTTGTTTATGGAATTTTGATACTGATTTAAAGTTAATTGTTAATAAATTGGGATCTGTGCCAGGATGGTGAGTTGATGATTGATTATAAGTTAAACTTCTCTTAAAACTTAACTTTCTTCAGGGGTTACAATGAAAACGGTTTGGTCAGTGAAGAGTTAAGTTACATAAGAATGCCTGTTGTGACACATGAACAATGTATTTGGTCAAATCGTGACTTCTTCAGTAAAGTGACATCAGATAAGTCATTTTGTGCTGGTTTCCGTAATGGAACATCAATATGTAATGGCGATAGTGGTGGCGGGATGGTTTTTAAACAAGGAAAACAATTTTACTTGAGAGGAATTGTTTCAATTAGCATCGCACTTCAAAACACGCTGAAATGTGATCCAAATCATTATGCAGTTTTTGTTGATGCTTCGAAGTACACATCATGGATTAAACAGAATATTTGAAATTAAAGATATGTTAGCTGATCATTTAAACTATGAGTGGTGAGATCAATAAACAGAAAAGAAATTAATTTTTTTTAAAATTCCCGCTTCACTTTACTTGTTTAGAGTGTTTTCAGATGTTGTTCTGCTTTCTTACCCCGTCATATTGTTTACAAATTATGATAAAGTTTTTAGAAAATGGAATCGAAAGAAGTAAAATATTTTTTAGATAATTATGAAAATATCATCAAAAGTTTAAGTGAGAATTCTACAAAGCTAAAAGATCTTTCGCAATATGAAAGTGTTCGAGAGAGCCTCAAAGCATTAGTTTCAAATATTCTTAAAACTTCTGTGGAAATTCATTTTTTCGGTTCTCGAGTTATAGGATTAGCAACTGAAGAATCTGATTTAGATATTTTCGTAGAAGTGGATGAAAGTTTTCATAAAACTTTTACTAAGACAAATGAATTTCTTGATCAGTTCAAGAAAATTTCGTCAGCTCTTGATAAAAGTAGTGAGTGGACAGTGAAAGAAAGTTTATCTGAGGTTCGAATTCCTGTCATAATATGTGAATTTATCCCTTTAAATCTTAAGTGTAAGTGTTGATGAATCTTCAAAGTTCTTTTTATATTTACGATAAAATTCTTTAAGGTGATTTAATTACAACCAACGGTTTCTCCACTCGTTCATCACAACTTGTGAGACATTTGTTTACCAGTCAACCAGAAGCTGTTTCCCTTTTCCATTTCATCAAAAAATGGATCAATTTAAATGAGTTTTATGGCTTCAGTGGCTACACATACACGATTGTCCTTCTTCTCATATTCTTTTTGCAATCAAAAAATTTCATGCCTTCAATTGAAACAATACAGCAAAATCTTCCAAAGGAATTCATCCAGAGTAGATAAATAAATCTTTTAAGTTATTAAACCAGTTTAATCGTACATTGAAATATTCCAACAGGTTGGGAGGTTCAATTTGATCCGAATCTCAATTTAAACGCTTATAAAACAACAAAAATTTCGGATTATAAAAAACACATTCATGAGTTTTTTAAGTTTTACAGCGAGTTTGATTATTCTCAAGTCATGTCTGTTTATGACGGGCTCATATATGAAGAAAATAAATACAAGAAGATTCATCCGAATTTTTTGCTCAATGGCATCAACATTGGAGGACCGACTAACAGAGGAAAGAATTATGGCGTTGTTGATGAAATACAAAAAAATCGCTTTGTCACTTTATGTGGATACTCAAGTTTGTCTCTTTTTGAAAAGTTCTTGGAAAATAAAATTAAATAATAAAAGAGTTTATTGCTTAACATAAATGCTACTCACTAGATATGCTACTCACCACTTCACAAGTGGTGAATTTATTTTCTTTTATTTGCATTCTTAAAAGAAAATGAAATAATTTTTTATTGAATATTATTAATTCAATGAGAAGCAAATTTTACTTTTCAATGAACCAGATTCATGCCTGGTAACATTTTGATATATTTATCTAGTTCTTCAGCAGAAAGTTCTGTGTGCTTTTTCAAATGATTTCTCATTTGATCTCGTCTTCCAACAGCGTAGTTACATCCGTTTCCTGCTGGGCAAACTTGGCGAAGGTTTTGATGAAAAACAGAAATGTGTATTTTGTGGTCCTGTCTGGAGTAAAACTTCTTTTCACAATCTGGATAAGTACACGGAATTCTTCGTTCTGGATAGTGAAATTTTTTGTGCAACCTTACATCATTTTTAAATTTGAATTTCTTTTGACATCCAGGAAAGTCGCAAGGAACAGTTTTCGCTGCATGTTTTCTCTCATGTTTGTAAAAGTCTTTTCTTGAATTACAAAATACGCCACAAATATCACAAGCAATTGGTCGTTCATGTTTCTTCTTTTTTTCGCGTTGAGCTCTCTCAGATTTCCGTTTAATACTCCAGCGACAATTTTTCACGTGTATTCTGATTGAATTTTTGTGAGTATATGTTTTATGACAGATATCGCATTGATAATTTTGTTTTCTGTGCTCTTTCGAAATATGCATGATTACATGAGCAGCAACCTCATATTTACTGAGATATTTTTTATTACAAATGTCACACTGATGTTCTTTAGTTTTTAAATGTATTCTTTTATGATGTTCACGCATTCTTCTACCTTGCTGGAATATTTTTCCACACACTTCACAAGGAAAAAATTCTGGTCCTGGAAGAAACTCTTTCTTTTTAAGTTTCTTTGAACTCACTTTTCTTGTTTGTTTTTCAATCTTGTTTAATGTGGGAGCAATTTCTACTGATGAAATTTCATGTATTTCTTCTTTGACTTCCATTTCATCGAGTGAAGAATCAAACTTCACCAAAAGCTCTGAAAATACAATTTCCGGTTCCGGTTCAGTTTTTATTTCTTCAATTTTGATGAGAGGCTCGTTAAACGGCGTTGAGAAATTTTCATTTCCTTCAACAGTTTTTATGCTACGAAACTTCTCGAAACACTTTTGTTTCTCTTTAATTTTAGATTTAAATTGGTGAAAGTGTTTCAGTTTGTAGATACAATCCGAACACATAAATTCGGAGTTTGTTTCGTTTAATTGAAATTGCAATAAGGAGTCAATCATTTTCGCAATGTCATCAGTGACTTTAACTCTGGTTTGCAGAATAGAGAACGCTTTGAAGCACAAACAGCATTTCTCATCAAAACTTTTGAAGTCAGAGAAGATGTCATTGAGGAGAACTGTGGCATTCAAACTTATTGAATCTTTGTTTTTCTCTCGACTGTCACTTGATGCAGCATTTTCTAACCATCCACCTTTAAAGTAATCATCATCACTTACTTCAGATTCATAGAGGTTTTCTATGACCCTAGTTTTAGAATGAATTCTTCCTCGTAATGACGATTCTGGAATACCATACTTTCTAGAAGTCTCACGTATTTTGAAACCGTTGCTTAGTGCAACCAAAGCCTTTTCAAAACTAGAAGGAAACAAAATTTCATTTAAAAACCATCGTTTTTGATTATGCAGCAAATACCGTTGTTCCTTGTCCATTGATTCTTCATATCTCTTTTACGTTTCCAAATCTACTTAGTGTTACATCAAATGATGTTGTTATTAGATTGATTTTTCAATTTTTGTTTACTTTGATTTCATTTAACTTTTAACTTCAAAACTGTGATCAAATTTGTTTGTTTACAAACAACGGCGCCCTCTGCCGACTTTTCAAATTTTAAAATTAACGTTCTCCAATCAACAAAAGCGTGTTTTAATGAAAAAAAAAACAATTTTTGTGAAGAACATCAATTTATTGAGAGTAAGTTATGATATTTGAATTATTTAATATCCTAATTACTTGGAAAATAGAAATAAAACTACAAAAGAATTCATTGCTCATCTTATTTATGCTACTCACTAGATCTGCTACTCACATCTATACATGTGGTGAATTTATTTTGTTTTGTTTACATTCTTAAAAGAATAAAATATTTTTTTTAGTGAAGAAGAAACGGAGAAGAAAACAAATTTTATTATGGATCCTTTTGAACAATTGCCATCAGATGCTTACGATCTTATTCTTCAGCATCTTGAGTTTGAGGATATTCTGAATTCGTTTCTGGTTTCTAAATATTGGCATCAAATTATATCAAGTCAAAAATGTATGGAGAAAATTAAACTTAATTTGAAATTATGGAAAGTTATGCCGGAGACAATCAAAAAGAGAAAAATTGAAGATACTATCAAGATTGTGAAGACAACTGTTAGAAAATATCGGAGTTTATCTGTCAACTGTAAATTCGATGAAAATTTATCCCAAGAATTTTGGAAATTGTTAGAATTCTTAGCAGAATCTTTAATTGACTTGAAGATTATCAACATAAGGCTTAAATCTGTATCTTCAATGTCACTTCCAAACCTTCAATGCCTCAGACTTACTGATGTACCGATCGAAATCAGAAATTCCATTCTTGGAAGTTGCAGCTCATTAAAAAAGTTAAAGATCAAAACTGATGCATCAAATGGTCTTCGTACTGGAAAATTAGGAGCTGACACTGAGTCAATAGAATGTATTAAGAAGTTTATGCAACGAAACCATTCACTAACGGACTTAGAAATTATTGGCGAATCTGTTTTTAAATCATTTTTCAATGAGAATATATCAGATGTATCAAAATGTCAACTGCAATCACTGAGGATCAAGACTGATATGAGACTGATGCTAATAACTGAAATGAATGATATAAACATTGTTCGTTTTCTCACAAAGCAATGTAACAGCTTAAAGAGTTTTTATATTGACACATGTCATAAAAGTGTCATATTATTTACATTTAACTCAATGCCTTCTCTCACGTCATTTCAATCTGATGTTATGATTATGGATATGGAGGATTATAGCAATAACGATTTTAATTTTCGATTGAATGAAAATATTGATGATCTCAGAATAACTTATATTAGCCATAGCTTTGGATTAAAAGCATGCCTCAGCTGTGCTCCTAATCTTAAGAAACTTTTTATTGGACATTTAACTCATGAACTTATGGAATTTATAGCAAGGAATCTTAAACATTTGATGATATTGAAATATCGTTTTAGTGAACACGACTGTCATGGGTATTATGAAAAATTAAAGCACGATTATCCTGAAATTAATCGGCATATACGACTGATAGTTGATATATTGTATCATTGAGAAAAATAAATTGAATAAAGCTTCTCAGATATGAATTAACAACATAACAAAACTTTGAGTATTTTATATTTGTTTCACACTTTATTCATTATGTAAATTATTATATTAAATTAAAAACTTTTCAGGAGACTTTAGAGATTCAAAAGAAAAAAAATACAAAAAAATTTTCCCATACCGGGAATCGAACCCGAGCCTCTTGGGTGAAAGCCAAGTATCCTAGCCACTAGACCATATGGGATTGCGGTATGTGTTTGACTTCATTGACAAAACTCGTACAATACAAAAATTTATTCANGGGACTTTTTCTTAAGTTATTTGAACTGATATCTCATCGATATTTAAATATTATGAAATATTTAGATAATTTAAAATATTTTCAAAATTTAACTATAAGTATTAAATATTTAATACAAAATAATTAAATATTATAGATATCATTAAAAAACAAAAAAGTAATTCCCATGCCGGGATTCGAACCCGGGTCGTCACGGTGAGAGCGTGAAATCCTAAACCACTAGACTACATGGGACATTCTATTGTGTTCAACATGCAGACAAATATTATATTTAAACATTAAAATTCGTATAAATATTTATATTTTCAAACTATTTTTAATTAATATGTTTCACTGAATTGAAAAACTGAAAGAAATAAATGTTCCAACAGAAATAGAAATGATAATTCAGAGGTTAATTCAATTATTCGAACGAAAATTTTTTGAGAAAACGTCAAGGGATGTAAAACTCATAACAGAGGGGGGTATAAATCTTTTTGTTTATTATCACATGTAATCGCAATCCACGTAGATGTTTCGTAAACTGAAAAATACTTTGTAACTATCTAAATATTATAAATATTACTGCCAAAAGAACAAAAACTTTATAATGTCAACATTCAAACGTGAAGAAATTCTACTTTTATTTGATGTTGATGGAACTTTAACGCCGGCAAGAAAAGTTATAGAACCTGAATTCGAGGAATTCCTGTATACGAAAGTCAAACCAAAAGCTACATTGGGAGTAGTTGGTGGAAGTGATTACCCAAAAATTATTGAGCAACTGAATGGAAAACGCTTGCTTAAAGAGTTCGATTATGTGTTTCCGGAAAATGGACTTATTCATATAGAAAAAGGAGTCGAAATAAGCCGGCAGTCGATTCAAACTCATTTGGGCGAAGATGTGCTCAAAAGATTTATAAATTTTTGTTTGCGATATATTGCTGACTTGGATATTCCAATTAAACGTGGAACATTTATTGATTTTCGAGCTGGAATGATCAACATTTGCCCTATAGGACGACAATGTACTTATGATGAGCGTTTGGAGTTTCATGAATATGATACAAAGAATTTTGTACGTCAGAAATTTGTTGAAGCTTTAAAGAAAGAATTTGCAAATGTCGATTTAACATTTAGCATTGGAGGCCAAATAAGTATTGACGCTTTTCCGAGAGGTTGGGATAAAACCTATTGTCTTAACCATGTTACCAAAGGAACTGAGTAAATATAGCTTCTTAATTCTTTTTTATTCTTTAGCATTAAAAAATATTATCCTTTTCAGTTTTAAGGAAATCCATTTCTTCGGAGATAAAACTGACAAAGGGGGAAATGATCATGAAATTTTTGAGGATTCACGAACAATCGGTCACAAAGTACTAAATCCAAAAGACACCCAAAGGCAGTTACAAGATTTATTTGATCTGTGATACTGTAAGAAGTCGAGAGGAAAAACTTTATTGAATGAAAATAAAGAAAAATCAATAAATTTTCATTTTCACGTTTAAATTTGAGTTTTGCTAAAATTCCGAGAACTTCTACTCCCATGTAGTCTAGTGGTTTAGGATTTCACGCTCTCACCGTGACGACCCGGGTTCGAACCCCGGCATGGGAATTATTTTTTTGTTTTCTTCATTAATATTTTTAATATCACATTCATATTTAAGTATTGAAAATGTTTTAAATGATCTGAATTTTTCATAATATTTAGATATCGATTCAACAGTAATTTATAATTTTCATTGACGTTCATTGTTTTTGTAATTATCCTATATATTTTCCATAAAAAAAAGTTATGATCGAAACCAAATGAAGAAGTTATATAAAATTTTTATTACAACCCATTACTGATACTCACCTCACCGAAATCGTTTAACTAAAAAATGAACTCATTAGGTTATCAGGATCAAGTGTTGCTCGTGTGACTTACATTAATTAGCATCAATTTATATTCCATCATAAAGCTTAAGGTGTATTAATGATAATCGTTCTACCTTGCCTTAAAGAACTCTATTTGATCCAATAAAAAAATATTTGCCTAGTAACATGTTTAAGGTTTTATTATTATTTTTCTCTTAATCTTCAAGAGATTGCTTCCATAAATATTTTTATTCTCATTAAACACACAAGCTCCCGCTCTGCATCTTTCACATTAATAAACTCAACTCTAAGAAACTCTTTTTCTCTAATGATAAATTGTCGGCGTTAAGCGAAATTTATTTTAGTATTAGCACAGCCGTTGTCCATGGAGTGTGTTTGCTTCTCACTGAAATTAATCATCGATTCTTTATAAGGAAAAAGTTAGAAAATTTTAAAACAAGTGTGGATAAAAATTTTAGATAAAAATTTATTATGTCAATCAAAGAAATTAAGAGAAATTAAAGTTCAATTTTATGTTAATTAGAAAACATCAATTCTACCTCAGATAGGTAATTTTGTGAGGCTGACGATTTTTACAAAATTACATAACATTTTCACATCAACTTTGTTCACATTTAACTACAGGTAATTATGATGTGCAAAACTTATGATGCTTAAGAGTAAAAACAAAACAAGTTTCATTTTTGATGCAGTTTTTGACTCAATGATGAACTTTGTGACTGCAATAAAATATGATATTCAATTGAGGTCTCAAGCTTCTCTTTGTTCATCGAAAACCTTCAATAATTTGCCATTTGACTCAAGAAATGGATAACTAATTACCTTCATTACTCTGATATAAAAATTAAAAAATGTGTTTCTTGTAAACATGTGGGTGAATAATTACGTAAATTTTTTACCTTCTTGGAAAAAACATAAAAATTTTGATGAGTTTCAAACCTCTGCTGATGATTCAACGGAAGTTCAAAAGCTCAAATGAAGTGTTAATATCATCATATTAAAAAGCAAAAATAACTTCCATCAAGAAAACATCAAGACATTGACCCAGAATTTACGAAAATGTTTCAGCGCAAATGAAAACGAGAGTTATTTACTCTATACACAAAATCGTTTCTGATGTTGCTGTGCTCCTAATCCTTTTTTGTTTCGTTTTCGTTACCACAGCCTTCAAAATATATGAAAAGCTTGAAATATTTCTTTTTTCTTTGGTGCTGTAATTTTTTTAACTGTAATTAAACCATTTATCTCAACAAGGAAACAAGAACATTATTCGAGGGCCTCTTATAGAGAGAAACGCGCCAGTCTTTTGCAAATCAGCATACTTTAACTTCTATTCAAAATTGAAAATAATTTGCAATATCGAAATTCCATTCTATTAATTCACAACGGTTGCAAAATCCTATTCTAATTCCGGATCAACGAAACCGCACATACATATGAACCTTGTTGACTTGATGACGCAACCATTTTATAGCGGTTTTATTATTGCTATTGCTATTATTTTAATGTGCTGTTTATTCTAAAGATTTTACTGAAAGAATATTCACAATACTTATTTTCAACGTGTAGAATGTTAAAACAAGTCTTGACTGATGAGGATGACCACTTGCAATGGAGATAATTTAAACAATTTTTTATTAATGCAGTATCTAAGTTGAAGAAAAATGTTGACGATGATATTCATAAACGGTAGCTAACCTTGACATAATTTACAGGCTTACACGTTGAGTTATAGTCGAGATCAAGATCAAACTGTTATCTATGTCTACCATAAACTTGCATCTGTAATATTTCTGACATTGAATTCAAATAAAGTTAGTATTTAATTTATTAAGATGCGAGCACAAGATATGAACTTTGACATGTTTTTTCATGGCATATCAAGTTTTATAAAAGTTTAAACTTCTGATAAATATCTTTGGATCATACAAAACAAAGGTTCATTCTTTTTTGTATTCTTAATAATTATTTAAGAATGATTCATGAGGTATCTTCACACCCGGATTTACTTGTTCAAGAAATCCCCCGCTTGATGACACAAAAGTGGAAAGGAACGATGTTAATTAAAAAACCAGAAGTTAAATTCTAACGAAACTTTTGTTTATTTTCGTCTATAGATGGATTATTCAAATTACAAATCGTGGCACATTCCACGAGCATCACTGTCGTCTGGGTCAAGCTCCGGTCAAAGTTCGACTGAATCAACAAGAAACCTCAATCGCCATAAAAGTGACTTTATCTCCCACAATAATCGTAGACTTTGGAAACCTTTCAATGAAGGTTCACTCGCATTTCATTCCCCAAACTCATCATCAGCTTCATCAGTGAATTCAAAAACTCAAAACCAGATCGATCGAAGAATCAGCACTGGAAATTTAGAGAAACTTCATCGAGCTTCGAAATCATCACAGGGATCATCATCGGAAGGAATCAACAGTTTGCATGTAAGAAGTTGTAAAAGAATTAAATTTCTCGGAGTTTTCTATTATTTCTCATTAATTTAGAGTTCGTCATCATTGCTTTTGAGTGTCAGCAACTTGGAGAACTTTACAAAGATGCAAGAGAGAAGGCCACAAACTATTAAACATGAATTGACTCAACATTCTCAGAGTCAATTCATGTTGAACATCAAAGAAGCTGTCACACCTCACCAGCAGAAAGCCAAAGACTTTGATCAAGTTTCAATTGCATCTTCAAATCATTTCACGGTCGTCAATGGATTTGGACGATCCAATATCAAACCGAAATCGAACTCATTCTGTCGTCAGGGAAGAGAAATTACCATCTTGATTGTGACTATGAGTTTACTCTTCATGATTGGTATTCTCGGTGCCATTTATCTCATGGACAGTAAGTTATGATAACAAACGCATTAAGACTTCACGAGAACTCAAAATATTCCTTTTTACTTCTCTTTGATAACAGGAAGAGCTCGAGCAATGCCAGCATTTCATCAATGAAAATAAATATTTAAAAGATTTCATATTTATCCTTATCGGAGTTATTTTATAAGTTTAACTGAAAATATTTGTGATTTTATAGAATTAAGTGAAAATTTTCATAAATTATTCTCTAAAAGTTGTTAAAAGATTTTTCTACTCAATTAATTTCCAACCACATCCGTTTACTTCTCACACGAAACACTTAATTTGGCTTCTGAACTTTAAATGTTTAATTCAACACAACAAATTTCGTAATGTGCCATGATCATCCATTGTGAAGGGGCATAAATTTAAATGTTTTAAAGCAATTAATATTAAATTTTCAAGAAATTGTAGCACAGTTCATAATTCTTTCAATGTCATTGAGGCAGATCAGTTTTCATTATTAAATCTTCTTGGATACATTTCAAGACGTACTTTAGCTTTTCTCAATATTTTTCTAATGCTTTTTTCAAACAAATTCATTTTACGAAGTTTACTGAAGCTTCTGAGAACACAAAATTCGATAAATACTTTGACCGTGTCTACTAAGGAATTGAATTTCTGATATTACCCAACATAATAATCTCTTAGCTTAACCTTCAAAAACCTCATGAACGAAAGGAAGAGCAAAACCAATGAAAGAATTTTTCGCTAATTTAAATGTTAAACATTTGATTTGATTTGCAAACTTAAAAAAATTGTCGCGTTAACACGAAAAAAAAAGTTTTCTAGTAAACGGCCTTCAATAGCCTTGACTTGCTTGTCCATCAAAACTATGAAAATTTTTACTGTTTTGGAATTGTTTGTGATTCTCGACAACAAAGTATTTAACTTGTTGTCTAAGCTGCATTGATTCGCATCTTTGGAATGTGAGCGGCGCATATATTTCTGAGAAGATAAAATGAAACATCGATGACATTGGAAAACAAACACGAGCCGCTGTATTCGGTGACGTTTTCAATCTTCAGCAAGTGTCAATGGCTGCTTAAAATGGAATTTCCATTTCATTGCGACATGAATAAATATTTAAATATGTCTAGACATGCGCGCTGCTGCACTTTTGTCTAATTTCGAGGTTACTTTTGATTTTCACTTGAACAAAGGCATGACATCATCATTTAGCTATGAAGCTTAAGCAAACATCTTTTAACGGAATCCCATTCCATGACGACAAAAACAAACTTTTGTTGATTCTCTTATATTCATCTTCATTTTTGTTCAAGACATGACGCTTACCTATTTCTAAATTTAATCAAACGACTTCTAAATAACCAACACTTTGTCATGGTTCATATCCCATGTTATCCTTAAATTTATCATTCAAGTCTCAAGGCAAACTTCAGAGATCAACAAAACAAAAATCTTATAATGATGTCCAAAATCATTCTTTTGTTTTAATTGAAACAAATCGAAACACCAAAGTATTGTCGATCAAGCAGAGAACTATAATTGATCCCAACGCGAATCCGGATGTGATCAAAAATTGTTTGAATCTCCTACCAAAAATGAGATCACTTGGTATGATGAACATCATCGGATAATATCGAGCGTCTACAAGAAAATAAACGATAGTTATTTAAAGTAAATTATTAGCGATTGCCGATCACATCATTTCAATTGAGTGGAGAAGAATGAAAATGAAAAGTTCATCAAGGTTGGTGGAATGTCAGGTTCCTTGCTGATTTTCAACCTATTTAAACATTGTGTTGTTTCCAAGTGTCTGCTAAGAATGATTGTCACAAAAAAAAGAATCACGTTTTGATCACTTTTTGTTTTCGAGTATTAAGAGCCTTTGGAAGACTGAATTAAGCCGTAAAATTAGGAGCTCCTTAGCCATCAAAATCTTTGACCGCTCCATTAACATTTCACAAGATCACATCAGCTGTTGTTGGGGCGTAACGGGTGTAACGTGTATGTATAAATTATAGATGTTCAACTTAGTCCGGTTCAATTACATTGATTCCCAACCTTGGCAATTGCCTTAAACGAAAATTAGGCTATTATAACATCATCAATCCAATTACTTCATTTGAGAACATTTTTCTCTCATGATGTGGGAGAACGAAAGCTTGATTAATTCGACAACTGACATGATATAGTGAACTAGATAATTATTTAGATTTGGATAAGTAAATGTTGACCTGAGCTTTCCTCCCGGAACAAATCTCTTCAAATAAGGAATTATTAACTTCACTATCGTAATAGTTTGGAAATGTGTAAATGATCTCATCATAACTTCAAAAAGATTCATTTAATCTCATTTTCAAAGCTACAATTATAAGATTTATTTGAAGAGCACAATAAACTCAATTCCACCTGCCTTGTTGTCGTGGTACTGATCTCTCACAATATATAGAATCGAAACAATCGAAGAACTGATGGAAGATGAGATAAACAAACAACAATAATTTTCTTTAGCATCAAAAGTATCTAAACGATTTTTTTTGTTAAAGATACATGATTATGTAAGACACTCCACAAGCGAATGAGTTTAGAATTAACTAATTATTCAATTTGCTTTTGCCTTTGCCTTCGAGTCTCGAGTGGCTCGCGTTTGCTGCCAACGTGAGACTTTTTTTAAAATTGGCTGAAACTAGCAAATAATTTTTTCTCTCCTTGCAAAATTCTTGTTCTTTTTTTTTCTATTCTTACCCTAAAGCAGCACTTGTCGTTAGAAAACATTTCAACTGATCATATGGTTGATTCTCAGCATCAGATGGTTGTCGAGTCTTTCAACTTGAAATCAGCTGTTTGCGTTATTCATTAAAGTGCTTTTGCAAATATTATGACATTATCAATGACCATCGATGATGGATTGAATAGTTCTTATTCCTGGAATTTTTGGTATTTACATATTTGTATTAGGTCACATAATTTTCAGGAGAATGCCAGAAAATTCCGGAGAACAAAATTGCGGCAGATAAGTTCTACTTCAATTACTTCTTTGTAAGAGCGGCAAAACTGCAATGAAAGCTTTTGCATTTGAAGGTGATCGATGGTACACGCAAATACAAAAGCCTTCATTGCAGTTTCGCCGCTCTTACAAAGAAATAATTGAAGTAGAACTTATCTGCCGCAATTTTGTTCTCCGGAATTTTCTGGCATTCTCAATTTTCAGTCTTCGTAAATATTCGAATCTTCAACAAAATTTGTTATTTATGAGAAAATTATTTAATTTAAAAATCTAAATAAATNAAAATATTTGTGATTTTATAGAATTAAGTGAAAATTTTCATAAATTATTCTCTAAAAAGTTGTTAAAAGATTTTTCTAGTCAATTAATTATCAACATTTTTTATGATTAATAAATATTTATTTTCATTACACGATGGTTAAAAAACATAACACTGACTTAGCAACCCCTAATTTGTTGTGAATATTTAATTATATTTTAGTTTGAAGAATAAATTATTCAATTTTTAATTTATTTGCAAAGCGATTTTCAATTTAGTGGAATTAAGAGTGAATTCTTTTAGATTAATTACAGGAAAACTTTTCTTTACAGAACAATTTAAAGAAATAAAGATTAGTTAACTACACATATCGCGAAAATGTGACCTTGAGACTTGAAAGACAAAAATTCAATAGCCGTATAAATTTAAATGGTAAAGTGTTCGATTGTTCAACTCTTTGTTAATGTTATGCAAATTGCAAAAATATTATTGGTCGTCAAATGTTGTGTAATGACGAATTTCATTCATAAAAGCCACGTTTAAAATTTTACGATGGATGTGAACTTTTCGAAGGTTTGTTTAAGTTACGTGCAACATCTTGCATCCAGAAGTAATTTAAGTATCCATATTTCTTAAATATTATTTCATTGCCCTTTTGTTCATTAAAGTGTTAACTTAAACTGAATACAATTTCATTACCACAATCAGTTTTTCGAAGGCGTGAAAGTTTCAGAAGTCATAAAACTTGAATAGCAAGTGCATTAAAAATAAACTAAAACTATTTAAAGGAGTAAAAAGGGAAGATTTCGTTGAACTGTCTGAGTTGAGGTTTCTATAATTGCATGTCCCTTTGATTCCACGCACATGTAATTAAATTAAAAATCAAGCAAATAATTCTTTTCTTTCTAGAATATACGAGACGAACTCTTGATTTATATTGGAAATAATACGAAATGATGTTTAACATCTGTGATGACAAGAAAAGGGGATTGACCACAATTAACTTTGCAATCGTCCATTTGAGAATCACAAGAATTTATGATTCACTTTAACGATATTATTTTATCCACTTTAGCAATACATTTAAAAGCCGTTACTTGGTGTCTACATGAATCACTGTGACGCCATCAGAGAACTGTCGTTCCTTAACTACATAGAATGAATCAATAGCAAACCTCGGCAGACCGTTAAATTTAAAGCGGCATCGCTCTGTGGGATCAAATCCTGTTCTAAAAATAGAAAAAGATCAAATCTCTAATTGTTTGCAATTTATTACAGAATCATTTCATGGATTACCATGCAACTGTGTTTATCCTTTGGCGTGTAGCTAGAAAGAGAATTTTAATGTTGATTTTTTTCAGTTAAAGGCTGATGAAGCAATTGAAGTTAAGCTATAAAAAGTTGATTGCTTACAAGTTATTACGCAATGTCAACTTGTTTGTTTGTAGAAGGAACAAACAATATGATTGTTACTGTCTCATTGAATCAATTTACTTTAACCGCAAAGTAAAACAACTGATTGTTACTTCAGTTTCAACTACGCAAATTATGGGGACGACGGGATACGCAATCGTCGTAATCAAAGGCAACAGAATTGTTTGTATAAACAAATTGCAATCCTTCATGTGTTCTTTGTTTAAACTGACAACACATAAAAATTCTTTCGATTATCAAAGAAATTTGTAAGGTTCAAGGATTGATGTTGGTTATCTTGAATGAATGTTTTTACTTTTGCACATCCCTATTGGAGAGATGTACATTTTCAATGACGAGAGAATAGAAAGATTTTCTGTCAACATTTCTCGAATGGTAAGGAAATTAAGGATTTATTGGTAGAAAATGCGATGTCGCTACCTTTAAATTGTCGATCCATAAATGAGACATTATTGTGACAATATTACAAGACAATTTATTGCGGCGAATACTTTATCCATTTACTATTTTAGTGCATTTACAATGCATGTTTTATGTTAACAATGGTTGAGGATCATCGGTTTCGACGCGACGTGAACTTCGGTTAAACGACGAAACTCGACTCGAATCATCGCTACCATGCACAGCGTCGTCACATGAATGTGATTCAAGTGTGAATCAATATTAAATATCTCCACTTTGTTCATTTATTTTACCACTTATTGTGCAAAAAAGTTAAGTTAGGTTTCTTTAAGCCACAAAAAGCTCTCTTTTTTATTATTTTCTTTTGTGCAACGCCAAGCGGTTGTGTGTCGAGCGCGAGCTGAGTTAAAAATTTGTTTTTTGCAAATATTTTATTCATCAATTTTCCGCAGAGCTGAGTGGTTTTCAATCCCGACAGAATAATAAAAAAGGTGCAATAAATAATTTCTGGTGCTTCTGTGAATTATTTTTAAGCGTTCAAAATCAATTGAGGAATTGTTGAAAAATGCTGAAAAATAAATAAACATTAAAATTAGACCGAATGTGATAATTGACCAATTGTGACAGCTTTGAGTAATTTTATTCATATTTATCGCTCTGTTCCATCCATAGATATTCATCTATCAACGCATTATGTCGCATTATTGCAAATACAAACACAAATGATTGATGCTTTGAACAAAGTTATTAAAGATAATTTCAAAATATTAGCGTTAGCATTATATTTATGCTAATCTCTTCCGCAAACAAAACAAATATTATTTAAGCTTAGGACGACTTAAAATTATTTGTGAGTTGAGACAATTTAGAAGATTTGACTTTAAAGTGGAATTTCGTCAGAATATCTTGTAACCTTCTTTTTCTATGAGATCGCGAACTTTAGATTAAATATTAACTTTGGATGGATCTATTTTAAGTATCTGAGCCAGGTACAAGTTTTGAGATTTAAAAGGCGTTTCTTTTTCCTCTAAAATCATCGTCTCATTACTTTGAAATTCCATGAAATATCAAAATCGTGAGACGAATAAAAAGAGAGGTTTTATGTTGCGCTTATTCTTTGTGCTGTAGGAATTTTTTACAACCGAGACAAAATTAATGTTTTCATAGTCAATTTAGAAAGTTTCTTGCTGACGCTCATTAAATTGGAAGTTTTAAACTTACTACTGTCTCTTACTGTGCAAAAAAACTTACTGAAAAGGGAAATTGAAAAAAAAACTATAAACAAAGATCTAGGAGTGCAATAAATATTAATCACCACGACGGAGAATCTTGAACTCTATAATAATTTTCAGGTAAGTAAAATTTATTTTTTTATGTATCGGCAACATCTAAATATTCATTTTTCTATCTCCTATCCTCGAAATTATGCCAATACCAAATTCGGTCAACAATTTTCGTGACAATCAACCATTCAAAGATTTCAATAAGTTATTCAGCTTTTCCTCGACCCTCGAGGACAGATTTTGCAAAATTCCTTTGACTTTGACCGTGCAAAATTGCGTGGTATTTATAAAACATATTTTTGATTTTATCACTTGCATTGCACCTTCGCTACATTAAAAGGACATAAAAATTTGTCATCACAGAGTGCGAGAGAAATGAAAACATAAATTCACGATAGCTATCAACACAGCATTATCGACAAATTTAATGGAATGGTGTATAAAAATAGTTTTATTGGATCCATTTATGTTGTTTGTTGTACGGTACGCGACATCGGTTTTATTGTTTTGTCTCGTCGATCGGATGCTTAACATTTTCCATTGAAATTCTGCTTTTCTTTCGCTCTTGAACTTATGTTTCAAAATGTGATCGAGCCAAGTAGTCGCAGATTTATTTATTCGTGCAGTATTTTGCATTAACCTTTTGTAGATGTGCTGCTTGTTGTTTGTAAACGAAATGGAAATTTAAACTTCTCTACTTTATTATATTTTTTTCATGTGCGATTGAAAGACAAGGCAATAAATTTCATTGACGCATTATTCTGATTTAATCCTAAGCCTCGATCGACTTTGGATGATTACTTATTTAATATTCCGATCAAACTTTCAAAGCTCAATCAAATTTTTGCAAAGCCAAATTGTTTTCGATTCATTCAACTTTGTCAATGATTATCAAAGTCAAACTTAAAGATTTTCATGCAAAATCGAAATCCGTTTTTTTTCTTCGCACAATGATGGCAAAAAACATGACTGTAATGAATTAAATATTCATTAACAATAATCTCATAAATTCCTAGGTAATCAAAGTTATTACAAAATCAATCTTCATGTTTCGAAGTAATCAACTTTGAGAAGCTGAATTTTGCGAACTCCAATTTTCTATTGATCAAGGTCACTGAATGGTCGTTCACTTCGTCGCTTAATCATATTTTTTGTCGTTTTTAATTACTTATAGAACAAAGAATATGATTTCACAGATGCAAAATATTACGTTAAAACATCAACTGACCTTCAAACATTCCATGACTCTCGTTGATAGACTTTTAAAATATCTTTTTGTTTGTTCTCTATGTCAATCACATTCTGACGGCACGGGAGAGATCAATGCAAATATTTATGTTAAACGAAACGGAATCTGTTTCATCATCATTAGCTCACTACAAAAACATAATTCAACAAAGAATTAAAAATCTTCAATTACAGTACAATGAGAATTGAATAATTTTGCGATAGTAATTGCACGTTTAGCGCATTATTTATAGAGAGAGAGAGAATAAATTTAATTCACATCTCATGTTGCGACATTCTTGAAAACGTTGTAAAGCGCCTAAGAAACAAAACTCGAGAATCTGATTATGATGACCACTTCTTCTGCTTATAATTTATAATCTCTAGGGGTCGTTTTGACTCTGATCTTGGCGCTATTTATATGTAGTTAATTTACTTATCAAGCTCCGCAATTTGTTTAAATATTTGCTTCATCATTCTTCACCCGTGATTCGCAAAATTTCGTGGTGCGATAAATTATTCATTGTTGTAACGAAAAAAAAACAACTTTTCTAAAGTTCTTAATTGATTTAAAAAATTAACAAAAAAAAGTTTAGTTAGATACTAATCGGAATATTTTACAAGGTTAAAATTTATTTTTGCCATCGCAGCGTGCACTGATTTTTACCCGAAAATGGTCAAGGGCTAAACGTACTAGAAAAAGTTGTGTGATGAGAAACGTGCGCATAACTGAACGCTGGTTCAAATCCCAGTGAAACTTGATTAATGCATGTTCGGTTCATTCTGATGTCTTTTCTATACGTTTAAAATTTTTAATTGTTAATTATTTATTTAGATTTTTAAATTAAATAATTTTCTCATAAATAACAAATTTTGTTGAAGATTCGAATATTTACGAAGACTGAAAATTGAGAATGCCAGAAAATTCCGGAGAACAAAATTGCGGCAGATAAGTTCTACTTCAATTATTTCTTTGTAAGAGCGGCGAAACTGCAATGAAGGCTTTTGTATTTGCGTGTACCATCGATCACCTTCAAATGCAAAAGCTTTCATTGCAGTTTTGCCGCTCTTACAAAGAAGTAATTGAAGTAGAACTTATCTGCCGCAATTTTGTTCTCCGGAATTTTCTGGCATTCTCCTGAAAATTATGTGACCTAATACAAATATGTAAATACCAAAAATTCCAGGAATAAGAACTATTCAATCCATCATCGATGGTCATTGATAATGTCATAATATTTGCAAAAGCACTTTAATGAATAACGCAAACAGCTGATTTCAAGTTGAAAGACTCGACAACCATCTGATGCTGAGAATCAACCATATGATCAGTTGAAATGTTTTCTAACGACAAGTGCTGCTTTAGGGTAAGAATAGAAAAAAAAAGAACAAGAATTTTGCAAGGAGAGAAAAAATTATTTGCTAGTTTCAGCCAATTTTAAAAAAAGTCTCACGTTGGCAGCAAACGCGAGCCACTCGAGACTCGAAGGCAAAGGCAAAAGCAAATTGAATAATTAGTTAATTCTAAACTCATTCGCTTGTGGAGTGTCTTACATAATCATGTATCTTTAACAAAAAAAATCGTTTAGATACTTTTGATGCTAAAGAAAATTATTGTTGTTTGTTTATCTCATCTTCCATCAGTTCTTCGATTGTTTCGATTCTATATATTGTGAGAGATCAGTACCACGACAACAAGGCAGGTGGAATTGAGTTTATTGTGCTCTTCAAATAAATCTTATAATTGTAGCTTTGTAAATGAGATTAAATGAATCTTTTTGAAGTTATGATGAGATCATTTACACATTTCCAAACTATTACGATAGTGAAGTTAATAATTCCTTATTTGAAGAGATTTGTTCCGGGAGGAAAGCTCAGGTCAACATTTACTTATCCAAATCTAAATAATTATCTAGTTCACTATATCATGTCAGTTGTCGAATTAATCAAGCTTTCGTTCTCCCACATCATGAGAGAAAAATGTTCTCAAATGAAGTAATTGGATTGATGATGTTATAATAGCCTAATTTTCGTTTAAGGCAATTGCCAAGGTTGGGAATCAATGTAATTGAACCGGACTAAGTTGAACATCTATAATTTATACATACACGTTACACCCGTTACGCCCCAACAACAGCTGATGTGATCTTGTGAAATGTTAATGGAGCGGTCAAAGATTTTGATGGCTAAGGAGCTCCTAATTTTACGGCTTAATTCAGTCTTCCAAAGGCTCTTAATACTCGAAAACAAAAAGTGATCAAAACGTGATTCTTTTTTTTGTGACAATCATTCTTAGCAGACACTTGGAAACAACACAATGTTTAAATAGGTTGAAAATCAGCAAGGAACCTGACATTCCACCAACCTTGATGAACTTTTCATTTTCATTCTTCTCCACTCAATTGAAATGATGTGATCGGCAATCGCTAATAATTTACTTTAAATAACTATCGTTTATTTTCTTGTAGACGCTCGATATTATCCGATGATGTTCATCATACCAAGTGATCTCATTTTTGGTAGGAGATTCAAACAATTTTTGATCACATCCGGATTCGCGTTGGGATCAATTATAGTTCTCTGCTTGATCGACAATACTTTGGTGTTTCGATTTGTTTCAATTAAAACAAAAGAATGATTTTGGACATCATTATAAGATTTTTGTTTTGTTGATCTCTGAAGTTTGCCTTGAGACTTGAATGATAAATTTAAGGATAACATGGGATATGAACCATGACAAAGTGTTGGTTATTTAGAAGTCGTTTGATTAAATTTAGAAATAGGTAAGCGTCATGTCTTGAACAAAAATGAAGATGAATATAAGAGAATCAACAAAAGTTTGTTTTTGTCGTCATGGAATGGGATTCCGTTAAAAGATGTTTGCTTAAGCTTCATAGCTAAATGATGATGTCATGCCTTTGTTCAAGTGAAAATCAAAAGTAACCTCGAAATTAGACAAAAGTGCAGCAGCGCGCATGTCTAGACATATTTAAATATTTATTCATGTCGCAATGAAATGGAAATTCCATTTTAAGCAGCCATTGACACTTGCTGAAGATTGAAAACGTCACCGAATACAGTGGCTCGTGTTTGTTTTCCAATGTCATCGATGTTTCATTTTATCTTCTCAGAAATATATGCGCCGCTCACATTCCAAAGATGCGAATCAATGCAGCTTAGACAACAAGTTAAATACTTTGTTGTCGAGAATCACAAACAATTCCAAAACAGTAAAAATTTTCATAGTTTTGATGGACAAGCAAGTCAAGGCTATTGAAGGCCGTTTACTAGAAAACTTTTTTTTTCGTGTTAACGCGACAATTTTTTTAAGTTTGCAAATCAAATCAAATGTTTAACATTTAAATTAGCGAAAAATTCTTTCATTAGTTTTGCTCTTCCTTTCGTTCATGAGGTTTTTGAAGGTTAAGCTAAGAGATTATTATGTTGGGTAATATCAGAAATTCCTTAGTAGACACGGTCAAAGTATTTATCGAATTTTGTGTTCTCAGAAGCTTCAGTAAACTTCGTAAATTGAATTTGTTTGAAAAAAGCATTAGAAAAATATTGAGAAAAGCTAAAGTACGTCTTGAAATGTATCCAAGAAGATTTAATAATGAAAACTGATCTGCCTCAATGACATTGAAAGAATTATGAACTGTGCTACAATTTCTTGAAAATTTAATATTAATTGCTTTAATACATTTAAATTTATGCCCCTTCACAATGGATGATCATGGCACATTACGAAATTTGTTGTGTTGAATTAAACATTTAAAGTTCAGAAGCCAAATTAAGTGTTTTGTGTGAGAAGTAAACGGATGTGGTTGGAAATTGATTGAGTAGAAAAATCTTTTAACAACTTTTAGAGAATAATTTATGAAAATTTTCACTTAATTCTATAAAATCACAAATATTTTCAGTTAAACTTATAAAATAACTCCGATAAGGATAAATATGAAATCTTTTAAATATTTATTTTCATTGATGAAATGCTGGCATTGCTCGAGCTCTTCCTGTTATCAAAGAGAAGTAAAAAGGAATATTTTGAGTTCTCGTGAAGTCTTAATGCGTTTGTTATCATAACTTACTGTCCATGAGATAAATGGCACCGAGAATACCAATCATGAAGAGTAAACTCATAGTCACAATCAAGATGGTAATTTCTCTTCCCTGACGACAGAATGAGTTCGATTTCGGTTTGATATTGGATCGTCCAAATCCATTGACGACCGTGAAATGATTTGAAGATGCAATTGAAACTTGATCAAAGTCTTTGGCTTTCTGCTGGTGAGGTGTGACAGCTTCTTTGATGTTCAACATGAATTGACTCTGAGAATGTTGAGTCAATTCATGTTTAATAGTTTGTGGCCTTCTCTCTTGCATCTTTGTAAAGTTCTCCAAGTTGCTGACACTCAAAAGCAATGATGACGAACTCTAAATTAATGAGAAATAATAGAAAACTCCGAGAAATTTAATTCTTTTACAACTTCTTACATGCAAACTGTTGATTCCTTCCGATGATGATCCCTGTGATGATTTCGAAGCTCGATGAAGTTTCTCTAAATTTCCAGTGCTGATTCTTCGATCGATCTGGTTTTGAGTTTTTGAATTCACTGATGAAGCTGATGATGAGTTTGGAGAATGAAATGCGAGTGAACCTTCATTGAAAGGTTTCCAAAGCCTACGATTATTTTGGTGGATTACGTCGCTTTTTCGGCGATTGAGGTTTCTTGTTGACTCAGTGGAACTTTGACCGGAATCTGAGAGAGATGATAATGATGCTCGTGGAATGCGCCACGATTGCGGTATTTTTTTATTGTCCATTGGTTATAAAAGTAATTGGTCTGTGAATGATTGGCGAAAAAAGATAGGTTGAGTGAAATAAATTGAGGCTTCGAGTTGTTGATTCAAAGAATTTTTCTTTTGTGTTTAAAATAGCACTCGTTTTATAAGAAACAGCAAAAGAATCCGCAAGAAAGAATTGTTCGAACTTTCTAAACTGCTGCTTTTAAAACAACATAAGTCATTAATCAACGTTGTTTATTAAAGAATCGATTATAAGGTCAGTGAACTTTTTAGCCTTCCTTTCATAGTGACAAAATGTTATTTCAGGTGCGAGAAAAAGTTAAAAATCTTTCGGGATTCTTTTGACAGAATTATCAAAACAACTTGAAGCAATTAACGTCTCACACTTCAGCGTGAATGAACTATCAAGATTTCATGGAATTTGAAATAACATCTCATGAAATTAACAATGGGTCATCTTTTTGTCAACGAATTCAGTAATTGCCAATCATTTATAGTAAATGACATAAGAATAAAGAAGGCTGCTGGTACATTAAGAGAATATTGAATATCTGACACATATATGAAACTAAATTATTGGTTTATTTCGGACATGCAGTTACAAAATGAAAAAAGTTTCCAACACGTTTTCAAGATCACCATTCGGATCATTTTACATGACACTTGAAACGTAGAGAAGCATTGAACCTGTCCAAGAAATTCAGCTTTTTGACAGTGATCTTTCGGAATCAGGAACTTTAATATTATTTAATACATCAGAATGTTTAAAAACAAGACTCAATGCACAACACAAGACACGTACTTTTCCGGTTTTATTGCGTCAGTTGATATATTTACCTTCTTTTAATTTCCGTTGCAGTTCTGTGATGAACGTTTTAATTTTAATTTAGAAAAGTTTTTCCTTGTTGAATGACGTCGTGAAGAATTCAAAATATTTTTTTTTATTGAACTTAAGTTTTTTTTTGTTATAAAAGAATCAAAACAAAATCTGATATCATTTAAGACGAGTCAATAATTTATGTACATAAATTTTCAACTGCAAACTATTTGCGAACTAATTTCGATTCTTTTTCTAATACTTTTTATTTCAATAAATTCTTTCCATTGGTTGCAATACACAAACTTAAAGCAAATTCAATTTCTACTAATTCCAACACAAGCTGCAACGTTATAAAATTAAGTAAGCACACTCCATGGACGACGGCTGTGCTAATACTGAAGGAAATATCTTGGATGCCGGTAATTTATCATTAGAGAAAAAGAGTTTCTTAAGGCGCACGCTACAGAAAACTGAGAGTAGACAATCTCTGACTTCTCTTAACTCTTAAAGATTTTTCAATATTGAGCATTGTTATTTTTTTTGCTTCCAGTGTTGAGTCCAAGCAGCTGTTCGGATAGAAAATTTACTGTTTAAGAGAACATTGGAATACCGCTCAGTTCTGTTAATAGAAAATTAATTTTTTACACGTGATATCGTCGACATTTCAATATTTAAATTGACAATCTGAGGTTTTATTTGTTGATCTATAAATTCTAGGAATTGGATTAAATTTTGTTCTAGGACGTCAAACCAATGTCAATCAAGTTGCTTTATTGATTGAAATGTAGGTGACGAAAAAAAAACTATTTTTACTTTTAAACTGCATTTTATTGCTTACTAATACAATTTACAATAGAAAAATGTCATCTTCAGGTTTATTAGTCATAGATGTTTGTTTAAATATTGTAAACAACACAAAAATCGTAAATTTCATTAAGTCATCACAATTGTGTGCATAGAAATGTTTACGTTGTATCGAAAACTTTTGTCTCTACTTTTATTAAAAGCTCGAAAGAAATCTGATTTTAAAATAGTTGAAACTATAAAAACTAGTCTGTCTGTCTGAAAAAATCAATTATCGTAAAAAAAAAAACTAGTAAAAAGGAATGAACAGAAATAATAAAACAGAAAAAGGAATCAAAATCCACCTACATTGTGTCATTGCTTTTAATTTTATTTTCGTCTACCTCACAAGTTCATTTTTCATAAAACAAATACAAACACAGAAAGACGACAAACTTGATGAACTTCTTGAATTACTCGACCGTGTCAAGCAATTATGGATGAATCAATTTTTTAATTCGTTCGAAACAACTTATGTAATTTTGTACTAAAGTCAGTTTAAATCTCAGTTGAGATGCAAAAGAGTCGTAAAGACGATGGTGAAGTGAATATTTATCCACACTGCTGGAGGTTCGGAGAACATTGTAACATGGTCTTAATGACTAGATGGAGTTGCCAACCATTAAACCAGGAATTGAAAGAGATCTATTAAATAGTCATAAAAAGATTTTATTACCGTTGATGTGCATTAAATGCAAGGTCATTTAACTTGCACAACATTCCCTAACACCGCATTGCATGCTATTGCTAATTGCTTTTGGTTTTATCGCATGAGAATGCTGAACGTGACTTTCAACATGTTTTAAGCTTATTTATGACTCACATCTATCGAAAATATTTCGAGATCCGGAAGAATTTAACTCATGAAATGTTTTGAAATTTATTTCGCAAGTTCAATATCAACTTTTATCCAGCACCAGCTTCTTTTTGTTTCAGGTCAATGCCTTGTCATTAGTCAAAGCTTGATCTACTTAAATCATCATGTTAATGAAATGTATCCGTTTGTTTTAAAATTTCCGCTGATTTTATGCTTTAAGAGTTGGCGCTTTAATTTTAATGTTAAATAAGACAATGGAACTAAATAAGCAACATATTTACCATGTAGTTAGTAAATTTTCCGATCTTTATCAATTTGTTAAGCAAGTTAACAGCGCCTTGAATCTTAGTCATGTCTTCGAGTTAGTTTACATCAATCTTTTATATAAGCTTTAAACAGCTGACTGAAAGCTAAACAGATTCATTGTGAATAAATAATAACGAAGAGTCTTGAAAAGCTTGTTAGCATCGCTCATGATTCAATTTTCAATATTCAATTACAATTTTTTGTGTGATGCATTTGCATGAGCTTTCAAATCATCTTCAATTAGCAATTAGAATAGTTATATGAACATTACTTTGTGTTGCAAGGTACTTTAATAAAACGATTGAGAAAAGTCTCGATACTTAATTTCCCACTGGAAATAAATGAAATTCGAGACATCGGAATAGTCGGCAGATCTTTTATAAATTATTTCTGAGATGAGCTAGTGCTTCAAAGAATCATCGTATTAACTCGGTTGCCTCGACTGGCAAAATTCCAATCCTTCATTGAAGTAAATTAACAATGTAAGCAGATATGTAAGAGACAAAGCCACATCTGTCGTTCTTTCTGAAGGGAGTAATGAATGATCACTTACATGCAATGAATTGTAATTTTTATTATTCATGACGAAGCTTTAATATGCTCAAAACTTCAATATTAAAGCATGCATCAAATATTTCATTGATCATGATCCACAACTTACCCTTCAAACTATCATGCGATGCACAATTAATTTCGAGTTGTCTGCCACCGAAGTCACAAATTATTACATTTTCAACTGAGGTTGCGCACATCAACTTAGGTGGAAAGGTTTGATTAATGCTATTAATGTCATATTTGTTTATGTACATGTTTTCCTACGCCCTTCTCAATTACGCATTTAGGAAGTCCAATAATAATTTCAATCGACAATTTGGAAGTGGACATGAATCAACAACATGAACGATAGACTAACAAATGAAGTCGCAACTAAAGCTTAACAGCTTACAAATTATATTCCGAAGTAACCGATTTATGTGTAACCGATAATCCAATTAACGCTTTGATATTGAATCTTGAAAGGAAATTATTAACTTCTAACTACCAATTTAATGTCTAATAACATTGACCCATTTCCTTCATTGCACTTCATCAATAAGTAAAGGCGTTTCAATAAGAAAGATTAAAATATTACAGATTTTATCAAGCTGTTAGATAATCTAAAAATCCAATCCAAGCTTTTTTAGGAGTTTAAAAGGTTTAGTTGTCTACCACAAATATTTCTAATTGAAGGGCGAAGGACGTTTGTGATTATTTGAAGAAATGAAGTGAATAAAGCATGTTTATTGATTTGTGAACTACCAATGACATTGATAAATCAATAACGAGTGAAGCACGATTGAAAAGTCTCCATTTTGAAGTTGTTTTTTTTAATTTAAATAATTCTTTCAATTTTAGAATTCATGCAGCGCTAAACGTGAAAGCATGAATAATGTTTTTTTTTGCGCAATTATTTTGACAAATGACGATAAGAACAGTATGAATTCATCACAAAAGCAGCTTGAATCATTAATCGAAAATGACAAGTTAATAATCGTCTTAAAAAAACTCTTCACTTAAGCTCTAAGCAATACAAAAATAAATATTTAAGTGACGAATTAATAACAAGGCTCAATTATAAGAGAATTATGAAGTCATCAAGTGGCAATTACTGTTATTTTCGAGTGAAAATTGTTTGTTAGCAATTGAAAACGAGGCGCCAAGTAATAAGGATATTAAATCGCAATGTGTTGCAACTTCAGATTGCTTTAAATTATTGTAAATTACTTTAGAAGCACCTTGAGTTTCCATGGATACTTCTAACAAACTTAAAACCCTTGAAAGTAAACACCCGACTCAGGAACGTTTTTCTTTCTTCCACCCAAACTTACGTCGCCAACGAAACGAAGTTTGTTTGTTATATTTCTATAGTCGAAAAAATATTTTTCTCTCTGTGCTTTAAATTGTTTAAGTTCATTGAAATATTGTGTAATGAGCAACAATCGTTGGAGTAAAATCAGTAAAAAATTCACGGACAATCCAGACATCACGAGTGATGAAGTTAAAACATTTTTGGAAATGAACTTCACGAATGGATATCATGAGAAATTGTGCGGATCTTCAACTAGCTCGACTCGAATTGACCCAGGTCTTATTATGGATATGAGACATGAATCGGTATGTAAACTGACCAAAGTTAATAATTTCCATGTTAAGATTTATGCTCATTACTTTTTAAAGATCAAAAGCAGGAAAGCGATCAATTCATCAAGCAAATTTAAGGCGCAAAAAGAGCTCAATATGGAAAGCATAAGAAATCATAATAATCTGGTAGAGTCGAGGATGATTGTAAATGAATTGTCGAAGTTCAAAATGGATATCAGGAAATTGAGTGCAAAAAGCAGCATTGCTACATCCCATCGATATGTTGACAGTCTGGACAGCTGCGACGAAGACTCTGAAGAAATGAAACTTCTCGAAGCGTTACGAAACAGCGAAGATGCTACGTTTGCCTTTAAAAATGATTCCAACAATATCGTCATTGAAAAGAAGAGGAAACACGTCGAGATGAAACCAAAAATCGAGTTTCATGAGTTAAGTTATGAAGAGGGAAGTGGTTTGAGTGGCTTCAGTGGATCTTCTACGACTATCTCGGAAGAGTCACAGGAAAAAGCTGTTCACTTCAAAGAAGATTACATTAAAGTGTCTACACAGCCAAAGAGCGCGAACCTACAAGAGTTTCAAGAATATTATGAAATAAGCGAAGATCACAACAAGTTCAGCACCGACGATGACTTGGAAAAAACAAGTGAAATCCACGACGATGACTGTTTCCTCTGTTTCAATGACGCCGAACGTCAGTTTTCTTCTCGCAGTTTTGATCTGCAACCTTTTTATAGTTTACCGAACTTAAACGACGGAGATATTGAAGGTTTAATGAAGATAACTAAATTCCAGTCAATGATGACGGTAGAAAGAACTTCGCTCAAGGATTATGCTTGTACTTCAACTCCGGATTTATCTTCAACCAATGAAGATAACAAAATTCAACAACTGAACAGATCGATTGAAGAAGCAGAAACTGAAAGAATGTTGATTGTGCGTAGAATGGAAATTGAAGAGAAAAATTACCAACAACTTGTTATCATGAATAACTCAACTGATCCCCCGCCAATTGAAAGCGAGAAAATTATAAGCAACTTGTTCTTGGAGAGTCAAGAAAGTGTCGAAGAGAAGCGATTGCTTCGTGCAAGCTTCAAAGATTGGCTTCAGAAGACCACAGTTGCAAAAATTTTGAAGACGAATGCTTTCAACAACGAAGACCGTGTTAAGAAAATTAATATTTTTTTGAATAAAATTCGACTCGAGCATAACAAAAATTTATCACATAAAGCAAAAACTGAATCGAAAGCTTCGATAGCTAAACAAACTTCCACGACAAAGAATGGAAAAGCGCTGAAGAAAGATTACGAACATAAAATGAAGATCCAACAAGATGTTATCGAACTTCAAAAGCTTAAAATTCAACGACAAGAACGTTTAATAACCGAAATGAAATTGGCAAAATTTTCAGAAATGTTGAAAGATTCAAAGAATGATTTAAAGAAAGAATTGATCAATGCTAAGCGTGGCAATACAAAAATCCGAGCAAAAGCTCGATGCATTCAAGTAGCTGCAAATATTCCACCAGATCCAGAAGAAGAAGAGCGACGACAACTTCTTGCGCAAGGTTTAATTGTTCCAAAGTTTCTTCAGCAAATGCAAGAACGAGCTTCTGTTCGGTTGGCAAGACATGATGAAGCACGTGAAAGGCGTTTAAAGTTGGAACAAGAGAAAGAAGAACAAAAACTTGCTGCTGAAATGGCAAAGAAATTGGAAGATGAAGAAGCGAAACGTAAAAGATTGTTGGAAATGCGTGAGAAACGCCGTCAAGAGAAGCTCGCTAAACAGATAAAGGAACAAGAACGCCAAAGATTTATGGAAAACATGAAGAAAGCAAAAGAATTGTATGCAAGAAATCTTCTTAAAAACATTGGCTTTAAAGGCTTTCAGCTTCTTATTCGATTAAAACGAACAAATCATAAAAAGTCAACAATTCATCGTAGAAAAATGTGCATGAATAAATCATTCACTTTATGGCACATGAACACAAAGATAATTTGGGATGGTAAAAGAGCTCAAGCAGATCGTTTGCATGAACTTTCTGTGATGAGATTTTGTTTTAAAGTTTGGAAGCATATTCACAGTATTAACAAGAAAAAATCGCTTGTCGCCATCGACTGGTACGAAGTGAAGATCACAGAAAAGTTATTCAAATGTTGGATTCAATTTACATCACAAAGCAAATTTTTTGAAAACGCAAAGATGAGAAAAGCTGAGGCACATTACAATTGGTAAGAATGTTGTTTTATATTTGGGAAGAACTCATCGTTAACATCACGTATTTAAATGTTGAAATTTCATTGCGATGAGAACTTAACTTATGAACAAACCCCACTGTTAATTCTATAAATTGACAATTTCCTTAATTCTTTTAATAGCCAAATCAAATGGATACTTTTTGAGTGCTGGCAACGTTTCCCAGCAATCATGAAAATCGAGCGTGAGACCGAAGTTCGTCGTCAGAAGTGGCGCATGAAAGTATGGGATCTTCTGCCTGACTACAAGCCTCAAGACACACCATAACATCACCGATTATTACCCTTTGACTTCTATTTTTAGACGTGAGAGTGAATCTAGCATTTATTTTTCTACCAACATTGTGCAATTTATTTGATGTTTGACATCACCAGTTTTCATCATTAATCAGTTGTAATAAACTTTATTTTTTTGGTTTTCTCGTCGACTAATTTCCTCATCGAGAATTTATTAAGAAATGATCTCATTCTTGGGTGGAAGATGTGCAGACCACAACAACAAGAAATAGCAACACAAAGCTCTCATGTATCCGGAATCATTAATCGTAATAACTCTACAAAAGCAAACATATCACGTCGTGTAAATTCATCATTTAACAAAGAGTTGGAGACACGCTAAAACACTTCACATATTTTGGAAGTTTTTCATTAACCTAGTGGCGTTGATGTTCTAGCGAAGAGAAGTCTTTTTCAACTCATTCATCATAGCCACACGTTGCGCAATAAATAAATGAAGAATCTCATTGAATTGATTATCTGATTGTTTTCGCTCGTGAAAATCGGTGAATCGATTAGCATCGGAATCCGAAAAAATTCCTTGAGCCGCTCGTCAACGATCATTATTCATAAATCTCAGCTACGAAGTTTGGCTTCTTCTTTTTAATATTATTGTGAGGCCGCAGGGAGAGAAAGTTTCACGAAAAGTATCCTTCAATGCATTGCATCAACTTCCAAACTTCATTTATAACATTTTTCGCGATTCCGAACTCCGGACACAGTTTGACTGAACAAATATTATAATAAATTGTCGTGAATTACGCAATTCAAATTTATGTTTTTCGGTTCATTGTTAGAAATTCCAAATGGTAAAGATGCTTGAGAATCATAATTTTGTTTGAAGCATTTCTGTCATCGTCAAGCGACGTCATTAACATTCACAAACGAGTCACTCTCTGCGATTTTTACTTCATTTTTTCCACTACCGCTCTCACCAATTTTTAAATCTCGTGAGATTTCCAATGTCTTGTTAAAAACTTTTTTTTTCCATATTAAATCGGCAACATTGCAAATCAACGTGTTCAGTTGTAGCACAGCCATCGAGAAGGAGTGTGCAAGCAGTTTTAAGCTCGTTGCAGTTTCATATTTTCCGCTCTTTGTTTCGCGTGAAGAAAAAATAAGACGAAGAAGAAGAAACGTATTGAGTTAGATCAAATAAGTTAATTAATATTGCATAAAAAGCTTCGTTCATTTTTGTGAAGAAAATTGATGTAAACGAAATCGATAAATTAAAGTTTTTCGGCAAAAGTATTGTTTTCAAGTAGCAGATGGCATTCCATTTGTTCACATCATCAAGCTAGTTATTCGCAAATTTGTTCAAATCAAACGAGCTTATTCCGACAAATTCATCGAGATACATGCTTTTATACAAAAAAATAATAATAAAACAGACATAAAACATAATTTTTTGGACATTACAGCAAAAAGCGAAAATAAGAAGAAAAGACAAATCTGCAAAAGAAGAAAGAAAAAAACTTTTTTCGAGTCCAAACGAAAGTGAAAACTTTTATAAAGTGATGTTTTGAGATTTTTGGACCTGTTTTATTTATTCGTGTTGTATTTATTCTCAAAAATCTGAACAGCCGCAATTTGTGGGAATTGCACATTAACAAGAGGGAGGCAGGTAATAGAAGCTAATGAGAAAACTCATTTAACAAACAAAGTCATCATAACAATTGCTGTGTTTCATAAGATGAATCTCTTTGCGACGAGTGGCAACTTGACTATGTCTACTTACAAAAGTTTTTAAGTTTCTTTTTAGTCAAGCTCAACTTTGAACAAATAACTTTGATTAAAAAATTCAAGCGTGTCCGACCTTTAAAGTCAACAACAACGTCAAGCATCGAAAAACAATAATAATTTAATTTGTTTTTTTTCGTATTCGCTAACTTAACATAATGACTATTGTGCATGAGGTCATGTTAAGTGTGCAATGCATCGGGGTATCGTGGCATCCTCGCATGAATAAGTTAAGTGGCAAGTGCACACTTGTTGGCGAATTCAATTAAGACATACCTATGAAACAAGTTGTTGCTGAAACACAAACCACAACTAAAACTTGAACGTTTGTCTAACATGTTGAGGAACTAATCAGAAAACTTCGCGGTTAAATTTACGAACTTCTTGCCAAAAACAGAAGAAAAAAACTAAAAACTAATTGGTAAAGATCAGTTAATGATTTCTTGACTTCAAAACTTTATAAATATGTAAATATTTACATTGTTCTCGATGAGATGTTGATTAAGCTTAGATCATGAAGTTAAAGATAGCAAAGTCAACAATGCACGGTGACTGTTTTAAAATTCTATTAATAAAAAGTGAAGTCGTTGAGAAACATCGTCTAAAGATGTGATCTTATACATGCAGTTGAATTGAATTATAAAATAGAAGTAATTCGAGCTACTTGCTTTTGTTGAGTTTACATCAAGTCATAAGAGCATGATTAATGTAATAGTTTGAAAGCTGAAGAGTCAATCAGAAGTTTCCTTACTTGTTTATTAACTTAAAGCATCGTAACATTTTTAATTTCCTTGACAAAACTTAAGACAGTTTTGAGATGTTTGTTTAAAATTTCCGTGAACTTCACGTGGAGTCATATTCATCTTTTTATTATTATAAGATGCATTAATTATATTACATTAATAATCGATTAACTTCAATCAGAAATGAATTTCCGAATCTAATTTCTTATTACTTCTCTTAATGATTTATTTGCTAAGGAGATTAAATTTTTTTATAAACATTCAGTGGACCTGAAGCCCGCTGAAAAGTTAAGTTAAATAAATTAACAATTAACCTTACTACAAACAATTGCTACTCAAAAAAACAAAAGTTATTTAGCTCATTAGGAAATAGAAGCTGTCATACTTATTGATGTTCAAGTTTGTTACGAAGGCGTTTCAATATCAAATGCATCACGTTTCTCTTTCTTCACATTTCTTTCACGAGAACTTACAATTGAGATCGTGCGAATTCATTTGTTTCGCAACATTAAACCAAAGCGATATGTACATAATTCAAGAAATATTAATGAATTTTCCCCTGTGAATTGAGCTGGTTTAAATTTAATACTTTCTGTATCAAACGGTCAACTCACTTCTTTATATAGCAATCAATCAAAATCGTAACGGATTCAAGGTCGTTCACATGTGAACGCATTAATCAACTGTACCTACAGTCGATGACTTCCTCAGTATCAGCTTGTACTTTATAATAAATGTTTGTTTATTTATCTTATGGTATTTAAAGCACACTTGATTGATTTTATGATTATGTTAATGACGTCATCACAATTTTGATTAATCGATAGGATTACAAGATGAAAGGATTCTGCATTAAGTTCCATGTTCTCTCAGTTCTTAAAATTAATTCATTATAATCAACATCAGCACTTGTTAGTTAGTTAATCAGCTGCTGTAAATATTAACTCATCATTACTTCAGGGTTTGATTCAAGTTGAACTTAACTGCGGATAGATTAATGAAATTATCCAACTGGGCTCTAAATGATATGTACGTACTTCCCAAGAACAACAATTCGACCCTTCCGTAATTAGCTGTCAAGATCTTCGTTAATTGAATTCCAATTTATCAAATATTCGAAAGTATTTTTCACGTACTTTCCTGGTATGTACTTATGCATGCAAAATAATTAATGAGCAATCAATATCGATTGCAGAGCTTAATAAATGTCCGTAATTTAATTAAATTATAGTTACAATTAGAAGCCAATGAATGGTTCGTCAAGACATGCAAGTTGGAATGTACAACGGCAACCTTAACTCTATTAATAAAAGCACGTCAATAAAAAACGTTGCAGAATGTAAAAAAATTCCACTCGCAAAGTGTTAGATATTGGGTCGAAAGGAATGAACAAGCAAACGGAACAAATTTCATTTCGCAACGAAGCTGTTTTAGTTGTGAAAAAAAAAACTCGAGAGATTAAAAATAAATGAATTCGTGCTTTCATGAAATTGCATTCAAATGATTTGTCCAAATATTCAAGGCTTGAAGTCGTCTTTCATTTTTCATACTCACTTTTATAACAAAAGATCCAAGTGAACAATTTGATCGCAGGTCAATTCGATTACCTTGTGTGCGATTGCATAATATTTATTTCTCTTTCATATTTAAGACGCATAATCATAAGCATTAGACATTTTACTTTTATATAAATTATGTAAATGAAATGTTTTGACGATCAAACTTGAAGATGATTTGAAAAATAATTTTAGACGCAAATAAAAACCAGACCAAAGAATTCTATGCTAAACATGTCGCCCTAAAATGTTTTTATCTGTTAATGAAATATTCAGCAATTCATTAGAATCTTTTCGTATCGAATCGTGTTAGAAGACGAGTAATTTCCATAAAAGGAATCAAAAGAAGCTTCGAAAATTCTTTTCACCCACATTAATAGCTGTCAGCACATGGCTTTAATCGTAAGAACGTACAAATAAACAACAAACCAAGTCGCCATAAACATTCTTCCTCTGATCTAAATAATCTCCTCGAATTTTCCATAAATTTGCAATCAACATTTTATACGAAATAAACACAGAAAACTAGTTGGAATTTGAATGACGGAATAGTTGACGTTCTAACTTCCAACATGAGAAGAATCAGCAAGAATCTCGTGAGTTCTTGTTTCTCCATAGGTTCAATTACCTCAGCTCATCTCTTTCATTTGGAGTGAGAGCAAAACTTCCATATCCGTATCGATGATGTTCTCTTGCTTTTTTATCGCCCATGTCTGCCAGCTTCTTTTCTTTTACGAAAATAACAAAAAGCATTAAATAGTTCCAGAATCTGGTGATGGAATTTTTGCAGCTCTACAAGAAAAGAAGAAAAAGTTGATAAACAAGACATTAAAGATTAGATTTCTGTTTTTTATATTTTGACAAATGGTAAACTTTGAAACACATTAATGATAGCTCATTATGAATTATTGCATACACAAATTAAAGTAGCTGATGAGTCTGATAAGCCTCCAAAAAACAAGTTTTGCCCTCTAAAAGGCGCGACGCTTTAGAGTGAAGTGTAAGATAGCCAATAACAGTTTAGAGATAAATAATATCAGAGATTGAAACCTGTTTTGAAGTTCAGATAGCAACGGACGATCCCCAAGAATGTTGCAAGAAACAACAAACATGAAAGATTTAAACGCCCGATGAAGGTGCATCAACTTGAGATGAAAACGTGAAAATCAAGAATTTATTCGAATACGTTGAAGTCAGTCTCAAAATAGAAGCAGATGATGTTACTATCCATATCCATCCAATATCGAAGATAAGTCGCAAAAAAACTCTGTCGCCCTTGATGTCACCGTATGATTTGTAAACAAGCTTAAACATATCGTCGCATAATAACCATCAGTGCATCATCATCATTGAAAAAATGCGCGAATTTATTCGTGAGCAGAAGAAACAAGTTTTTTTATTATTTATTCAAATTACAATTCAATTTCATAGCTTTTAAAGTCTATAATTTGCCGTGTTCAACAATTATTTTAAGAAGAAGTCGGTGAAAAAAAAGTTGTGTGCTCGACCGCAGTCGCTTCCATACTTGACCTTGACATCGATGCAAAATCACCGTAAAAATGAAACATCACGGAGAATTTTTGCAGTATCTTTAATGAAAACAATCTTTTTGTCTTTCTTCTTTTTCCTTAGAAGCATACTTAATGAAAAAAAAATCTTTGTGACTTTTGTATTTACGGTTGATTATCGTTGCATCGCGTGAGTCATCTCAAAAGTCTCAGAATTGTTTACAGCGTGGTTCAGCGATCAGCTGTTCCATTATTGGGCTGTTGACATTGGTTTTTAGGCCTTTTGTTTGCATATTGTGCTATTCATCGTCGAAGAAGTGGTTTAAAAGCGTTGGTGGAAATTTTATTACTCAATGCACTTCTCTTAATAAGGATAATCAAATCAAAAAAATTTATCGCGAGTTTTTTTGGAACTGTTCGATTTTTGTATTTTTCAAAACACAAGAAATTCTCAGAAAAACAGATTTGCTGATGAAATCCCATGTCTTGTGCTTATGCAATTGCCAAATATCGCCACATTTCAATCAGCAGAGTTTATAAATCTTTTGTCCCATTTTAAGCAGGATATTGTCGTGGGAATGAATTGTTTGACTTTTCTCGTTTAAGATGATGACGCAAGCAAAGCAGAGTTCGGATCATTGAACTTGGAAGAATTAATGTAAATATGTTGATAGCAATCTGGTTGGGAATAGCATCCTTGTTCTTACGACCATTGGCGATTAATTTAAATGTTCTGCTAATATAGAACTTCTTAGGAAAGTTATTTAATATATTTAAATGAATGAACGAAGGCGTGATCATTTCAAGACCATTTTGAAATTTGATTTCATTTTTTCTAGAACGTAAAAATTGCTTTGAATTGTCACTAAATAATTTCTGACGGCTTCAATAATGTGGACAAAAACTTGCTAAGTTGGTCTAGTCTGACCCACTTAATAATACTATTAAAAGTTTGTATATCTTGGGGACATTTGTCTTTACCATCAGAAATGTCAATGCTAATGAAAAGCAATATTTATGTTCGCAATTGTAGTCGCCGTCACAACTATTTGTCAACTAATGTGGAATTAGCAAGCAACTTGCATTCATTGCATGAAGAACTAAGTCATCAACAGTTAGGATGAAAAATGCGAAGATATTTTGTGTACCGACAATTTTTCTTGCGGAATTGTGTTAAGATGCAATTTTATGCGTCATAGTTGGAGGACAAGTCATGAGCTTATATCAAATAACTTTAAAAGCTTGAATATTTCACCAATGCATGTAGAGATAAAATTTAACGATGCGAAGCAAAAGATTATTTCAAGGCATTTATTAACGGTCAATATCTTAACAGATAAATGTTGTAACTTTTCATATAACTAAATTTCATTATTTATTGAAACGACAGTAATGTTGAATATTTAAATAATTTGTAATTATCTTTAAATTCTTCCCTTGTTTGGTTTGCAAGTATCTTTTAATTAAAACTTTCTTTATTTTATTCGATTATTTGATCTTTATCTCGTTAACAAAGTATTTTCTGTAATCTAGAGATCAAACATAAAAAGTAATTTGTCAAGTTCAACATTTAAATTGACTTCGAATAATGAGATTTCAATTAAATGATCACACATTAAAAATTATACTACAAAGTGATGATTTTGATTTGTTAATCAAATTTTTATTACTTGCAAGCTTTTGATGTGTTTATGTAAGTCATCGAATGGAGTGAACTTGAAATGTTTCACTTTTTTAAGCCAGCTGATGTTTATTTTCGATTTCGTGTCGATGTCATGGCAAACAAAAACAAAAGTCAAATTCTTTAAAGAAAAAGAAAACATTGATTTAAGTTAACCGATAAAAAAAGTGTTAGGTATGAAAATTTTTTTATCTTGTGAATAAATTTCACACCAAACATGCATGCAAATTGAGAATTATGGTTGGGAGAAAGAAGAAAAAGTTTTGACAGCCCAAATAAAACACAAAGCTAAATTAAAAACAAGTTTAATGCAAAAAAAGGTCACGTGCATGTTATTTATGAAATTCACTTTGTTTTTGTCTCGAAACATCTACATAAAAGTTCATTGACCTCATGGTTCGGTGTATTTAATTATAGCTTATTCAGATGGGTGCGTGAGTTAAGGTCATTTATAGAGTGTGAGTGGTTTTTAATGAACCTCTGGCTTTGGCACGAGTTAAGAAAAAAGAAACAAGAAGACGAAGTAATGAGCTTTTAAAATAATAACAAAAGCAATTATTTGGAAAGTTATACAAATTTAAGCTGATGATTTTTCCTTGATTCACTCAGCAAAACCATCTTAAATAAATATACATTCGAGAACGTAACGTAAACATACTTGAAGTCATATGTATGATATCGGAATACTAATAATTGGAAATTTCACAATACATGACATTGAAAGCTTTGAGATCCGACCGCGAGGAACTGCTGCCTTTAAACAATACCAACAAAAAAAAAAGGCGATGAGCTCGATGTAAGCTTTTGGCATGCTAAAAACCATCATAAAAAGTAATATGTTCATACATTATGCTTTTAAATATCTGCTTCATGAAATATTCAATTCACAGTTTTTCTCTGTAGAAACATCTTCAATTGTCACAAAGACTTTGAGATTCATCGTCGTTTGATATTTAGTGAACGATATTAGCTTTGATATGCGACAGAAAAGATTTAACATTTCATGAGAAAAATTAATCAAGCGTGAAGCGTCAAGAAAGATACAAAAACAGCAAGTTTATTTATAAATAAAAATTTATTTTTTTAATATTATTGCGAAACCAGCCGCGCCACTATACACCTTAATCTTTATTGATATTTCAATAGCGAATGAAACGAATTCGAAAACAACTCTTGCACTTCTCTGCTTTATTAAAATATCTTGCATTGCTTGGAAGTTTCACTGATGATTGTGATACGCGTTATCTAACTCCGATTTCTCTAAAGAAGGAAAGTAAATTTATTAAACTTTTTTTATTCGTTATTAAATCTTTCAATAAAATGTCAAATGAATTGTTTATTAAGCGCCATGCCGATTTGTTAATGATGTTTCGTTAAATGAGATGTTTTTCGATTCTTTTCAAAGCTTAAGTGAATTAAGGCTTTAAGCGATTAAAGCTCCGTATACAGTTTTAATGTTCAAATCGTTGAATCAATGCAAGTTTTCTAAACAAAACTTTTTTTTCTCATTGAAGAAGTATTTAAAGATGTCAAAATATTTTCATCTTTTGAATTACGTTAAATATCTTCACGATCTTTGTGAATTTTTTTTCTCTCTTCGTTTGCGGGCAACGAAACAGTTTGCGGGCAACGAAGACATTTATCATCTAATTAATGGTTGTGGTTTCTGTAAGCGATCACTTCTCTTTTTATTGGATAAATTTTGCAATCTATTTTGTTTTTAGGGGTTTACGAAGGTAAAAGACGTACATAATGATAAATTATGATTCAGAATGAATTTATTTGCTTTTTCATTTTCTTTGCATAATCGAACAGCGAACACAAACAGTTAAATCAGTAGAACACCGTTCACTCATAGGCACGCGAAAGCGATCAAAATGAAAAACATGCTGTTGAAATCATGTCGTGTCAGACATAATGCAGCAAAAAAAATTCATGGGCTTGAACCATTTACTTCAAATTAAAGCAACACCTCAATTTCAATCACTTCGTTTGACCTTTCATTGTGTCATTATTTCACTTCCAGCGAAGCTTATGATTGAATTCTAATGAATTTTTACAGTTTTTCCGCATCCGTTTCAAATTTATGCGATGTTAAATATGTTGTTACTTTATGTTGATTTGTTATTTTGTCGAATCGATGAATACCGTCGAACAAATGGTTATTTCTTAGAATTGTCGTCTCTAGACTCGTTTTCCTTGATATTCGCTGTCGCCACAAAGCATCATGGAGTTTCATCAATTTTTGACGTCATTCTAAATATCGTTTTCATATATTTTAATTTGAAATCTTTTGCTAATTTGATTTTCAGATGGAACGAAAACAATCTTGGTACATTCCACGACCATCATTGAGCTCCACTTCGAATTCTCACACAAACAGAAGCAACGACTCAATCAGATGCTATCATCGTGACAGCGCAGTAATTGATATTGAGCATACGAAAGAAAAGAAAAGTTCAACGAAAGCTGCTGCAACTTCATCATCATCTTCTACAATTTCATCGCAACGATCTAAGAACAAGAGCCACATGGAGACATGCATCGATGGCGAATGTGAATCACCTAAAAGAGGATCGAGGTCTTCACAGGGGTCATCAGACAGCGAACAAAGTATTCATGTAAGTTTGAAGAAGGCAATTTTTGTGGATTTCAATATCAAAACATTTATCTTCTCGTTTTTAACAGAGTGCCTCGTCTCTTCTTCTCACTGTCGCAAATTTGGAGAATTTCGCAAAAATTCAAGACCAAACTCGCAATCATCATATCAACTTTCATCAACATAATCTTCATCTTTCAGGCAGTGTCAATGACATCGCTAAAACACATAACAAATCTTCATCTGTCATTAACATTCATCCGAATAATCTCTTATCGCCCCCTCATTTAAAGCCAACCAAAGAACTCGATCAGTTATCAACGGCAAGCTCTACACACTTCACGATGGTCAACGGCTTTGGACGTTCAAATATGAAACGAAATTCCAGCTACATTTGCAAGCGAAGTCGTCAAGTTTCGGTGCTGATTATCACAATGAGTGTTCTTTTTTTGATTGGAATTTCCACTGCCGTTGTTCTGCTTGAAAGTAAGTGTCATAATATTTATTTATGTCTTAATGGTGAATTGTTATTGCAACTTGCATAAGCAAGTTCACTGAATTTTCAGTACATAATTTAACATTTTCTATTTGTTTCTTTTTTCTCTTTCTTCGCTTTTTCATTCGCTTTTTCAACAGTGAGAAACCGTGAAATGCCTCGATAAAATTCCCATTTCTACATCAATCTACTTTAAATTATAATAACAACGTGTGTAATTAAATTATGCAATATCTTAATTTTCTTGCAAAAACATGTTCTTCTGATTCCTTTTATGTACTTTTATTGTGATTTTAGATGTTAAACCTTTAAGGAAAATTAATAAATTATAAAATCTGTGAAAAAGAAAATTTTGTTTATTTAAATTTTTTATTTTTTCTTATGATTGTTAAAGAAGAAGAAGGAAACTGATTAAGTAAATAATTTATTAACAGAAAAGTGTTTGACTTTTTCTTCCGAAAATTATTCACCAAAGAAAGTAATGAAATGCAAATAATTAACAAAACTGTAATTTCCCATGAGATAAAAATCATCACCATTCTTCAAAAAAGCATTACCTGCTAGATACTTCCGTCATTAATCTCTGATCATGATAGAAAATCACCGTCTAATGGTATACCATCATCTATTACGTAACCGCCGTGAGTGTGCAGAAATACAAAAACAAGCAAAAATTAATGGCGAGAAAGGTGAGATGTCCATCTTCATCTCACAACCTCTCAAGAATGGTCAATACAGTACCACGCGCTATTAAATAATCTTCGACAAAGAAGAAAACGAAGAGAAAAATGAAAGTTTTATGTATTTGCATATAATTTATAATGGAAAAAAGAAATGACAAATTTATTGTTTCATGCTTAACACCGCAATACATCATCGCTATCGAAATAAATGAATGAACATTTGTTGTTCCATCATCATTATTTGCGTGGTCGTACTTCAACAATGTGCACAAACAAAGTATTACAAATAAAATAATTTGTTTGTTTAATGGCAAAATATTAAAAAGAAATGAATGAATTAAAGGAATTGAGAACGGAAGATGTAACGAGCGACGAGGGCTATGACAAGACCAACAAGAGCACCAGAAATTCCCACCATCAAAATCATTCGATTCTTATCCTTAACTGCCAGAACTTTATCTCGTGAATCATTCGATGTTTCAGATTTTTGCTGTGACGATGACAAAAATTGCGGCCTTTTCTCAAAACGATCGTTAATCTTTTCTTCTGATATGAAATTTCCCATAATATCCATGGAAGTCTTAACTGTTGTCTCGAGTGTTTCATGTTCAAACAAATAATCGCAAAATACGACATTTGGAACTTGATTGTTAAAATAAACTCTCATTGGTGGAGTTGTGTTATTGATGTCCATATCATGCTCAGACTCATCATCATTCCCACCATCATCATTGGCCAACAAAGCGTCATAATAAATTTGCAATCGTGTGGTAAGTGAACGAACAATATCTTGTCGAATAAAATTCTCAATATCTCCAATCGTATTACGATCAGTGGCATTCACTCTTGAACTAATGACTCCAGTATATCGAGCTAAATCTTCGCTTGCTTTCAAACTTCCATCGTCGTTATTTGCTAATTTAGGCTAAAGATAATGATGATAGTTAAATGGTTTATAATAAAAAAATTATTAACTTACCACTTTACTATAAATTGTAACCTTTGTTGTTCGATTTTGAAGACGCAATTCTTTCTCACTCCAGTTTGTTTCTTTGAATTCTTTAAAATTCATCTCTTTCTCTACTGATCTTCCATCAAAAAATAACAAACTTTCCTTTAAAGTATTAGCAATCACATCAATAGTATCCATAACATGTTTCTCTTGTCTCCAGTGATTGTTTGTGTGTGGCAGTGGAAAATATGTGTCGATCTCATAATAAGTTTCAATTATTTGCCAACCACTTGTTTTTTCAGCAAACTTCCAATCAATGGGATTCGAGGCGACAGCTTTTGATGGATCAGTTGATATTGTTTTACAAATGAAACTTTCGTTAAATGTGTAATTGAGTATTAGCTTGTTTCCTTGATCAAGGTCATCGGTGTTTGCATAAAGTAATCCATTGGAATTCAATGTGCTCTTTATATCCATTAGAATAGTTTTAAGCTTTTCAAGTGCACTGTTATCACTCATGATATTGCTCTCAGATACAACGTAAAGTCCAAGAATATTGAATCCTCCGGAGAGCATTCTTAATGCATTTAAAGCATGTTCTGCAACTTCATTGTTATTGATACCAGCAATATTTAGCTTTTGTGGTGGATCCTTTTGCTTTTTCTTTGATTCTGAACTTGAACCAGAATCTGATTCGGAACTGGATATAGATGTTTTTGCAAAATGCACCACATAGTCTGCTCCATTCGCTACAATCTAAACAAAACATGAAATTATCAAAATATTTTCACAAGACTTCAAAACGGTGGAATCTTTACCTGGCCTATTATAAGTCCAATTGAAAATTCCTTTTTCGTAATTGTAGTATGGAGATTTGTACGAAGCTTGTTGTCACAGATAACTTGCCGCACCATTATGAAGAATGTATTGTTGTTTTTTCTCCTCAAAAACTTAAAATAATAAAATAAAGATGTGACGTGTGATGTTTCTTTAAAATGTGTTTTTACACTTTAAATACGGTAAATTGTGCAACACTTTTGTGTATTCTATTATTAATAAGCTTGTTTTAATCCGCACTATTGCCTTTTACTTTATTTTCTTCACTGAATTCTAATAATTTCTATATTTTCATTCACCCGGACTTAGATGTTTTGTTAAGCAAAGACACAATTTTGGATAATTTTAGGATAAAATTCAAATTTCTCTTGGCCGGTATTTTTGTAAAACAAAAATTATCACAATATTTTGAATGTCTTTGCTACAATTTGTGTCATCGGTTGCTGTAAACAAAATTTTGACTTGAAATCTGACAAAATAAAAAATAACAAAAGTAAACGTTTAACGTTTATATTTCACACAAAATGTTGAGAAATTTGTTTTCGTCGGCTCTTAGGAAGGTAGTGCTATTAAGTGAATGAAGTGTTATTATTAATGAATCTTAAATTTCACAGAATATTTTGAAGTCTTTGAGCACAACCTCAGCGGAACAAGTCAGTGAAAACAAAATTACTGAAATCTTGCGAAATAAATTTCCTGAATCACATGTCAAAGTTGAAGATATATCGGGTAAGCTTTTAATTGCTGTTAGCTCAGCAGACAATAAATAATAAATTAATGAAATGCTTACTTAGGTGGATGTGGAGCTATGTTTGAAGTTCACATAGTTTCCAATCAATTCAAGAATTTATCAACAGTCAAACAACATCAAATGGTGAATTTAGCACTCAAAGGTGAAGTAAAGCAAATGCATGGAATAAGAATTTTCACTCAAGCACAATAACAAAAATCCTTCATGTTTCGTAGTAATGAAGAAACCGACTTATAACATTTAGTAAATAAAATTCAAGAATTAAAAATTCCCTGACATCTGTTTAATCGTTTATCTGCAGAATTAACAAACCTAAAAGAACTTATAAAGAACTATCCAAATTTCAATTTTATCCCTTATTAAAAATATCACCATATGAGACCCAAGTGTTATTATAGAATTTTGGATTACTTCTCGGATCAGCAAAGAGTGTCCGACGGTTAGGCGGTGCATTAGTTTTAATTTTAATCAATCTTTGATTTAATTTCTTTAAAATATTAGGAAACTTATTAGCGAGGTTTGTTCTCTCGCATGGATCCTTAACAATGTTGAAAAGACACGGCGCTATTCTAGGTTTACAATAGACAATTGGATTTTCTTTTTCTTTGCATTTGATGTTAATTTTTTTTCGCAAATGAAGAATTTTTTCAGGTAACAAACGCTGCCCGTAGTCACTTAGCACCAAGCCCGCTCGAGAATTTAAAACTTTGTTTATATAGAAATTCGTATGATCCTTATATTCGGGTATTGCACCCAAATACCCATCAAAAGCTCCAAGCCATGTCGTTCCAGTAACAAATTTCCATCCATCTGAGATGATTGAAGAATAGCTGAAGATACTGTCAGACGATGTGATTACTTCAGTTCTTGGAGATCTTTTGTTGTTAACTATAGCATCCCACATATTATAACCATCAACATGACCAATATGAATACCGGCAGCCGATGCGAGGGTTGGTAAAACATCTGCTGTGTGAATGTACCCATCCCAGATTCGTTGATTGTCTTTTATTAACGGGGTATACATAAAGCCAAGATTACGCACAGCTCCTTCCCAAGGTGAGTCTTTTTGCTAAAAAATTTATGGATAACAAATTAAATTTTTTTTTCAAAGTAAAATTTTTACCCCACGTAATGGATAATTTGATCCATGATTGTTATAAATACCAACTGTTGGAGCTCCATTATCACTGTAGAATAAAATTATCGTGTTGTCCAGAATATTTGCATCCTTCAGAGCATCAACAATTTGCCCGACACCTTCATCTACCTTTGAAATCATTGCTGGTGGAAAATTTCAAAACATTTAAGTAAATCAGAAGTTAAAAGCGTAGTGTTGTAATATGTAAATTACCAGCTAGCTTTCTTCTTTTAGGATTCTTAATATGCTTGAATTTGTCAATTTCTTTTTGCGGTGCTTGTAATAAATCATATAAGTTGCCAGTGTGTGGTGCAAGATGATTTAACATCATGAAGATAGGTTTATCGCCTTTATCGTGATTTTTGATTATTTCGACAGCTTCGTCGTTGAACAAATCTGTAGCATATTTTCCGAAATTCTCATAAGTCACATTTTTGTTTCTTCGAAAGTCATAACCACTACTAAATTGGAAATGCCTAAGTTCAATATATGTTCGAGTGTAGTAATCGATAAGTCCATTGTAATATCCAAAGAATGAATCGAATCCTCGATAAGTTGGTGTAAATTCCTTTTTGAAGAATCCTAAATGCCATTTACCAATCAAATGTGTACTGTAGCCACTTCTTTTGAAATAATCAGACATTAGAATTTCATTTGTTCCAAGACCATACGCTGTAAATAAATTGGGAAGAAATTTTCTTAAAAAATGAATTGTATTTAATTTACTAAGTTTTAAAAATTAAGTACCTACCTTCATTTCCAGAAAGTATATTTTGCATCCCAATAGTGTGTGGATATTTTCCAGTCATTACAGAAGCTCTCGAAGGTGTACAAACGGGTGGAGTATAAAAACGATCAAAAATGATTCCATTATATGCAAGTGCATCAATGTTTGGTGTTATAATTTCATTGGATCCTCGATAACTTGCATCAAAAGAGCCCTAAAATTTTTTAATTGATTTAACTGTTTCTATCATAATTTTACATGTGACTAACCATATCATCAACCATTAGAACTATGACATTTGGTTTTCCCGTTCCTATATGGGCCTGTCCATAATCTGGTGATGGTTTTTCCGTTCTCATTTTTCTTGAATTGTCAGTTGAATAACTTTTTCCTGAATGATGAGCCAGGAATACCATTAAACCTCCGACTAATACATTCTTAAGAGTCATTTTGTATGCAAATTGTATGTTCTACTTAATTACATTTAAAAATATATTTTTAATACTTAAGCACTTTTCTTCAAAATAACTGAAAATTAAAATGAAAATATTCACTTCACTGTGTTTTAAATAATTTAAATTTAAATAATTATTCCTGATATATTTAATAAGTATTTATAATGAGTCCTATTCAGTCAAAAATCAGATTTGTTATAAAATATTTTTGTCTTGCAAGTTGATTAATAAAATACTAGTTTCTTTGTTTTAATCGACCGTATCTACCAGACAAAATATTTAAATATGTCGGCTTAATAAATACAGTCTGCATGAAGAAACTGAAATGACTACACAAATGATTCCGAAAAAACTTGTTCTTTCATCATAAGAAATCCTCGAGGACTGGCTTTTTGAAACTTCCCCTATGTTAAGCCATTTTCCACGGTGCGTAGTATTTATAAAACATGTTGTGGGTTTTATTTTTGATTATATTAGATTATATTTTTATATACACTAATTAGATTGAGTTTTATATTTTATTATTTTATTATCCTATTTAATATTATTTTTATTTATTTATAGAACAAGTAATTATTAACTGACCTTGAAACATTCCATGACTGTCGTCGATAGACTTTTAAAATATCTTTTTACTTGTTCTCAATGTCAATCACATTCTGACGGGACAATAATTTAATAATAATTAATTTACTACAAACAAATTATTCTAAAATATTAATTTAGTGAAATAAATTGAGGCTCCGTGTTGCTGATTCAAAGATTTTTTTTCTTATGTGTTTAAATTAGCACTCGTTATTTCTGAAACAGCAAAAGAATCCGCAAGAAAGAATTGTTCCAACTTTCTAAACTGCTGCTTTTAAAACAATCAACGTTGTTTATTAAAGAATCGATTATAAGGTCAGTTAACTTTTACTAACAGTCTTACAAATTGTTAAAAATATAAAGAAAGAAATTCAATAAAATTCACACATTTTTTAAACACAGGTACGAGCAAAACTTAATTTTTTTTAAGATCCTTTCACAACTCACAAAATAACTAAAACATGTTTTGATTGTTTGCATGTCAGCATATATTATGTCTTGCACAGAAATCAGAAGATGTTTATGGTTTTCTTTATTTTCATTTTTTCTCAAACTTAAGATTGATATGGAGCCCATACACCCCCAAAATTCGCGGGATCACTTGCAGGATCATCTACGAATGTTCTTCGAGTTGGAGCAGCGTTTTCATCAATTTCCACCATTCTTTGTATGAATTTTTCAACCATGTTCGATTTTTCATCGGCGAGATTATGACGTTCACATGGATCTCTCTCAATGTTGAACAAACAAGGTGATACTAAAGGTTCACAAGTATTAATAGGATTTCGGTTTTCGTTACAATCGGTTTTTCCTTTTCTACGTAAGTTAGATATTTTCCCACGTGTCAAAGGTTTGCCATAATTTTCTAAAATTTTTCCAACTGTGGATGACGAAATTATGTCAGCATATGTTTTTGGTTTTAATTCATATTCAGGAATAATTCCAAGATAACCATCGTAAATTCCACCCAAAGTTGTTCCATTTACAAATTTCCATCCATCTGAGATGATTGAAGCAAATTGAAAAACATTATCAAACGAGGTAATTACTTCAGTTCTTGGAGATTTTTTGTCTCTAACTATAGCACCCCACATGTCATAGCCTTCCACATCACCAATTTGAATACCGGCGGCCGATGCCAATGTTGGTAAAACATCTGCTGTGTGTATGTACCCATCCCAGATCCGTTGATTTTTTTTAATCAATGGACTATAGATAAAGCCAAGATTACGTACAGCTCCTTCCCAGGGTGAATGCTTTTGCTGTATTTATGAAAAATAAAATTAAAAAAATCATGTTTGACGAAAATAATGTAAATTTAGAATAAACCATTGAAATTTTATTGCTACCATCGATTAACCTGGAGATATTACTTACACCACGCAATGGATAATTTGATCCATAATTATTAAATAATCCCTGCGACGGAGCTCCATTGTCACTGTAGAATAAAATTATCGTGTTGTCCAAAATATTTGCATCTTTCAGAGCTTCAACAATTTGCCCGACACCTTCATCTACCTTTGAAATCATTGCTGGTGGAAAATTTCATTGAATATTTAAGTCAGAAGTTCAAAGTGAAATATTTGAGGAAAATTACCAGCTAATATTCTTCTATTTTCATCCTCAATGTGATTGAATTTATCAATTTCTTCCTGTGGCGCTTGCATTAAATCATATTCGTTGCCAGTGTGTGGTGCAAGATGATTTAACATCATGAAGAGAGGTTCATCGTTTTCATCATGATTCTTGATTATTTTGACAGCTTCATCATTGAACAAATCTGTAGCGTATTTTCCGAAATCCTCATAAGTCACATCTTTGTTTCTTCGAAAATCATAACCATCACTATATTGAGGATAAGCAATTTCATCATATGTGCGGTTGTAGTAATCAATAAGTCCATTGTAATATCCAAAGAATGAATCGTATCCTCGATAGGTTGGTGTAAATTCCTTTTTGAAGAACCCTAAATGCCATTTACCAATCAAATGAGTACTGTAACCACCATCCTTGAAGTAATTAGACATTAATTTTTCGTCTGGACCCAGAGCATATGCTGTAGAGAAATATTTACGAAAGGAAATTTATTTAACACCAATAAATTGATAATTCTTTTGATTCATTACCCTCATTTGCGATAACAACGAAATTCTGCATTCCAATAGTGTGTGGATATTTGCCAGTCATTACAGAAGCTCTCGATGGAGTGCACATTGGTGGAGTATAAAAGCGATCCAAAATAATTCCATTGTATGCAAGAGCATCAATGTTTGGTGTTAAAATTTCATTGGAGCCTCGATAACTTGTATCATACGAACCCTTTATCGATAAATTTTAATGTTTTATTTAGTGAAACTGTTCAATTTATTGATGCTTACCATATCATCAAGCATGATTATAATTATGTTTGGCTTTCCATTCTCACAATTTGGTTTTTTTTTACACTCACCGAAGATTAGAAACGATAAGATAATTAGCGAAATACGAATTTTATTAGTTTTCATTTTGAAGTAGTACCAGGCACTTCTCCTTTCCAAACTCAACTGAATGTCTCGTTGAAAATGTAAGATATTATATCCCTCGCTGAACTAATATTAAGATAAATTTGATCTGAAGAAGATGCGAAAACACACAACTGATAAACGTTTGATATGTATTGTATTTTAATTATTGTGAGGAACAGTTTTCTGATTCGTCACTTCATTTCCAGAACGTTAACACACATGTGTCCTCAAATAAGAAATTTTATGAATTCTTCACTAACAAAGCTACAGAAAGGAATATCAAGATGAACGTTTAAACAATTTTTTTTACTAATGTAGATATTTCTTAATTTCAACAAGAATTTACTCTTTTACAGTTGTTTGATTCCTATAAAAAGTAACTGAAAAAAGATTTCTTAAACACGATATTTTCTTTCCAACAGTTTTAAAGTTGTAATTACGGAGGCCCACCTTTGGTGAGGTCACCGTATTGTATTCGACATTTTTTTTTGGAAAATTTTTTTTGCTTAAATATGCTTAAAATAGCATGAAACGTCGAGAAAAGTGGAAAAAATGGACTTCCATTTTTCCGTCGCCTTTCAACCCTGTCTGTATGTCTGTATGTCTGTCTGTCTGTATGTATGTATGTATGTAACTTTTTTTTTGTTAACTTTTCTGAGAATTCTTATCAGGAATTTTTCTGAGAATTCTTATCAGGAATTTTTCTGAGAATTCTTTCTAGAGTATTTCCGAGAATTCTTTTGAATAGGACGATCGGTGCGCGTGTGGGAGAGTGAGTGGAAGACCAAGGACAGTCGGAAGGTCCATGGACAGTCGGAAGGTCCATGGACAGTCGGAAAGTCCATGGACAGTCGGAAGGTCCATGGACAATCGGAAAGTCCATGGACAATCGGAAAGTCCATGGACAATCGGAAAGTCCATGGACAGTCGGAAGGTTCACCATATGTATCTTGAAACTCCATACCGGCCGGAGTAACTTAAAATTATGCGTTAGCATAATTTGAAGCTCCCCATGTGGAGCTTCCCCATCTCCAATTTTCATTTTATTGCTTTTCCTAGAAATGTTCGTTATTTTTTTATGNGGACAGTCGGAAGGTCCTTGGACAGTCGGAAGGTCCATGGACAGTCGGAAGGTCCATGGACAGTCGGAAGGTCCATGGACAGTCGGAAGGTTCACCATATGTATCTTGAAACTCCATACCGGCCGGAGTAACTTAAAATTATGCGTTAGCATAATTTGAAGCTCCCCATGTGGAGCTTCCCCATCTCCAATTTAAGTAAATTAAAATTTTATTAACAAACATTCATAAAATAATTGTTATTTGATAATAAACTGTACACAATTTTGCTTTAACACTGTTCGTAATAAAGAATATTAAACAAACTGATATCAAAGGTTCGCGATAATGTACATCTTATCATGATACTTAAATATTATTTTCTTTTGTCTTGAACTGATAAATATCACAATCAGCTATTAAACGCAAATGCTATTTGTTAAATTTCTCAACTGTAGATTAAGAAATATCCATTAAGGATATTATTACAAAATCCATTCAGAATCGTGTGAGAATCAGTAATGAGCACATGGAAATCGAAAGAACTTTATCTTATCCACTTGGTTGAACAATAAAGAACTGTAGACATAAAATCTACAGCGCAGTTCAGACGTGTTTACGAACATTCGACGTTATAATGGGCAGATAGTTGTCGCATTTAACAACATCTGAAACATTTGCGAAATTGCTTTTATTGTTGATGAAAAATGTTTGACTAAATATCCTATCGGTTTAAATTTAGTGACTTGAAGAAATGTATCAATGAACTGATGTTAATAGCATATTTAGTCAAACAATCTCCGCCAACAATAACAGCAACAAAAAGATGTTTACCTCTTTACAGTGATAAGGCTTCGGAATATTCTGTTAAAGAAAAAAAGACTTGAAATTCTCTCAATATAAAATTGACACAAGTATCTTAGAATTGATACAATTGTTTTGGATCTTCATTTCATACCAAATAATTATCAGTTATAAATTGATATTACCAGGAAACAAGACGTGAATATACGTCAAGAAACGAGCATGGGTACAAATTTTTATTTATGCATAGCAAATATCGTTGATACAAATAGCAATATTGTTGATACACATTTTTCAAGATGTTGTTTTATTCGAAAGCGTAGTTAACAATATCAAATTGACGTCAATACAAAACTAATATAAGTAATGAAGGATTGAAACATATGTTTAATTAATCATTCAATAAATTTATCATTCACAGATAAAATGTTTTTAATCAAATTTTTATTTCATCATCATTGGAAAAATATTCTGACAAGATTCATCTTTAATTATTTCATACACAACATGCACATTATAACATCTGAAATTATTAATATTTACAATTTTTGTTCAAAAAATATCTACACCATAATTAGGTACTTAAAAAATATCTTCGATTAAGTTTCGAGTAGATTATCAGGTCTTGAAAAGATCATAAAATTTACTAACGTTAATAAGTATTCTTGTTGTTATTCTCACAAAGTCCGTTACAATTTATAATTGACCAAATAAAGTCGACGTAGTTAGTAAGTTTAGTATAGATGCCAAATTTATTTTTCTTTCCGCAACCATCTCCAAAGCTCGTGATTCCATACACGGTCCACGGTTTGTTCGATTTCTTCGAGTCGCTACAAAGTAGAAATGAGAAATGATAAGACGAAAGTTTAAAGGTGAATCATTCACTTGTTCATTAATATTAATTACCGGCATAGAATTGGACCTCCACTATCTCCAGCACAAGTGTCGACACGATTGGCGCCAGCGCAAAACATATTTTTAGTGATAACGTAGTCATAATAAACATTCTTGCAAGCTTCATTTGAAATGATTGGAACTTCTGCTTCGTGAAGAATGCTCGTACCAGATTCATCAGAATGTCGTCGTTTCCCCCATCCAATCACAGTGCTAAACATTTAGATATGCATCATTTAAAAACATGTACAAGATATTACAAGAAATTAATTTATTACCAAGTATGACCAACTGGAAGTTGCTGTGACTTTTCAGGCAAGCATGCATAGCCAATGTAATGAGATCTCTCAATAGATTGCGGTAATCTGAAAATTAACAAAAATCAAATAAAACTTTAAACATTTTCTTATTCAAGACTAACTTTAACAAAGCAATGTCACTATCGACTGTTTTCTTGTTATATTTTGGATGTTTTATTGCTGTTTGAATCCTAAATTCAATTTCGCTTCCATCTCTCACATTGAGATTATGTTCTCCAAGTATTACATATAAGCGTTTTCTCACACAATGACTAGCTGTAAATCAATAAATGTTTATTTGCTATTCGTATTTCTCCGACATTTCAATATATTACCAGTTAATATCCAATTAGGACTTATTAGAGTTCCACCACAGAAAGCTTCTTTGTAACGATTGAGAATCGCCACTTGCCATGGCCACTGAAATGTCAATAAATTGTTAAGTTATTCAATTAATAAAAAGTTCAATCCTACTTGAGCGCGTCTCGAACTTTTCCCACCAATAATTTTTAAAGCGAAATCATTATTTTTGTTCCGGATTGATGGGAAACCGCATTGTAAATTTTGTGGTTTGTATTCGGGTTTCAATTTGTATTTTCTTCTTCTCCCAGAGCCACTTGGTGAGCTGTAGAAATTTTGTGATACTGCATTCGCCAGTGGTGATTCAGTTCTGTGATTTGGTTTTGTAGGTTTTGCAATTGGCTTGTTAGTTGCCTCCACTGCATTGTAAGCACCAATTTTACTTATTTGTGAACTTATCCATTCTTCACAGAAACTTCCCTCAGTGTAACAATAAGCGATCTCACGGATGATTTCGCTACCGCAAATGTGTCGTGCATGAGGTCGACATTTTTTGTATCTCTTTGTTACACATTTTGATGAACACTTACTCCACCTACTCCACTTACTATAATTTGCAAGTGGTTTTCGTGGCATTTCAAAAACTGCCTTAACTTTCGCTCTGTCAACAGTTTTGATTTTTTCGTCGCTTTCGGTGTTGTGGTCGGTATCGTAATCGTCGTAAAAATCATCGTCATCTGACTCGAATCTCTTGTTACTTTTCGATCCATTTTTGAGCATAAGTGGTGACGTTGAGTTAGGCGTGTAAATATCAAAGAGTGTCAAGTTTCGCGGTAGAAAAAATTCTTGTTCGATATCGCCAAGACCTCCAGATCGTCGATCGAATGTTTGTTTATGTTGATAATCGCCCTGCTTTACAACTTTCATTACCAAACGACTCCCATCAATCACACTACGTGGCTTTATCCCGTTATCATTTTCATCATCTTCAAATTCATCGTCGCCATTGTAAGGATCGTCTTCGAACTTTTTCTTTTTCTTCTTCTGATTATTGACACGTTTCTGTTCTTTGTTTGAATCTTTTCCAGTATGTTTGTTTCGATTTTTCTTCGATTCTTTAGCTATTTGTTGTGAACTTTCCGTTTTTTGACAACTGAAATAAATCATAAAATAATTTTTATTAAAAACGTTCTACTTTAAGTTTATGTCTTACATTTTTTCAGAACAAGATCTTTCTTCGATTTGTTTCAAACTCCCACATTTTCTCCTACTCGTGCATTTTCTTGATCGCTTTTGTTTACATTTCTTATCGCAATCGCTCCAGGAGCTCCAGGGTGAAAAAAGAACAGTTTTTTTATAAGCAGAAGCTTTGTTTTCATTCAGCACTCTTCTTGCTTCTTTAACGCTATTTCTAAGTTCAATCTCGTCAAGATCATCGAAAATTGAGTCTTTCAGTCTTGTTATGTTGTTGGAAATTTGTTCTTGTTGATTACTTAAATCTACATCATTTATCTGAAACGAAAGAAAAAGAGCACTTTAAAAATTGGCTTAGATTCAATAATGTTTAAAGTTTTTACAGTCGTTCAACAATTTCCGCAAATTATTCATGCACATCTGCTCTTTAATAAAATTTGACACAGAAAATAAGCAATCGAGTAACCTTTCATCAAATTATGAATCAATAAAAAATGATGCTTTTAAGTGGTAGACTTGACTCAGTTCTAATGGAACCTTTTTAAGCGAAACTGAGTGGTCGAAGTTGCTATTAAATTTCAATCAACAGGAAGTCATAATTTGATTCATAATTTTTGATCGCTTAGCCCAGATTACCGATTATTGATTAATTCTGCGAACCTTGTCCAAACCAGACTCAAAGTCTGAAATAATTTTGTTTATGTGGGTGAGTAGCGCAATATTATTAATTTATTTATTTTGCTTTCGAAAGTTTCTTTTGTTACAACTCCGAATTGTTGACTATCAATAACAGGCAAAATGAAAAACAAAACATTCAGAGATGGGCAAATATTCCGTTCAACTCGATTGACTGACTGACTGACAAGTCAATGTCTGTCAGTCAGTCAGTCAAATCCCAACTCTGAAAACATTTAAGATAATCGTCATAAATTGCAGAATTTCGCCTTTTATATGTCACAGAAAAAGCTGATTTAAGTAAATGTGTTAAGTTGAATGATTTCGGACTCGGAACTCGCTGATTATTTGCCGAATAGAGGCGTAACTGTGGATATTATTGATTATGTTAAATTTTTTAAATAAAACTAAAATGTTATTAATGAAATAAATTTTTGGAAGAGCGGATGTTGTCGGTAAGGGAATAAAATATCTTATGGAAATCTTATAAATATGAAAGATATAAATAGAAATATTCAAACCATTAGTGGCGCCATATCATAAATATTGAAGATGCCAAAAATTTAGGTGAGAATTGATCGAATCATTTCAAATATTTCTGCGCAAAATAAATTTTCTTCGCCATTTCTTTTTTCTTTATTTCTATATTTATTACATTGAAATCATCCAACGACGAATATAGATAGTTACAATTAAAATTAATAAAAATATTCCCCCTGTAACAAGATTAAATGCAGATGGAAATGTCAACAGTGTTGAAGAGTATATCAATGTGTACAATGGAGCTGACACTAATCCAGAAATCCATTCAATTGAAGTAGTAAAACTATACATCTTACTTACTTCATCTTTCGAAACGATTGTTGACATTATTGATCGTAACATCGGACCAGAAATGATTTTGAAAAGTGAAGCGACTGAAGCGACGTATAAGTGCCATGTTTGACTAGCAAACGTTTTTATGACTGCATCAATCAGCATTGATGTCAATGACAGAAGCGATAAAAATATATCCGACAGCTTAAAAAGCTTTTTTAGAACTACTAAGCCAATAAATGATCCGAGAATTGTCATCAACATCGTCGTTGACTCATAAAGTGTCACATCTTGTAAAGTCCAATCAAATTTTTGTCTTGTGAAAAGATAGAAGACCGTGTTTGTCCCGTGAAAAGTGAAATTTGTCATCATGATTACAAATATCAAACACCACAAAATTTTCCTGTGATTCAATTGTCGTCTTCGAATACAAGTCACAAATAATTCTTTGATTCTTGTCAGCGTAAAAAGGTTTTTGAACTGATCACTTAAACTTGTTTCTTCTAACACTCGAATTGATTCATCAACAAAAAATATCACAATAATCGCTCCAGTTAATATGCATATAAATGAGATACAGAAGACAAAAGTCGAATTTGTTGCTTGCAGAATAAAACTGCTGACAGCTAAACCGGTTAAGATGCCGCTAAAAATTGTTATCTCCACGATTGTGAAACGAATAGATCGATTGGAATCATTTGTTTCATCCGTCAAATAGCAAAGTATAATTGTGATCAAAGTAGGATATCCACCAACAAACATGATCGGAAATTGAGCTGCAACGTAGTTCCATGGGCTGTTTGCTTTATGATAATCTGAGAGATAAGAAACGATCACGATCCAAGCCATAGAAATTGCGAATCCGAAAATGATGAAGATCAAAATCTTTTTACGTCCACATTTGTCTGACCATGGCCCTAGGAACAGACTTAATACTGTTGGGATTGTTGAATTGCAGATTGTGATCGTCATCAGAATGTTAGCTACATATGGCTGAATAGTTTCTTCAATGTTCGTTGTAGAGTTTTTATCGTCAAGATGATTGCAACTCTCGTGGTCAAATTCAAAGACAAAGAGACAAGTTTGCTTCAATATCTGATTCGTTACTACTGGCGTTGATAAATTCCATCCAAAAAATATCAGCAGCAAAGCTGGTTCGAGAGTAAATTTTTGCTTTATTTTATCAACATTTTCTACTTTTTCTGTGACTCTCTCCATATCAACTCACAACACAAAGACTAGAAGTCATCTGAGGCTTTCGTTTTGATTGTCTCAAAGTTTTTAATCAGACATTTGTTTACATTTTAAAAGTGTTTGCTTTATTTTTTAAAGTCATTTAATCATACAGTTTAATTCCTTATTCTTGCATGAATCATAATCTGTATCGTACAAATGAGTTACGATTCAAAAGACGAGAACTTATGTTTGGTCGAATGTGTAGCTCCATCCACGCATGATATCTCGCGAAATGAGAAACGACGAGACAAACTATTAGTTTGTATAAGTCGTCGTCGTCGTCGTCTATTCGGGTTGTTCACATGTTGAATTTTTGTGAATGAATTGTAACGAGTGGGCGACACGATTCGAATGATGTTTAACAACAAACGCGAGAAAGAAAAAGGCAAACAAATCGAAACGCAAAAGTTTATAATTTACTTCAAAAGGTGAGTTTGAATAGTTAAACGGCCAGTTACTGGACATGATTTATTAAAACGTCTTCATTATGAGCTGTGTGTGATCACATGGTGTTTCATTTAGCAAGATCGTAAATGATACACTCAATCAATTGCTTTATATGTAAATATGAATATCGATCGAAATATTTTTATTTGCGGTTGTCATCATTAATATCTATTTCCATGATATGTAAACCATCAAGTTCCATGTCAAGTCAGATAGTTCTCGATTAACGTCAAACTGTCAAGTTCATGTCTGGAGAAGGGAAATATTATGTGTTTATGTTTGTATGATTTATGATCCTTTTGATGCCGCTCTTCAACTTCTGAAGAATTAAATTGGAAATTATTTTTTATGGAAAAAGATTTTTATTCTCCATTATGAAAAAAAAAAGAATTTTAACGTAAGGCTACAATATATCTGACGCCCTCGCACTTTAGATTTCTAATTATAGAATGTTTTTCAATACATCAAGATGCATCATTTCGAGAGCTAAACAATTCAAATTTCTTGAAAATGCAACATGAGAGGCTAATATAATTTAATTTAAGAAACGTCAAATAAATAAACTTGAGTGGTCTGACATGAATTTTAAATATTTTCTATTGAAAAAAAATCATCCTCGAAGTTCATTTCCTATAAATTTTATTTTATTATTGAGAAAAGCTTCTGTTTGAAAATGATCTGAATAAGTGAGAAGCATGTTGAGAACGTCAATTGTAAGAGCATCAATGTCAGCGAATATCTTATGATGATTACATGCAAGATAAATAAGAAAATGAAGAAGCGAAATAAAATCTCAATAAGAAACTCAATAAACATAAAAGATAAGAGGAATCGAACGACTAACAGCGAATGTCTTTTCTGTTGATTATTTATCGGGTAAGAAGAAATGTTTCTCAAACGAAACAGATTAGTTTTAATCGTATTAGTTCAAGCAGGAGTGTTGAATACTCGTGTTGTGCAGGTAAAACTTTAATTCTCTAAAAGTTGACGATAAAATGTCGTCAGCACGTTTAATTTTTTCTTATAAATCACTTTGAATGGTTTCTTTTGGACATCTTCGAGTTGAACGAAAATTTACAGCGTTAATTTAACTGGATTGAAAAATCATTTTGTCGTGGGTTTGTTTTGATTTAAGCTTGATGTTGTAAAGTGTTTATTGACGCTAATGTGACATAAATATTTTATTTACATGCTTTTGAATATATTTGAAGAAGCTTAAGTCACTTTGTAAGTCGCATGACATGAATTGCTTTAGAGATAAAATAAAAAATTTTAATCACATGAGATTAAGCAGATTTCTCGTTGAAATCAACAAAATTAATCTGATCTTGATGTACAACAATGAAATATATTTCACTTTGACGTTCATAAATTACTTCACAGCTCAGCCGTTTAAATGAAAAGATTTATTGGAGTGACTTTAGCGTGACGTGACATTCGAATAATGAAGCGAGATTCTTCAAAAGAAATTTTTATTTTCAATCTTTCTCCATAATATCATCAGGTAAATAAGTATAAAAATCTCAGGCAATATAATTGTAATTTATGTTATGGTTCAATTCATGTTTTTGCACGATTTTAATCGGCATCATGCTGAGCTTTCAATTTCTTTTGAAGTACGTTGTAATTACTGTACTACATCAATGAGAAGTTTTTTATTAACCAAGTAGATAAATAATCGTTTTAAATCATAATCGGACAGTGGCCTTGTGCGTGAATTATGAAAGAATCGTGAAGGTATTGCTCGCTTACCTGAAAACTATGGCTCTTTGATAAAGATGATAAGCCTAATATCACTAAAATAAAGATGACTTTCCTTAAACATCTGTTTAAATTCACAGGGTTTGTCATTAAACAGCTTTTCATGTTTTAGTTTTATTGTTCTTTTAAAGTTTCTTTCTGTTTTCACTTATCACACTAGTAAGACGTTTTCCATGGGAACAAGATTTTATTTCTGAAAATAAACATAAATTAAACAATCGATTAGCAACGAACGGTGAAACAATTGATCATGACAGATTAACAAGCTTAAAATGTTTTAAATTTACAATTTTAATAATTAATCAAGTTCAAAGGAAATTCCGCTACATTTAATTGTAAATGCTAAGTGGAATTAAAATTACAGAAAGAATTTAATAAAATGTTTAAAATGATTTCTAAGCCGCTACTAATGCAGCTCAATGTTATTAAAATTTAATTCGAATTTGTTTCTGTTCTCACTCTCGTGCCTCGTGTTGCGATTAGATTTAAGCCATTAAACTTAAACTCTTTTAATCACTTTTAACAACTCTAATGGCTTACGTTGGAAGTTAACTCGTTTCTAAATTATGAGCGAGATCTGATGTCAAAAAGGTAAACAATAAATCCCATCAATGAACAGCTTTAACAATGTCCACAGTCGTAATATAAAAACTGTAAAAATTGTATGCAGCCGTCAAAACTTTTATTTGATTTTCGCCACTCTCAAAAATTTTCCAACTTTAATTTTTGTTATAAATTATAAAACTTAATTGAATGACGAAACATTATTGGAACCATTTGGAAGGTCATTAAACATTTTTTCTTTTTTAAATTCGGTTAACTTACTCAATCAACTATTCAACATTAATTCATGGTGTTGATGATGATGTTACTCTAAATTATTAGGAATGGTAACGCATAAAGAGCCAAAGATCAATAACAGTCAATAAAATCGTTACAAACGACGAATTAAGTAATGAAGACGAAAACGAGGCTGCGCACGATCAAACAAGCTAAACGCAATTATGAATGCAATAAACGCTCGTAAATTATTCACTGAATGTGAGTAATAAAATAAAACCATTAATTTCAGAAACTTGTCGTTTTAAAAATATTTACTGAATAAGTAGTAAATAATTTTATTTCATGAGCTCGCTGTTGTTACATTTAAGAACAGAATGAAAAAAAGGCTCGTTGTGGGAAATGTTTTAACATGTTAATTGAATTTAATTAATTAGTAATTTTTCATAAAGTTTCAAGCTAATAGATACTTAGACATGTTTGTTTTGTTGTGACATGAAATTTGCATTTTAAAATTTAAATACAACGAAAAAGATTTCATTTGCATATGTTTGACTTATTTCAAGATCTTTCATCTGTAAATGGCATCATTTTGAGAGAGTTAATTACGTTTTTGACACCTTTCAATTATCGACTGTCATCGTTATATGGTAGCAGCAGCCATCAAAAGCACGAGATTGACTTAAAGATCTTCGCAGATTGTTCAAATTCCATTGATTTTTGTATCTGTTGACATATCCATTTCACAGATACGCAACTGAGAATGGTACTTAGGATGAAGTGGCAATTAACAAACATATGATCTCATCACTTTGCGATTTAAATATTTACTAAAACAATGAGATTCTTATGCGAATTTAAAATTTTCAAATTTACACTCAAATGTCTTAATTTCATTCTTGGCATTGCATTTTTGATGAATTGAATTCAGTTCCTGTTTTATATGAGTGAAAATTCATCACATGCACATTATGCAATTTTCCTTCATTTTCGTTCAAGAATCATCTCAAGTGTCTTTGAACTATTTTAAACTTTTTTAATTCATGTTCGACGGATTTTCATTTTCTTCGGTGTCTGTGGCATGAGAAACGAAAATAGATTAAAAAGGAAAAAGAAAAACCAAAACAACAAATCACCAGACATCGCATTAACTTTTTTAAGAATTTATATTTGGGGAAATTTTCTGTTTGAAATGATGATTTGGAAAAATAGGAAGTAGATCAACGTCAAAATATGCTTGTGCAGGTCAAGTGAGTGTAATTAAAATTCTTTCATCGATGCTCAATTTCTCTTACAAATTATCAATCATCTTTTTTCATTAACGTTAATAAAATTCTGCTGGCAAATTTTAAACTTTTTATTCTGATGAACGTCTGCAGATTTCAAATATGTTGCTTACTTTAATGAGTTTTCTCACTTTGCGAAAATTAAGTGCCAGATATGCTGCATTTAAAGTTTGTAACATCAACTCAACACATCACGTTGATACACTTTATTTTTTTTCTACTTTTTATGACTTAAATTTAAGACATTTGCATTCACGATTCCATTTTTTTATGTTAAAAAAGTTTGAATTTTTCTTTTTATTTGAATCTTCCTTGCGATTTAATTTTAACGCGAGCTTAAATACTGCAACTCGATCGTTACGCGGCTTTTAAACAACTAAATAGTATTTCATGAGACTGAAACATGTTAAAAGATCTCATCGCGAGATTTTGTGGTGAGTAGCAAAGCACGAATGAACGAAACGACAATCTCTCAAAGATCTTCGGTCTTTTATTTCAGTTTTCTCTCTCAAGATGCTCATGGAAAAGATAATGAAGTAATATGCAATTGCATTAACTCTGCGCTTAAGTTAAAATATTCTCTCACTTTCTGATCGCAACATTTCAAAAACAATTTATTTTCTCCAACCTTTTAAAGCTTTTAAATTTTCCTGAATCTTTTATAAGGAAAATACTTTTAAGTAAAATTTCACTTCCCGAGTCTAAGTTCAACGTGAACTTTGGCTTAAAGAAATTTGATTCGATCATTTCATTTTATGTTTCAAAAATAAAATCCAGTGCAAACATTTGAATGTTAGTCAAGTTCTGAGTGATTGAGAAGTCATAAAAGATAACAAGCAGAAATATTCTTCGGAAAATTTGATCAATTCACAACAAATAGGAAGTGAAAATGATAAAAATAGTTGATTAATGAAACTCCTAATTTTTCTATTGGGAAACTTCAGCAGAAGTTATTTTTATAAAAGGTTAAACAAGTAACAACTGTTCCAACCTTTATTTCTGTAACATTTCAACAAACCACATCAATAGAATGCAATCAAATGAACTTTTGAGTTTTGTGAATGAAACTAAAATCTAAAACTCGCAATTTATCTGAACAAACATGACCGCGAGCTACGAATGAATGCGAAAATTTGTAGAAAGAGAGTTAACCGGTTTGATCAAGCGTAACAAATAACAGAGAAGAGAACAGAAGATATTCATGAAGCACAAAACAAAATATCACAACAAATTATAAAACAAAATGTGTAGCAAAAATCGATTCATTCACAAAAATGTTTCTGCTTTTGTGTATAAATTCATTCAGAATAAACATCGCGTTTTTATTTCAGAGAAAAAGAGTTTTGTAAATATTTTCAAAACCTAAAAATTCTTTTCTTAAAAAGTTAAATAATTGAGTAAATAAGCGATTCCTTACTTACAACAATTAACTTCAAATTAATCCATGACCACCACCACAAATTGAACAAACAGAAATTTTTTTAAGTTCTGCTACTCTAGTCTCTGCAACACAACGTGCGATATCTACTCAAGCTATCTCTCAACCCACACCGATCATCACGTACTTACATACGCCTTCAATAAATAAACGAGATGTTTCACTTCTTGTGGTTTCTTATAAAAACCAAAACGACAAGTTTTGAGGTCTCGACGACAAAATGAAAATTTATTGACTCAAGTCAAGATTCAAACTTGTCTTAGGTAATATTTTTGATTTCTACAGACGTCATCAGATGATCGTGCTCGTGGTTTACGCTTTGAGTTTTCAGTCAGAGAAAAAAATAACCAATTTCATTAACTCTTCATTCATAAAGCCATTATCAGTCTTATGTACCGTCCCATCCCATAAACTTAATTTCAATATTTTCAATCTTTTCTCGTTATTTTCCGTCTTTCTGCGTCTCATATAAACTTCATAAAACTTGTGTGAAAAAAATTGTTTTTCTTAATCGCGATCATGCTTTCGACCGAAATGCCTAAACATGGGTGTAAACATTTTATTATAATGGCACTTTCCTTTACCTATTCCAACCAGATGCTGACCTGACCCATCAATAAATCTTAATTTCTTATAAGTGTAAAAGTTTTTCCTTATAAGATGAATATGGTGAAGTTAATTTAATTAATTACGATTCTTCATATCCATAAAGTTTAACCGTCTTGAAGCAAATTTATCATGTTGTGAGTGCAAATGTTTTTTTGTGAAATATCTGCAACCTTTTTCTTAGCATGAAAGCAGAATATAATTAATTTATACAGAAGATTCTTTAGAATTGTGAACAAAGCGAACAAGAGTGAATCAGAAACTTGTGTTTCCACTTCTTGCACGTTTTTAATCATTTTTCGTTCATGCTGAGCGTTCGACGAAATGCTTCCTTATTTCCGTCCATAAATTAAGAATATTTAATAAAAACTGCCAAAACTTTCATTGTTGGGAAGATTTTATCTTGATCTAGGTGAAGGCAATAAATTTCAAGATCACGAAAGAAAAGCGAAGAAAGAATGTCATTGTCTCAAATTTATCAACGAGATTTAAACGATTCAATTTAACTTCGTGCATTCAAACAATTATGTGAATCTATTTGTTTAATTATGTGAATAATTTCCCCTTCAATGTGTTGAAATTCTACTCAACAATTAGCAACCCACAATCTACGCTATCGTTTGAGTATTTGAAGGTTATTTTGGCATAATATTTATCTTTGTTTAAATCACTATTACTCTGTTTCTACTTACAAATCCAATTTGATATCATTCTTGATCGATCAATACATATCATGTTACAAAATGTGTTGTTAGTAATGAAATTATCTTGCAACTTCTACATATGGAACTTGAGGTTGTGACGGGCGTAAATTTTCCGCTCGATTTATATTCAAGAATTTATTGAATGAAAAATTTTGTTTTTGTAGTCTTCTTTTCTGCTTGTGTCATGAAATGTCGTCAAAGACTTTTCGTAATCCCACCTTTAGACGCCAGTCTGAATAAAAGATCAAAATTTGTCTAAAAAAATCATATCTTGGAACGTTGCTTTAAAAATAAATTCAAGAGATATCACTGACCACATCAGACAGTTTTAAAAGTCGTTTTAATATTATTTTGAAGATAATTTCTTGAAAATTGTGAAAAAAACTTTAAACTTTTCAATTCTTTTTGGAAACATAAAACCTACGATCCTCTCGAGTATTGACAGAAAATNGAAGTTATCGGAACAAAACGAACAAGAGTGAATCAGAAACTTGTGTTTCCACTTCTTGCACGTTTTTAATCATTTTTCAAAAAACTTCAAACTTTTCAATTCTTTTTGGAAACATAAAACCTACGATTCTCTCGAGTATTGACAGAAAATCTTTTTCACGCTAATCTTTCGCTACTGATCTGATGTTAAAACCATAAATACTGAAGATTTATAGGAATATGAAGTCAACGTAATTTTCCATGTTGAAGAAATTGATTTAATTATTTATTCAGATTCAGTTTTGATTCCGTAAACTGGTTAATTGAAAACATCATCAAAACGGGTCTATTTAATTATTTTTTCATGAAAATCAAGATGGAAAGGCTAAGAGTAATTAATTGTTAGCCCACGCTTACTTAAGAATTTTGAGTGCATCAGATGCATCAACATGCATGTTGATGTTTCAACTTCTTGTTTAAAAATTAATTCTCAATTAACAACATGAGAAGTTGTTTGAAAGAACATAACTCGATGAATGAATTTTTATCTTTATGTGTATAATAAGTGTATAAAAATTGTCACTTAAAAGGTGAGATTCTGTTTAATAAATCTGTGATTATATATTCATTAAGTTAAACAAAGTTTTTAAAAGAAGTAGCAAAACTCATGCTGAAAATTGCAATTAATTTCAAATCTCTAAATTTCCATTGGTTGCTTTAAATCTCGAATATTTCTTGTATATTACATTCTATCTAGTTATCATGATGTTTACAAAAAAAATTCCCATCGCAGCAAGCATTAAAATTATCCCTATGGAAAAATTTTCTGATTTGAAAAATCAAGATTGAAAGGTGAAAAAAAATATTGTGAAAAGAAAAAAAAATATTAATTGAATTTTTTTGTTGTTTTTAGAAAACAAACAAGATGGAAAACTTAGAAACAGGAATGGAGAACTTTAAGATAGAAACAATTGAGGAAAGGGAATATGAAGAATCTGAGGAAATGGAATGGGAGGAAATTGGGGAAGTAATTTGTATGGTATTAGAATAATTAATTAATTGTTTTTTTTTGTAGGTAGAAGAGGAGGGTGGGCTCACTCGCTCACTCCAAACTTTCCGCAAAAATTTCATCATCAACAAAAAAGCCTACTGAGAAAAGTATAACTTCAAGTTTAATGTTTGATTCTTGTAGAATAAGAAAGATTAGCAATTGCAATAAATTTTCTTCATTCTTAACAAAAAAAAATAAATTCGCAATAGTTGATGTTTGAATTTTATATTTACACTCATCATGGCATGAAATCTTTATTTGATGAATGAGGTAAACTTTATGTTTAAAGATTTGAGAAGATAAATTCTTCTCGTTTGTGATTTCTATCGGAATTTCTGTAAGTAATTTAATTTACAAGACCTGTCAAAACTTTAACACACAAAAAAATAAATTTCATGGATGCTCCGTGTTATGCAAAAAGTAATGAGCGCAAAATGAACAAGAAATTTAAATTTAGAATTTCTTATCGCATTGAAATTCCACCCGACGAGCAAAAGTGTCTGGTAAATTGAATTCTATTGATTGTTTGTTCCATTTTTTTCATATTTCTTTATATTTCAGTTTAAACACAAAGCAAACATGAAATAATTAATAAAACATCAATTGTCATAAAACTTTTATTACTCATCCTCACTGTGATTATAAAATGTCGTAAATAATCGTGATTCGACTTTTTAAAGCTTTTAATACTTCTTGTAAAACGTGAGACAATTAACCCTTAGAAGTACTTAAGGGGATCAAATGTTAACAGTCTTAAATGTTTTCTTGATTTTTCAATTTATTTAGAAGAAATCATTTCGTTATTTAATAACTCAATTTATTAATTAGTCATGTAAATTCTTTGTCGTATTCGAAATAGAAACTTCAGAGTGTTGATGCCACTCAAAAAAACGACATCAAAAATCTCGTTTTGTAACATTCTGATAAGAAGAAGATTAATTCACACGTATTTTCATAAATTATTTAGGTCGTGTAATCAAAAACATTGTAAGATGACAAATTGAAAAATCTGTTGACAGTTTTTCTAGTCAGTTTCCTTCTGAAGTCAACCATGACATGTCTTATCATAAGTCAACTTTGTTAAAGAATTTCGCATAGTGTAGAAAATATTTCGAAAAAGCTTCAGACATTCAAACTTCTTACACATTTATTGCTTTTGACAAATTAACATTTTTTATTATCAAAATGTTGTAGTACGTACCAAAATGTTTTGTTCGTTATAAGGTCCGATACTTGTACTGATAAAACAACGAGGAAATGGAAAATAAAATAAAATTCTTTCTTTTAATATTTCCATCCAATAAATCCCATTGACATGATCAAATTTTATTTTTGATTGTGCTTCCTTATTCTTTATTTTTTATTACAAAAGCGAGTTAATTTGAATTAAAAAAATGATTAATCAAATTTTATATTATTTTTTTATCTCACTTTATTTCACTTAAAAGAATTTCCGAACAAAATATTTAACAGAACAACAAATTGAGATTTCACGACTCGATCGTTCCACGATTTTACGACGACTGAAAAAACTTACGTTTCAGATATTTTCTCGTCGTATTCTGACTTGTGGTGAGTAGCGAAGCGACAAATCTCTCATAATCACGAACGATCTCATTTTTTCTCTGAGTTGTACTTAAATTGAATTCAATAGTCGACTTTTGATATGTTTTCAATACGAAAACTTGAATAATCTCAAAGGAATCTGAATTATGCTTATTGAAAGTGATAATGAAATGGAGAAAAGCCTTCAAGCCGCTTAATGGCTTCAATTACTTAACAATTGATAGCATGCTCTGACATCATAATTCATGAATTCCGAAAAAGGCATAAATGCATCAATTTGTCCAACGATTGCAACACCTGAGGTGTTTCACGGATCGATATTGATTTCTCATGTCATAAAAATAAATTCATGTTTCGAGAACTCTTTCTTACATTTTATTTTCATTTTCACTTAAATTGCAAGCTTTTGTTGCAGCTTTTGCTTGCTGCAACATTAACTCTTAATTTGTTGAGTACATGTGCCATTATTCAAGTGTACATAAAGACTTGTAAACTTTGTAAAGATTTGAGTAATCAAAGTTATATTGTTCGACAATTTATCCTCAAGTTTAACGGTAAAAAATTAGCATTCAATAAAATTATTTTGGGGCCTCAGCAAGTTTTGTGACACGTAATAAAACATCACATAAGTTTAGTGTTGATTTTTAAATTTATTCGAACAGGAAAAAGAAAAACATTTTTGATTAACTTGTTAGATTTTGTGATTTTATTCATTCGAAACTATACCACATAGGGATTGGCGTATTGCGGGATGTCAGCATTGTCGTCCATTGCTCATTACAATTATCGAGGTCAGGTCTAATGTAAATAGTTCCAAGAACAATTTTCTTTCCCATTTTCGTCTTTGTTGCAATTGTTGTCTTGATGGAGACATGTTCGATTCCTTCTTCATTCGTTAAAGGTATCGTAACTGTTGATTCTATTTGATCCCATCTTATTGAGAGTGTTGGGGAAAATGTGTTGCTTCGCCAATATCCTGACAAGATATCATGCTCAAAAACGGTTGTCTTAACATAGATTTGAGCTGAAATAAATGTTAATAAATTTAGATCACGAAGAACATGGGAAATCAAATTTGATCATCTCTTACTTGCATCATTCTCGAATTCTTCTTTAACTTTAATTGAACATCGCATTTTTGACGTGGTGATTTTAAGGCACAACCCATTTGTTTGCTTTTCACGTTTGCTCTTCATCAGTCTTTTCATATTTGGAAATTTGACATCCGTGAGACTGAAACGGGATCTTGACGTTGACGCCTCATCATCGCATTCAAATGGGTTAAGACTTTTATTGTATCGTGATGGTTCATCATTTGTTTCAAACTCAGTCGTTGATTCTAATGAATGATCGCATAGCTCTAGAATCATTTCAACTTGGCCTTTGGGACTTGAATTCACCTAAGAATGAAGAACAATTAAAAGTAAGAAATCGTTGTTGGGGGTCACAAAGATGGATCTATAAATCATGCAAACTTTACATTTCCTCCAATTTATTCTTTCTCTATATTTGGCAGTTAACTGTTTGCAAAGCACCTCCAAGTAATACTTTCCAGATGCTCAAGACATTCTATTTTTATCTTAAAAAGATGTTATTACTTTTAAGGTTCGTAGAGTTTGTGAGTGAAAAGTGAATGTCACATTGTGAAGCAATTAGTAGTCAAACTTTTGATGAAAGTCATTCAGGAAATTAAAAATAAACTCGAAATGAAGGGGGCAGAGAATAGTTCTTAAGACATAAATAAATTTTAAGATGGAATCGAAACCAGCACGAAGTGATAGCCAAGTGATTAAACTCAAATTACATTTTACATGCTCATGTTTTCAATTACGCAAGTCTAAAATAGTTTTTGGATGTTTGAGATGACGTTGAGCACAGTTAGCTTCCGTTTCAGATATCCATGCATTTGACTTACCGATAATTTGGCATTTGGAGCTACTGTTATATCACGAATCGGCATCCACATTTCAGTTGTTGAATACGATTTATTTCTTGAATTTTCTTCAAACAGTTTAGCATCAAGAAAGAATGTCACAGATCCAATGTTTCTTTGCGTCTCACTTTGTGTTAATTTTGAATGATTTTTGTTCTTGTCTGTCGACTCTTTTGTTGGATTCAAAGTAAATGAAGAGATAAGTTTTGGGGCTCGATCTCTGATTATTAAACTTCCTTGTCGTTTTAAAGATTTATAAGTTCCCTTAATTCCTGTGTATGACTAAAATTAAACGAATTGTTAATTACATCATAGATAAACTGATAAATGTTATCATTTACGCCAGACGGTAATTCCAATAAAGCAATGACAGTAAATACGACGAACGTCCCTTTGAACAATTTTTCTGGTAAAGAAATATTTCCATTCACATCGCGGTTGTATTCACGTTGCTTTGACTTCAAAGATGATCTGTCAAAGTAAAAGGAATGATAAAATTATAAAAGAAATGTCTCAAATATTTATGTTACTTGTGCATTGGGGCCATTGGAAAACTGAAATTTTCGTTAAATCTCGGCCATGACGAAGTCTGTATAGAAGAATCGAACTTTGTTGATCCAGGAAAAAGTTTCACCTGCAAAAATTTAATCTTAAAATATTAAAGAGACTCGAAAAATGCTGCAAACCTTAACAATGTAGCCTTCAACAGTTTTTAAGCCGAAGTTTGATGGCAAGTGTCGCGCTCCAATCAAATGTACATCAAGTTGTGGAACTAAGTCAAAATATCTTTAAAATCAAACGAAAAATATTTGAAAAAAATGATTACCTTGTGTATTGTCGTTTGCAGCATCATGAAGCGTAAGTTGAAATCCGACTACTGGTTCGAGTTTATCTTTTTCTGTTCGGTTATATTTATTTGTTGTTGAAGACTTTGTTGAGAAGCTTACGGAACGTGCTACAGCTTTCAACTTGTTCATCGTATTTTTCAAGATTGTCTTCTTATGATGTCATAAATTTTTTAAATACTGCTATTTTATCACAATTCAGTTGATCATGTCGAGAAATGTTTGTATACTTTTAATAATAATTCCTTTATCAATGATTTCACTTCATTTATTTTGCAAACACTTAATTAACTTCAATTATCTGCTGTTTCTTTTCAAACACCAATCTCACATGTTTTGTTACAATTTTTTATAATTTTAGTATGATGCATTAAAATTGAAATATTTTATGATTACCATAAACGTATTACTTGTCTTCTCGCTTTTAATTTTACAACTAAATGTCAGACAAAAAAGGTTAAACTTTAGATACTTGGTTGACTCTTAAAGAAAATGAAAATGAGCTGATGTCGTTGTAGCCGGGTTAGTGACACAATTTGTAACAAAAGAAGTTTACAAATAGTCACATTCGTGTCTCAAGATAATCTCCAACCGACTCATGAATATCAATTGAGACGATGATACTTCTTAAAACGATTCAAACAAATGAAATAAAACTCTGACTTCAGAACATTGCCACTTCACTTAAAATAAAGCAAAATATTTTCACTGATTTATTTCTTTTTAAATCTTTGATTGTTCCCTCAGTCTCTTCTTGTAATTTACAAATAAAAAGCGAAATGAAAAGATGCACAAAGTTTCATTGTCAATCGCCGACTGTTCGATTTGTTTGAGTTTTCTATTAACGCGTGTCTCATATTTTTTCTTCTTCACTTCTTTTTAATTTACACTAATAAGCTAGGCTTGATAACATCGACTAAGCTTAGGCCTTTTCAACGACACATGAACAAATCTAAACTTGGCCTCCCACACAATCACCTTAATATTTCTAAACTTGCCTCTTCAATGGCTCTTTCAAAACTTCCATGAAAAATATCTCATCGCAATGGATGTGGATAAAAAAGAACATCAATGAGATATTTCCGTACAGAGTGAATTGATTAGAGACTATTTTTGAAGAGACAGAAAGAGAAAGAGACATCGAAGAGAAGTAAAGTCATGAATTGGATTTTATGATTTTTCTCTGCGGCTTGTGATTGAGTTAATGCAATGATGGAAACTCCACAAGTATCGATTATTTATTGCTCGGTACTTTAACGAATATTTTAATGCTCAATGACCTGAATATTTTTAAATATTCAAATGCCAGATCGAAGCAATATAAAAACCTAATAATTAATATCTAATCCCAAGAAAAGGTTTTTATGACATCACAAAATAATTTTCAATAAAAAACTTCACTGATGAACTTAACAATTCAAACCAAACTTTTTAACTGCAAAAAAAAATAAATGTGAGTTAACTTCATTTTGCGATAAAATTGTCAGAGTTTCTTTTCAGATAAGATAACAAGTGTACAAGTTAACTCACACAACAGTTTCGTTCTATTGATGCGAGCAATTTTCTGAAAATGTGTTTGAGTAAATATTGCTAATCGTTTCATGGGTAGGTTTATTACCAAATTTATGATAATGAAAGAACTTATGATTAGTTTTTGGTGATTAATTATTCCTTTCTCTATTTTATTTATCAGTCTAAACCTAGAGGGCCAAACATTGCTTATTAAAATTTGAAGGGCACCATATTCAAAGAATGCGACAATATTTAAAATAAATTGTTTAAAATTTATTAGCATATGAGAAAATGATAAGCTTTTTATCATAAAAGCTCATAAACGATTATGAAGAGATTTACTTGAAAAGCTTTAATCTTTGTATTCTTATCGTCTTAAAAATTTAAAAAATTGTTTAATGAATTTCTTATTAATTTGAACAGAATGTTGGAATTAGCCAACTAAGTAACTGTTAAAGTCCGCTTCTGATTATTTTGATTGGCATATGTGTATCAAAGAAGCTATCAGAAAATTGATAAAAGCTATCAAATAATAGCAATATTTTGTATTAATTTCAGATAGTAGCAGTCAGTATTCATCTTTATTAAAACAAAGACGTATTTTAAAAATGCCATTTAATATAATTAAAGTTGATTAAATTAATTATTTGTGCTCCATTTACGAACAAAAAAGAGAAACAAGGAAAAAGAAAATTAAGATGAAGTTCATAATTGGTTTGACATTTCTTATTTTTATCAGTCAAGCGGATGCTCAAGGTGCGATTGAAAAAACCCCCAAACTAATTTTGGAATGATTTTCACCATTAATTCGATTATTAATTAGTCATATTGAAAGCAGATAACTTTTTATCGGCGTATTGAGTGAAGAAAGAATGCTTAGATAAGATTCCACTTTTTGACGTGCTTCCTTTTAGATAGGAAACTCTTTCAATAGCTTTCAATTAAACTGTTAATACATCTGAAGAACACTTGATCAGATTAATTAGCAAAGATTTATTTTTAAGGTTGTTCAAGTCCTCAAATAACTGAAACGCAATTTGAGACATCAAATTATATGAACGACGAAGATCTAGAGCCTCGATTCATAGGAATTGTAAAAGAATTTGATATATTTGGTGCAGAAACAATCGGTGAATAGTTTTGAAGATTCATTAAATACTTCAAATTAACTTTAAATAGTTTACAGTTACAGGCGGTGATAACATCAAATACATTACAGCTGAATTTAATGGTGAAAAGTTAACAATTTCAACAACTCCTGAATTTGCACTCTATGAGTATGAACAAACATCACAGAGGCTGATTTTAGTGCTTCAATTCACATGCAGAAATGGCCCATCAAGAACCATATTCTTCAATCAAATCATCAAAGCTGTCAACAACTTTAAACCTGAATTTTCTGAATCAAATTATGAAATTATGATTCCAACTCCTTTACCGCAAGGAATTGATATAACAATGTGTTTAATGGTCAATATTTTAAAAGTTTTAAAGCAAAAGTTTAATCAATGAAAATCTTTTTTAGGGTGTGGAAATCACCGCCATCGACCAAGATCTATATTTGAACAATTTGACGTTTTCACTATCAGAAACCGAATTGTTTAGAGTTGAAACAGTTGAAGAAGGGCGCACATATCGAGCAAAGCTTATCACTACACAACAAATTACGCGTGTTGATGAAGATATCGAGTTTAGCTTAACAGCCACGGTGAGATTTTAAGACTTGGTTGAAGTCTATGAAATAATTTACTTTCGTATTACGTAGGATTCATTTCCTGATGCCAGCTCTACTGTCGTGGGCGTGAAGATTTTATCCAATCCTGATATAGTAACAGTCGCTCCAGTTCAATTTACAAGCCCAATTTATCTTGGAAATATAAACAATATACAAGGAAATGAAAGTCTTTATGTTGAAGCTATCGCAATGAATGAAACTTCCTATGACGAAAATGTTCTTTTTGATATCTTAGATGATTATTCTGGAACTTTTGCCATCACAAATGATGGACCAAACTTATCAATTAATATTACAAAAGCTTTAACTATTGATATTCTGAGAAAGCAAAGCATTTTCATCATAATTCGTGCATCGAGGCAAGCAGATAGTAAAGATTTTGCCACGATTCTACTTGACATTGAATCAGCTGAACAGCGCATGCCCGTGTTTGAAGAAAATGTGTACGAAGGTGTTTTGTACGAGACAAATCTTAACTTAGTTTTGGAAGATTTTATTCTTCAACGTGAAACATATTCGGATGATGTAATGTACGAGATTAGTGGCGAAGATGCGGATTTTTTTGATATCGAAGTCAACGAACATATTGTCAAAATTTTCCTCAAAGAAAATGTTGATTTAATGGAAAAAGAATTTTTAAGATTTTTTGTAGTTGCTTCTAAAGACACAATTGGATCAACGTCAGCTCGAGCAATTATTAGAACAATCCCAAACGTCATCATGTCACCAAGTTTTGAGAAAGTTCTGTATAAGGGAAGTTTGATAGGAGAAACTTTGTTAATTGAGACAATCAAATTCACGGAAGAGATTTTATCATCTGAAATTACTTTGAAACTTGAAGGCGAAGATCAAGATTACTTCAATGTGGAGATAATTAACAACGAAGTTATCATCACCCTTAATCAGACACCTGTCGGAAAAAATCTTCTATCAGTTGTTTTATCAGCATCAACATCAGAAGGCAGTTTGGATTCGAAAGCATTTCTTTCAGTTGTCATTGAACAAGAACTTGTCGGTATTAAATTTGAGAAATCATTATATGAAGGTTCCATCACTGATGAAATGATCTTAAGTCTCGAGAATATCATTTTGGAAGAAAGCACTTTCACTGAACCCGTCACAGTTCAACTTTCGGGTAGACATAGCAACCTATTCAGCTTCTCGAGATCAGGAAGAATTATTTCTCTGACCTTAACAAATGATGTAACGATGGAACAACTTCAAAGTGAATCATATCTTCAATTGGCAATAGCAGCATCAAATGAAGGACTTTTGTCAGCTTCTGCTAACATTATTGTTGCTGTTGAGAAACGAGATGAAACATCTTTGGCTTTATCATTCAATAAAAAGTTATTTGAAGGTTCCATCACTGATGAAATGATTCTGAGTCTCGAGAATATCATTTTGGAAGAAACCACTTTCACTGAACCCGTCACAGTTCAACTTTCGGGTAGACATAGCAACCTATTCAGCTTCTCGAGATCAGGAAGAATTATTTCTCTGACCTTAACAAATGATGTAACGATGGAACAACTTCAAAGTGAATCATATCTTCAATTGGCAATAGCAGCATCAAATGAAGGACTTTTGTCAGCTTCTGCTAACATTATTGTTGCTGTTGAGAAACGAGATGAAACATCTTTGGCTTTATCATTCAATAAAAAGTTATTTGAAGGTTCCATCACTGATGAAATGATTCTGAGTCTCGAGAATATCATTTTGGAAGAAAGCACTTTCACTGACCCCGTCACAGTTCAACTTTCGGGTAGACATAGCAACCTATTCAGCTTCTCGCGATCAGGAAGAATTATTTCTCTGACCTTAACAAGTGATGTAACGATGGAACAACTTCAAAGTGAATCATATCTTCAATTGGCAATAGCAGCATCAAGTGAAGGACTTTTGTCAGCATCTGCAAATATTATAATTGCAGTTCAGCATCCATCAGTCTCAACAATATCTTTTGAAAAATCTTTTTATGTTGGATCTATTGATAATGAAAAGGTTCTCAATCTAGAAAGAATACTTCTGTTATCTTCGGAGATCATTACAAGTGTTGAACTTAAGGGAACAGATTCAAGTTACTTCACACCATTATTGAGTGAGAATATCGTTATGATAAGCATGCAGCAAGATATTCCTGAAGATATTCTTCTTGAGAAAAACGTTCTCATATTTACTATTGCAGCTGCAACATCTGCTAATGATAGTTTCGTCACTGCAAATATTATAATAACACTTCCACGAATTACTGACGATAAAATTCTTCGATTTGAAAACTCTGTCCACATAGGATATTACAATTCAATTTCATCAATCATAGAAATCGATGACATTGTTCTTGAACTCAACAACTACGATGAAGCAGTTAGCTTCAAAGTTGACCGACAAGATTTTGAATTGTTTGACATCGAAATAAATTCTAATGTCGTGAGTTTGAAGCTTAAGTCAGATTTTAATGAAGAATCATTGCGTAATAAAGTTTTTTTGACGGTATACATAATCGCTGAAAGAACAGGCTATGCAAGTGCTGAAACTGTTGTTTTCATTCAGCTGCCCGTGCAATGTGAGGAAGTTGAGTTAATTTCGTTTGAAAAAAATATTTATCGTGGAGCGGTCAACTTTAATGGCGTTTTAAACATTGAAAATATTCATTTACTGCCAGATGGCGACGATCAAAATATTATTTTATCACTTAAAGGTGATGACGCTGAAAAGTTTTCTTATGAACGAAATGAAGAAGTAATTCAGTTGAAACTTGATCCATTGGAAGTTGCTGATCGTCAGCATCCTTTCTACTTCTATATCGAGGCCTTCAAACTTGGCACAATTATGACTCATACTTCAATTCTTGTTGACATAATTGATAAGAAACTACTTGAGTTCGATGAACCGATGTACGTTGGACATATCAATGAGAATTTGAAATTGAAACTTGATTCAATTTTATTAAATGACGACTTACAATCGGATGGTTTAACATTTATCCTTAAGGATGGAGATGCAGAATGGTTTGACGTCACAAAACTAGGAAATGAAATCAACATTACGAGTAATGACAACATCAACGATGTGAACATAAGAAACAAACAATTTTTATGGTTCTACTTGGAAGCTTTGGGGAATGAATTTTACTCTGCGACGACATTAATTCTTATTAATGTTCCTCGTTGGATGTCGATACCAATTGAAGAATGTTATGAGAATTTAGATCCTTCTCAGCCTGTTTTTGAATTTGGGTCTTACTTCTTTACAATTGCATCAGATTACATTGGAAATGTCGACAGAGTCAAAGCTATGATGAATGAATCTGGAACAATTCAATATTCACTGAATGTTCAAGATGATTATTTAAATCAGAGAATTGAAATTAATTCAGATAGCGGATATTTGATAGTTCACTCCGAATTACCTCCAAATGTTTACAGATTTGTAATTGAAGCAAGGAACATAGAAAATCAGAAATTTGCAGAAGCAAAAATCACTTTGCATGTGATAGAATCGAGAGAATGTACTGAAGATTTAGTGACAACTGTGGAGAAGAGTTTAGCTATTGAAATGCTTGAAGAAAATGAAATTTACGATACGATAATGCCAGCAAAAATTGGCGATTGCACTTACAGAATAATGAGTGTGACACCTTCACAATACATGGGTAAACAGGATTTCTTTATATAAAGATTAAAGTTTAATTAAATAAATTTATTTTCCAGAAATCTTTACTATCGACACGGAAACAAATTTCTTGAAGAATGTCGAGCCTTTTGATAGAGAAGCTGAACTTTTCAGTGGTCACAGCACACCCCAAATTCAAATTCGAATGAACCTCGAGTGTGACACATCGACAAACTCTGCACTTGATGCTCAAATTGTTACAGCTTTTGTGAATGAACTCTCTTCTGATGAAATTATTTACTCACGAACTGTCACGTATTTAAACATCATTATTGTTGATCAAAATGACAACAAACCAGTTTTCACATATCCATCGGAAGAGAATTACAGAATTGGTTTTCCCACAGAAGAATTGTCTGAAATGTTGATGGTGCAACACTTGATGAAAGTTCAGAGTGTGGATTTGGATTCGGGTTTAAATGCTGTTATTCGTTACTCATTGGAAAGCAACGATCATTTCATCATAAATCCCCAATCAGGAACAATTTATCCTCTGAAGAATTGCATGAATGATATTGACATATTTGAGCTTATTGTTGAAGCAACAGATCTTGATGGAGCTACAGGTGGCAACGATGAATCAACGACAATAACGATCACGAAAGTTGAAAGTGATAACCTTGTTCTGCTTTCTCTCGAAAATATATCAATAGAAAGTATTGAAAGCTTCATAAATGAATTGTCAGATGAGTCTGGTATTGATATAAGAGTAATCAATGCGTTTGTTTCATCGAAAGATGAAGAAAAGAGTGAAGGAAGACAATTTGTGACGTTTACGTCAAAAGTTGCTGTGATAGTTTATTGTTTCGGAAATGACCTTTTATTAATGAAGGCAGATGATGTTATTAAAAGTATTTCAAGTGCTAATGTTAGCAACGTGTTCTCGTTGATAACATATGATGAAAGCACTTACAGGATGTTAGATTGCAGTTTAACGGGTTTGATAATAGCGACGTCGGTTCTAGGAGGTTTACTTTTGCTGTTAATAATTGCAACGCCTCTCATTTGGTTCTTCGTTCTACGTAATAAGACTAACTATGTGGCAAGAAAAACCTCTGAATTATCATTCACGAACATGAATGAAGATGAAGAACATGGAAGAACGTTGCCTGTGGTAAATGTTGATGATTTCAGGGATGTCTCAAAAGTCACATTAAAAGATGCAGAAATCCTTGGTATTGAAATTAAAGGTGCTACAAATGGTTGGTGATTATTTTGTATTAAATCAATGTTTAATTACACTATAAATATTATTTATTACAGAAAGTTCTTCCGACTTTGTGGCAACAGAAGATTCTCCTAATCAGTCAAATGATGTCGAGTCAGAATCGAAAATTGATCGGAAGAAATCTGGAGTAAAATTTAATGAACTGGTTGAACGAATCGAAGTGATTACAGATGATGATATTAATAAGTCAAACAATCAATGAGAAAATTATGGTCTAGTTACTATTTTTATTGATTAAATAAGTTTTTAATTGTTGAAAAGTGTTTCATGTAAAATCCAAAGTGCTTCAAAAATATTTAATAAATCCTTATATAAAATTTTACATTTTGTTCCTCAAAACGTTGTGCAGATTAATGTTTCACATTAATTAGATATTTTAAGAAAGAATTAAAAGTGCAATTTCATCCTATCAACTGTTTGTTGACGAAATAGGATCACAGCTTTTTTGGTAACTTTCTCCACCTTTGTCTGAACTTGAAGTTCATCTCAATACAAAAATCATAACAAAATCATAATTAAAACTTAACAAATTAATTAAGGAAAACGGAATAACAGATGATTAACTTAAACTTATGGAGGTGATGATGTTAAAGCAATTAAATTAATAGTGCTGCATGTCAATGTAAAAATTTAAAAATACTCAATAAATCTTAATCAACTTCTAATTTGCGGAATGATCCCATTAGACCTCCTTCGATATCGGCATCGTCATTACCAAGCCAATTTGTTGGCATTCCAGTGACTTCAATGCACATTTCATCAAGAGCTAAAGTCTTAGCACGTTGCTTTCGTAAGTTTTCTTTGAAAGTTGAAATCATGTCGTCCATAGGAATTGTTCCACCGTATTCTTTAGGAAGTAATGCAGGATTAACACGAGCTTTCAATTCGTCAATATTCTTGTCTAAGTTCATTCGTTTCTTCAGTTTATCACTTGTTAAGCTCAACGCAAATTCAATCACTTTGTTTGCAAAAGATGGAATGTTGACGAAATGTGTTTCTTTATGACGCATTGGAGATGAAACTTGAATACATTTCGACATCTTTTTCAAGTCAATGAGAGACCATAAACTGACATGATTCATTGTTAATCCCGCTTCGTCGGTTATGTAACAATAACCAGCAACTTGTGACTCTTGTTCATCCAACAAAGATTCAACAACCATCGCATGTGTTCGTGCCATTTGAGCGGATGTGAATCTTGTTGCGTCAAATCGAGCTGCACAAGAGAAAATAATTCTTCTGCCTTGTTCATCCCGTTCTGGAAGTGGGAATAAGTAGCCACTGTCGATAATAGCTTCCAGTGCTGGATCATTGATGTCCAAGTTTTGAAACCAGTTTGGAAACATTTGACGAACTGTCAAATTTTTTTCTAACAATTCGCAAGCCACCGGCACTGAATACTTTTTCGTTCTCAAAAATCGTAGAAGGAATGGCGCATCTAGAAGAAGAGATTCAAAGCTATTTCGATGTTAAAAAGAACTTCAATTTCTTACCAGTTCTACATTTCTTTATGTGTGGATGTTTGGCTATCCATTCTCTGAACTGGGTCAATGCCTGCATTCTCACACTTTCATCTTCCCTCAACTCTTCCTTTGCAATTTCCTTAAACTTCGGAGACAAAGTACATTGATACGAATCGTATTCATCGGGTTTTGTTTCCAAATTTGGAATCGGAAGATTTTCAGCCTCCAACACTGAAAGTGAAATCAAAGAAACAATAAAAATTTTATTAAACAACTGTTGTTGAAGAGTCTTTCGAATATAAAGGTGAGTGAAAGTGGAAGTTTGTCTCTCTCAGGTTTCAAAATAATTTTGACATGCACGGAAACCTTGTTAATCGATTAATGAAGAATCTTATGTGGTAATAAAAAAATCACGCTTCGTATCATTCGAAAACACATTGGAAGTGCTTTCCTTTTAAACTATTGTTCCACACTCTTGTCTTACAACGTTTTTGCATGATAATTTTTTATGAATGACTCCATAACAAGAAGTGAATCACACAATTCTAAACAGCGAAATCAATAAACTTTTGCTTTCACAATTTGCCTTATGGCGGTATTCAAAGATCGATATCGATCTGTAAAACTTCATTTCATCATGAATCATAATTAACCACATTGAGTTCATTTCTTCGCTTCCGAAAATTATTCCGATAAATTTCAAATTTCTTTCGCTTATTGGTAAATTACTTGTTTGAAAACAATGAAGTGCAGATGGAAGAAAAGGCCGATATTGAGGGCAAATTAAAGAAATAAGAAGTAAAACGTGATGACCCATTTCTCTTGTCATCTTCTTACTTTTCACAAGCGAACAAGAAGAAAGAGCACAAGAAGTTGTTGGAGAAAGTTTAACAAATGCGCAATTGCAACGTCAATAAATTCCACATTTTCCACACTTTAAAATCATTGTCATGGTCCGATCAATGGCTAACCAATTCTCAGTTTCGACGATGATAATCATTTTCAAGTTCACAGAAGGTTTTTTTGGTGACATTAAGTGATTTTGGAAATTGTTGAAGGTGATTTTATATTTCGTTTCGGATATTTAGATGAAGATAGAAAATCTATTCAAGGAAGCTCATTAAAATAATTCAAAGTCCGATAAAAATCTTCATTTGTATGAATTCGTCAAACATTTGTTCAGCTGAATCAGTTTGTTCATCTCTTTACGAGACTCTCTGTCAACACGCTTAGGTAACAGAAAAATTTTGCTTGGAAATTTTTGTGTAAGTCGCATTGATTATGTTCGTTATGTAATGGCTTCTCATCATCAATTTACCTTAGTCACAAACCATTAATTATTGTCCAAACGATCATAGATAATCATTTGTGAACATATTTCGCTTTTTATTGTGTAATTTTTCAACAATTTCTAATATTTTTGAAGTGGAGTAAGGTTCGCTGATATTCGTTTGAATATGGGAAACTTTTTGATGAATGAACGATTTTTTTTCCTAAAGTGTTTTTTGCTTAAACTTTCTCTAAACAGCCTTAAATATGTCTGTCTGTATAATTAGTTTTCAAGCTTCTCTACATACAACTGTACCGAAAACTTTAATTATTTTTCATTGGACTGATTTAGTTAAACTTCTTATTTACTCAAGTAAACAGTAAAATAGAAGAAACCGAAACCGTTTCATTATTTTTTTTTAGCTTTAGCCTCATATTCCGAATACATACGAATGTTTAACTTTATTAAGAATTTGAATACGCACTGGTCATGGGCAAGGTAGACCGCTAAATATTTTCTTTACCATGTAAAAGTCTTAAAAATTGCTAACATGTTATGCAAATACAAAATGATTTGTTTGCCATTGAATTCGACAAATTGTATGATCTTAACTTTTCTATTTAGATAATTCGATGCATGACAAAGTTATTGAACTTTAGAAATGCATTTACACTTTCACTAGACAACATTTCACAATCAAACGTCATCTTAAGTATTACCAACAACCAGATCTCACTCAACTCACTTTCTAAATAAGTAATTTCTTGCTTGCGACGAAATAAAAAAGAAACAAAACGGCGCGTTAAGCGTCTTTGGAGACTGTTGAATCGGCTTGTGAGCTCGCTCGTTGCTCAAAGACAACTGAAAATAATTTCGCAGAGAGAAAAATATTTTATATGAACGTTGTGGCGTTATATTGAATCAACTCTGCCCTGAAAGAAAATCATTGTATTGTAATATTGGAAGGAAGCAAAGTTGTTAGATCGTTTAATGATTCATACACTAAAGGTTTTTTTATTGTCAATTGAGCTCGATGATATCTTTTCGAATTGTCCGCTGATCGTCAACTTTTACTAATTTTTTTTTAAATTTATTGAAAATCATATCAAGGTTTAATGAACTAAGAAACAATTTGAGCGTGAAATTATATTTTCTTATTCTCTACTTAGATATTTTTCTTTTCTCTCTATATAGGCAAATACTTGAATGTACAATTGCAGTCACTAGCAACATGACCTAATTTTGACAATGTTGCATCTGATTTCTCTGTTCGTTTTTTTTTTTAATTTCCAATGCTTTAGGTGCATGAGAGAATCACGTTTAATGATCGCCGCTTTTGTGATATTAAGAATTTTCCCATCTTTTATAACTGGAAATTAACTTTACATGTTAAGTAATCAATTGTTGCGATTAATTTCTTTTTATAGTTTTCTTTGTGTTGATTAAAAGATGAGGTGTTGGTAATTGTGGATATGTCTTTGCATTTATTTTCGGCTTCACGCATAGAGAAATTATAAATTATGTAATAATTATTTTATCCAAATTTTTAACACAGGAAATTGTCATTGTTGAAATAAATTTCACTTTTCTTTTTGTGCAAGCTGAATGACAATAATTTTAATAACTTTAATAAAAATGTTAGTTTCTTTATTAAAGATTGCCTAATTAAATGATATGCTGAAGGAGTTTATTTTATTTTTAAGCTTTAAAGTGAGGAATACTAAATTTTCCCTTAAACAGCAATCCATAAAAGTTGACATTTAAATGAAAAATCATGTCCGTCATGAAGATATAAACTTACTGTTTGTTTAAATTTTTATTTGGAACGTTTGAAAATGATATAAACTTTTAAATATCTTCTTGGCTGTGATGTATCAATTAAGAATAATTTTTAAAAATAATTTTTATTTGTAGCGTACGTTTTTTGGCGCCTAAATTTTGAATAATTTTGAACCGTAAAACTTTTAAGGTTTCACATTTCATTTGTGCGCTACATTTAAATCTACACAGTAGGCGATAAATAATTTTTTGAGTCTTGAGAAAAAATAGTTTTTCCCAATTTTATAGTTAAGGTTGAAGTTAAATAATCATCAGAATCACAGTGAGTTACTAAATGCTCCCTCTGAGTCATAAAAATTCCTGAAAATATTTTGATTTCACTGTGAAATAAGAAATTATTGCAAAATGTTTTGAGCAATTCACTTCAGTTAAGTTTAAGTGGATAAAAAATTTAATTAAGCATTCTAAAATTCGCTCAATCATTGATTAATCTTTTCTTGATATGGAAAAAAGTCATTTCAAATAAAGTTTAAGTGAATTCATGGTTTTAAATTGCAGAAATCGGGATAGGAAATATTTGGCTTATAAACATGGCAACCTCCGCAGCTCGAATTCTCAAGAAGAAACATTATCGAGTTAAACACCAAAAAGTTAAATTATTTCGCGCCAATGATCCAATGCTCAGTGTTTTCATGTGGGGAATAAATCATTCAATTAACGAGCTGTCGCATTGTCTCATCCCCACACTCCTCCTGCCGGATCACTTTCGTGCAAATTCCAAAATTAAAGTGGACAATCATCTTTTCAATAAGTAAGTTGACGCATAATATACCGCATTGCAAACACTTGAATAAACTTTCATATAAATGAATATTACAGAGAAAATATGCCATCACATTTCAAATTTAAGGAGTATTGCCCTATTGTATTCAAAAACCTTCGTGAGCGTTTCGGGATTGATGATTCAGGTGAAAAGATTAGATAAAAGTTGATCTCATTGTTTTCATTAATTTCTTTTACTACACTTACACATAGACTTCAGAGATTCACTAACACGTTCTGAGCCGATCCAAATGGATTCATCAGGAAAGTCGGGAGCGAAATTTTATCGCTCTTTTGATAACATCTACGTCATTAAATCATTAACTTCAGAAGAGGTAATAATTTTAATTAGATATTCTAAACTTTACATAAGCCTGATGATTTATATCTTAGGTTGAGCGGATGCATTCATTTTTGAAACATTATCATCCATATGTTGTTGAAAAACATGGAAGTACTCTCTTACCGAACTTCCTTGGAATGTACAGATTAACTGTCGATGGAGTTCAGTATTACTTTACAATTATGAGGAATGTCTTCAGTTCACATTTAAAGATACACCAGTAAGTTGCTTTCCCTTTATTCAAGACATGTCAATCGGAATTTGATTAATTATTTCAGGAAATTCGACCTTAAAGGTTCAACAGTCGATAGAAGTTGTAATGAAAACGAGTTAAATAAGTCGTTACCAACATTCAAAGACAATGACTTCACAAGACAAGGTATTAAGATCTCAATTGGACCAGCTGCAAAAGAAAAACTACACGAGACGCTCGCATCAGATGTTGAAGTAAATTTTAAATTTCGAAATGACATTTTCGTGGATCGACTTGACCCTTAATTAATTAAATTAAATATTCTTCTTTTTTTTTCATGTTTTCGTAGTTTCTCACGAAACTCCATTTAATGGATTATTCATTATTGATTGGCATACACGATATTCAGGCTGAAGATGCCGCAACTGAGTTAAGTGATGCTCATCACGACACTGATGACAGTGAATGTGAACGGTAAGCATGATAGTTATTTTACAACTAAAATTTTGATGTGTGTCATCAAAATCAGGGTAATTTTAGCATTTCTTATCAGCATGAGGTGCGAAAAAAGTTTTACGAGTATTCTCAAATAAATTTTTATCATATCTTAGATGGGAAAATACTCCGCCAGATTCTCCAAGACAAATTGAAGTGCACACGATAAATCCAGACTCAGATGTCTATGCGATACCAAGTAAAGAAGGTAAATAATCAAAAACTTTTGATTTATAAGTTTGTAATAATTTTTTTTATAATCTCCCAGAAAATAAATTCATCTACTTCATTGCAATAATTGATCCATTAACAAACTACGGTTTCAAAAAACAGGTGCGTTATCATTAATTAATGTGAAGATGTAAACTGATTTTATTCTTCTTCTCATATGATTATTCAGGCTGCAAAAGCCGCAAAAACAGTGAAATACGGCAGCAATGTTGATGGTGAGTGATCTTCTCATAAAAATTTTGCAGACACGATTGTTTATTCGAAAATTAATACAATGAAAATTAACAAGTCGTGTCTTCTTCATTTTTATGAATGATTTTAATTATTTCCTTAATTAACTGTTAAAAAATGACTTTCATTCATTAACAATATATGTTCATTTCTTTTTTTTAAGGTATAAGCACGTGTGATCCTGAACAGTATGGAAAACGGTTCCTTGAGTTTATCCTGGATAGAGTTATAGAGTAAAAAGTCCATAAAATGTTTGACACATTATGGACTAAGACATTAAATTTTAATAATAACTGTTAGACTCCCATGTTTCTTTTTTCCTATCTTTCCATTCTTTCCATTTTTTCTATATAATGACATTGAAAAACAAAACTGAACAATAAAATAAACTTTGGGAAAGTCTTATCGATATCTCGTAGTGAGTTAAAGGTGTCGATGTCACAATAAATATGCATTTAATGATTTAATGAAACAAATTACGGTTTTCAGACTAGTAATTTGTTTCATTAAATCATTAAAAAAACATCAGACGTATAAATATTACATCAATTCAAATATGCATTTAATATTAAAAAATTGTTGCATGCTTCTTCAGCGTAAGTTTTTCCAAGGATACTTGAGAGTATAAACATTAATATTTACTACCGAGAATTAAGAAAACATAGCATACAATTAAATTATACCTATGTGTGGAATACATCAAAAACATTAATGATAAAAGAAAAAATTCTCCAAATCATGTACCGATATTGATGTTCGCATTTATTTAAATGGAAATAAAAATTATATACATAATGATGGATTTAAATTATTGTCTTTTCCCAGAGTTTTATTGCTCAATTGATTGACGGTAATAATAATGTAAGAACAATAAATGAGGATTGCAGTTTTAAAAATTAACGGTTGAAATTTGAAATACATATCGAGAGGGTAATAAACTTCATATAAACAAAAAAGTTCAGTACCCATAGTAAATAAAATATTTCTGTGGGATTTAAAGTTAAATAAGGTAATAATGGACGCTGAACTATTACGACAACGAGAGTTGTTCAAGAAACGAGCATTAGCAACACCAACGTAAGAATTGATGAGAAAATATAAGATGTAGCTTGTAAAACATGAATACCTAAAATTTCAGTGTTGAAAAGAAACTTCGAGCTGAAAGTTCATCGTCGTCTGCAACATCAAGCAAGAAACCTTTAGCACCATGGGAATCAAAAACACCTACTCCAAAAGAGCCAATGAGCTACAAAACAATGACTGGAAGTTCACAAAAAAGATTTGCTATCCTTACAAAAATTGTGAATTACATGAAAGAGCGACATTTGAACGGAGAGGAACATTCACTTTCAATAGAAGAGATTTTAGATGAAACAAATCAATTAGACATTGGAGGCTCCACAAAAACAGTAATTTATGATGTTTTATCAATAATGAAGTTTTGCGAGTTTTTTCTTTTGATATTTCAGTGGTTGCTAACAGAAGCACTTCCGAACAACCCAAAACTTGATCATTTGGAAGGTCGATTTCAATTTAAACCAATGTATAAAATAAAAGATGGTAAAAGTCTTTTACGACTTTTAAAACAACATGATCTGAAAGGCATTGGAGGTGTTCTTCTTGATGATATTCAAGAATCGTTGCCTCACTGTGAAAAAGTATTAAAACATCGAGCACCTGAAATAGTTTTCATCACACGGCCTATTGACAAGAAAAAGATCTTATTTTATAACGATAAGTCAGCAAATTTCTCTGTTGATGAAGAATTTCAGAAGCTTTGGCGTTCATCAACAGTTAATGCCATTGATGATGCCAAGATAGAAGAATATCTTGAAAAACAGGGTATTCGATCAATGCAAGATCATGGAATCAGAAAGCCTATGATTCCGAAAAGAAAGAAACTAGCAAATAAGAAGAGACAGTTTAAGAGGCCAAGAGATAATGAACATTTAGCTGACATTTTAGAAACATATGAAGGTGAGTCTTGTCTCAACTCTTTAAGCGATTAAATTTTAATTCCTTGTTTCTTCACAGATAACACAATTACACAAAAAGGCGACTTACAACAAAAAATGCAGTCCTAAATATTTTTTTTAACACTTTAACTTTAGAATATAATTATCATATGCCTTGTGATATGCAAGAAAGAATAAAAATTTTCATTCATTTTCTACTCGTTATGTTTCATATTCCAATTTGTTCCAATTTCTCTTCTTCTCTTGAACTGTTTGTAAACATCAAAAATTTGTTCGTTTTCATCTTATCTTAGTTAGAGTTAGGAAAAAATTAAAGTTCTCATCCACAAGCATATCTGTGTGAAAAGAAATTAGCATAAAACTTAAGTTGATCTGTGATGAAATAGTGTTGAGTTAATCATAAACTGGTTACTTGCATTTTCGTGTTCTTGTGTTATATTTAAATAGGAATGTCAAAAAACTTTTTGGCTCCAGTTTTCTTTTGCTTTTCGTGCTGTTAACAAGCTTGCTGAATTTAAGAGAAAGTTATTCTTTTGTTACATACAAGTTACAGTGTTGCCTTCAGCGGTTGTTTAAGGTGAGGGTGGATTATTAATTTTAATCAATTTTATTTCGATTTCATTCAAACCGCATAGAAATTCTCAAGGTCGCATTTAAACTTTCCACGTTTATTTCTCTTGCAAAAAAGAGATATTAAAGTTCTCCAGAGTTTTACAAATAATAAATATTTATGCGCTTTGATTGATTTTATTTTCCTTTTATTATCACAGATAAGCTGACAACGAATACTCAAGGAAAAGAAAGCAGCAGAAAATTTACAAAGTCGATATGTCTCGTCTTTTACTATTTGGCTTCATAATAGGCGGAATTGGATTTTCTTTGGCAAACGAGTAAGTTGAAATTATTCATGTAGTGTGTGAATATTGCATTTGGTTTCACATTAAAAAATTGTAAAGGATTGAAAAAGGTATTCAGTTTCAATCTCTGAACCGTTAAGATCGTTGACTTCTTGTGACTTACGAGTGACTTTTGGATGAAAACGAGTTTTGACATTTTTAAGACGTTTTTTGGTTTTATGATCAAACGAAAATAAAATTAGATCGAGGAAAAATACAGAGAACCGATTAAAACGAAGCAAAATGTGGCTTCGAATATAAATTTTTGTTGTCTTGTCAATAACATTTGATGTTGTTTAATTATCACTTCAATCAATTTAACGTTGACATTATCAGAACAAGACTTTTCACTTCATTTGTATCTAACCAAATGGATTGAAAATGATAAATTTGTAAATAACTTTCATCAAAAACAGTATTTTGATTAAATGGTACAAAAACCAGTTGGAATCGAAATGAAGGCTGAAAAATACGCGACAATAGTTTCCTTCTTGGCTATTTTCATTATCGTTATTGGATTGACAGCTCTTGTTGTCGGATTTGCTATTTTTGTGAAACCAAAAAAATTCTATCAAACTGATCGTCTTGTTGTTTCAAAGTAATCTATCGAAAGTTCCGCAAAAAAATTCTTGTCATTTTTATCATAAAATTTTTGTGTTAAACATTTGTTTCAGACAAGCTTGGGGTTACAAATGTGAACACAACTTGTGTAAGAAAGTAGAGTTGACTGAAGCCAACATCAAAACTGCTGTGAGTTTATCAGTCTGTCGCATTTATTGCAATGAAGATATTGGAACAGTTTGGCCGAAACCAACCGGCGAAGTCGTGATTTCTAATAATGTTGTGAAAATAAATCCAGAAGAAATCGTTTTTAAGACGAACAACTTCAAGAAAGAGCCAGCATATTGGGCAATGGCTGAAGAACGTTTCATGGGAATGCAACAGAAGAAAACTCCAAAAAATTATGATCCGAAGACAGGAGGGAAGGCATTGATCGTTGATGTCGCTGTTGAAACTGATGATATGAGTAAGAAATTAATTAGAATTTTATGATTCTCAGAAAATATTCTAACAAAATTCATTTCAACAGTTTTCAATTTAGACACCAAAGAAAGTTACAAGTTAGAAATCTCAGAAAATCCATCCGAAGGCGTTCATGCAATTATTACAGCGCCCAACTTTTATGGTGCAAGAAATGCCCTCGAAACTTTATCTCAACTTATCGTTTACGACAACATAAGAAATGAGATGTTGATCGTGGGTGAATTAAAAATCAATGACGAGCCTAAATTTAAATATCGTGGAGTCCTTCTCGATACATCGCGCAATTACTTCTCAGTCGATGCTATTAAGAGAACAATTGAAGGAATGGCGATGGTGAAACTTAACACTTTCCATTGGCACATCACTGACTCGCATAGCTTTCCCTTTGTGGTGAAATCTCAACCAGAACTGTCGAGACTTGGAGCTTATTCGCCTGAGAAAGTTTACACTTCATCAGATATTGAAGACATTGTTCGATTTGCAAAAGCTCGCGGTGTTCGTGTTCTTCCTGAATTTGATGCACCAGCGCATGTTGGCGAAGGTTGGCAAAAGAAAGATTTAACGACATGCTTCAATTCACAACCATGGAAAGATTTTTGTGTCGAACCGCCATGTGGTCAATTAGATCCATCGAAAGATGAAGTTTACAATGTTCTCGAAGATATTTACCGTGAAATGGTTGAATCATTCGCTTATCCTGATCTCTTCCACATGGGTGGCGATGAAGTTTCTGTCTCATGTTGGAACTCAAGTGAATCACTTCAAAAATGGATGTTAGAGAAAGGTTGGGGGCTGACTGAGAGTGACTTCATGCAATTGTGGGGACATTTCCAAGATAATGCACTCGCAAGACTAGATAAAGTGAATTTCCAACAAGTCCCGATTATTTTGTGGACCAGTCGGTTGACTGAAGAGCCATTTTTGACAAAATATCTCGACAAAAGTCGATACATCATTCAGATTTGGACAAAGGGTGATGATCCTAAAGTGACAACACTTCTTGAAAATGGCTACAAAATGATTGTGTCGAATTACGATGCCTTGTATCTTGATTGTGGATTTGAAGCGTGGGTGACTGAAGGTAATAATTGGTGTTCACCTTACATTGGATGGCAGAAAATTTATGACAATAGAATGGAAACTGTTGGTGGGCCTTATGTTAATCAAATTTATGGAGCTGAAGCAGCTTTATGGAGTGAACAAGCAGATGAACATTCTTTAGATTCTCGTCTGTGGCCACGACTTTCTGCACTTGCTGAAAGACTTTGGTCAAGTATGTGAATAAGTTTTGTGAACTTTCGATCAGAGGTGATTAATTAATTTGAATGTCTTGATAGATCCAATGGGTTCATGGCGTACTGCTGAATCTAGAATGCTTGTGAATCGTTACCGTTTAGCCAACATTGGTGGAATTGGAGCTGAAGTTTTACAACCGCAATGGTAAAAATTTGATTTAAAATATTTTACGCAATTTTACATTGAATTAAATATTCACAGGTGCTTACAAAACGAAGGCGAATGTCCAATATGATTCTCGAATATCCAACAAGATTTCTAACATTATGAGATGTCTTTGAATCTTATGATCTCAATGATCTTCATGTTGATATTCAATTAATTATATTCTGCATTTTTTTATAACACTTTTTGATTCGATGCAAATAAAAAAAGAATAAAAAAGATCAAAAATTTTATCTTTTCACATTCCATCTAATTTATTTTATTTTAATATTTTTTAAAATGTTTTAAATAAAAATGTTTATTCTCTTTTTCTTGTTCATTTTCAAATGAATTAATTTTATTCTCTCGTCCAGAAAAATTGTTCTGGATATCAACTTTCATTTATTTTAATAGGGATTAAGCACTAGAATGATTTCAAAGAAGGATTTTTCATGTAGAAAAGGTTAAATTATGAAGCTGAAGTTATTTTGTCAGCGATCAGCAGCGGAACATCATTTTTGGTCGTGAACTTGATTTTTTAATTCACTTTTGAAAGTCAAAGTTCACGAGACTTTCCGAGAGATTACAATGGTATTTCTATTATTTAATGGATTTTAAAATCCACCGAATGTTCCTTCTTCATTCCTTCCAAACTTATAAATTAATGATGCAAAAAGTATGAAAAAGTTTTGTAAGACAATTCCAATGCCTTGGATGTGAAGTTTATCAGTAAATTCAGAGACAAGAAGCCACACGCTTGCAATGACGGACGCAAAACCAAGGACGAATCCAGTAAATAGCCAGATTTTAACACCGTGGGTCGAACAGATTCCACCTTCATAGCCGGTGCCATTAAGCATTTCATTACTCACGGTATTCACCATGATTAAAGAAAGTGTGCCGAGTATGCCACAAATGTAGTAACTGAATGAAGGAGTTTCATCTTTATCAGCTGTTGCAGCGATTGCGATGATAATCCACCAAGCACCGAAAAACTGAAATTGTAAACAAAGAAAAGAAAACGTAAAAAGTTGAAAAGCAAATAATTGATGAATCATCCAAGTTTTATTCAAATATTGACTACTTACCATTATTGACGATACCACAGCTGATAAAAGATTTCGACGTGAAATGACGTTAACATCAAACCACATGCACGTCTGAAGGCTCTCAACAAGATTCGACATCTTGACTTGTTCTGTTGCTGCTTGGTTTCAAGACACTTTCTTAACACTTCGATTTTATTATGACTTGATCCAATATTTCACACAAAGTAGACTATTTTTACTTTAATTAAGATATCAAAGATATTATTAAAGCTCCTTTTCCGTTCGGAAGTTTACTTTTTGTGGATAAATATCAAAAAAGGAGTTTGATGTTTGTTTCCCAATATTTTTTTCCAGTTGGGCGATTTCAACAAAACCAATGAGAACCTCACAACAGCACAAAACTCTACAATGGAACCTTGCAAATTTTATTGTGGTGATAAACAAAAACATTAGAAAATTAATTAGAAAACTTCTTTTAAAATGTTATCGTCAATGCTGAAACAACATCAAGAAACTATCAAAGGTCGTAATGAAACTCAGGAAAAATTAAAACGTGAAACACTCGAGTCAGCAAATGAATTGACAGTAAATTTGGTAAGTTCTTATTTCATCTGAGATGAAATTTTGTGTAAATGAAAGTCAAACCTATTATTGATTATTAAAACATCATGTATCATGTTCAAGGTTGATCATTTAAATGTGGGAGTTGCTCAAGCATATCTTAATCAAAAGCGTTTAGATCAAGAGGCAAAAAATTTAAATACAAATGCAAATAATTTTAATAAGCAGACACAGCAATGGCTCTCATTAATAGAAAATTTCACGAGCTCATTGAAGGTAAGAGAAGGCCAAGAAAAATAACTTTTTTAATTATAAAGTCAACATATCAATTATCATTAACAGGAATTAGGTGATGTTGAAAACTGGGCTAAAACAATCGAGAAAGACATGCGTACGATAACATCAGCACTTGAAGTTGCATATAAAATTGAGCGAGAGTGAATCACTTTTCTAATAATCTTTTTAATATTTATAAAATAGGAATAAAATTAATGTTGTCTCATTGAGACAAGTTTTAATTAAAATTTCTCTTTAGATAATTTTTATATGATTTACTGCTGCACCTGTAAACTATTATTAATTGCAGCTTAAAAAAAGTTTATCATGAAAGTGTTACTTATTATTGAGATGATAGTCTTAGTCTGGAGTCTAGAATTAGATAATAATCACTCAAGTGTCGGTTCATGATTTGATTTTGTTGCTTCTTTTATTAAAGTCTTTCGTGAATGTGACGTCAAAGTTCCATTAGAATTTAATAATTAAAATAAATTGGTCACAAATAAAATTAATTGAGTTTAATTGATAAGTAGTCAGAATATCAGTTTTTTCCAACAAACTGCCAACAATAAATGAATGAAATGAAATCGAAATGATGAACAAAAAATACGTTGGCCTTTGTTTTATTTATTTCCATTTCTTATCAGTCGAGATTATTTCTTTTTGATGTGGTTCAGCTATGATGTTCATCGCTATATCACACCTAACTCTTATCATACTTTATCTTCTTTCACATGTTAATTATTGCACAAAACCTCGATATCGTTGTTGCGCTTTGACTTGCTGTGATCATGTGTGCAAATTTTTTCTTTTCAATTCTAAGTGTCAGTTTGTATTTTGCTGTTGACGTGATCGTATGATAAAAAAATTTGGAAGAACTTAAAAATTTAACATCGTTCAAAGTGAAAATTAATTTAACAATAAAAATTTATTAGTGGCATCAACATGTTGGTGAAGAAGTCACCGTGTGAAGTTTTCATATTTTTGGTTGGCATTTGTCTGTTTGTGTTCTTTGCTGGTTTTGCAATCTACATTTATCGAGAATTCAGTCGACCGGTTTTTGAAAAGTTATTAATGTAAGGTTTGCACCATCGCGAAAGTGTGGATTAATAATTCGCTTTTATCTTTAGTGAAAAGTTACTCAACACATCAGATGACTTAAAGATTGAAAGAGTGCGAAATGTGTGACGAGAAGTTTCTTCCTAAGAACATTCAAACACCTGTCATGAAATTTCGATCAAAATACAAAACAAAGAAACAAAAGAAAGAGAAAGACAAAAACTTCAACATTCCCATAATTGAAAAAATGAACAAAGCTAAAGGAAATTTCAAGGCTGTCATAAATTATAAAAATTTGTTTGAGATGTCTCTTCAACGCAGACGAAACCTTCAAACGTTTCTTCCTTTATCATTCATTCGTTCAAATTGAAACTTTACTAAACGTTTTATGTGTGTAAAAATAATGTAACACAGAAAAGAATTGACAAACTTCGCTACAAACACGAAGAATGTGAGACAAGGCTGATGAACTAAGTTAAGATATTTTTATTTGTTTATCACCGCAAAACAAATATTCGATGCATAAGAAATTTTGCGGTGTTTTAAAGTCTCATTATGATTATTCATAAATCTTGCGCCATAAACTTGTTTTGGAGTTTTATAATCGCTATCACATGTATAGTGGGTGATAGGAAATTGCACACTACACGAGAACCATTGCTGAAAGCAATCATTGATAATTCCGTGCATGGACTTGTCGGCCTTTTCTCAGCAGTCATAGTTGTCAGAAATATTTATGAGGAACTTCACTTCATTATCGCATGCATGACGATCTCAAGTATGATCGACTTTGATCATTTTATTGCTGCAAAATCATTAAGTTTATCAGTGAGTGAAATTTTAATTTCATGTAATTATTGTTATTATTGTTATTTATAATTTTAGGATGCAACAAGTTTGTCATCTCGGCCTTTTCTTCACAATTCTTCGATTCCTTTCATAGTTTTTATTTTACTTATTTATTGTCATTTTACGTCACGTTCACAGAATCTCATAACTTCGCTTGTCATTATCATCGTAGCTTTCGCGACTCATCATATACGCGACGCTAATCGTCGAGGGCTATGGTTTGCACCTTTTGGCAGTTCACCTCCTTTATCAAACCATCTGTACATAATCTTAACTATTTTAATTCCTTACATATTTAAGTTTTTTGTTAATGACACTTTTAAATACAAAATGAGAACGACAATTATAGACGTTTGAGATGTTTGGAACAAAATAAAAATAAAGACAAATGACGATTAATTTCAGACACAAATAAACGTCAAAAATAAATGAAAATTTTTATCCTAAACAATTTTCTTATTCGATTTTCGCACAAAAATCGACAATCATTTGCTGTTTTCTCTGACTTTCAGACGAAAACGTTGTCGGCGATCAGTTGTGAACACTAAGATGAAAATTTATTAATATCTAAGAAAAATTAATATTTTGTGAAGTGTTTTTCCTTTCGTTTTAAGCATCTTAACTTATACTCAGTGAAGAGTCGCAGTCGAAGATTTTTAAGAAATCTTTTTCATTCAATTAAGAAATTTCAGTTTTATTTGGCTATTCAAACGATTGTGACTCGGGATTTTTCATACTGATTCATATTTGCAGACATCTCTTAGATAATTATTTTATTAATTATTGCCATTAGCAATCATTTCAGGTAGTTGCGAAAAAGTTTTCCACCTTTTCAAAGTGGCTTAAATGTGTTGAAAACAAATTGTGATGTGATGATTGCTTTGATAAATGTGAAAATAAATTTTAAATGACCACAAATTTATCAAACTCGTAATCAAAAGAAAGTTTTAAAACATCATTCGATTTTCGTTTATTTTAAAAAAGATTTTCACCGGTCAATGTTTCACGAGTCGACATATTTAGATAAATGTTTTTGTTCCGAATAAAATTTATTTTCCACAATTTGTGTTTATCCAGATTTGTATCATAAATTCTTTGTTTTCCCGGAAAGAAATCGACCTTAATCTATTTTGTATTGAATCTGTTTCGTTTCACTTAATTCAATCGTAGACATAAAACGTAATCGATCAAAGTTCAACATGGATAGTTCAATGGAAGAAGAATTAAAAGTGAGTATGAATCATGATTGTGACAATGAACGATAAAATATAAAGAAATTAAGACTACGCACAATGCTTATCGTTCAACGACTTTGAAATATTTGCGAAAGGGAAACACTCAAATACATTTCAATTTTTATCAACTCGGTTAATTTTTGATGCTTTCATGAAAGCAAAACATGTGAGCAATAATCAAATGAAAAGATTAAAAGTTTCTTGGAAATTAATCTTCACATTCACCTGCTTTTAAACATCTCTTAAATCATAAATGTCGAATTCTTCTGATTGAAAATACTTGAGACTTTTCAAGCAACACATGTTATTTACACGACACATTTGTAAATATTTGTAGCATGATTTAAATTGAATGAAAGTTTATTGAATCGATCTGCTTAATATTTATATGCTTAGGATGACTTCGGTGAAGAGAAGACTCTTCTCATAAATAAAACAAAGCTACAAATTTCTCAGATTCTTGATTACTGAAATCTCAATGAAAGTGTCCGCGACATCATTTGTTAATGAGAATCTCATTTTGTTTTATTATTTTTCCTCGCTTTGTTTGTAGATTTGTGCCTCGTAAAGAAAATCTTGTTAAAAATATCTTTTCCGCTCTCACAGAAACGATCTTGCTTGTTTGTCTTCGCATTCGCATCATTTGAAGAATCTTCGGAACCAAAAATAATCCAAATTTTTTCGTGAAATCATTCAGTCAATTTTTATCAGTTTGATAAGTCGTTCGGAAAAGTTTTAAGAACAGAAGATCGAGTATCAAGTTTCGTGAGGGTGCTGTATGAAATATTAAACTCTTGAGATTGCAATATAAATCGAGACAATAATAAAAATGAGTTCGAGTAGTCATCATCATCATCACCATACAGATCATCATTACTACAGTGCTTTGAAACATCATTTAGCGGTAACTTTTTGGAATTTCTCACACATTCTCTCATGGTTATCAAGACCATGGCAATGAAAAATAAATCAAACCTGCAGCGAAGAAAATTGTCACACTGAACTATTTCCAAGACAATATTTTCAAGACTTTGCTCTTGAAAAAGTGCGGGGGTGGAAATTTTCGGAAAAAAGAAAGCATGTTGTAAATATTTTCTTATTTTCATAAGATTGGACTGTCTAGGTTTAAAGATCTCAAGGTGAAAAGTTACTTTTCCTTCAGACAAATGAAGCTAAGATTATTTACTGTCCTTGCGAGTGACGACTTACTTAGTTTGTAAACAAAACAAATTCACTAGAAATTAGAAGAAATCAAATGTCAGCAAGATCATTAACCAGTCTCAATATATCTACAAAGCACGCTTACGACTTTATAAAATGTCGTCAGGAGATAAAAACGTTGAAAAAGATAATTAAGTTTATTTAATGTTTACACCACGTTTGAATTCTTTCTTTCACTAATTTTTCAAATGATTTATGTTCAAGTAAATTTCGAAGAGATAAATCGATTTTCCTCTCGTTTTTATTTTATCTAAAACGTGTCAGCTGATGTTTATAATTAAGAAAAGAAAATAGTGCAGCGTCTATTTGCGTTGGATGTAATAAAGTCTACCTAGATTATTTTAAGAGCAGTTTAGTTAATTCGCTATAAATATAATTCTTTCAGTTTTGTCGATTAATATAAAAATAAACAAGGAAGGAAAAAAAAAATTTGCATTAACTGCTTTCAATAAGAAACTTTTGTAGATCAGAATAAACTTTGCCACTTCTTCTCAGCTTTCTTTGAACTCACATTCGTTAGAAAGATGTCTATAAGATGATGGGAAACATCTGATTAGTCATCAATTGTAAGATTCTGTTTTTGTTACTTTTTTCTGAGGAAACTCTTACGGAAACTGATTTTAGAAACTCGCTTTGATTTACTCTTTTGTCTATTTATACAAATTTGATCCGAAAAAAAAAGTTTGTAACCTGATGTGTAAATAAAAGCTGAACATGTGAATCTTTTCCAATGCCAACAATAACATTTTAAGACAAAGAGAGGAAACTAATTTGTAAAGCCATATTTATGGAATCGCAAACTTAAAATTTCTATCAAATCGTGAAGAAACGTGGATTCACTTCGTTTTTGCATTAAATTTCATTGACCTTTTCTATTCGAATATTTACGTTTTGATCATTGTAAAGTGTTTAACAATCTGTTAAAATACTTTGTATCTGATGTTGTTGATTATTAACATAAAACACTTTAGAAAGTTCTTAAACCTTTTCAATTTATTATCCCTTTTATGCAAGTTAACACTAAATTTAGTTGATGAAAATGTCTCACTCATTCCTTAAGATTCTAGCTGATAATTAACTTACTTTCTATAATTTTCCTTTATTTATCTTTCAAGGCTATTGGGAAAAGCATCATGGGGAAGAGAAAAGTAAATAATAATTTTGATTTCTTTTCAATATTATTACAAATGACCTAACAATCGTCTAATCTTTATTTAGTTGTCATTGCAAAGAACTCCACCAACTTTCACTGAAAACCAGCTCAAAGGTGAGGCTGAACTGTTTCCCAATTGTGAGTGCTTTTTTGGCTTTTCTTAATCATTCATCTATCATTTCAAAATATAAATATTCAATTCATTTCATTTGCATTGAAAGACTTTTTGCGAGGATAATTTAACTTAAGGCAATGGCAAGTCAATATACAAATGAAAAGGCATAATTTATGCCCCACGAAGCTTTGCAATAAGATTAATGTGTCAAAAATTCATGATACGAAATATGCTAATGTTTTGACTTCATAAATATGTTGGACTCTTTAAGCAATATGAAACAATAGTTTTAACGAAAATTGTGGTTGTTAGATGATTCAGCTTTAATAATGTTTTAAGAGTTGCTTGACACCAAACTCATATTTTCAGTCATGTTCGCTTTGTTCGCACAATAAAAGGATCAGAAATTATATATAAAAATGCAAATTATTTTGCCGCTTGCTTTACTTCAGACGACATCAAGGACGACGTTTTATCATGGATCTGTAAAATTAAATGTTAATGAGCTTCAACTTTAATTAAATTTCTACTCACTTTCCTCATGTTCTGAACATAACTTTAAATTAAATAAACAATGAGTGTGCAATTTGGCAGCCTCAAAGCAAGCAAATTCAAAGTGAATTTTCCTTGGCTTTATTTACATTATTTGTTTTGATTTCTACAATACGACAGTAATGAACAAATCGATAAAAGAGTTTGTAATTTATTTGCATTGTTTTCTCGTTTCTTTTAAGTTTCCGTCCGTGTGTTTGAAAAAAAATCGATAAAAGCGTCTATGTCGGTCACTAGATTTGTTTGGAATTTAGTTTTTTACATAAATATAATCACATGTTACAATAATTATTTTCGAAATATGATGAAGCGTTGGGAATATGTAAGACTGAATTCAAAAGCTTGTTTTCCGGTCATAATTTATTGGTGACTTAACAACTTTCTTCATGCTGAGACTGTCAAGGTAAAATGTCCAATTAGATTTGTTTCGCTTTAAAGTTCTTGCTTTAAGAAGAAAAATTATTGCGCAGTGGAATGCGAGGGTCAGAAAATTCATTTTATAATGGAAAATTGTTTACTTGCGATCGTTTTACATTCTTGAAAACCTTTTCCATGCTGAACTGTTAAAAGTTATTTTATAGCTTTGGATAAATCTCTTTGGTAGAAACAAATTTTATTTCAAATGTTAATTTAATTCGGAAGATTTTATTAAAACATAAAGGCATGAAATAAGTTGTATTAACAGTTCGCCATTTCTTCTTATGATTTAATTGATTTGTCCCAAATATAGCTGAATCATTATAGCGCAAAAGCTTCTGAATTATAAAAATAGAAAAGCGTGAAAATTTGCAATTCATGATTTGAGAACACCCCCTTGATGCTTTTGATTGATGAATATTTAATTATTCCAATAAATTTAGATCGTCAAATTTATTCGTGATTTTTACTCAATGAAATTGTTGAGAATGTTTTGCATTTCGAAATTCTCAACTTATGATTTTTTTATGTTGATGTGTAGAAATGAGAACGCCTCGACGACCCATCGAAATGTCGTTTGTTGATAAAAACCGCAATCTATTCACATTCTTTACAGTCGCAGTCGTATGAATTCACTTCAAATTACCATTTGCTTCAAATAACGTTATCTTTATGGTGCTTTATGACATGGATTTGAAAAATATTTACTGAAAATCTTATCAGATGATGAATGTTGAGTAATTTCCAAGAAGAATAATTTCAGGGGTTTCATCTGTCAACAGTATAATCACGACTTGATTTAGATATTTCATTCAATGATCGGAAATAAAATGTAAAATTTTTGAATTGATGCCAAATCAAAATGTTTCAGAACTTTTCCGTTTGAGAAATCAGTTGGCATTTTGTCACTTCATTAACAAAACTTACAATTAAAGAGCTTGCACTTTTATTCATCTGTCAACAAAGAATTCATTATAAGAAGATAAAGTGAATGATATTGTGAAGGTTCTTTGTTAGAAGATTATAAAGCGAAAATTCTTTTAACTTTATGACAATGAAGAAAATTTCCTTTCTTGATTGTTATCATTATAATCACAATTTAAGTATTTATTCAACCAACACCGTGAAAACTGCCATCGTTATGGAAAAGTGCGATAAATTACTATTAAATCGCTTAAGAAATGGTGATAAATTGCTTCAGTTATCGTTCGTCTTTTGAACTACACGACGGGAGTGAAGGAAAGAAATCAAAAAGAAATTTACATAGTGTTATTCACTTGTTACAACATACTTCAAAGTCTCTTTTTTTTGTCTACTTCTCTTTTGGCTCCGATTGTGAAGCTTTATTTTTAAATTAGTATCAGAGAATAAACAATCGAAGTTTTGTTCCATTTGATTGTTGACTGAGTTGAGTTCTAGATCGTTGTGATTAACAGATTGTCATGTGATGTTGATGAATTAACATTAATTTATTTTAAACAGTTGCGAAACAAAGACGTTAAACTTTGATTAGAGCGTTGTATTTGATTGATAAAAAAAGTAGTGCTTTTGTTATCAGTGCCGCTGTTGTGTTATAGTCTATAACTAATATTGCCTAATGAGAAATAATATTTCAACCTGCGGTCGTTCTCGTGACTCTACTTAGTAAAATTTTTTAAATTGGTGAAGCTACGCTATAGAAACTTCTGTCAATTAATTAAAAAAAGATTTAATTCTTCAAATCTTTTGCAAACCGTGTAAATAAGAGAAATAATAAATGATACCCGACATGAACAATTTAAAGCAGCGGCGTAAATCTTCTGTGAGACGTGAAATAATTGTTGAGGGAGAGTTTTGTGAGTTTTTATTTATTGTTATTCATCAATAGAGTAAATATTGCATCCAAAAAATTTGTCTTTCAACACAGTTTCTTAATTTATCATTTTTCATAATTGAACTCAAGTAAGTTTGTCTTTATTAACAAAAAAAAAGTTTTGAATACAATTTAAATTCGATTTGTAGACGTTGTTCTCTATGTCAATTTTCTCAAAAGTGATTACATGACGAATATTCAGTAAAACTCAAAAAAAAGTTAAAATATTTTTATTACTCTTCAATGCAGATTTTTCCTTATCATTTTCCTAACAAAATGTTGATGAATTTACAAACCTTCTCTATCTGCTTGTGAAAAGTTGCGATCTTGAATAAGATGAGAGAAATCAAAGAGGAAAAGGGAAAACTTTTTAAAAACATCGTAAACAAAAACTCTTCATATCTTAAGGTGAAAAGCCAACGATGCAATCGAATCACCACGCGGTCAATGAAGAAAAATTCTCTCGCGTTCTTCGCTTTTCTCTCTTCCCTTCTCTCGCTACTGGATTCAGTTCTTGTCTCATGTGAAGGACTTAAACAGAAAATGTTCAGTTTGAGTTCACATTTGCTACCGGTGAAACGTTAAACTTCGTACTTTGTTACATGAAAAAGTTAAAATAAAATTTACTTTGGAATCAAATTTGAAAAGCGAAGAAAAGAAGCAAAAAAGAAAGAAATTGTTGCATAATTTTCCTTTTTCTTCCTACTTTCTTCCAAAACATCTTTCGCAACTCTAAACTTTTCTAAAAAGAAGCCAAAAATTCAACTTTCAAGAACTTCTGATTCTTGTTCAGAAGAAATTTAATTGTGGTTTAATATTGTTTTGTTTTATATTGAAGAAGTGAAAAATGAGTGAAAACTTTATTAACATTGCTGAAATCCGAGGTAAAGTTTCAAATGTTATGAGGAACATTTTTTAAATTAAAAGGAAATTTGATAGCTCGTGATGAGTGACTTCAATGAACTCGGATAAATGTTTGCAATTTCCGTTCTAAACAACACAAAAAAAGTTTTATTGAATCGATTAGAATTGAACATTCGAAATATTAAACTGTATCGTAAAAAAACGACGAATGGAAAATGAAATTGGACAAATAAATTGTTATAAGAGAACTGCTGAATGCTGACGCTTAATGTTTATGTTACAAAAAATATTTCCCATCGTCTGATGAAGCTTTAATTTCGGTCAATTAAATGAGCGAGTAAAAAGAAGAAAGAATTTTCGATGATGACAATTAAATTGCTTTTCACCTCAAAGTTTTTGTTTGTTGTCTGGGACAATTTCAATGACTCTCAGCTGTGAATTGAATACCGATGAGTGTTTTACACAGTCTCTCGCTCTCGTTGATATTACAAATGATGATAAGATTCCATGGGAATTCTTTTCTTGTTTTATCAATCTTTATCAATAAATTTAATATTATAATAGTGAAGCAACGAATCGTGTGTATAAACTCTTAAAATCCAATTCATTCTTTTCAAATGATTAGATTGGACAACTTCCTGAAATCAAAAAATTATTTGGATTAATTTGCTCTATTTTGTCAATATCAGAGTTCCTTTCGCACTTAAATATTCGAAATAGAAAGTTCGCCTAAACAGACACCTTAAGCCATGCGAAAAGATTTTGGAAGCTTTAATAATATCACAACACAACCGTTTAAATAAATTCCAAATTGAATTTTAAGTAACGAAGTAATCTCCCTGTGCTGCGATATATTTTCTACATAAATAAGTATTTCTTAACAATATTATAATTCACAAGCTAAGCAGAGCTTGCAAATAAACCCCAAGGAAATGTTGAATAAAATTGGGAAGAAAATTGTGATGAAATTTAAGCTCTTGGAACTGTGAAGGAAAATACTTGCAAAAATTAAACACGGAAGAATTTGAACTTGAGATTTCAGATCAATTCTTTTTAATTTATTTAGTTACATAAATTAAATTATTAATAACTTTGAATAATTATTGAACTATTTCAATAATCAATTAAAAATATTTTTAATGTTTGATGTCATTTGAGTTTCTCTTCTTTGTAAACAGATTTTCTTGAATTTCAAGCTGTTGTTTAAACATCAAACCAAGATTAAATTTTATTCCCTTTTCTTTTTTAATGGGAGGTTTTACATGGAAACTCCTACACATATCTTCAGAAGAACATATGCACGATAAACATTAATTTTATTTTTTTGTCAAACACAACAAGCTATTTAATAATTTAATGAATTGACTAATGCGGAATGAAATTTACGTACTTTTTTACAAGATCAAAATTGGCTTTATTACGTTTAAAGCTATTTTTTAATAGAACTTTCATTTTATTTGATTCATAGTCGAACTTGATTATGGTCAACCAATGAAGAGTCTCTTGTGGATGTTGCCATATCAAATAAGAGAGAATTAATCAAGAATTGATCAAATATCAACAAGGTATCAATGCATAGATGCAAGAAGAGAAATTCTTTCAATTGATTTCTGATTTCGAAGAAATTCTCCTACATAAGTTTGATAAAAAGTTTTTTTGTAGCTGTTCTAGATTTATTCATTCAAAAGAAGCTTGACTTTTCTTTTTATCATATTATGAAGTCTTAAATAGAGAAAGTCAACAATTATGTCCAATGAACACAGAGACCTTGAATTTGAAGAAGTCCTTAGAAAATTTGAATCTGAAGAGCAAATAATGCGGGGGATAGAAAAATTTTCAATATGAATAAATTTTCTCAAGCCTCACTTGAGATAAATATTAAAGAAATTTATATAATCTTTAATAAGTATGTCTTAATCATTGAAATTTGACTCTAAAATTTTTGTGAAAGTATTTAAGATAAAAAAATCAAAATCGTTTCTTAGGTATCAAATTATAATTAAATTAAGAGATTCTTTTATCCATGGCGGTTTGGAAGGAATCGTGTCTTCTCATTTAACTTATGAAATGTAAATTTCGATGTCACCATTAGCGCATTTAATTTAATCTTCCAAATTTTTAATCATAATTTTTATATTTTGTCTTTATAGATTTGCGCACAGCATTTGATTTGTTAGACAGAGATCAAGATGGAATGGTCACACCAACCGAGCTTCAGTTTATGCTTCGTAATTTAGGAATTGAACTAAGTGATGAATTAATTGATGGATTGATGAAAGAAGCTAGTAAAACTGGTGAGACTCAACTTATTTATTTTTGTTGATTTCTTTATTTCTGATATTTTATTCTGAAGGATTCCATTACACAATAATTTTATCAAACTAATAACAATCTGGCCACGTTGAAAAAATTTGTTGCAATATAACTTTCATCTTTGTTATTCTTAAATGAAATTTGTATGTAATGAGGAAGTTTCATTGAAAGAAATAAAGAAGCTTGAAAATGATATTCACAAACATTTTAATAAAAAGTTTTGAAAAGCATTTATAAATAATAACAGAAGTTCTTTTCTAATGTTTCTATGAGACATAAAAAGCTTGTTATGGTTACATATTTTCTTCACACAGAATTCTCTATAAGAGAGAAATGTAAATTCGAGAAGAATAAATTTTTCCTCGACTAAACTATTCCAAATCCAGAAAATTGCGAAAAAATTATTCCAACAATTATTGCAACATAAGATTGCAGATTTTTTTTGAATTTATTTCCGTTAAAAATATGAATGTAAGAATTTAATTCTAAGATTAAATATAATTTTCACTCACTAAATTTTGCTCATTAAATTTAATAAAGTTCACTTATTATGGTACTAAACCTTATATTTTTATTTCTTTATTAATCGATTTTTAAAATTTCAACTTAGAAAATATTTTATTACGCATTCATATTTTTAACGGTTAAAATTTTAAAAATCGATTCGCAATTTTCTGGTCGCAAAAATATAAATCTGGAATTTTTTTTTCGCAATGCTTTCAGTTGGAAAATTTATTCTTCTCGTAAATTCAATCGAAAATCTTTTAAATATTTCACGTGCCTATATTTAAAAAGAATTTTTCTTCCTAAAAATGATTTCCTATTTATTATTACTTTTGTGTCACTTTAATCTTCAATGAAAGCTTGTTGGACCCTCAAAAACATTTGCGATGTTAAACAAAATTGTAAATAATTAAAAGTCCATTGGTGTTCAAAGGTATTCAGCTAACAAAATAAAAATTAATAATTTTTTACCTTTGTGGAGGACATTTTCGCATATTTAATGGTTTTAAATGTTGATTCTCAAGATAAGCTGAATTTTTCTACTTTGCCAGCTTCAAA